GAATGTCAGCCATTGTGCCAATCCACTGAGGACGAGTGAGGGAGAGTGCCATTCTTACCTTTTGTTAGTTGCTGCTGTTGCCACTCGACGCAGTTGTCGCTGATTGACGCCGTTTTCGCTGTTCGCTGTCGATGTCGATGTCGTTTGAGGAGCATGTAAAGTGGAAGAATTTGTACAAGAAAAAAGGCTTGAGAAAGGCCGTAGGAGAAGCAAAGAGAGTAAAAAGGAGACAAGGAGAGTAAAGTTCGAGAAAAGTACGAATTTGAGAGAGATTTTGAGAGGATGAAGAGAGAGAGATTTTGAGGGGATGGAGAGAGAGATTTTGAGAGGATGGAGAGAGAGAGAGAGAGGAAGGGAGGGAAGGAGGGCTTTTGAGAGAAAAAATAGAGGGGTTGGGGGTTTGGAGAGATGAGAGAGATGAGAGAGAGATGTGTGTGTGTGTGTGAGAGAGAGAGAGAGTTTGCGAGAGAGGTAGTGGGAGTTAGGCGAGAGGCGGTGGTGAGAGGCGGTGGTGAGAGGCGGTGGTGAGAGGTATTGGTGAGAGGTGTTGGTGAGAGGTGTTGGTGAAAGGTGTTGGGAGAGGAGGCGTGTTCACTTTATACACTCAATCACTGCGCATCACAAGGTTCGGCCCGTGCATGAGCAAGACCAAAAAGGTCAACCAGTCCAGTACCGCAATGCTGGGTCGAAAGACAGTCATCAACTCAAATTCGAGTGGTACTGTTCTGTTATGTTGAGAGAGGTCGATGCTTCAATCAACCAAAATCTTGGTGGAGTACATTTTTCGCGGCACTTACTCTCAGCTGTCGCATCAAGTCCTGTTCAACTGAGCCCTTTTGCGATTGACTCTTGTATCTCGTTCTCTGAATTCAATTTCAGCAGGTAATGTCTCGCTGCGCTGCTGGGCCACTGGGCCGGGCCACTGACCGAGCCGCTGGGGCAATCGATAGGTTCGTCAAGGGGGCTGCATACGTCTTACTTGAGCCGTCCACTGGAAGTAGTCTACAGAATATTAGATACTTGAACTGAATTTGAGATGAGGATAGGCAATCAAATCACAAACATAGACGTGATATGCGTGAAAGATGTATTGATGTAAAGGCAGTGATATAATCACTACTCTCGGTAAACAAGGCACCACTAATCACCAAGCCCGAGTTTGGGGGGAAAGACAATGCAGGTAGTCATTCGTATCATTTGGCATGCTTCTAAAATGATTCTACTCACCTGGATCACTCCTGGCAACGCTGGTGTGTTGGTGGCCCTTATATAAGTACCTACATTTCTGCCTCGCCCAGTATCTCTCTCCTCCTGCAGGTTATTCCAGTGTTGATCGCACTATACAACCTCTTTTCTATATATTCCTACCAAACAAGATGGCACGAGTTCCTCCCTCTCTAACATCTATTCCCCATGAGATCCTAGATCATGTGGTATCGTTTCTTACCACTCAAGACACGGCCCATCTGGCACGCACTACGAGGTACTTGAAAGTCAAGCTAGAACTATCGCTTTACAGGAACATCAATATAGTTTGGCCTCTCTACGGAGATGGTTGTCGAAAGATTGATCGTGATCCTTTGCCACCATTAAGATCCCTTCTGCAGAGACTTCTTGAGGCTCCCCGGCTGGTTGAAGTTGTACAGAGTATCAACATACGAACGACGAAGATCGAAGGCCACCCGGAGGCATATTTCATGCCCAACAGCATAATACGTCGCCGGTCACGTCCTCGGACTGAAGTCACAACTCTTCACAAAAATGCCATCCGGGCTGCCGGTCTGCGAGATCCCGTGAAATGGGTAGTTGAGCTAAATACGAACAACTTCGATGCGTATCTCGCCCTAATTCTGAGCCTCTGTCGAAACATTCAAAGTATCGAAATTGGCACGGGACTACTCTGGAATAATAGACTTTTGCCTGAAATGTTCGAGAGCATGGTTGCAATGCACACTGCAAATGGAGATGCGAACTACCAGCTGTTTCCCCAGTTACAGTTCCTTGATCTAGGCGAGACGAGCCGGAGGATCTGTTGGGAAGAAGGCAGCCCCTACTTCTCTGAGCCCGGACTCTACCAAAGGTATCCCAAAATTGATTGGTACCTCTCGTTGCTTAGAGCAAAGCGGTTGGTTCACATACGGCTTGCCCTCTGCTGGTCGTTCATTAAGACATCGGATCCACGACTTGTCAAGAACCAACATCTCACATACGTTAAGTCACTTTGTTTGGTCTTGGGTCCATACTCGCCTGGGAATCTCAAGTGGTTACTTGCGAGAGTTCCTTCCCTGAAAAAACTTGAATATGATCAAGCAGCCCTTTCCACAATGAAAGAATCTCTCAATAGATACGACACTATACAGGATAATTTGTTGGTAGTCAAGGATTCATTAGAGCATCTTCGCTTAACGGTTTGTTCCTGGTACCATCCCACGCTTCCTCCTGTGGCCCACCCACCCGCGTCGTTTTCCTCGCTCTCCCATACCCCTCTCAATTTCAAGCCTCTCTGCCATCTGAGGACTCTACACATCTCCCTAGCCTCACTTTCCGGGATCCCGCTATCAATCTTCATCTACGAAAACCTCAGTGAAAGAGACTTCATAGTTCTCAATCGACAGATCTTCGACCCCACGTTCTGGCACTGTCTCCCGGAGAGTCTCGAGCATCTGGTTCTCTTCGAGAGGAATTGGTATAAGAGTTTCCGAGAGGAGCATTGGAGCATGGGTGAGTTTCTCTTAATGACCCTGACTGTCATCCTCTTGAACCAGGACTGGAGAGCTGTTACGCCTCACCTACAACGTATTGATGTCGACGCCAGTGCGAACAAAAATATCTTCTTACCGGAGGAGGAGAGGGATTTCGTGCTCGTCTGTGAAGATCAGGGCCTGGCTTGCAATTTCATAGATTCGAGTGTGCAGTGGGACAAGCTCTGAGGACATGGCTTTCGTCGAGCAAGGGTGTCTCTACGAGGCCTTTCTTGTTGTATCTGCACAATGTTTACTTTGTGGCGGTAAATCAGGAAGACAAAGACATTGTGTGTTATGTCCAGCGAGGGAGTAATTGACGCTTGGATAAGGCGAAGTTCATGGCAGGCCAACCACATATTCCTAGAAGTGTATGCACGCAATTCCAATCAAGACACTAATTCAACACGATTTGATTGAGCTTTTGTCAATGTTAGTGGATAAACCTCTCATATATGTTGCTAATAGGTACGATTACGTCCACGCTTCCATTGATTCGTGCTCGTGTGATTCTTGCGTGAAAAGATAGTCCGACTAGACTCATCTCATCTCAATTTCACTTCAGCAGTCAACAACGGTAGTCTCCACCGGTGTGTGTTTACTGTGTAGAACGCAATGCTGAAAACACATGATTGCCCTCAGATAGCTTTACAATGTTGAATAACCTATCATTCTGCCTATTGCCTATAGTTACGTTCCCGCATACACTTTTAGTGATTGTGCCCACGTGTAAGTCCTGCGTGAAAAGTGATGGTGGCAAAAAAGCGCAATCACAATCACCTGTACTCTGTTTACCAACAAACCGAGTGATTCTCGCCATAGTAACCCACCCACGCTCATTTCCCGCTCGTGACTGTTGGGCACTGTATATAAACACTGCCTACCCTAGGCACTTTTCGACCTACATCTGTCACAACCATCCACACTCACTCACTACGTTTTGACTGCCATAACAGTTCACTTTGCTGACCCTTTGATCAAGATGACCACCGACCACTCGAGACTGGCAACCTGCCAGAACCAGCCGAACAAGCTCGTCGACCAATACCAGGGCATCCAGAAGATCCTCGACGAGTCGATCCCCAGCCAAGAGCGCCACGGCATGTTCGAAGCGTATCAAGTCCGCGTTGGCCTACGCGTGGGTGCTTGGGAATCGAACGGCAAACCGAGGTGCCCGGAGTGTCTTAAGGTGCACTGCATGCCGTGTCTAGAGCGTGCGGACCTCCACGTGCTGCTGGATGTCCACCGCGAGGGTCTCAAGCTTCGTCGCGACGCGTGGGAGAGGGGTCAGCAACTGGAGACAGGTATGAGCCCCAGCCCTAACAGGAACGTCCTTGATGAAGCGTGGGTCGGCGATTTGCTGCTCGGACTCTTGGAATCTGAGAATGCAGAGAATTCGAAGAATATCCAAGCAAAAAGCCACCCCGCTCAGGTTCTCAATGAGTTTATGTGGAATCGGACTAACTTGAGGGATCCACCCGCAGCAGAAGCACGCCCGCCGAATCAAACGCTACAAGAACTATACGGTCTCTATATCCCCAATGGCCGTAAGATCACGGTAAAACTCCCTCAAGTTCAACATGGCCAGTCCAACAAACTTATGGATCCGAAGGATCGACCCACAGCAGAGCCGTTGCCACCAACCGAATCCATGCAAGTGAAAGAGGACTTCGACTTCTCGAATGATGGATCGGACATCATAGTGCGACTTCCCAAAGACCCGATCGGTGATTTCCGAAAACTCATGCAGCGATACAATGGCAATGCTGATGCTGAGAGGTTGCTCCATTCCGTTATGTGGCGTACTTTGCGGGAAAGTGTCGCTAAGTTCGACAAGAAACAGGAGGAAGATCGACAAGATGCTGAAGCTGTGCAAACTCATGCTGGGCTGGACATTGCGCAAAATTCTGCTACAGAGTCATCTGGTCTACCCAAGAGGCCTAGGGAGGTTCCAGAGACCAGGAAAGAGTCCGCCGAAGAGGATCCAGTTGGCCGTCAAACCAAAAAGCTGAAGCAGGGCCCGGAAGCAACTTTGCGCCGACCCATGGGCCCCATTCTAGCACCGAACCTTTCCAGAGGTTAGGTAGAACGGATGAAGGGGTAGGGGCGAAAGGAATGGAAAGAATGAGATGGGCCTGGTAGTTCTGGACCAGATCTACGCTGTCAACAGGACTTCCATCTCTAATAGGGCTCTACAATCGTCCGGGAACCTCAGCCACGAAATGGGTCATAGGCCTTTCATGTTTTCTCTCACACAGTTGAGAATGTCAAGGCGTTTTGGAACGGTGGGAAACATTGTCTCAAGGATAGTAAATATGTAAAATACAATCAACACTCTCTTTCACGGCCCATACAAACTCTCGCCAGCTAATCTTGTCATGTGCTTAGGTTTGTTACAGGTTTGGTGTATCAAAGTGAATGAATTGAGTATGAGAATGCTTTACCTTGTCGACAGTGTAGAATGAATCATCAAAACAAACTTGTCTGCCATGTAACGAAAACCAAAACTTACAGCATACAGGCTAGTTGTACTCAGCCCATGATTTACCTGTCATGATGGCAGACCTCTTCTCGCGTGTAGGATATCTGATATGTGCCGTTTTGGGACTGGTGTTGGCATATCTGATTGGCTAGAGGTTTCCGGTATGACAGTGCTCTTGAACTTTATGGGTGTGGATCTACGATATGTGGGGTGGTATAGGCGATCTCAGGGCTCCAGAATATGCTAGGCTTAGATGAAAATGTAGATAAAGCAGCTATGAATGAAAGTGCACTATGAAGTGTATATGCGTGCTTCCTGGCGGCCAACCGCTATGTAAATCGGCAGTGTAATGGTTTGTGAACATGGCGGAAATACTGTCTCCAGGTAATGTAGAATCTAACCAACCCCCACAGCGTTCCAAGCATGATCTACAATCAAGCCTGGCCTGCATGCTTAGGATTTTCTCTCAAGCTTTTGTTTTACGTATCATTTGGACAGTGTTATCAACAAGGAAAAGGAAACATAGGCATTAATGCAGAGGACACGCATGTGACCATCGGGGGCCGCTTACCACCCATGCACCTGCATGCATGTATGTATTCGGTGTGTTTGAACTTGACATAATAAATGAACCCCAACCTCTACATGCCTTCTCAACTTCGTCCGCTACGCTCACGATAATCATTCACACGACTAAAGTTAAGTATTGCGGAGCATACAGCTGGTAGCGCATATCCTGGAGTCGCGCGCTATTCGAAGCGAGAATTGCGGTGGGGCATCGTCCTGGGTGTCATGCGATCATAGCAGCTTCCACAACTCTACATTGACCGACATTTGAAGCTCCAACATGGTCCCTCAGCGGCCGATGATCATACAATCGCAGTTCCTGAGACATTTCTGTCCGCGACACACCTCGAAAGCAGCTCCATTCTTGCGAACACGTCGACATAGAGGCATTCATACAGCAACAGTCACCGACAATGACATTACCCGACTGGCCTCTCTCCCACTGCACCCTCTCACACTCGCAGATCTTGTAAAGTATGTCTGAAATTGCCATTTGCCATAGAGTCGACAGTTGCTAATCAATCTTACATAGACATGGCCGACCACCGCTCACGACTCAGCAACTCCTCGCATCCTCAAACTTCACACTCTCGATACTCCCAGCTCGCCTCGCACACCGCATCCAATCCCTACGTAACCTTCCATTCATCGTAGTCGCAAACCCACACATCTCCAAGATCCACAGCAACTACCTCCATTCGCTGTCGACGCTCCTGCCATGGGCCGAACACGAGATCAAGACTTTGGAGGAGGAAATCCGCTTCACCGAAGTCATGGCCGATCTCGTGCAGACACATAGCAACACGATCTCCATCCTCGCACGCGGGTTCCTCGAGGCGCGGAAGTATATATCGCCAAGCGACGTAACACAGTTCCTAGACGAGCACTTGCGGGCCAGGATCGGGACGAGATTGATCGCAGAGCAGCACCTGGCATTGCACTTTTCAAGCCAACCACACAGCGAGCTCATGCACCCGGAGCAGGAGGAGGAGTACCGAGGGTTCAACGGCGTCATCGACACGAAGCTTCGGCCAGCGAGGATCATCCAGCACTGCGAGAACATCGTGGGTGAAATCTGCGAGCTGAAGTACGGCGTACGACCCCACGTCAACATCAACGGAGACCCTGACTACACGTTCGCGCATGTACCAGTGCATCTGGAGTACATCATCACAGAGCTACTCAAGAACGCATTCCGCGCGACGATCGAGAACGGGAAAGAAAAGGAACCCATCGAAATCACAATCGCCCCGCTACCAAACGAAGAAGTCAGCGACAGCAACGAACGATCACGAATCGAGATCCGCAACCGCGACCAAGGGAACACCGACATCGCGAGCCGCGTCTTCACCGGCCACAACGACGAATCCATCTCGAAAGCCACCTCCTCCTACGACCAACAGATCCGGCCGCTCGCCCACTCCACACCGGGCGTCACGATCCGCATCCGCGACCGCGGCGGCGGCATCTCCCCCGAGAACTACGCCCGCATCTGGGACTACAGCTTCACGACGTTCAACGAGGACGAGGCGAGCCACTCGCTCGCGGGCGGCGGCTCCAGCAGCGGCATGGACGCCCTGAACGCCATATCCGGGCCCGGCGGCGACGGCGCGAATAGCCTCGCGGGGCTGGGCTACGGCCTCCCGCTCGGCAGGGCGTACGCAGAGTACTTCGGCGGCGGCATCAACGTGCAGAGTCTCTGGGGCTGGGGCACAGATGTGTTCCTAAGGTTGAGGGGCGTCGGTCGGGTGGAGGAATGACGACGCATTGCGTGATGGGACACGTGAGGAAGGGCGGCACGCAGCAGCGTTTTATATGCATACATCAAGGCATTTACAGGCGCGAGATTCCAGTCAGATACATATACACACATCATAGCTTTAACAAACCCGATATCACGAGAAGCGTCAATCAATACGAACAACCATCATTTCAGAACACGTGCATTAGTTCTATTTGTCGTATCCATGCCTATACTCCATGCTTAAGCCGTGAATTATCTACTTCGTGACTCTATTCATGCATGTATGTATCTTGCTTCTTTCCTTCGACCCGCAATCGTGAAATGTGGAGGGGTATCGTCATCTACTGCGTCTTGACCTCGCCGTCCGCCTCGACGGTAATGTGCTCGTTCGTCTCGAGGGCGTTGACTTTGTCGGCGGGGAACTCAGCACTGAGATGCGTCAGTCACATGTACTATATACCAATGTCGTTCTCCTCGTCGTGTGGTTGTTGTCGTAGAGGGAGGAGGTGGTGGGAAGGGAAGGGAAGGGTAGGAGAGGGAGAAGACGTACGTAAAGCCCTTGATGAGGGAGAACTCGTTTATGATCTTCCCTCCCTGGTCGGTGACCTTCTTCTTTGCGGCTTCGAGCTCATCGGGCGAAGCGCCGGACTTGAGGGTTACCTGTTGTTGGCGAGGGGTGAGGTCGTTAGTGATTTGGTTTGGTATGGGGGTTGTTGTATGAAGATAAGTGCATTTGAGGGGTAGGATGATGATGAGGGTGACTTACGTTGTAGGCAGGCATTGTGGGTGTGGGTTTGTTTGTTGTAAAAGGTAGTGTTGAGTCTTGTTGATATGGTGGTTAGAGTAGTGGGATGAGTGGCATGAGCAAGATGAGGGAGTTTATATACGTGATGTATGTTGACATCGACCGAACTACTGGTACGGCACCTACTACTGCTTACCTAGTGTGAATGTGGTGTGTGGTCACGCTCAGTTACGGCCTTGGTTTTTGGTTGCGTTGACTGCGGTTTGCGTATCGAAGTATGACGATGACGTTGCACCCCTTCCCTTCTCTCGTCCCCCCGAACGTCTTCCCCCTCCGTCCTTGTTCGACCCCTCCACTACCCGTGACAAGTACAAGTACATGACTTTAATTACTAGGTAGTATTAGTACCGTAGTAGAAGATACTTTGCTTGGAATTGTCGCATGTGATAGGTAGATCGATCCGCCCGCTCGTGGTAATGGCATTGCACTAGTCCTAATATGGACATCCCACCAGATCGAGGGTATTGTCCAATCAGCATTCGTCTCCTGGGCTTGGCTTATCGATAAGGCATGACCCCTGCACTTCCACGAAATCTTGGCGCATGGGTCGCCGCTAGTGCCATTTTTTTTGGTTTCGTGAGAACTCTCAGGCATCTCGAATCTTTTTGTCGCGATCGCTGTTCTGCGTCGTGAATTGCCGTTCACTTTCTTATCCTCCCTTCCCGCCTCCAACGGCACGCCCTTTTCACGGCGCAATTATATTTGTCTGCTTAGCTTGGACCTCCCTACATAACTAATTGCCATCAGCACCTGCTTCCATCTCGAAAGCAGAGCGAAAAAAGTCCAGCTTCAAAATGGCCGACGAACAGTCCAACCGCAAACACCGCAAGACCAAGGACAAGAAGTCCTCTGGCGCCGCTCCTTCCACAGCACAACAGAACCCCAAAGCGTTCGCCTTCTCCAGCAAAGGCACGAAAGTGCAGCAGGCCGCCTCGCGCTCCGCCGACATCAAGGAGAAGCGCTTCCACGTCCCCGCCGTCGACCGACTCCCCGAAGAAGCACCTCCTCTCATCGTCGCCGTCGCCGGTCCCCCAGGAGTCGGCAAGACCACATTGATCAAGTCGCTCATTCGGAGATACACCAAGCAGACGCTGTCCGCGCCCACGGGTCCTCTCACGGTAGTCACGTCCAAGCGAAGACGTTTGACGTTCATAGAATGTCCGTCCGATTCGTTGGCGAGCATGGTGGATATCGCCAAGGTGGTTGATATCGTGCTGCTCATGATCGACGGAAACTACGGCTTCGAAATGGAGACGATGGAGTTCCTCAACGTCCTGCAGCAGAGCGGTATGCCAGGAAACGTCTTCGGCATCCTGACCCACTTGGACCTCTTCAAGAAGCAAGAAGCATTAAAGATCCAGAAGAAGCGACTCAAGCACAGATTCTGGAGCGAATTGTACCAAGGCGCCAAACTATTCTACCTCTCCGGCGTGGTCAACGGCCGATACCCAGACCGCGAAATCCTCAACATGTCCCGATTCCTGTCCGTCATGAAGAACCCTCGACCCCTAATCTGGCGAAACTCGCATCCGTACTGCCTTGCCGATCGATTCCTCGACATCACGCCTCCGACGGACATCGAGGCGAACCCCAAATGCGACCGCACCGTCGCGCTGTACGGGTACCTGCGCGGAACGAATTTCCCCGCGGGAAAGAGTCGCGTGCACATTCCCGGTGTGGGCGACCTGACGGTCTCGGCGACTGAGGCGCTGCCCGATCCGTGTCCTACGCCTTACTCGGAACAAGCGTTGGCGAAGGTGACGGGGAAGTCGAAGCGCACGCGGCTGGGCGACAAGCAAAAAGTGTTGTATGGACCTATGTCGGATGTTGGAGGAGTTCTGGTGGACAAGGATGCTGTGTACATCGATGTGAAGACGGCGACCTTCAATGCCGATGAGGAGCCTGATCACGAGAGGGGGTTGGGCGAACAGCTCATGGTGAACCTTCAGTCTGGGCGGAATTTGCTCGGAGCGTCTGACCCGGGTATGAGGCTGTTTAGCGGTGGCGATTTCGTCGACGGCACTGCCGATGACGAGAAAGACCAAGGCCGAAGCTCGCAACGAAAAGCCAGATTCGCTGGTGAAGAGGAGCTGGATGATGACGCGGACCTCGAAGGCATGAGCAGTGGAGAGGAGGACGAAATGGAGGACTTGGACGAGGATGCCGAAGAAGACGACAACGGGTACCTCGACACAAACGGCGCCGCAAATGGCTCTTCACGGCGGAGAAGTTCAGACGTCAAGGACGACAAGGACATCACGGGTGAAGAGCTAGCATTCGCAGACAGCGACTCCGATCTAGGTTCGTTATCAGACGAAGAGCTGGATGTCGAAGACCTCACGGACGGCGAGTCTGAGGAGGATGAATCTGAAGAGGAAGGCCTCCATTGGAAATCAGGACTTGCCGAGAATGCAAAGCGCATGCATGGACGCGACAAGCCGTTCCGAATCGCCACACTTTCACGGTTGATGTACGACATGTCGATTACGCCAGCTGATGTTGTGAAGAGGTTCAATGGAGTCAAGGAGGTGGAGGAAGAAGAAGACGAAGATGCCGAATTCTTCAACAAGGGCGTCGATCCTACGACTTTGGAGGATCGTTATATTCCGACTTATGACTACACAGCGCTCGAAGATAAATGGGAAGATGACGAGGTTATTGAGTCTATGAAGAGCCGTTTCATCGGTGGTCACACTGCTGATCAAGGCGACGACGCCGATGGTGACGTCGAGGACGATGGCTTCGAAGGTTTTGACGAGAATGACGAAGGAGACGGAGAGTTTGAGGATTTGGAGACCGGCGAGTCATTTGGTGGCCAGACAAAGTCCCCTCCAGCTGACGAAGAGGCCAAGAGCCTCGAGGAGGAGCGAGAGAAGAACGCCAAAAGGAAAGAGGAACTCAAGTTGCGTTTCGAGGAAGAAGATCGCGACGGTTTCGCGAATGACAAGACTGGCGGTAAAGAGGGCGACGAAGAAGAATTCGGCGAGGATGATTGGTATGATGCTCAGAAGGCGCAGATTGCTAAGCAATTGGACGTCAACAGAGCAGAATTCGATCAACGTAAGTGGCATTGAATTTTTTCAAGTAACATCTCAGCTAACAAATTGTAGTCGACGAGTCTTCTCGAGTTCGTGTCGAGGGTCATCGTGCGGGCTCATATGCTCGCATCGTTCTCGAGGATGTGCCAGCAGAGTTTGTTCAGAACTTCAACCCTCGATTTCCTCTCCTGATCGGTGGTCTCACGCCTACAGAGGAGCGATTCGGCTTTGTGCAAATTCGTATCAAGTATGTGTCTATCAATCCAATACCGCATCAATCATCACTAACTACTGCACAGGCGCCATCGATGGCATAAGAAGATCTGTAAGAGCAACATCACCAGTGTCCAGTTGGACCCAACTAACATTCGTATCAGTGAAAACCAATGATCCTCTCATATTCTCCTTGGGCTGGAGAAGGTTCCAAGCCATGCCAGTCTACTCGATATCTGACTCTCGGACACGCAACAGGATGTTGAAGTACACTCCTGAACGTAAGTAACACATCCTCACCACAACCCAATGCTTCACCCACCTAACACCTCCCTAGACATGCATTGCTTCGGCACATTCTGGGGACCGCTCGTCGCTCCCAATACAGGTTTCGTCTGCATGAACAGCCTCTCCCAGCAAAACCCCGGCTTCCGCATCGCCGCAACCGGCAGCGTCCTCTCCGTCGACGAATCCACCGAAATTGTCAAGAAACTCAAACTCACCGGCCACCCCTACAAGATCTTCAAAAACACCGCCTTCATAAAAGACATGTTCCAATCCGCCCTCGAAGTCACCAAGTTCACCGGCGCCTCCATCCGCACCGTGTCCGGCGTGCGCGGGCAAATCAAGCGCGCGCTCTCCAAACCCGAAGGCACCTACCGCGCGACCTTCGAAGACAAAATCCTGATGTCGGACATCGTGTTCCTGCGCGCCTGGTTCCCCATCAAGCCCCACCGCTTCTACAACCCCGTGCTCAATCTCCTCGTGCCGCCGTCCTCGGCCAGCGAATCGACGGGATGGGAGGGCATGCGGCTCACGGGGCAGGTCCGCCACGCGATGAGCATCCCCACACCCGCGGAGAAGAACTCCGCGTACAAGAAAATCACCCGCGAGCAGCGGCACTTCAACCCCCTCCGTGTGCCTAAGAAACTCGCGGCGGACTTGCCGTTCAAGTCGCAGGTTGCGCAGATGAAGCCGCAGCGCAAGGCGACGTATCTGCAGAAGCGTGCGGTGGTCGTCAAGGGCGAGGATAAGAAGGCGAGGCAGCTTATGAACCAGGTCATGGCGCTGCGGAACGAGAAGGTGGAGAAGAGGCGTGTCGCGCAGGATAAGAGGAAGGAGGGGTATCGGAAGAGGGTTAAGGAGAATGATGAGTTGAGGGCGGCGAGGGAGAAGAGGGAGAAGCAGGAGTATTGGCAGAGGGAGGGCAGGAAGAGGAAGTTCCAGGGCGATGGGGAGAGCGGTGGTGGTGGGAAGAAGAGGTAGAGAGTTTGTTGGGGTTGAGTTTAATACCATTGGCATTATTCGATTTGCATAGTTTGACGATGAAAAGTTTCAAGGCATGTGGGAAAGTTGCGTTTTCTTTTGGATCTACTTTGTTGTATATACCATGTACATACGTATTTACATTTACAGCGTACATCACCCATCCAAAGCCCCCAACATCTCATCCACACTCCCAAACTTCTCCCTCTCCTTCCCAAGCTTACCTCCCCTCTCCCTCTCCACCTCATCAATCCTCTTCCAGTCGCTCCACCCAAGCGCCCTGACTCCGTTCCCTAGCACCTCTTCCCTCACGCCCTCCCACCCCAGCCCCGTACTCTTCCCCTCGCCGCCAGGCGCGGAATTCAAGAACGGCACACCAGACTCCCAGTCCGAAGCCACGACGTCGGCAGAGATGAATGCGTCTTCCATGGTGCTCGCGATCACGCCCGTTGGTCCGCGCTTCACCCAGCCTGCGCAGTAAAAGCCGGGAACGTGGGCGGCGGCGAGGTCGCCGGGTCCTTTGGAGGGCGAGACGACGCGGCCGTAAGGGTCGTTGGGGATGATGCCGAGTTTTGTGTCGAAGGGGACGCCGAGATCTGAGAGGCCGGGTAGTGCGGTGGACTTGTAGCCCACGGAGCGGAAGGCGAGGGATGTGGGGAGGGTGGAGGTTTCGTTCGTGGGGACCACGGAGGCGGATTTGGAGAGAGGGTCGGCGGTGGGGGCGAAGGTTTGGTGGGAGAGGGTTATGGAGGTTAGGTTGTTGGTGCTGGGGGAGGGGTTGAAGGAGATGGGGGACTTCAGGAAGTCGAGGGCCCAGGACTTTGAGGCGTGGGTTGGAGGGTTCTTCGGGCCCTTCAGGAGGACTTCGGCGATGCGCTTTTGGATACGGGGAAGCTTTTTGATGTCTGTGGGGTAGAAGGATGGGTCGATGGGTTCGAAGGAGACATTTTCAATGTTCATCAGTTCGCGGGCTTCCTTTACTGTGAAAGCAGCCTGTTGTATATTTAGATGCTGCGACCATTTTGTGCATGAAGTGAACGTACCTGCAACGGCCCACGTCTGCCAACCACTCTAACTTGACGTATCCTGCTCCTGCTCAGATACTCCAAAGCTTGCTCGGTGATATCCGTATGCCTGAGCTTGTCCACGGGTGTAAGGAGTATCCGCGCAACATCCAAGGCGACGTTTCCCTGGCCGATGACTACTGCCCGGTCGCCTGCCTCCAGATCAGGCGCCAAGTTCTGGAACTGCGGTAGTCCATTGTACCATCCCACGAATTCCCGCGCAGAGAATACACCGTGAAGGTCTTCGCCCGGTATTCCAAGTTTCTTGTCTTCGGATGCACCATATGAGAATATCATTGCATCGTAGTGTGCCTTCAAACTCGACAGCTGTACATCGTGCCCCACCCTCACATTTCCAATGTAGTTGAAATTAGGTGACTCGGCCACTTCTTCGAACTTGTCCTGGCAGTTCTTGACTTCTGGGTGGTCTGGCGCAACTCCGAAGCGCGCGAGGCCGAAAGGGACCGGGAGTTGTTCGTAGAGATCGACGATGGAGTCGGGAATCTTGGACATCAATCGATAGGCCGTGTAGAAACCTGCAGGACCGGATCCAATGATTGCCACTCGCATTGGCTTGGATGCTGCCGTGCTGAAGGCATACTGGGGTCTGGATTGCCTCGATGTGGCTACTGGTTGTCGGATCTCCGAAGGCACTGGGCGTGCCAGGTTGAGGCCATTGTTCAACCTGGTAAAAGCACTGCCATATGACCGCCGGCTTGGAGTGTGTAGGAGTCGCCGTGTGCAGTTTGCGCAGATATATGGCGTTCGAGTACGTATCCCTGCGGAAAGGTGCATGATGTACAGTCAATGTTTGCTCTTTTTGAGCCACAAAATCGTAGATGGTGACACTAAACCGCTTTTGGCTCAAAGAACTGGCGACGACGTGTGGCAATACACAGTAGATCAAGTGTATCAGCAATGTGTGATTACTCGTATCTATATAGTAGCATCTTAAAATGCAGATAGTCAACTTTGTACAATGGCAATGTTCTTCTTTCTCATTACTGTTGCGTGTGGGTTTTCACTGATTTGTCAACGTCGAAATCGAGACATCCTCGCGCGTTCTCGCTCTCCGCTCCGATCGATGGATTTTGGCTGAGAAGTTCAAACAAGTCCTGTCCTTCTGGCTGCTGAGGGAAGAACCTTAATTGAACGCCCACATCAGCTGTAACAGACTAATAAGAAAATAGTCTATTATTGAAGCCACTTGGGAGCAATTCAGGTTAATTCAATAGTACCTGCATCCGTTTATCCTTTCCCTCACGTCATGGCGGCGGTGCGGCGGCAATCGATTGTTGCTAAGGGCAACGCCGTGTTTACATATTATGTACGACCATCCTTGATATTCCAGGCCGGCCCATGTCCAGGCCTCACATCCCTCCAGCATTCCTCAGCTAAGCGAAAGGGATCTCGTTCCCACGTACATTCCACAGCGGCGCGCTCCCTTAGACACATTCTTCAGCCTCTTCGATTACTCTCATCATGGGCCGCGGGCAGCCCTACCTCTACGATCCCAAGCGATCTTCACAGAACTCCGTGCCAGAGGTCTTCAATCCAAGAGCCGTGACGATGGCGAGCCGTGAACCACCTTCGCCGAGGAAGAAGCAGACTGGGCCGCTCATCGACTTCAACAAGCATCCAGATAGCTACCTGATACTTCCTTACGGGAAGACAGAAGGCAAAGTGAACCCAAAGATTGCTCTTTACATCAAGATTGCTCGATGGGTCCAATTTGTTTTCCGCGTGCCAACTGTGCTGGGCGCCATTGGAGCTCTGCTATGCGGCATCTTTATCCGTGGAGCGCAAGATACAGAAGGATACTTAGTTAGGATACCAGTAAGTTGATTAATTTCACCTAGCACTAGATCATACTGACGTTGAATAGCCTGGTGTTGACATCGTCCATTGTCTGTATGCACTTTACCACCTTCTCCGACCGGCAAAGGCGCGACCAGCCGGAAGCTCTGCAAGCTATCACTTCTATGCTCTGATCATGGATGCGGGATTCATACCATTCTACGTCTTCACCGTCCTGCTCGCAAGGCGCAACTACGACGCAAAACCTGGCAGTGATGGGCGTTGGAGGACTTTCTTCCCAACAGACGAAGACACAAACAAAGTTCTCCTGACAACATGGCTGAACGGAATCGCGGTCGCGGGCTTGCATGTTCTTTCGCTGATCATGGATCTATACCTACTTCTGGTCTTCCGTAAGATCTCTCATCTTCCACCAGACATGAACCCTCTGGAGGACAATTTGACTTCGCGCCGTAAGACCAAGCACAAGCATAAGAACTCATCCATCTCCGCCATCACTCCTCTCACTGCGGAGGACAAACGGTTCAGTGCACAAAGTGGTACTACGACCATCGGCAACAGGAATTCGCAAACGGCCCCATTGATCACAGAGAAAGAGATTCCGTCTCCCGGTATGAAGCAGATGTCATTCTTGCACACTCGCACAAACTCGGATATGAGCTATTCACCGCACACACCAGAGACTGCCCGCCATTCTCGTCAGTCTTTGTACGGTCAAAATGCCTCTGCCCGTCAATCTCGCTCCGATCTGAACCACCGCGACGACCTGCTCCGTAGAGACGACCCAGAGGACAATCAAACCTTGGCCCAGCGCAAAGCAGTTCTTGCTCAGAAAGCCATCAAGAGGAGTTCCCGACCTCAATCATTCGTGTCTTCGAGCAAGGAGTTTTATACGCCACCTACTACTGCTGAAAAACAAGACATGACTGGTGGCGACATCTCTCTGCAACAATCTCTTCAATCTGACAACTGGTTCGTCCACGATGAACAAGAGGACTACAATGAAGCACCACAAGCACCAGCACAAGCCCCAGTCCAGTCCAAGAGGTCAATGTTCTCAAGACAAACGCAAGGATACAACACCGTAGCATCAGACGAAATGTCCGACGATGACCTCGATGCCCCGATGGTGCCCCAACCTCTACGAATGAACCCACCGACACCTCCCCCGTCTCAACTGCCCAGCACTCCCGACAAACAGACAGCTCCCCCATCAGCCCTCCAACGCACCTACACCACGACCTCCATCTCCAGCGAAGCCACCTTCTCCCGCTCTCCCACGCGCGCATCGACCCCGAAAACCCGCTACTACGGCGACCTACGCGCCGCAACGCAAGGCATCCGCAGCGGGCAATCCCCCTCCAACTCGCCCACCACGTCCCCGAAGAAGCGCTCCCTCCGCGAGAACGGCCTGCCCAGCTCCGTCAAAGCCTACACCGTCAACACACCCCCACCAGCATCCAACAAACCCTTCATGTCCAACTCGCCCATCAGCCTCGACAAGAAGTCGTACGCCAGCGTCCGCCGCACCGGCGAAATGGGATACACCCCCGTCCACAACCAATCCCCCCGCGTGCTGAGCCGCTCCGGCGTCGACTACGACGGCGCCTCCGCATACGACGACGCTGCCGACCTCGGCGCGTCCGGCGGCAGGCGACGCGATGTCAGTGGCAAGATTGCAGAAGAGGGCCGCGGCGGCGCGGCGAACATGGGCAGTCGTTGGGGATTCGGCAAGGCGAACGAGTTGACGTATAGGAAGGTTAGCGGTGTGGCTTAAATGCGCTCACTCCCTTCCCTCCTTTTTTCTGCTTGGGGTGTCTCGATATCATGGAGTACGATTTGCGTGGTTGCGGGTGTATGGAGTTTAGGGTGCATTTTCTTTAACTACCAACTTGGGTGTTTTTCTGTTTGGCTTGGATGAAGTGTGGGGTATGGATGGTGTCGTGGTAAAATTACTGTGTGCATGGCATGATGGGTGTATTTTTGTCTTCTACTTTTTTTGTGACTGCTGGAAAGGGGTTGGGGTTATGTACTTTGATGTGGTGTCGGGGGGTATGGTGGTATGTACGGTATATGGGGGAATAAGGAGAAACGAAATGAAATACCAGGTCCAAAAAAAAGTCCAACTTCCAACTTGAAAAATAACGAACTGTGTGAAATCCTCCTCATCCGTGACGTGACATGACGTGAAATAACATAAAAAACTCCCGCTTTCGTGATCTCATCCCAAAACCCCCTTGACATAAAACTCCCAACAAATGGAACTCCAAAGAAAGCAACGCCATTTTCCCATCAAACAACCCTCTAACACTCCTCCAAAAAGAAAAAGGGAAAAGTAAAAGGAAAGGAGAGAAAAGGAAACACTTCAATGCAACTCCACGACCTCCTCCCCCCAACCCAACTCCCCCTCCCCTTTCACCAGAGCACCAATCCCCCACCTCCTCCACCCGCCCCCTCTCCTTTTAACAATCCAAATCACAACCCACACCTCCTCCCACCCGTCCCTATCCCTCCCCGGCACGTGCAGATACTCATCCACAAACCTATTCGCCATACGTCCCTCGTTCACGACCGCGACGCGACACTCGCCGCCGTAGTCCTGCAGTTTGGCGCGGTGGTCCGCCTGCGTGAGGATGAATCCAGTGGCGGGTGAGAAGGGGAACAGGGAGGGGTGGAGGTGAAAGGATAGGAGGGAGGACTTGTGGCATGCGGTTTGGCCGATTGAGAGGGTCATGGTGTGGGTTTTAAGAGTGAGGACGGAGGGGGAGGAGGAGGGGAGGAGGGGTGAGGGGTAGGTTTTTGAGGGATGGAAGATGGGGGAGGTGGACCAGAGGCGGCAGTCGATGGGGCCTTGCCAGCCTTGCCAGGACCAGGAGGGGAGGACTGTGTCGGTGGGGGATTGGGAGGAGGGGATTCGGCGGCGGAGAGGGCCGGCGGGAAGCCAGAGGAGGGAGGGGAGGAGGGAGGCGGTTGGGTGGCCGTGGGTGATGCCGGAGGGGAAGGAGGAGTGCTGCATGAGGGTTGTTATGGAGGTGAATGCGCCGACGACGTCTTCGTCGTAGGTGAGGGATCGGCGGTTGAACTTCTCGACGAGGCCCGCCCAGGTGTGTAAGGGGGAGGTGGTAGTGTTGTCTGGGTTGAGGATTGTGCGGGTGATGAAGATGCTGTTCTTTTTGTCGGAGGAGTTGGATGCGCCGCGGATTTTGTCCTCTTCGAAGTGGCTGGTGGAGCAGTGCCAATGGACAAGCCCGCCGTTCATGATCAGGATGCGCTTGGAGAAGAGGAGTTCTTGGAAGGTCCATCCTCTTTGGTTCCAAAACGACGACTCTGGCCATTGTGGTTCAACGGGTGAAAGGAGAGAACCTTGTCCTGATGGGGTCTCCACGATGATGCGTTCAATATTGCGGGATCTCGAACCTCCTGGGATGCCGCTGAGGCCGTGGTTTGCGTCCGCTCCCTCGGCGGCGATGAGGGTCAGGTATGCGTTGGCATATATACTTGCCATCGAGTTAAGGTGGATGTTCTTCGTCCGCATGTCATCCTGTACGATGCATAGAGAGTCTACCCAGAGGTACTTCAGTCCAAGCAGTTGGGTCATTTGGATAGCATCAAGTATGGTGTTCGGTATACCGCGGTGGTACTCGAATGAAATACCTCCAGGGGTCATATGCGTAGATAAATTCATCAGGGTAGTTCGAAGATTGATTGTAAGTCCCCAGACATAACTCAAGGCCACGTAAATCGACTTTGAAGATGCTCTGACAAGACACCGGTTCTCCACATCTATCAACAGAAGGGAATGGTCTGGGGGAGGGAGATCAGTTGAGTGGCATTCACCACCATGCTCCGTATCACAGATGTGAATCCACTCCCGGAACAGATCAACATTGACGCGTAGTGGATCATAGAATCGGGCCAGATCCTTGTGGCCTTCCGGGACAGTTTTGTCTGGATAATGTAGAAGCTCGTGCTTTCTGTTAAAGATCGATTTTGCAGGCCAGTCCTTATGTTTGTGCAGAACATCGACCTCAATATTCCGTCGGGAATTCACCTTGAATTGAAGAGTGAAACTACGGTAGTCTCCAAGATGCTGGTGCATTCTTGCTGCAGGCCATTCACTGGTGCCAAATGATTCGAAGATGTTCAACATCACCATGGTACCTGCACAGTGTGACGTAGGCCTTATGTTAATCAACGAGAAGTATTGTTTGACATCTCTTGAGAAGACAGCTTCGCATGCCAAACATGGTCGAGTGCATGGTAGAAGTCCCTGGACCGCCTGTTATTTCCTGTGGACATCAAGACTCCGCAAGTTACTTACCTCTTCGTCCCAATGAGATACAAAGTCGTACAGAGTTTGCCATTGTTCAGGGTCTTTGCTGCGTACCGGTGCAGTCTGTCCCAACACTTGAATAAGTATAGACGCGGCTGTTCGTTTTGCGATTTGTTTCTCTGAGACATCCTTCTCCAATAATTGGGAGCGATGTTCTCGGTGACGTTTGGACGTCAGACTAGGGAGCAACGACCATGGAATGGTAAACATGGCGAAAGATTATGAGTGATAAAGCACTTTTGTCACACGAACTGCACACACACATATCCTCAAGTGTGGAGTAGATGAGGTCGTACGTTCAGGTGGGACATGATCAAGAAGTATGAGTTGTGGCTGAGCAGCCATGGGCTCAGCTGGATGATGCCTGTTCTGTGAGGCATGCATGATCATGTGACCATGCATGCGACCAGAAATGTAGTCAAAAGGTTGTTCAAACGCAGCATTCACCTCGGAAAACCTTTACGAGATTTTTTTCAGAGATTTAGCATCATTCATTGCTCGTGGGTGTTTAAACTTGGCCCTTCCGAGAGTAGTATACTTTTAAAGGGTTTACTACTTCAGTAGATGTCCGCTTTCAAGTTTCCCCTCAGTCGACAGCCATTTTAAAAATTATCGAGTGCTCACGATGGCTTTCTGCGTCAATAGATGTTTTGCAAGTCTACGTGCACGAAGAATAAATAGAGTTGGATCTACAATAGAAGCCTACTGTATTAGCCATCGCACCTTGTCATCCTTGTCACAAATAATGTCGAGACCGTTTCCTACCGAATCAACCATTCGTGGAGACTCAGGGAGAACATACACCATCCAAGAGATCCTTACTCAGCGACAAGATCATACATTAAACGTCTATCGAGCGAGGTTTGCAATTATGCCCTGACAAATTTTAAAATCATCGTCCAAGAAGCTGACATATGCGAAGTGCCGAAGACAAAAGTTTCATCATTAAAGATATGATCCCGGGTGAATTCGAATATCAACTGGAATTACAGAAGCCGTTATTCTGCCACCCTAACTTGCGGACGGTTGTTGATACCATCCTGAGTGTGAGCAATTTGTCTATCAATTCTTAGGTGGCGATCTCCTTCGGATGAGCAAGAGAATTGCTTCCAAGGCCACCAAAACGAGCGTTCTACGAAGTGATCTTGCTGGGCTGGCTGAACTTCAAGATAAGAACATCATTCATACGGGTAAGCTCGACCAATGATACACCGTTCACAGCAATTGTTTTTGCATTTGTTTGAACAGATATCAAACCAAACGACATTCTTCTCAATTACTCCGAGACGGAAGGAAGCGACCCCATTATCCAAAGTGTTCAAATCTCCGATCTAGAGGACGCTGTAGCTCTCCCTCCAGGGAAGAATCTCAAAGGCTGCCTTTGTGGCAACCAGCTCTGGCGAAGCCCAGAGTCTTGGGCAAGAGCCAAGCAGAACATATCGTCTGACGTGTTTTCCTTTGGAATAGTAGCTATATACGTAATCCTCGATGACATCATCTTCCTCGTCAGCGATGAAGAGCTGAAGGGAAATGATGCATGGTGGCATATTCTCCGTAGGCACATATCATTCTTGGGAGACGAGGATGGGTTTGTAGGCCTGCTTGATTATATTGGACAGGAGAACCCCTTCTTCGAGAGGCTGATTGCTCTCGCGGGTGACTTCAATGTGGAGAAACCGAGGAAACCATTTGCGTTTTGGCGTTATGTGGACGAGGGGTTTAGGGATCTGATTGCGGTTATGACGAATTTGAATCCAGCGAAAAGAATCACCGCGCGGCAGGCAATGGAGCATCTTTGCTTAAAATGTGAGTAGATAGTCTGGCACCAAATCTTCGCTTACAAGCCGGGTGGTAGATGCATGGGGCCTCAGTATGCAATAATATGCTGATAGGTCTATCTGCCTTGTATTTGTTAAATGCAAACTCTATGGGTGACAGTACAGTATCATTTTCTCAGATGCTCCTTAAATTGCATGGTCCCAAGACGAGGTGAGGCGCAAAGCACGATGAATGATGATAACAGTGTTTGCGACATGATTTCAAAATCTGACGGTGTCATTCGACTTGCGAAATGACGAAGGATTTAATCACATAATCTGGCCTAAAGTAAAAAGATGCTACACGCTCTCTACGCTACCCAAAAGACGACAAGGCTAAAGGATGCACTGTGACGCCCCAGTATATAATCCGAACAAGAAGAGAGACACAGCCAAAGGAACATCCAACGCTAATAAGAAGATGTACACGCAGGCTATGTACCATATGCATCTCTCAGCTTCTCGAAATGCGACCTCGTCTCAGTACCCAGACGGCCCTCTACATCCGCCAAAATAGTAACTACTAGGCTGTAATTGTTCTGCAGGAAGCGTTCTTTCTTGCGTTGATCACTTAGCGCTTTCGATGCTTTGGTGAGATACGCTTCGTACTCGTTTCTCAGGCGGCCAACGGAGACGCTGACGGGTTCGTCGTCGCCTGCTTCGCTGGAGAGGGCGCATATGCCATGAATGAGATTTGCAAAGCGTTGCGTGAGTGGTGTTGGGGCGGTTGAAGAAGCTGCGTGCGAAGAGGATGACGATGAGAGGATGGAAGATGCAGCGGAGGGCTTGTTGGGGAGAGATGCTGTTAGTTTACTGAGGGAGGTGCAATGGAGGTCGAGGATTTGTTGGAAACGGGGCCAGAGGAGCATGTTCGTTGCGTTGATATAATTCTCAACCGCAGGAACTTTGCGGCGCTGGAGTTCAAAGGCGAGGTGCTGATTGATCCGCACACTGAGGAGGATTCCCAGGGTGTCGGTTGTCGAATCGGTGAGTTGGCGCGTCAAGGATTGACCGAGGGCGAGGGTGGGCTCGAAGATTTGTGTGAATGTTCGGGAGATTGCGTGATAGTTTTGAGAGGGGGAGAAGTAGGTAGAGAGGAAGGTGTATTCGAAGGACGCATTGTCGATAAGGGCAAGATTGAAGGAACGGAAGGGCACTTCGAGGTAGTGAGCGGATTTCTCTTCCTCAGCGAGGTAAGCAGTGAGAGCATTGGGGCTGGTGCTCTTGAGTAGATCCATTCGACGACCCAAAGAGAACGCATCGTATGCCGAGGGAACTGCACGTGCAGTTCCTAGCAGCGCGCCACTGCGCTTTGCAGAGGGATCCTCGCCTAGAACGTCGTATTTGTCGAGGACATGGAGTTTGAGCTTTTCCAAGGCCGTGCGGTATCGTGTGAAATGGTTCAAATAATACCAGCGCATCGTATATACATAAGCCTGCGCGATCTGTTGCGCCAGCTCCGGCTGATGCTTAGCGAGGAAGGCATATAGATCCTTGTATTGCAAGAATGCTTGCTGTTGAATGATCTGTGCATTGATCGAAGGTGAGCGGATTGCTTTTATCTGTGCTACAATGTAATCACGGATTCGTTCAAGAGCTTTATTGGTGAGATCGTTGATCAGGGGTTGGATATCAGCTAGGGCCTTCCAGTCTGGTTGATCCTTTGATTTAAAGGCGATAGTCTTTGAGCGCGCAGATAGTTCAGATAGTGCTCTCACAAAGGCCTCATCGATGGGACCTTCTGCGATCTTGCGTACCACAGCGGGCGAGATACTGATATCTTCAACAGCTGGACCAAGAAGCTTCTCTACAACCTTTCGGTTCTCAAGTTTTGTGTTGAGCGCTATCGAACGATTCTGTAAGCTCTCGATCTCGGCGGAGACAGCACCAAGATCCGATTGAAAGTTTGTAAGGTATGTTTCAACGGACTTCAATACCTCGTCGCAGGCGACAATGGATTGATGCAGATCTAGAAACTTGTCTTTCTCCTTATCGTCTGGGAACATCATGAGCGATTGGAACATCATGGGCTGGGATGCAAACACGTACATTCTTCAACTGATTGTGCACTATATGTATGTACAGGAGAAGAGTGCCGTATCTCTGCTGTCTCCGCCGCCGCGAACTCCTTCAGGCTCAGACCGCCAAAGTCTATCTCTACAACCACGACATCCGGCTTCTTCGCGGGTTCTACAGGTGTGTCTACCCTTGTGACTGGTTTGCGCGGTGGTCCTCCCATGATAGATTCTAAAACTTGGATCGGATCGGGGACATTCGGTGGAGCCCCGACAGTCCCTTGCCTTCTGCGCGTAGAGCCATTTGGGGGTCGTACGGTGGACGGGAGACTGGTTGAAGAGGAGGCTGGGGAGTTGGCGAGCGATAGTGACGATGTCCTGGTGGGCAAGCCTGGGCGAGCCGGTAATGGACCCGGGCCTGAACCTGTATACGCCCTTCTAGGGGCTGGTGAGTAGGAATCACGACGAGGAGGAGGCGTGCCCGAGGGTGTTGATGCGGCAGAGAGGCGGTCTAAACCCCACATAGTGGCTTTATTCTATTGTGACAGGGCGGAGTTGGCAATGAGTCAGTTACGGAACCATCGTTTTTTGGTCAGAAGATGAATGTTTGTTCGAATTGAGAAGACAGCTTTTGTTGAACGTGGTTGTTGGCGCTGTCTTGGTTGTATTGGGATAGTTGACCCATGGGTGATGGACAAGAGGAGGTTAGTCATCGATATCGGATTAACAATCCCCCGATCCGGGGTTGTCTGTACGGCGGGGGCGAGAAGAGTATTTATCGTCCATGCAAAGGCTTTGATTCCTTTCCCCACTACTGCTCTCAAAACCCGACCTACGCCAGTTTTTCCTCTTCTACACAGTCGCATCAACACTCTCCTTTCCGTCACAATGGCCGACGATGCGCAGGTACGTCTCTCGATCCTGGTTTCCTTTTCGCATGTTCTTCCTTACCTTACCCCACCTTCAAAATCCACGGCCAGATTGCATTCAACACCATAACCGCGGACATCCCACAACCCTTCCCCAGCCGTCGCGCAACCCCAATCTTCATCACTGTCTAACTTTTGATCCTACAGCATGAGCACACCTTCGAGAGCGCCGATGCCGGTGCCTCCACCACCTACCCCATGCAGTGCTCTGCCTTGAGGAAGAACGGATTCGTCGTCATCAAGGGCCGCCCTTGCAAGATCGTTGAAATGTCTACCTCCAAGACCGGAAAGCACGGTCACGCCAAGGTCCATTTGGTCGCCATCGACATCTTCACTGGCAAGAAGCTCGAGGAGTTGTGCCCTTCCACCCACAACATGGATGTCCCCAACGTCCGCCGCCAGGAGTACCAGCTCGTAAGTGTGCACGCGACTGGAGGGGTAAAGTGGCAATTTTGACTGACCTAACTTCCAGCTCGACATCACTGATGATGGATTCCTTTCCCTCATGTCTGATGATGGCTCCACCAAGGACGACGTCAAGCTCCCCGACGGTGAGATTGGCGACAAGGTCAACAAGCTCTTCACCGAGGATGGCAAGGACACTAGTATGTTTACCCTTGCAAAAAACTTGAATCACTTTTTGCTGACCAAAAATCAGACGTCATTGTCCTTACCGCTATGGGTGAGGAGACTGCTATTGATGCCAAGGAAGCTCCCAAGGGCTCTTAGATGGCTTAAAAGGCAGATAGATGAACAGGGAGGGGGTTGGCGTTGTAATAAACGTCCGCAATATCAAAAGTGCAATGGGGGCTTCTGTATGGTTCCGTGCAGGGCCGCAGCCTGTTTGTCGTTCTTCAGGCCCCGCTCATGGCGACCCTTGTTTGCGGTTCTTCGGACGGATTGGGATTTTTCTTGCATTGCCGCTTTCTACGTATTGGGGACTAGCAGTTACGGATTTCCCCCTTACTCTAGATTATTCCCTGTGGCAACGAATAAAAGAATGATGAACTATGAAATGCAACGTCTGCCATTGGCGAAAATGCGAGTGAATGTGCGATTGCCGTATTCGGCTTAGCGGATATTTAAATTTGGAAAAACCCGGTACTTCTCACAAGCCTCGTCACATGCGCGAACCAAGCTTCAACAATTCCAGAATGAAGCCAAGCCAAGTATTGGACCGTTGATCTGAGCATACGAACAGCCCTTCTGGGCACGCAAGCATCATGGATGGGCGGAAGAAAGGGCAACGTTGCGGGATTGAGGGGTGCCGTTCCAGGCTTTACGATGAAGGCGAGGATGGATTCATGTACTGTGAAAATGGCCACCGGTCGGTTGTAAGTGAGGAATTATAGGCAATCGAAGTATGAATACTGATGAGTATTAGCAAGTAATTGCTACCGAGGATGATGACAACTTTCTAGGCGCTCAGCGCAGAGACAAAACCAGAAAGCGAAGAGAAGACGAGGGAGAAGGACATGTGGGGATATGTAAGTGTCCAAATTAATCTAACATGATAATACTGCTTGTTCGGTATACGTCGATGATTTGCGCCCTTAACCAGCCATTTACAAATGGAGCCGTTGATATTCGAAATGCTAACTTGGGACTGAAACAGTACTGAAGGGCAGAGAGGCGCTGAATCTGTACCTGAAAAGCCTGCAACTAGTTCTTCGCCATCAAATATGGTTTCTGGTGCACGACCAAGGGCTTCCTGCAGAACTCGAAACGGTTGTGTTTGACCTCTGGACTTTGCGCATCATGCAGCTTGAAGAGAAGATTGGAGAATCCCAAGCTCATTCGTCCCAATCCCAACTATTCACCTCGTCTGCTAGCGAGGGAGAAGAGACCGAGTCAGAGAAACGGACGACCTCCAGGGAGAAGAAACTCAGCCATGCACCGAGTCTCATGGACACTCTCGCTCTATGCTACCTAGGGATAATCACCCTACGCCTGCCACTCACAATTGGAGATTTCCACACTTGGGTGGTTGATGGGAAGCTGGCCTATTGGGGCGCTTTGAAGTTGTTGCCGGAAGCCATGGCACAGAAATTACCAGCATCGTATCACAGCCTGTTATTTCCAAATGCTGCCTTCAAAGTTAATCGCTTTGTTGACACCATCACCAACACTACAATAAATCTCGGACAGGAGTACGGTGTCACTTGGCCTAGACTGAATTATCCGTTACTGCTATTTCGACTTCTGAAAGAGCTTGCTCTGCCACTGGAGCTGTATGAAGCAACCATCCGCCTAGCACGCCTCATCGACTATAACTTCACGCATCCAAAAGTCTTTGAAGCCTATTCCGGTATTGCACGGCTTCCAGAAGCACAGCTCATATCCTGCCTTGTAGTTTCTGTGAAGCTTTTGTATCCATTTGATGGAATAAGACGCTACCCAAATCACGACTCAGAGCCGGCCGCGACCTGCATGAATTGGAAGACATGGCACCACCATGTATCTTCTGTTCGCACACAACAATCGGGACAAGCGAATGCATATACCAAAGCGGATCTCATGGCTATACAGGAAAAAGACATTTTCTCTATGTCTGAGGACCAATTAGATCAATACTTTGATTGGTACCAGGGTGATTTACTCGATTCCAACCACACAGTACAGAATAAGGATACCAATTTTCGAAACGCTTTATATGAGCTTTTTCCGGTTGATGCAGCACACAGCTCACAGCCACCGCAGTCTGTATCTCAGACACCAACGCACCAGCACACCTTGGAAGTTACTAAATTTGTACATGAGGATCTCAAATCGCGAGGTCCCGTTGACCAAGACGGGGCCCAATCTAATGTGAAGCGCCCGGGAGATGGATATGTATACTACAAAGATGTAGAGAGCATGCCAGAACCAGCAAAAAGGTTTTTCGAAGCATCAGTAAGGATAACAGGGTTGGATATGGACATGCTTATCCGTGCTGTCCTGCTCACTGAGAAGAAAGTGCAGAGATGGAAGAAGAGCCACCAGCAACACAAGTCAGGTGCAGCGGCGATAGGGAAATCGTGAACGCACACAAACATCGCTTTGCATAAAATGTCAGAGTACCTAGAGAGTCAATAACAATAAAATAAACACAGTAAAATGCATTAATTATAATCACCACACATCGTGTTCGAATAGTAGTTGGGTGATCAGAACCATCGCTCACAAAGAGGGCGGCGGGGTTTGGCGCCATAACTCTCGCTAAGCAATCGCACTAAGCACAGACCAGCGCACCTTCTCACACGAATTCGTGGTTCGCCTTCAACTTCGACTTCTCATCTTCAGACCGTTCACAGCCAACCCGACGAGATGCAGATCTTTGTGAAGACCCGTACGTTCATACCCATAATCCAGATGGATGCATTATCGGATATCCCAATCGTCATTGTCGCGACACCCACAGCAGTCGAAGGAAACCCCCGCGTGCATCATTTCGCATTTTCGCTTCGATTCTGTGGCGACAACAACAGCGACGATGGCTATCCGCATTGCTATCATCTCCAGGAAGCGTCTGTAGGAATATTGAAAGGCTGACTTTATTTTCATAGTCACCGGGAAGACTATCACCCTTGAGGTGGAGTCCAGCGACACCATCGACAATGTCAAGTCCAAGATCCAAGATAAGGAGGGCATTCCCCCGGACCAGCAGCGTTTGATCTTCGCTGGAAAGCAGCTCGAGGATGGCCGCACTCTCTCCGACTACAACATCCAGAAGGAGTCCACCCTCCACTTGGTGTACGTACCCATATCTGATGGCTTGGTATCGCTCTTCGTCTTGGACATGGCGGGAATATTGTGGGACGTCAGAAATGACTGCCTGAGCAGTATGGAAGCATGGCCAGACGGAGCAGCGACTGCGCTATCACCTGAATCAACCTCTTGAACATAATGACTGACATTTATACAGGCTCCGTCTCCGTGGTGGAATGTAAGACTTGCCAAGAACCCGTGTACGAGATTTGGAAATACTCACACCACTGTTTAGCATCGAGCCCTCGCTCAAGGCCCTTGCCTCCAAGTACAACTGCGACAAGATGATCTGCCGCAAGTGCTGTATGTTTTGACTCACTTGCACCCGATGAAAAAGAGCACCGCTAACTTCCCTCATAGACGCACGTCTTCCCCCGCGTGCCGTTAACTGCCGCAAGAAGAGTACGCCAAACCCTACAAGCCCCCCAACCTGAAGACAATCCCACTAACATGACTACCTCACAGAGTGCGGACACACCAACCAGCTCCGCCCCAAGAAGAAGCTAAAATAGATTATTCGCCCCCTCCTCAAATTCCTGGCGGGTATCAAGGCGTTTTCTTGTCCTTCTTACGGCGGACGGACTTATCTTGTTTGCTTTTTTCTTTTGCTCCTCTTTCGCTCTCTATCACCCCAAGCGCTGTGAAGGGCGGGGAGAAAAGGGCATTTAAATAACAAAAAGGGGAAGAGGGGGAAAGGGATCCAACGATTGCATGCAACGAGAAACCAAGATAACGAAATCGAATTTTCAATATCAAAAAGAAAAAAAACCAAACACCACGCCGACCTCTGCTTTCTTTGTGTTATGTTCTCATTTGTCCCTTGCTAGATGGATTCTGTTGACGATGTTTCGGATCGATGGACGCTACTCTCGTCGACTGCAAAGACAACGACCGACCTGCAACATGCAAAGAAAGTCCAGTCACTTCGAAGTCACTTCCCAAGAATAACTAACAACTCGTGCTGTGGAGAAACACATACCTCTTTCCCTTCACCAATCCCACCTCATCTCTCAATTATCGCCTACTTTCCCAATTCCCTCGCATCCCAACCTCCGATCCACGTATCTCCCAAAAAAAAAACATATGTCCTTTCTAACTCTGGCGGAAACCCCCAAAAGTGGCGCAGACAGCAAAAAAAAAAACCCAGCTGGCGAATTGGTGGGGCGAACGTCACGTGCCTTCGCGCCACACTCGTATCGGTATCACATGACGTCATTGTTTTTCCCCCCCAATCTCACACAAATCTCACATTTACATTTCCACGTACACATTCACAGGTTCGAGTATGATGGGTACGAGTAAGAATTACCTTACCTATTCTAAAGGGTTGAAGAAACAAATCAACTCGCCATCGAGTTGGCCGGGGTTTTCCATGTTCGCCTCGAGTCCTGCTTGCCGTCCTCGTCTCGTCTCCTCTCGTCTTAACTCGCCTCAGATTAAATAAAGCATGTGTATGACCAATCTGTCCGGGGGGGCCTTGAAGAGATGGGAGAAAAGATTGTCATTTATCTCGCCGAGTTTCTTTCCTTTGTCTTTATCGGTCATGACCGGTGTATCCTTTCTTCGTGGTTTTTCGCCTTTATTGTGCGGGAAGTGTGTGTGAGTGTGTGAGCATGTTGGCGTGTGGCATTTTCGCTTTGTTGGTCGTTCACTTTAGGACTCATACGCGAGCGCGTTGGGTGGGATGTATGAATGGTGGGGCGCGTCATGGTAGTTCTTTATTTTCTTCCACGGCGTGAATCTCGTTGGGAGGGGCAGGGGCACGCAGCTTCTTAACTGTGGGTAAGGGTTCTTTCTTTTTTCTCGCGATTCAGTGAGATGCACGTGTGTGGGGTACATATGCGATCAAGCACGCGCAGATGGGGGAGGTGAGCACGCGCAAGGATAGGGTCATTTTTTCGGAAAATTGGCTTCTTTTGGAAAATTTTGCTACACTGTCATTTTCATGTCCTCAAAAAACGGCTGGCCAAATACAGATAACACCATTGTTCCCACTTTTTCCAATACCGCCGTGCCCTTTCCTCTCCCTGGGTGGTGTGATGATGCAGGAAAACTCGAGAGAAGGAAGGGAAAACGAAAAGATCACCAATGCAAAACCTCGGGCGCATAATCCTTTCTCATGTACGTGATGAAATTGAATACAGCAGACTGTATCCTGACAGGAAGTTCTATCAGCGTAGAGAACGCGAGCCTGGGCAGTCCTTTCCATAACCAATTCAATGCGCCTAATCCTACCTCCTCTTCATGAGTCCAACCAGACCATGAATGTCCGTTCAGTGATATCCTCCGATGGATAGCAATGGGCATATACGCGAGGCATGTCGGGTAGGAACGCGTGCATATCTGCGAGGAGGGCGGTCGCAGTAGACGTGGATAGCTCCGTATAACACGGTGATGCAAAGGAGAATGAGATAAGGGAAGCAGGTTGCATGAAAATAGATGGGAAACCAAGGAAAGCACCATGATGGCCCAAAAAAATCTCCTGTACCTTGAATGCATTGAGACAATGATGAATCCAGGGGATGGCTTGGAGATTTTGGACAGTACTGGTACAGAATCAAAGAGAAAAAAAGGAAAGAAGGGTGAAATGGTGAAATGAAAAGGTGTCGATCTAGACAAAAGAGGAAATAGTATGCCAGTGGTATCGACAAAAACTCCGTCGCTATGCAGTGAGAAGGGGTGGTGTGGGGAGAGGCCCCGGCAGGTAGCCACCAGGTTGTTGTATAAGAGGTCGGATGGGTGTTTACAATGGACTTGTAATCGTGAATGGTCATCGATAGGAGACTTCGGAGCATGCGAGTGTGCTAAAACGTTGAGATGTAGTCTCTAAACACGCGGCTTCTTCCAGTAATATTGCTGCATCATATTAGCAAAGATGAGTTTGGAAGCAAAGCTTGTGAACGTACCTTGTGCTGTTTTCTGACTGCTCTGAGACCGGTACCACGGAAGCTGCCCGTGACGGCCTCGCGCCTCATCGGGTCCGTATCCATTTCAGGGACGTAATAGAATTCGTTCTCCAGAGCCTTGCCTGCAGCATCCTTGCCTGAGCGGGGGATTTCACCAACACAAGGGATGGTATCCATGAGCGACTTGAGTTCTTGTTTGGTGAGTGGCAGAGTGGATGGGGAAGGATCATTCTTCGTTGGAGTCTTGTCACCATCAACAAGCTTGTTGGCACAAGCTCTTAACTCGGCAGGAAGGTTACCGTGAATGAGTGAGAGCGGGATCGAGTGAACTCGCGAGAAAGCAAGCTGGTTGATGACATGATTCTTGATAGGCGATTCCTTGAAATGGATCGACTCGGTGAATGAGCGACGCTTGGGAGAAGGGGATGGTCGAAGAACCTTGCGGTGTCGCTGAGCAGAAGCACTCCCTTGAGTCGGAGTGGACGTCTTGAATGACTCGAGTCGAGGAAGGAGATTGTCACCGAATGGACCGAAGGAGTGGACGACAGGGTCGTTCTCCTCGTCGTTATCAGAGAAGTCGTCTGAAAAGGACGACAAGATACTCGACCTAGAATCTTTGACGGCCGAGCCTGGAGCCACAGAAGAGCGTGTAGGAGTGGTGCGAATGAAGGTAGCCTCGGCAGGAGTAGGACTATCTGGGGTGGGCTCAAGACGGACACCTCCTGCTTCCTCATCATCCTCGAAGATTCGAACGGGCGCGGGGGATTGAGCAGGGGCGATGGGAGCTCCCAACCCCATGAAGTTAGGTTGGCGAATGGGAGACTGGGACACGGGCGAGCGAGGGATGACGGGAGGGCTGGATGCGAGTTGGTCCATGGCAGGGCGACGGGTTGGCGATATATCGTCCTCGGAATCCCAAGTTCCATTCACAGCCCTTCCTGCATTGGTCGGCCACAAGATCATGACTCGAGCATCCTGTACATCCAGCATGATTTCCGAATCTGGATTCTCCGACACATACGTCTCGCCTTTGCATAGCTCGTAAACATGCCCTTTGCAGTGGATCTTAGCACCATTCCAACCCAAGCATTCAACCTCGACGAATCCGTGTGGGCACGACGCGTTGGGACCGTGATACGCAGCCTGAACGTGAACACGAGAGATGAGGCGATTGGCAGAGAGCTGATAGTCGGAAGAATTGGAAGACCTTCCCATGCGGACAATGTCACCATTGGCAGGCAGGTCGAGGGAAGGTACGTCTCCCAGAGGGACACGCTCTGATAGGGCCGAGATGGTCTGGGCCAGGCCTGCACGCGAATGCTGAGGAGAGGAGGAAGGAAAGATGCCAGTTGAAGAAGTCGGTACTGGCGTGGGATAGTACTTGAGCTGCTGCTTTGGGTAAGAAGGCGAGTCCTCGTTATATTTGCGTTTGGCAGACTGTGGACGCGGGAAGGGTGAAGACGAGAGGGGTTCGAAGGCCGGCAGCAGCGAGGGCTTCTTGGTCTGCTCGGGTGACCTCTCCATGCTTCCTCCCACGAGCGATTGTGGTGCAGAACCACCTGGAGAATTCATGACTGGAGAGGGGTTAGGTAGGAGGAATAAAGCGAAGTCTTTTCGACGCGCAGCGGGCGTGTCGTGTGGGTGAGGGACCAGCAGACGTCGGTAGAGAGAGAAGAGAGCGAGGTAGGAGAGAAGCGGACAGCCGGATGGCGAGCGACGGCTGGATGAACTCGCAGTCGGTAAGGTGTATAGAGAGAGAAGAAGAAGTGTGAGGATGAGAAGGAGAGAGGTCAGAGAGAAGTGGCCGCGAGTATTAGGCCCATGAGGTGAGGTCTGTGGGAGGAGAGGAGGTTAGGTGGTAAGGTGGTAGGTGGTGGTGGTAGGTGGAGAAACGCGGTTACGTGTGTGTGAAGGTCAGGCGCGGTCGTGCTGGGAAGGTGCCGTGCCAGAATGGGTGGAGATTTCTTCGCCTACCACATTCGAGAGACGCGACTTCAACCGTGCCCTATTACTATTCACATTACTCTACCCTCCACTTACTATTACTCTTCTACTCTACTCCTTGTTCGAATTAACTATTAATTAACCTTCTCAACTACGGAGTACTATTAAAGTCCATCCTATCCTGCGTTGATTATATATAAGAAGACCCCAAGACAAAGATACACACTCACACCTCAGACACAAGTCAATTCAATCCAATTCGACTCAATCGATTCTCTCTGCAGGACATCTGTCTACATGACGATTATCCATTCACGTCATGGTTCTTTCCTACGTATTGCTATTGCATATTCTCTTCCTAGCTTTCCCCTCACCGGCTAGCAGAGTAGTTACTCGCAGTAGTCGGTCACCGGATGTTAACTAGGTAAATGGGCAAATATCCTCCTCCCCAGTCTACTCAATGGTAAGTCAATCAGTCACGTATCGATGAGAATAATAATTATATTTTTCATTCCAGTATTCCCCTCTTTGTCTCACTCGATCTCTTTGAATGTTTCTACGAGGTATCCATCTTAGGAGTTGAGTGACTACACCGATTACACGCACACGCGCGCCCATGTCTAGAACCCTTCACACACGAATCCCAGACGGACCCGTGCTCGTGCACAATAGCACAATAAAAGCACAGGAACAAGAACAAGGGCAGGCAAGCAGGTAATTATGGTTCGCTTCTGCCCTGTGATGGAACAAATGTTCCTCTCCTGTTTCCCGTCATGCTTGTCATTCGCTCGGCATCCTGCAGACCCAGTCAGTAATGTAATTAGTGAGTTGGTTGTCTGTCCTCAATTGACCCGCTTCCCAACCCCTCCTCTTGTCTCTATTGTCTCTCGTCTCTTACGCCATCACGTTCAATTAGCGAATCCCCGTAACTGCTGTGTACCCTACAGCTTAAACAAATTCTTGAATTGACTACTTCGTATACGAGCTCTACCTTGGGAATAGTCGCATTGTCGGTGTGGTTTCTTTGTCCAGCTAGCGCCAGATCATTGCAATCGAGGAAACCTATACGAAATATTACTTGACAACGACTTCATCATGTACTCTCCCGTTTCCCTGACGGCAGCCTGCATCTTCTCGCTCATTACGTCCTCGTACTGGCCCCTCCCGAGCACCGCCCTGCTGACACCCGAAATCTCACTCTGCATCTCGTCTAAAACATTTGTGTACTGTATGTGCACAAATTCGTCCCCAGATGTCTTTCAATCGTGCCCAAAATGTCGGACGCAAAAAAAGGTGGTGGGACATGGATGCTCCCTAAGCAGCATACAGCATCACGCCTCTACACAAAAAGACAAGAAAAAGAAAAATTTCTGTTGCATGCATGTATGGAGAACTCCATGTAGTCTAACTCCAACACTACGTACAGAGTAAGTTACTGTAAGCAAAGACAAAGACCTCGGAAATGGCTTGCATTCGGGGCTGGGTCTCTTTGCGTTGCGTTGCGTTGGACCACCGAACGGGCCCTTCCTGCTAAGCAAGTAAACTTGTATTAATCCTCTCCACTTTGTTCGGCTGCCTGTGCTTTCGCGCAATGGTCGTGGAGCGAGAGGGGGATTCGCGACAACGGGTTTCAGCATCGACAATCGTGTAACTGGCGCGGGGCCATGCTGTGCTGCGCTGGTGCGCGTATGCTTGACGGGGGCTGTTCAATATAAGTCGTGCCTGTTGCAATTGAATGTGAATGGCTTCTGTTCGGACGGGAGCCTGTGACGGGACAATTGGCGGTTGGTCGCTTTTGGTCGTGTCGTTGAAATACAACGTGTTGATTGGCTGGCCGCCGCGGGAAACTAATCTTTCCCGTTACGGAAGAATGCTTGCTGCAGCTTGTGAAAGGTATTCGTCTGATCTACTGCACGACGAGCCATTGGAACAAGCAAACCATTTAGAAGGTTCTCTGTCTTGTCATCAATGTACACATGTCGTCACATATCTCCCCCAGAGGGCGCGACGTCTGAATTCATCGCCGTCAAACCCTACCGCCGCCCCTGCGCTGGGAACCTTGCCAACCCCGCTGCAGAGACACTTATCTAATGAACTGGTACTAGAGAAGGACGCTTCACTATGGATATACTGAACCATGCGCTCTTCAGAATCGTATGCTGATGCAGACAGTACAGTCTACGAATCCTACTTGAATGTGTCGCCGACGCGCGACTTCTTACGGCCCTGCCAATTCTCTAGGATGAACGCTGCTCTCAGCCCCAAGGTTTCGCGCTACAAGTACCCGGCGCGACACAGTCAGATAGACGGGATAGAACAGGCACAAAGTACTATAATAACATTAGAACAGGAGAAGAGATATATTATATTCGGTTTCTTCGACCCGCCTCGAGGGAGTTCGCGCCTACATCGAATAGTATACTACGAGGTAATGCAAGGTAAGGCTGTTGAGCTGCAACGCGCGCTGATTGGCTGGCAGACGGCTGCAATTCTTCCCGATCAGGAAGGAAGACAAGCGCGGGGCCGCGGAAAATGGTATCGCCGCAAGCCGGGGTCTGAGGACCCTAGTCTGCAAAAAAAAGTTCATCGAGACAACAGCCGTGCAGCAGCAGCAGCCAGTGACCATTGACCAGAACCCTACAACACACACACACAACCATGGCCAGATCAAAGCAAGCAAAGAAGACGGATACCCCCAAGAAGTCGGAGACCAGTGTCGCCAAATCGAAACCCGAGGCACCGCTCACCAGCAAGGTTTCCAATGGCACACCGTACCAACTCGACCCGGCGCAAGTCGAGCGTGCAGCCACTGCACTCATTGCGCACATGAAGAAGCATGCCCAGGAGAAGGAGGAGAAGGCGAGCAAGAAGAACCTTGCAGCCGACGAAGACGAGCCGGAGACGAGCGACGCTGCCATTTTCCTCAACCTCACCACCAAGCAGCATGTCAAGGATAACAACAGACTGAGGCCGAACAAGATGTAGGTTTGCCGTACCAGATTTCCAGCCACATATTAACATGTCCCGCAGCGCACTTCCCCACACCATCCAGCCCAGCGAGATCCGCATCTGCCTCATCGTCGCAGATCCCCAGCGCGAGTACAAGAACATCGTCGCAGCCGATGCCTTCCCGGAGGACGTCCGCGCCAAAGTCCACCGAGTAATCGGCGTCGACAAACTCAAGAAGAAGTACAAGACCTACGAGACACGCCGCCAGCTCCTCGCCGAGTACGACCTCTTCCTCGCGGACGACCGCGTGACCGACAACCTCAGCAAAGTCCTCGGCAGCACATTCTACAAGGGCAAAGGCAAGCGGCCCGTCCCCGTCACGCTCTCCGTGCAGACCCCCAAAGACAAGGACGGCAAGAGGAAGTACGTCGCGAAGAAACCCGAGGACGTCGCCAAGGAGATCGAGTCCGCGCTGTCGAGCACGTACGTCCACCTCAGCCCCTCGGCCACCACCTCCATCCGCGTCGGAAAGCTCTCCCAGCAGCCCCAGCAGATCCAGGAGAACATCGAAGCCGCCGTCTCCGCCGTCGTCGCCAAGTTCGTCACCAACGGCTGGCGCAACGTCCGCGCGCTCCACATCAAGGGCCCGGCCACCATGGCGCTGCCCATCTGGCTCGCCGACGAGCTCTGGGCCAACGAGGCGCAGGTGCTCGAGGAGCCGTGGAAGCCCGCGCCCAAGGAGGTCGGCCCCAGCGAGAAGAAGAGGAAGTGGGATGCGTGGGAGGAAGAGCTGCTCGACGACGACGAGCTCGCCGAGCGCAGGGAACAGTTCGCCGCGGCCAAGAAGTCCAAGGCGAAGGACTCTGCCAAGGACAAGGAGTCCCGCAGCATCAGCAAGGCGAGCCGGAAGAAGCTGAAGCAGGATGCGTTGAAGTCGGTCCAGACGCCGTTGATTGCATGATATCCTCTACCTCCCCCTCCGCTTCCTCCACTACTACTACACATAGCAGCATAGTCATCATGAGATTTTATCACACCACGGCGTTGAGGGACACACCATTTCTGACGACCTATTCTTCTTCTCACGGAGTTTCAAACCCTGCTTCTGCTTCTGTTCTTGCATTTTGCTTCTTCTTCCTTGTTTTGCTGGGTATCTCGAATAAAAGCGCTATACTAGGGTTTTGATTGACCTTCCCCAACGAACGACTCCTACCATAGAAAAATATACATATATCTGCCACAAACCCAAACTACAACTCCATGACCTCCTCCACCTTGTCCTCGTTCTCCTTGCCCTCAGGCGAAAAGAACTCCCTAAACGCATCCGTCAGCACCTTATCCCCCAACTCCATATGCCTCCCCTTCGTCGTCTTAAACACCAACCCACCCTTCTCATCAAGCTTCCTCAACCCAATCCAATCCTCCTTATAAATCCTCCTCTCCCTCAACCCCACCACCTCCCCACTCGTCGCATTGACCTGCGAAAACCACCCCGTCTCCTTCGGGAAAACCGTCTCGTCGTCCTCGAAAACATACATCGCGAACTTATTCAACCTTGCAACATTCTCTCCATACGTTTGATTCTTGACGCTGCGCTCGTTATTCACATCCGCGAGGAAGTTCGAGTACTCGAGGTACTCCTCACTCGCGTCGCCGGTCCCCTCATCCACGCTACGGAAATACTGCGCGGGGACGAGTCGCGATTGCACGTAGTTCGACCATGTGTTTCCCTTCAAGAGTCCGACCCACGTCTTGCAGAGCCAGTCGGAGGGCCCGCACTCCTGGTACTTCGCGATGCCGTTGTGCTGGCTGCCGAAGGTGACGAGGTTGTGGACGGGCGGTGTGTTGCAGCGCTCGACGTACCCGCGTAGGAACTGTCCGCCCTGGGAGAAACCGAGCGCGTTGATGGCGGGGGCGGTGGAGAGGATGGGATGGGATGCGATGTCCGAGCAGACTTGGGAGAGTTGGAGGGTGAGGTTGCCGAGGAAGGTCGCGGTGCGGTCGGAGTCTGCGGAGGGGTCGAGGCGCACGTAGTAGATGAATGTTCCTGGGTTGATGGATTCGGCGAGGTCCCCAACCGAGCGCAGGCCGTCGGCTTTGTAGTTGTCGCCTAGGCCGTGCCAGATTACGAGGGGGAGGGGGTCGGAAGGTTGGTAGGTTTTCGGGGTGGGTGTTGCGAGGAGGGCGGTTGGGAGGAGGGCGAGGAGGGTTGTTGCGGTTAGGGGGGCCATTGTTTGTTTGGTTGCGCGCAAAGGCGACGGGTTGTTCGCAGAGCGTGGTTGTTGCTAGAGGCACTGGAGTCTCCTTTCTCGCTTCAGAGAGAGCTCGATGTTCGTGATTTTGGACGGTTCGAGTCCGAGTCTTGAGATGTGGGCCGTGGCGAGTGATGATGATGTCGAGTGTAGGTACTCGGATGTTGTCGAAGACGTCAGCTGGGGACTTAGGTTGTTCCGGCGGTCTGTGCTCAAGCTATCAAGCATGTCTTTGAGAGAATGGACTTGGGAAATTTACATGAGACTATTTGCATTATTCCATTCTAGCTATCAAATGTTGAGAAAAATGGGGAATTCTGTACGACATTATTGATTTCTATAAGCATTATAGGGAAGTTGTGGTGGTCGAATCTCTGCACGGTTAAGGAAAATCGTTATCATATATAACATGACATGGATATATGCATGTGTGAATTATAGTCAGCTATATTTTTGGCTTTTTAATATACCTACTCTATTGAACAGAGATGTAACCATTCATACGTATAATCGTCGCGCGTCTGCATCCCCCCTACGACTTATAATCCCACTTCGGCAGCTTCATCGTCCCGTGCTCATTCAAATGCCTATGCATATCGAAGCTATTCCACAACAAATGCGGCTCGTGGCCCCACCCCTTCCTCAAGCACTCAAACTCCGCCTTGTCGAAGTAATCCTGCAATATCGGCTTGTAATCCGGATGCGCGCACTTCTCGATGATCACACGCGCACGCTCGCGGGGGGAGAGACCACGCACGTCTGCGAGACCCTGCTCGGTGACGATGACGTCGAGGTCGTGCTCGGTCTGGTCGATGTGCGTGCACATGGGGACGATGCAGGAGACGCCCGTGGGGTCGGTTTTGGAGGGGCGGGTGGACGGCGTGTGCATGATGGAGTACTTTGCGGAGCGGAGGAAGTCGGCGGAGCCGCCGAGGCCGTTGAGCATGCGGGAGCCCATTACGCAGGTGGAGTTGGCGTGCGCGTAGATGTCGACTTCGACGGGGGTGTTCATGCCGATTACGCCGAGGCGGCGGATGATTTCGGGGGAGTTGGAGACTTGCTGCGAGCGGAGGAGGAGTTTGGGTGCGTATTGGTCCCAGTTGTCGTAGAAGCGGTGGAAGCCGTCGGGGGAGAAGCGGATCGAGGTTGCGGTGGCGAAGTCGAGGTTGCCGGAGTCGAAGAGGTCGAGGAAGGAGTCTTGGAGGACTTCGGTCCAGACGCGAAGGTTCTTGAAGTTGGCTCCGCCGGACTATGGGTTGAGTCAGTATCATAGGGGTTTGTGGAAATTAGGGGAGAAGGAACTTACGGCAAGGCCACCGACGACGGCGTTGGCGATGTTGCCAATGCCAGACTGGATGGGGAGAAGATTCTGGGGAAGTCTGCCATGGTTGACCTCGTGCTTCAAGAACTCAATCAAGTTAGATGCAATTGCTCGTGAGGTGTCATCCTCAGGTGCATTGGGTTGCGTCTGGTCAGGGTAATCGGATTCCACAATGGCGACCACTTTCTCAGGGTCGACGGGAATGTGAGGCGTTCCAATCCTATCCTCGGGGCTCATGACGAGGTAAGGCTTGCGGCGGGGTGGGAGGTCGGTCATGGTGATGTCGTGGAGGCCCTCAAAAGATGGAGCAGCAGTGTTGACTTCGATGATGATCTTGTCGGCCATTTGGATGAGTTCTGGCGAGGCTCCGACAGATGCTCCTGGGATGATACCACCATCTTCAGTGATGGCACTGGCTTCGACGATGGTGACGTCGAGTTTGTTGTTTGGCTTGTTGAGAGTATAGAAACTAATCATATGTTAGCATTAATACACTATGCATGCACCCACAAGGGGCAAATTCTCCATGAAAAGAACTCCAAATACTTACCCGTACATCAAATCCACGGGAAACATACTAAGATGCTTGTCGAAGAACTTGATGTTTCCATTATTGATACCCTTTGCAATCTCCTTGCCCACCTGATGCGGAGACCGCCTCTCGATCATGTTGAGTCGCGCCCATCTGTTCTCCGTCTCCGCACCCGACGAAGCTCCAACGAACAGATTGTACTTGAGCTGTCCCTGCAGTCCATTCTTCTCGACATGGTCGGCTAGTGCGGTGGGGATTTTCCTGAGGTGAACTACGCGTTAGTGGCGGGTGATTTGTGGCTGTTACGGTAGGGAAAAACAATGGGGGTGTGCAGCTCGGGTCAAGCTCGGACGTGCATAGATGGTAGGAATTGTGGATCTCATGCTGTTCCAATGCTCCGTTCGCCCTCGGGAAGGAATTCAGACAATTTCAAACTTGCAACTCAAGGGGCCGAAAGGGGCTTCCCAGGTGTCGAAATTATCTGTGTGCATGTAGGGAGGATGCACAGTAGGTTGAGAAATAGTAGGTTTGTCATACTTAGGATATCCAACGCCTGTGAAGCCACTCCAACCGATATAAGCGCCATTGGGGAAATGGTGCAGCAGGTCCTCAGCTTTCGCAAGCTTCTTAAGGTAGCTCGGTCTTCTGACACGGCTCTTTAACAGTGCTGAGGCAGACATGAGGAGCTTGCAATTGCTATTGTTGTACGAATCGAGTCCAGTTCTTCGGTCAGTCAGGTAACAGAGCTAGCTGGAGCTCTAGGGGTACTCAATTGGGTGTAGGACGATGGAGGAGGAGTGGAGAGTCTGCGAACAAAAGAAAGAAACGAAGTAACACAATCAGCGCAACGAGATGAAATGAAACGGGAGGAACAAGGCAACTGAAGAGGACCCTGGGGTATTTAAGTACTCCAAGGATTCCCACTAGGGATTGACATAGCTTGACTTGAGTGTTGTGATGAGGCTGCACCGCTTATTTTTGGGGTGGACTGATAGTGACCCACAAGCATGAATGACGTTGGAGCAGCCTCCGCGCGATCCCGAAGGAGAAAAGAGGGGCATACGCGAAACCAATTCAGTATGCCAATTGATGCTTGTACCTCACGACTATGTAGTCGCAGCCATACACTTCATGCGGGCGTCTCTTCTTATATCATCAGGTTGATTCGTTGTCGTATCAGCTCGTTCAATAGCAATCAACCCGTTCCTATCCAGGCGGCGTTCAATGGTCAAGAGTGTGACGCCGCATCTTCAAGCCGACGCCACGATGTGATCGAGCCACAATACAATACATATTATTATCATTCATTATGTCGTTAAAAGATAGTGTGCTCAAGTCTGTCCAATAGGTTTAGACAACATGGTACAAAAGTCTATCAAACCCGCCAAATGGCGAAAAGACATAGCTATCTTGCAGATGATATCCTGTCTCATTGATCAAGAACAATACTCCAGATGCTGGTCCACTCATGCTTTCCAAATATAGCAAGTACCTCTGCCAGTCCACCTTGCGTTTCGTGCAAGTCGCAAAAAGGGAATTTCTGGGTATCACCACAACGCCAACTGTGCAATGCATGCAAATCGTTCTTCTAGAATTCGATCAGTGGTCGCGCCGATCCGAGTACATGGGTCAATCGCGCGGTATCCGCCTATTGGGGTGCAGGTTGACCATTGGGACCCATATGCTGCGATTGACTGGCCATGTACCTCTCTTGGGCAGTATGGTCGAACATGACGCGTCTCGTGGAAACTTCTGTGCGTAGAGGACTGGGTTGAGCATCTGCGCTGGTGTGTGGAATCCGGCCTGAATTATTTGGACTGCTCATGAAAAGTAGAGTATCGACTGCATCTTTCTCAGCCTGTTGGCTCGGCATACGGAGGATACCTGCCCTGGGTGTTGATGTCGAGGTTGGCGTGCGTGGTGCACTCATACTTCCAAGGTCACTGTAATGTTTTCGCTGACCTGACCCCAGCAGAGGTGGAGGTGCATGCGAAGCACTTGACCGTCTCTTTCTTCGGGGACCAATTTCTGCGGGAGGTGCTAGAACAGGACCATTGCCTTTCCCCAGTGGAGATACCGCATAGGTTCCTGCAGGCCAGGCTGCTGCAAGGATTCGGTTAGACAGGAATACGAATGCCACTAAGCATGACGCGACACGCTTACCAGAAGTAACGGCGACGTGTGGCAGCCCCAGGTACGAGGGACTACCTTGGCCGGGAGACATCATGGGAAAATCGGAGTCAGATACACCACTTGGTCTCCGCATGGTAGGGCGAGGGGATTCGAATGTCAATCTTTCGGTCGCAGCTGGTGCTGACGAAGGCGACCCGCGTTGAGAAGTTTGGTCTTCCAATTCCTCTAGCGACTGCTTCTCCCAACCGTTCTGGACTTTGATCATCGCATAGGACAATCGAGTCTTGAGTTGCGCGGAGAGCTGCATCAAAGTAAGCCACAGGGCGGATATAACACGTCAGGTCTATTCACCTCGCCAATCCGCGTATTCGACCCCGTACTCTTTGTCCTTTTGTGAGCAGATGGAGCAGATGGAGCAGATGGAGTAGCGGTGGGGCTGTGTACCACTGCGTCTGCTGTCTTGATGATTCCACTTGCGGTCCTCTTAGACCCGTGGTTCAGACCAGGGGACTCGAGCGACATGGGGCTTGCTGCTGTGTTACCGGTTTGCTGCGCGATGGCAGTGTCGATCCGGGGTGCAGTAGTTTGCACATGCTGAGTGCGAGCTCGAGTAGGCGAAGGCGGAACCACCTTCTGCGCGATAGGGGACTGTATTGATGGAGCTGGGGCGAGAATGCGAGAAGGTGAGAGCGATGTTAGGTCGGTTTCTCCGCCTGTGGAATTGGAGATATTGCTCGACGATGATAGCAGTGTTGGTGCCGCGAACGTGCTTGAGGCGGCACCAGAAGCATAGGATTCCTGAGAAGCTGGGAGCTCGCGCTTGTAGAGATTGTGAATGTCAGCAGGGTGGGGGATGCCGAAGTTGTCTGTGAAGCAATGCCTGGTCAGTGGCGGGAATCAAGAAATACGCGCGGGAGACGTTACTGCTCATCGCGGGGTAGGACGCAGGCAATGCATGCCCGCCGTTCAACATTGAATGAATGAGACAGCTCTCAGCTTCGTGTGTCCTGGAGAGGGCGATTCCTAGGAATGGTGGGAATAATTGTGCTGCCTAGCACCGTGATGGATGGGAAAAGGTGAGAGGTCGAGTCGAGGTAGGTCAAGGTCCAGGTCCAGGTATATTGCAGTTGTAGGCAAGACGTGTCGGGGCGACACGCGGGTCGGACCAGCGCGCGACGACGGGGACGCGCGGCAACAAACGGGATAAATGTGCTGGGATCAGAGGAATATAAAATAGACAGCGTTCAGAACAATTGAGTCTGAATGACGGTTCTGTTTGAGAAAAGGAACGCGCAAGGAGTCCCAAAGTTTGTCCCAACGTCGCGTTTGCTGGGAAGTGGAAGGCGAACCCAAGGGCGAAGACGGCGGTGTTGGGTCAAGTGCCTAATCCGGGCCGAAGGTCACTTTACGTTGTCATGTGAGCAAACCAAGCTCGCGTCACCCACTTACACAGTCACGCAGTATTACTTGTACTGCCCAACAAACATATAAATTGAATAATAATATGTCATAACAAATAATCACCATTCAATAGGATATCTATCATCTCCATGAATTCATTCATCATATTGGAGTGTTTGTCGACAAATACACCTCTGCACACAAATACGAGCGAAGTACCTAATATAAGTAATTAACATACCTCAATTATCCTCCTTATCATCCAAAAAATTTCAGTACTCCTACAACATGCCCTATCATCATCCTATCTCATAGCTTTTAAACACGTCCAATCCGTCTATAACAATACACAACAGAGACGAAGACGGGCGATTCAAGTTGTTGTGGATACCTTCAGTGGACCCAATTTAGACGAGTTTGGTTATACTTAGTGCCCGACTAGCGTGCCCTTCCTACCAAAGTATCTACATGCAGAATCCAGATACATACAGAGAGCGAGCATTTTTGCGTACGGTTTAATCAACATTGGTGAAATCTTGAGGGTGTTGTTAGATACTCTAGGCGATCATGATGCTGTATAGTAAAACGGTGTTGGTCTTCAATAGGTGGTGTTCCATACTTTTTTTTTTCCAAGATTGAGACCTAAGTGCACATTCTATATGTTTTGAAATGCACAACTTAGAAACATCAAAAAGTCACAACAATCCACACCACGGTAGAATCAATTGAAGAATACTTTAGAATGCTGTCATGTCTAATTGGAATCTGACATGAAATGTTAAATCTAGCCAAACGTAAGATGTTATATTAAATATTGTCTATCGTGAGAAATCGAGTGGGGCAAATGGAAGAAGCAGCCTCACCGAAGTTGGCCTCACGATTGATCAGGGAAATAATTGAATAATATCTTGTCCTTATTTATTACATATAACTTTTTCTATAAACAAATCCTCGCAAATGCGATCGTGTGTGACGTCAAGTCAGGGGTATGTATGTACAAGTTCTCTCTTCATCTGCGCCAAATATAAAACACTGGAATAGAAAAATCCGTTCCCAGAAATGCAAAGGAAATAAAGCTTGTGCTCTGTAGAGCGAATGAACAATAATGGACGAGAGAAGGATTTAGGAACTGCCCAAGATCCTCTCATACGCCTCCTCGACTTCCCTAGCCACCTCAAGCAGTGTGACGATGACGATTTGGTGGGTGACATTCGGCAAACGATCTCTGTGCAGACCAATCCACTCGAGCGGCGGGGTCGCTTCGCCCATGTCTCGAAGCTGCGGTGTCTCGATGAGAGGAGGCTCGAGTGCCGTGTACGTGTATCTGCTCTGCGGGACATTGATCTCTGCCGTGATTTTCTCTTGTCCAGTTGCTAGACCCTCTGTTTTGGCTGGGTTCATCTCTGGGGACGAAGAAGGGCCTGATTTGTCTGGCTGAGGTGAGGCGCTAGCCTGCCTAATCTTGATGTTGGACTCTGGGAGCGGCTTGCCGAGACGGGAGGCGAGCGATCGAGAGTGGTTGGCCCACATGTTGCGGATGTAGGATATTCGGTTGTAGTTCCACCCGACGTCCACCTTGCCCTCCAAGGCGCTCTTGAAGATGTAGTCAATCTTGTCACTGTGGGGTACCTGCCATGTGTGCATACCAGCAACCAGTTTGGGGACGCGCAAGATGGTTCCTCCCTTCGCGGAGCGCGCATTCGCCAGGATGTCATCCACAGAAAGGTCGGAGATGGAAATAGATTTCTTAGGCGCTGAGATAGTCGATAGCGCAACGCTGAGTTGTCCCAGGGTCATGCCGAGCCCTGAGTGAATCTTTCCTGATTCAAGCGCCACAGCGAAGCGTGCTTGGGCATCAGAGGCCAACAGGACGAATATTTGAGGGTCGACAAATGTAGACGGGTAAACGCCAATGTTGATAGATCGAAGAGTGAGAACGACGTCTGTGTGCAATGAAATCGGTGTCTTGACATCATCTTGCTTTGCCTTGCTCGCAATCATGGCCTGCGAGGGTGAACGGCTGTAAGGTGTCGTGGAGGTCTTTCGGCGCAAGAATTTCTCGACGTCCTTGAGGGACTGTGTGTACGCTTGCTGATTTTCCTGGACAAGCCGTTCGATGGCTTGCCAGAGAGCAAGACCTTGCGCAGCGCTTGTCGCAGTACAGAACACATGGACCCGATCACCATCAAGAATTGCCACCAGCCGGTCTCTTGCGCCTTTAGTATTCTCCCGAACGTTGTACATGAGGAAGTCGAAGTTGGCAATATCCGCAATCATGAAGGTCTGGTAATCGAAGCCAGCTTTGGCGCGCAACTGGCCAAAACCCAGTGATGCCTGAACCAAAGGCGTTTGCTTAGCATTCGGAGTGTGGTTGGGCCAGCCGATCGATGTGCGTATTTTCACTGTGGTGAGCTCAACAAACCCGCTCGTTCTGCCTGTACTCTCAATCCCAACCCTTTCAACACCTATGCACAGATTTTGTTCCCAATCTGTGCTCTTCTTGGACGATGCCCACATGTTGTGGATGTTCAGCGATGTCTTGCCGATAGCCTGACCAAGATCAAGTTCGACGGACACATCTGCAATGGCGATATTGGCATTCCATGGGAAGGCAGTAGCAGCAGTAACTTGCTGGTAACGTTGCATGAGGTACTCCTGTGGTTCTTGATTCGGAATAGCTGTTGGCGGCTTGGACGATTGGCGAATCTCTGGTGGGTACCAAATCTCTCTGAAGAGCAGGAAGTCTTGGAGTTGGCGAGCGTTGACTTGTAGTGCCATTGGATTTATCTTGAGGATGGCAGAAATTCCGCTTGTGCCACTCAGGTGCTTACTGTTCATGAGGGAGAGAACGATCGACTCGACATCGAAACCAAACGTAGACTCTCGTGAATACACATGTTGAACTGTTGCCTCTAGCTTTTCGAATGCAGCCGACACCGCGAAGAAGTGACCTTGATCCTGCGATTTGACGCTGTTGATCGTGACATAAATGTCGGCTAACTTGGCTATGGCCGCAACTCTCGCAATCGGTTGGCAACTAAGACTGAATTCTTGTTTGCAGATTCGTAAACCGAGATTAAGACGTGTTCCTCCTAGAATGGTACTTGGATCGGCCGTGATAATATTATCGTCCTCTAGAAGTTTCGCTGCCGGCTTGATCGTCTCTTGCTCCGATTTGACTTCTGCCTCCGGGGTCTCTTCATCCTTTTCGCGGACAACTTGTTTAATGCTATCCGAAATGTCGATAATCAGAGGAACGACCGTGGGGTAGAGGGTGTTGTTCGATCCATCAACGCGCAACTCGGCATTCAGAGAGGGATCATTGCCATCGTCTTTGAACTCAACTTTAAGTGCGACGCCAGGAGCGCGCAGGGCCATGCTACTTTTACTGCCATCTCCAACGAACTGACTGTACCTGCCTGTCTGTTGCGAGCGGTTCTCTTTGCTGCCTTTAGGGGCCAGCACCTCGCTGCCATTGATGTGGACAACAGCACCTGCGAAATTCGCGTCGACGAGAAGTGACGCGAGCCTTTTATTGCCGAAAACCTTTTTGCGCTCGGCACCGCTGGTCGTTGGTGTCATTTTCCAGTTGGCAGATGCTGCGCGGAACTTCTTGCCCGCAAGTGCGATGGAACGTTCGATGACATTGGCAGGCAAGATGAAGCGAGAATCCAAGCGAAGGTCCAAAGATTTGCCAGCGGCCTGGAAAGCTATCTTGCGAGTGTCCACAGTAGAACTATATGCGACATTAAAGACAATCTCTGGAAGGAGGGCCGAGCTTAGCGACCGGATCTTCTTGTCGTTGTTGATGGGGACCATTTGTAATTGCATATCCTCAATCATCAAACGCGCGGCATCGCCCTTGCGAGTGGACAGGTCAATTCTTCTAAACGATAGAACCAGGTCTTCAGCCTCAGTTCGGGCATAGGGCGGTATTGATGTTCCCACAATCCAGCTGATCTGAATGTCAAGAAGCTCTACTGAGTAAGAAGAATTAAATAGGGCATCAGGGACGTCATTATCTTTCTCGGGCACCATGTCACCTGGTGCCGGCTTCTGTAGTGCGCGACTCTTCGTATGCCGTAGCCTCTTTAAGTACTTCTTTTCCTTGGATAGATCTAGATCTTTGATCTTATCCTGAAGATGATTCAGCACGTCTACCACGGCCGAGGCAGTGTCTGCAAACATGTTGACTTCTAGGCCAGAGCTTCGGACACGGTATGCTCTGCGAAGTGAGCCCGCTTCATTTTCTGCTGTTGCTTGAAGTGTAGCGTCGACTGTGACATTACCACAACGGCGGACACCCTCCGAGTCTGATAAAGTAAGATCTACGTTAATCTTATACAGTTGTGCGATAGCTTCAGGAAGTACCAAAATAGTACCGTCGGAGCCGATATTTGTAGCTTTGATTTGCACGCAGGAGAAACCAACATTCAGACTTGCGGTCGGTGAATCTGGAAGTTGACCCGGAGCATTGGCGATCACATGGAGACCAGACAGAGTCATTTCAACGCCAAAGAGGATTGTTTGTGATGCCTTGGGTTCTTTGATGATTGGAGTTTGAGGTGTCTTCGGGAAGATCTCTTCGATATGATTTGTCAGAATAGCAATGTCGTCCTTGATGGCGTGTATGACATTAGCTATCTCTGGCTGATTGATGGTTGAGACTATTGCTTGAATTTCAGAAGCCTCCAGACGAACTGTTTCAATGATGCCGGACGCATCGATCCTAGTTTCGGTCTGGGTATTCGTAACTGTCAAGCGACCATTCAAGGGTGGCAGTTCTAGGCAGCTGATCACATTAGAACTCTGGAGAGAGGTACTAAGCATTCGGTGCGTGTGCGCCGCGAGATCATAATCAACGCGTAAAGTTACGTTCCTGCTCAACTTTGGCACAACGGAAATGCGACCAGACCCACCCTGAATCGACCAAGTGAGGGATTGTAACAAGGCTAGGTCCACCGTATAGAAGTCCATGAACAGTGCGAGGGTAATGTTCGGAAGTTGAGCCGGTCCAACTCGAGCGTTTGATAGAACCATGTCATCTGTCTTCTTGAAGGAATGCTCTAGCGCCTTGATTTGACGATGAACGTAGGCCACCTCTTCACGCATAACATTGTCTGCGACTTCGAGGAAGCCCAAGATATTTTCTTCAACCGCAACTTTGATTGTTCGACTGGCTGCGAGAAGCTTGATCTCGTCGGGAATGCTGCTGCCAGTTCCATGATCGCAATGAGCGAAGTAGATACTTGGGAATTCGAATTGCGACTTCAGAAGCACCTTCGACCGGGAGAAGAGCTCGAGAACAGCATTCTCGAGATTAGTTATCACTGTGATCGTGGCGGGGTCTTCCTTGCGACTACTTTGTGACCCAGCTACAGAGAGTCGGAAACGCCGCCCGGTAGATAGTCCACGGAGATTGATTGTGTCCAGGCTGATTTTAGTCACATCGGAAACGTACACGAAATGGAAATCAGTGATCTTGGGGGGCTTGGGCGGTGGTGGTTCCCCTGTAAGATCGCAGGCCATATCCCCCTTCTTGAAGGTGACACTTTCCTTTTGAAACATCTTGATCAAAATTTCCAGGAGCTCGCATATCTCCCAACTGATCTGGATCGCGGTCTCTCGGGTGTTGACCTGGACTACAGTGGACGTCACTGGCGACTCCGTGCCCATGAGCATAAGGCCTGTTGGTGCTGGTGGGGGTATAAAAGCGACGTTGACACTCAAAACATGCAGAGAAGCCTCCGTCTGCTTTGGACCGGGATCGAGGATGAACTTGATATCTTGCGACTTGATATCCAAGGACACTGGGATGGTTGAAGAAGGAGGGCCGTCCATGTTGCCAGATCCAAACAGTTTAATCATAGCGAGACTGTTCTTGACGTGCGCTAGATCCCATGTTCGCCACTGGTCCCATAACGAAATGACCTTCTCTTCGGAGCCGGCTGGGCAACTGACGGACTGCTGTGAACAGCGCTGTAGAAGGAGTGCCTTTTCGTTTACTGGCAGACATTGATAGATATAGCGGAAGCGTGATATAATCTTCCATGAATCATGACTACGTAGATGGTCTCTGGCGGCGCGCAGTGCGTACGACGCCTTCGTCAAGAACGGAGCATCAGGATACTCGTCTTCTGTCTGCTCTTGTGTACGTGTTAGGTACCACGCAAGGTATTGAAGCCTAGCTTTGGGTTGCTCGCTAACGTGGACAAAATCGGCCGCAAGCTCTTCACCAAGTATTGTGGTGCGGTGGATAAGCGAAGCCAGGTACTCGATCTTTCTGCTAGCTGTCGCAACTTCAAACGCTCTGAAAGTCAGGTTAACCGCCGTTTCCCGGCCTCTTAGCATCCAAACGAGAACATCACGTATCTCAGCTTGCACAGCCACGTCGTCTTTTGGCCCACTTGGAGTTCGTTCGGTGATGGAAAGTCCCAATGAGCCTAGTGTTGTATGGAGGGAAGTGGTATTCTCTCCTGCCCGCTCTCCTTGCAAGCTCTTGATACGGGCTGAAAGGTTGAGCTGATTAAGGATGAGATCGTATTGATCTGTCCCCCCTGTGGTCTCTGATGTAGCTCTGAAGTCATTCTGAAAGCGAGTATGGACGAATGGTATCCGCACGTTGAGTTCGATAGATTTGCCATGGCCCTCGCGGCGCTTTTGGTGATCAAGAATTTTGGTCATAACAGTAACCTGGAAGTCATCTAGGAGATCCTCGGGGCGACTGGGCTGGACAATATCGATCAAGTTCGAAACGCAGCGGACAGCTGCCGGGGTGCAATGGATCCGAATGCCAGGCTCCGCACTTACAAGAAAACTGGTATGTTTGAAACTTTCGTCTAAATTTCTGGAAGAGACGTCGTTGAACACTACAGCATCGGCGTCCGTTTTGTCAACTTGGGATTTGACCGAAGGGAAAGATGGCACCTCGGACAAATCTGGATCGATTTGATCGAGAGGAAAGTATGGGGCCGCAAGAGAACTTGACAACGCCACGGATGAGGGAGGTAGATTCCGCCTGATAATCTCTTCATCGGATAGCAGGCCCTGTGGGCGTCTGACTCTCGCTGTACGAGATGGGGAACGGCCAAGCAGTGTCTCGCTTCCGCTTGAAACAACGGCAGGGCTTACATGTTTTCGCCGACGAGTCGATCTGATGCTCGCAGCGAACGAACCCTTGGACGCTGCGCCTACAGAACCAGAACGACCTTGTCGCCCTCGTGTAGAGATTGTCTCAGAGTAGTTACCAGAGGATACAGAGCCATTTTCGACTTGTCCAGGCTGGAACAGGAAGACGGGATGAGGTATCTCTGGATATGGCATTGCAGGAGGGCGAATATTTTGTTGCCGGTCGCCATGAGGGTAGAGTGACGATGGGCTTTCGTGAAACATGAACTGTGCCCTGTTCGTTCGTCGATCATGTTCTTGTAGATGAGCTTGTTGCTTATTTCGTTCCTCTGTGAAGCCAATCTTCCGATTCAACATGTTTAGAGACAGAGTTGTCTGCATGAATGCATGCGTCTTGACTATGTTTTTCTCTCCACTGGGCGTCCTGTGTCTTGAAGCGGACCGTGCATCGACAGAGCTAATAGTGAGATTGGGGACAAGGGCACTTAGGCGTTGAGAAAACGTGCTTCCTGCAAGATCGTTGAAGTCGAGGGTTATGTGCCCAGTACTGACAAGTACAGCTTCCGATTCGATATGAAGCCAAACATGGATATCTTGAGTTTTCAAGCGCAGGAAAGTAGCGTCATGGATCACCAGAGGATCAGCAACATGGAGTGAATTCTCGTCGTCGTCGAACGAGAAGGCAAAGGATCTGGCCACCCCGGCAGCCTTCTGTATGAATTCAGGGGTACATTCACCCGATATCTTGCCAACATCAAAGTCCCAATTACAAACGTACGTCGGCTCAGTGGGTGGAAGACCGAAAAGGCGATGTCCGAAAATTCCGATTGAGTCAATATAGATTTCTGTGCGTCCACTGGTATCATTCGGTATGCCCGCGCTGATAATGGAAGTGCCCAGTGAAACGCTGATAGGGCTAAAATTTACCGCAAGGTCCATGTAATAGTTGGTGAATCGAAGATCCGCGGTCACGAAGGGTAGTTCGGCACGAAGACTGCATTCTGACGAGTAAAGGTTTGCAGGTAGAAGGACGGCGCTGTTATCCGCAGAAACAGAAAGAATGACATCGAGGTCATTCGACAATTTGCTCGGCTGACTATTGGGCGTACTAGTATCATTCGCAAGATTTGTACTAGGAAGGCCTTGGAATTCTTCGAGGGTTTTGAAGTGCATGTCGTCGCCAAAGTAATTGTCTTTGATCTTCATGAATTGATTAACAAGCCAGCCGTATAGCTCCAACGTGAGACGGTCGCCACGAATGTCCATGAAGAGTCTATCCGTGTTCATGGGTGAAGTCTCTGTCATTATTGTGTGGGATCCTTTCAAAGTTAATCCACCAAGGCTGGCCACTTTTTTGGACGGAACAAATGTCTTGAGTGTGTTTTTGGATGGCATACACAATTCTAATCCGAGATGCCTCCCTTTTACGTCGAATCGGATCTCGTTCTGTAAAGGCTTGTACCGGTCAAGAGGTATGAGTACATCTCCATGCAGTCGTTCCCCATGAAGCATGACGAAATTGTTGTCGTCAAGATCAGACGGGTTGTTAACGATGTTTGAGTCGTTGGTATTCAAGTATATTTTGAAATGATTGAAGTCGATATTCAAAAAGTACTGAAACGGTACAAAGTTGAAATAGTCGGAGGCGGGTCCCGATCCCCAATCTGCGACAAGATCAGTGAGGAGAAAAAGATGGTCGCGGAGAAGGAAAAGCTCGAGGTCTTGACAGGTAATGTTGAACATCCATTTGCGTAAGCTATTCCAGCTGAGAGGATTCGAAAGGTCGCAATCAAGCCCGAGTGGACCAGAGCGCCACAACAGCCCGTGATTAACGCTGGAAGATATTTCGCTGCTCACGATATCAACGGCAAGCTTATTGTGAAACCCGTCTGGTGATGCCACCATGTCCATGAAGTAGTTCACGGAAGAGTTACGTGAGACTTTGATGTCCATCCACCCAAAGGGTCGAACATTGGCGCCTGAGGTTGACTTCTCCCCTTGCCTAAATCGAAATGATTTGCGTCGAGACTTGGTCTTTGCTTTTGGCTTTTCAGTGGCCTGCTTCCCCTGACCAGCTAACGTGTGTGCTTTGCCTTTCCATTTCAAGTCTTTAGAAGGCTCACGGACTGGGATGCGGAGAACCGTGTCTTCCTCGAAGCAGAGATATAATTTGAATTTCGAGAGGGCACGAAGTTGGCCCGGTAGTAGTGAAGCCGCTGGCACGGCGTCGACGTGGGCACCCGGGAAGAAAATATTCTGAAAAACCCCACGATGGCGGTCGGCCCAAGGTCCGTAGTTGATGGTCCCCCCATACACTTGGACATCAACACCATATTCAGGTGGTATGCTCCCATTGATGTCCTTTGCAAATTCCGGACTCGTGTGCAAGCTGTTCTCGAGCTCAGAGGGCACAGGGCCAACTACATCCCAATAGAAGCTGACATTTATACAAGGACAGTCCGCGATCATGGAGGACAAGCCATATTCCACACCATCCCATTCTCCGTACCCATCGTTGAGGCTCTCATCAAGGTAGCGAGAGAGACCCTTCCATTGGCGTTGCCCTTGAACGTACTGCGGAGGGGCAATGCTCTTTTTCCTCGACTTTGTATGGGTGTGAATGGAGTCACTCGAACTTGAAAACAACCCAGACAGCTTCGGTATTCGAGGGAAATGATCAGACCAATGCCAACGTTCTTTTCTCGACACCGTCTGCTGCTTTTCATCTATCTCATCGTCCGTGAAATCGGGATCAAGTTCCTTCTTCAACCGCTCGGCTGTCTCCAATTGAGATGCTTTGAAATCGGGATTAGGCTTCATATGCACAACTGTATTCGTGACCTGAAGATTGAAAACTTGCTGATACACGTCCAAGGGGCCACTCCTGGCAGCATCGAACTCGCCACTTGCCTTTTCAAACTGCGCGGTGATGACGGACTTGGTATGCTCGTTTCCAATTACGACTGCACCTTTGGTGCAATCAAAGTATATGGGTAATATCTTCAGAAAAGCAGGGATATCATCCTTTTTGGTTTTGGGAGTCGCCGAGGTATCGGTCTCTGGTCTTGGGATGTCGCCAGGATCAGGAGGCTGGGATTTCCGTAGCTTATTATGATGATCCTCGTGTGGTTTGATAGAGCTTGCGTACGATCCCTCTTTGGTATTGGCGGGCCCTAGGTCGTCATGGCCTTTGTCCTGTTTGTCGGCTTTGGCTTTGCGTTGCATAGCATCGATGATGCCATCGTATGCTGGGGTGCGGTTGTACATGAAGGCCTCCAGTCCAGAAACTTTGATTGATATCCGACATGGCAGCCTCTTCCGCGCCTGCTTTCCGCCCGCCTCGGCACTGTCTACGGTCCTGCCTCGACTTCCGGGTCTACTGTCTGATCGGCTTCTGTTGGTACTAGAGGCGGCATCGCCAGCCTCGGATGCAGGAGGTGATTCTTCATTGAAGATCTCGGCGTCGCGCACCCTTCGAGTCCAATATTGCCAAGTTATGTATCCCCCATGGATTAAAATCGTTTCGTTGTGACCATGGTATCTTATATCTTTGAAAAACAACCGACCTCCCAATAAAGAGAATTGTAACGCTTGGATGTCGATATAGGCATGGAATGTGTGCCACGTATACGCTCGAATGCCGTAGGAAACAAAGGTCGCAAAGAGCCGATTGAAGTAGAAGAGAAAGAAGATTGTACTGAGTAACTCATGAGCCAAATGCGAATGCGCAAGTAGAATGGTGACAGTACTTACAGGATCCCACAAATCAGCATTTCAACCAGGAATACCCTAATCCAATATCAGTACATGTAGTAGACGATTGAGTGTATCTGTGTGTCTAACCAGTTGAAGCCGGTATGTGGGTTCAATGGCTCGGAAACGATTGAATTCGCCATGATGTCTGCGGAGAATGAAGGGTAGCTATACAGCTACGGTTCATGGTGGTCCAAAGCGGAAGGAGCGCATGCTGGATTCCAAAGTGGCAGCGGCGCGAGGTTGGACGTATGTAGTATTATTATGTCGATTCCCTCCTCGAGATTGTTGTAGGGGGTCTGATGTGTGATGTGCGTGTACACTGAATGGACCGTTGTAATTGTTGTATGAGGCGCGCGTTCACGGGATGTCGAGCGTCACAAGGGCTAAACAGGCGTGACAGGGATCAGGTCTGGGACGACGTCTGGTCAAATCGCGGAGGTCGGAGCTTTCGTCTCCGCAGCTCACGACCACCAGTTACGTGCATGTCATGTAATGTACCTACATTGCCTAGATTCAACAACAATCACCACGCTTCGTTCTTTGAAAGGATTACAGAGTCTTTGTGTCCTACATATTCGAGATATGGGCTCTGTTGCTCGTTGAAACCCCGCTCTTCCACCGAGCTTCTCTTTCGGACTCTCTCCTGGGGCCAGCTGCCCGTCATTTGTTGTTACCTCTTCATACTCCGTCTCCGCCCATCATGTCAACAGGCAGCCTCCATTCCACCCAAACGTCCCCTGGCGGCACGGGAGACCGATTTGCACATGCAGTAATCGTCCTAGCTGGCGTAGCTGCCCTTGTTGCCAGTTTGATCACTATCCTGTACGTTATCTCGTCGCTGTTGAAAGTGTATAGTACTGACTTGGGTACTAGATCAGTATGGTTACAAGCGTGAGCAACCCCAAGCTATATATCGCCGACATCGCGACGTACTTACCCATCGGCAGCAAAAACTACAGGAAACCCCTTCTGCAGAGATATGTGGTGCGCATATTGCTCATGTACGTGGTAGAGCTTTGTGGATATGCGTGCTGGCTTAAAGTTAATGCCTATTAGGGTCCCAATTTACTCCGCTTCTTCATGGGCGAGTCTTGTTTCGCTGAAGGCTTCCTTCTGGATAGGCCCCTTTCGAGATGTCTATGAGGTGGGGAAGTCTTTAATTCGAAGATAGCACAGGCTCTAACATTGAAATAGGCTTTTACCATCTATACCTTCTTCCAGCTGTTGATCAACTTCATTGGCGGCGAACGCGCGCTGATTATCCTCATGACGGGCCGTGCTCCTGTCTCGCATCTCTGGCCTCTGAACCTCATCCTTCCAAAGGTTGACATCTCCGATCCACACACGTTCCTGGCGATCAAGCGCGGCATTTTGCAATATACATGGATGAAACCGATACTCGCAGTCGCCGCGATTATAATGAAGGCAACGGGTACATATCAGGAGGGCTATATCGGCGTCACATCTGGATACTTCTGGAGCGGTCTCATCTATAATGTGAGCATTACCGTTAGCCTGTACGCCCTCGCTATGTTCTGGGTGTGCATGTCGCACGACTTGAAGCCCTTCCGACCTATGCCTAAATTCTTGTGCATCAAGGGCATCATCTTTGCCTCGTATTGGCAAGGATTCTTCCTTTCTATTCTTGTCTTCCTGCGCGCCATTCCTGGTGATGTTCCTGGTTACACACCCGACAATCTGGCTGCCGCCATCCAGGATGCACTGATTTGTTTTGAGATGCCTATTTTCTCGCTTGCGCATTGGTATGCCTTCTCATGGCACGATTACGCCGATCAAACAATTTCTGCAGCTCGCATGCCTGTGAAATATGCTCTACGCGATGCCTTTGGACCCCAGGATCTCATCCAAGACACGAAGGATACGTTTGGAGGCAAGCACTATGAGTACCGCTACTTTGATGCGCATGACAATGTATTGGCACACGAAGAGTCGTCATCCCGCGCGGCCAGAATGAGGGAAGGAATGAGATATGAAAGAGGAGGAAAGGGGAAATACTGGATTCCCAAACCCGGCCAACATGAGCAGGAGCCGCTTTTATCTAAAGTGAGCTCCGGTCGGGCCAGGACAATGAGTCCCGGAGCACATCGGGCGCTCGATACGTCCAAGTACGGGGCGATTGACGAGGAGGACGAACCACAGCTCAATCCAGACGACGAAAGGCTGTTTGATAGTGCACGCGCCCTAGAGTTTGGAGATTGGAATGTAAGTCGACACTTATCTTGAGCATATTCGCGTCCTAACCCCAGAGTAGTATCCGGTCATAGAAGCACACAGAGCATCACTCGAGGACCGATTGTATAGAAATCCCAACATAATCACCGCGTCAACTAATCGCAACCTGTTGCAACCTACCAAGGAGAATAAGCGACGGCGCAAGAGTCAAATCCAGCACCTCAAGGAGAATGTCGACAAAGGGAAGCAAAGGAGCGATTCCGAGAGCGGCGAACCATCGAGCTCCAAATCGCGTAGCGGTCTTGCAAACAAACTGTTAAGGCAGCAATCTTCGTCATCGACAAACTCTGCCAAGTCGGACAAGAGCCAACTAGTCGATCTGGTTGTTGAAGATCGTGAGGCGGAGGAGGTGGAACGAGTCCGGGCGCGCAAAGAAGGCGGACCTGGATGGAACGAAGTCCAACCCAAACATTTTGTGTAAGTTTGCAGCCCTTTCAGTGTCGATCCTGTTCTCTTTCCTCATCATATCATAGCCACACATACCCCCAAGAGGGCCAGGATGAGGAGGTCCGCGAGGGTTTTGATCCCGATGCCCCCCAAGCTCACAACCCTGAAAGCGAGCATAATCTAGATGCGCCGTTCGCGGTTGGCGGCAACGAGGATATAGATAAGAATCCAGAAGATCGCAAACCCCACGTTTCAGAAGAAGCACAGCAATGGGAAAGGCGAGATTTCTCACCCGAAGGCAATCGAAAGAGTGGTCCACAGTACGGTAGCTTCAGAGAAGAACGGAACGTGTGGGGCGATGAGTGAGGAAAGACATCGCCGGAGATTAATCATCGACTGAACAGCAGTACGCCTAACGATGGATGCGGCGAAGGGGGCTTGGGGGTCAGCATCAAGGCGGAGTCCACGATGGAGGAACTCGTTTGGACATTTTCATTTTGGTTTTGTTTCGGCCGCGAAACTCCAGATCAGCATCATTGGGGGAGGTGATCGACCATGTTCTATACCCTTTTTCTGGACACGTGCATACATACAATGATTCGACTGTTTTGCTCATTCTGTTCTGTTCCTCTGATTATGTCACCATTTATCTTTTTACGACCTTGACGTGGTCAACGTATTCGTATTCGACACCTTACCTCCCTCCAATTTCCGCAAGACTGATGTTTTTCGGCCTCAGCTAGCCACCAAGGCGTCGTGACATGGAGGCTAGGTACCTTCCAAAAGAAAAGTACCTACGTGAGCTGACGAGAACACTGCGGGCGGCCTATGACTTCGATGTACTCGCCGACGTTCTAGTGCTCACATGTCTCCCGCAAAGCAACAAGTTACTCCGTACCATCACATAAGCATAATTCACAGAGCAACGAACGCCACCAAACCTTCTTGCTCGCGTGAGGATCAAAAAACGAAAATGGAGATATTCGAGAATCGGAAACCGTGCAATTCACGAATCCGCAACGTTATGCCAATGCATGCGTCTTGCATAATTTGCATGAAAAACGCTGGCTCTCCGTTGCGCTGTTTTGCGTTGCGCTGCTGCGTTACGAATCAAGGCCGTCGCAAGGTCCCTGCCAATCTCTCCGCAAGAACAGATCAGAACATGCCTGCGACCGACGTGTTCTTCAACGATCTGGCAAAGCTGCTGCTGCGACCGGCCGGTTGGTGCCAGCTCATCTGTCAACAATCTGCCCGTCCAAGTTAAGCAATGCACACGCAATGCGGTACGGCAACCGTGCCGTGGGTCAGAGGCAGAAACAGGCGCAGTCGCAATGCGATTGGACGGGGCAGGGATAGAGTGCTGAGGTTAGAGACAACGTGCGGCCGTTTCAGCAAGCTGCAAAACATTTGCTCGCGGCGAAGGAATCGGATTACAGTGCAGTGCGGATTTTCAAGGGCTGAGCCCGTCTAAGATTGAAGCGGTTTGGCCTCGCGCCGTGGTCGATCGATGGATGAATGATTGACAGGGCATCTGAGGGGAAGTGGGATGAATAGGCCTGGCCTATCTCGACAAGCCAGCCACAAGCCCGGGAAGAGAAGTGAAGCATTTGAGAGATTATTGGAAGACGGCATGAAAAGTATTGCAGGCATTATTGGTTTCGACTGTTTGGTGGAGGAAGCGCTTCGAGATGTATTGAATGGTGTTGAATGGATTGAGTGGATGACAGCGGGCGCCTACGGTTCTGCGTCTTGTCCACTAGCCGAGTAGACAAGCAATGGAACGGCCAATCAGAGGCGTCTTACTCTCATTCTTCCATACAACCAACCCCCAAGGGCCAACACTCCCACGACCACCAGATGCCAATCAATGCACAGATTGCAACAACATCTAATTCTGACATTTGACATTCAACCCCAATCTCATTCCTTTTTACTCCTCCTCTACACAGTACATACTACATGGGCCTTGACAACCTCGCGCCGGTGGGTCCATGCTCCCCACAACTTGTCCATATCCATCCACTGTCCACGCCTTGTCTCCGCCCACCCAAAACGCCTCTTTTCACTCCCCAAGACCCTCGATATGGCCACGGAACCCTACCATTGGGCGCTTACCCTCTGCCCTAGCACAGTTCGTCAATCTTATATCATGAATTCGAGGCCCGTTTGAGCAGTCTGGCTGCTTTGCCCTTCCTCCCATTCTTCCCAATGGTTGGCTCCCATTTTCCTGCAACCTTCTCATAGGCCTGCATCCTAGCTACTGCAGGTTCCCGCATCTGTAGCCTCTTCTATTCATTCTTTTCTTGACCTGCTGTCTATCTATCTTTTCTCCCCTCGTTCCTTTCTTCTGACTGGCATTCTTTTATTACCTTTGGCTTAGCTCCTTTCAGCCTTTCCTCTCTTTTCCTCTTCGCTTTCGCCCTTCTCTCCTTCTCTCCTCCGTCGTCATCTCGACATCTTCCTTCTTTTTCGTCCTCTTGTGCGTTCTTCAACTGTTCGTGGTTTTTACGGAAAGGGAAGAGATGCTTGCCTGGTAAGCAAGTCACTATGGCCTTTCGATCAACCTCGAACTCCAACTCAAAGTCATGGCTGGTCCTAAACTTTGGATGCTGTGCATCCAGTCGCGATAGTCTGGAGAGTAATGATGAGGGTAGGGCTGCCTTGAGGGCAAATGGTACGTATTTGCTATTCTTTTGGTCGTCTTGCGACCTGTCTTACTCCAGACGATATGCACCCTCAGTCATCACTGCACTGTCCTGTCCATTTTCTTTACAAGTTTCCTTTCTTTTATTCGATCTCCCTTTGTTCTACTCTATCTTTCCTCTTCAACAATCCCTCCTTTCTTCTCTTTTGTCGTCGTCGATGATGATCTCCATACCTTTCCTGTTCCTATCGGTTGAGATGCAGTCCATCTCGGTTATTGTCTTGTTCAATACGGTTAAATCAACCCGACTCATCTCACTTGCATGACGTCCTCCTTTCCAATATTTCCTACATTACCCCCACTATCGATTCCAATTCCGGAATCCATGCTAATTAGTGCGATAACAGGAGAGTCTGAGATGCGGATATGCTATGACCAACCAGAGACAGTGGCACAACCTCGAGCAGAGCCAACAGTTGCGCGACCTTCTACCAGTCAATCTATGAGCCGCCATGTCTCGCAATGGGTCGCGAACAGTCGGGATTTTGCTACGCGGGCGTCGTCCCGAGCGAGCGTCCATACGCTCAGCAGGCCGAGGGCGTCGCACTCGAAGAGTAGGCCCAGTATCGGACGACCAATGGACTTCCGACATTATGGTGGTGTTGAGGGTCTCGAGAATATCCAGAGCATGATTGATGATGCTCCCATGCCTGTTCGCCGACGACGATCTTTCCGACCCATTGAACTATCCATCTATCTTCCTGATGGTCGACTCTCTCCGTTGCCGGATTTCGCAGAGGAGGAATGGAATACGCTTCCAGAGATGCCGGCTCAGGCTCTTGTCCGTCCACGCGATTCTCGTGTCAATACCTTCTCCTCAGAGCTATCGATGTCGAACCAGGCGATCCAACGCAAACCTGTGGGCTCAGGAGTTAGCTCCCGCCGCTCCAGCGTGAACAGTCAATTCCCATCTCGACCGGTATCTGTTGCGCTGTCTACCTTGCCATACATGACCGAGGAGCCAGCAGCAATCAGCCGTCCGGAATCAATTGGCAGTGTCGGAAACGTCCGCCGTTCAAACACCTCACATTCACAATCCTCCACATCTCGCCTTCTCTCTCGATTCCCCTCCCCAGCACGCTCTCGTTCGAATACTTCTTCCACGGTGGCTACCCGTCCAGGCTCTCTCCGACGAGTGAAGACCGACAACATCGACGAAGCTATTCGCGAACTCAACACCATCGTCGAGGAACGTCGTGCCTCGGCCTACCGATCGCAAGTCCAGTCCACGACTTTCCCTACTCCCCCAACGAGACACACTCTGTCAACCCACGTACCTGCACTCGCCCCATCCCGCGTTATGCACGTTCGCAGCGAGACCCTTTCAGATATCGGTTCCGCATTCTCTGCTCCATTCGCGAGCAAACCCCTACCGACGCTCCCTGAAAGGCCCCAGACGGAGCTTCGTCTCGTCCCTCCATCAAACACTTCAGGAGGCCCACTGACGTCGAACCCCGTGACTCCCCCGAGCGGCACGCCATCTACACCAATTCAGCGATTTACAACCTGGCTCAAGCGCTCTATTCCCACGACGCCCACATCCGTCTTCACCTCTTCTCCCACTGAGATCCACTCGTTCGCCGGGCCATCCGCACTCCCAGCCTCTCGACCCAAATCCACAAAGTCCACCAAATCAACCCGCTCGACCTTCTCCACCCCCTTCTACAAACTCGCCCCAGCCTCCACGACCGGACCCTCCCTCCCACCAACCACCCGTCCATCCACCTCCGCCTCTGAGAAGACCCTCACTCATGCCCGACAAGACTCGACCGAAACCGCAACGGTAACCCTCTTCTCGACCTCCACCACACGCCCAACAACCCCAGCCCTATCCCGCGGACCAACCCCCTCCCCCGACACCTCTCCCGACCTCTCCAAAGACGCGCCCCAGTCCTTCCAACGACACACCGCCTCCCTCCAAGCCCTCGCCGGCCCAGGAAAAGCCCGCCGCATCCCTGCACCCCTCACCCTCGACAAGTCATCCGCCCACATCGAGCCCGCACTCCCTTCCTCCCGCAGCATCCACAGCATCAGAAGCATCAACCAGATCACTGGTGAGCCGGAGCTCGTCACGCTCGGCCTCAGACCGCCCATGAGCCCCAACTACGACGTCCTTCGCGGGATGGAGCGGACGGGTCGCGGCGTTAGCGGCGAAGTTGGCGTCGCTTTCTAGTCCTCACTTTCCTTCTCCCCTACTACCCCCTCCTCCTATCCTTCCAACACCTTTCTCAGTCCAGCGCTGGCTAGACGACACGACCGACGAAAAATCGACGTTCGGAGGGGCTCCTTCCTCCCCTTCGAACCGGTGGCGGGATGTTTTATTCTTTTCGTTATACCCCCTTTTTTTTCCTTTCGGCTCTTTTATGATGGACCAGGCATGGCGCCACGACCTTGCGGGGCCTTCACCCATCCACAATGTGTGCGTGTGGCTAGCTGGATTCATTGATATAGTTACTTTATACCATTCTTATATAGGGTGCCCTGTCGTACTGCACTTACTACCACCCACCCCCCCCTTGGACATCCTATTATGGGGCGGGGTATGGGGGAGGGAGGGTGTAGGACGGCGGGGTTTTGAATGAATATATACCTTTTAATATCGAGGTGTTTGTTGCTTTGTCGTGTGGTGTGAGTTCTTTGGTGCAATTCGTTTTTCCGTTTTTCTCACGTTGATAATTATGATGGTGATATAGGGGAGGAATGAAGTTCTCAAGCATCAAACACCGCTCCATTGAATGTTCAAAGAGAAGATGTCACTTTCTTTACTTCTCCTGTTCCACGATGCTTTCCTCTTCAATAAACTTATGCTTTCAATTCGAATTCCGTTTTTTGCAACCCCCGTCATTTCGACGGTGATAGGTAGGTAGGTACATGTACACACGCTGTATCAGTTCCTACTAATTCCTAACGAAATACACCCGTCTGAACGAGCAGACATAAAAAGTTCAGACCCCTACGTAGAAGACTCGAAATCATGAAGTTTAGGAACTGTGGTGTGCCATCTCGTTGTCATGTGTCAACACGACTCCTGATGTGTAGAACCGGGGGAAATTTGACTCGAATGACAAAAGCTATGCTTTATAGTATTGCTGGCGGAGAAAGGGTGGATGGTGAATCTTCGATCATATCGCAAGATGAATTTGCTCGAATGCGAAGATGAGAAGTTTCACAACATCAAATGCCAGCATCACTCGTACGATTTCTAGGCTCTCACAACTTCATATAAGCACTCTTTCTCTGAGACCATCCTAACAAACTCCTCTTGGTTGTCACTCATCGGAAGTTCACAACGTGACGTATCTGAACTTCCCTACTCAACGTTCTGTACAAGACGCGTCCACAACCTTCTCCCCCTCCCTCCTCCACCCTCCCTCCTCCACCCTCCCATTCTTAAAATGAGATTAGTACGACCTCCGCCTAAACTATCATACATCTTGATGTACGAATTGAACGTAAGAAAGCACACGAACTATTCGATGTCAGAACGTTTCATTCCATCTAATGTACTGTCATCTTACTCGTGTTCCTTAAGGTATAGATACTTCGGGGTGAGAGGGCTACATACATGTGTGGATGCTGTCGTTTGTGTGGGAGTAGGCGGATGGACTGAGGACGAGGATGATGTAGGTTGTGGAAGTGCTTGTTTGGCTGCGACGGGAGCTTGAATGGTGGCTGGGGTTTTGGGGGTTATTTGCGGTGAGTAGGAGCAGGTCTGCGCTGGAGGGCATGAGATGAGTGCAAAGAGGAGAGGGGAAGTAGCAAAAGTAGCAACGAAGTGTTTCTTTTGTGAGATAAATCATAAATAGCATGTACGGTATATGAACAACAAAGGCCTTATCTAATTTCCCGGTGCTCCTATCTGTTTTTACACTCGTGTGGAGTACCATGAGATATAGAAGTTTGGATCTAGCGATGGACTAGGAATTTATCTTTGATGTTACGTCTTAACTGCGAGAACGGTCGTGTCTCAACTTCGAGCGCCCTTTTTTATCTCAATCTCTACTAGGGAAATAAGATGAGGATGGTAGGTTGGGGTTGCGTGATATTCACGCTGAGTCTGTGCCTTCTTTGTCTCTCTATAAGTTGGTGGGTTCCTACAATGGGTAAGGCTGTGTGTAATGACTGAATGCGTCTACTTTGCAATATTGCAATTATTACACCTGATTTCTCATGTTGAGAATTGGGGTCTGGAGGGGTTTGGAGGACGATGGATGTATGTAAGTTACTGCAGTGCGTGGGGTGGTGGGTGAGTGGGAACAAAAGGATGTATAGAAGTCGAGGGGGTTCTTGCTTGAGAATTTGGAATGATACTGTTTACCTACCTAGGTAGTTAACGTTAGTCTGAGATGTGTGATGGAAGGATGGAAAGAAAAATAGCAGAGGTTGGAGATTTGAACTTAGCCTTGCGCGAGCCATCGAACACCTTCTTCAATGATGATGGGGGTAAAGAAGAAATCGCGAATCCAGGCGGCGTACCTGAACGCAAGAGAGAGAAGCAGGAAATGCAGACACCCGTCAAGAACCACCACCTTACCCACTCACTCACGTCCCAACCTCCCTCCCCCGTCATAAGGCTAAACGCAACCACCGCCCAACCCCAGGGATACGACCAGGGGCAAACCGGACACCTGCGTAATCTCTGTGCTCCCATCCCTCTCCCGTGAAATGGCGTCCGCGACACACACACCCATGGGGTAGGGAGGCGGGCGAGAGGAAGGGGATGGATGGCACAGAGTCTGCGTCGCGTCGAGATTGCGCCGTAAGAGAGAGACATTGACGGGCGCAAAAACTGGTTTTCTTGGGGTTTGTGGGATGGAGGATGCAGGTACGGAGTAGAGTGGAGTGGAGTACGTTGGGCCGTTATTGCTAAGGGAAAGGGGGAAATGGGATGGGGAGGATGAGACATAAACAATGGGAGTATGTGTGTGTGTTTCGGTGCGGTACGGACGGCCGAGTGAGCGATTGAATGTAACGAGGCGAACGTTACAAATGCATTATTCTTCGTGAGAGTGAAGTCTTGCCGAGAATTGCTTGATACAGACATAATATGCCATTCAGTCATTTCAGTCCGGATCTTCCTTGCCTGTGAGAATGAAGAAAGAGCAGTCAATTGCACCACATCTGCATACCTCGTCGCTGCTCTTTCCCTTTCTTTTTCTGTGCTTCTTTGCTTTTTCTCCGAAACACGTCAGTAATGTGCTGTCCTAATCAAGGTTTGAAGGTTTTATATTGGAACTCAGTCGATGGCGTACTTAGGAATGCCCTACCAGGAACACCAAGTAAGTTCATCCGTCCAACCATACGTCGTCCCATGGCATACCAGGGATATTGCCGTCACGTGGGAGGCGTTCCTGGGTAGTTGAACAGGAGACACAAGTCTACTGGGAAGACGTCGCACGGCGATGCTGCAAAAGAAAGCAAATCCGGGAATGTAAGGGGAACATGAAACTTGACGCCGGTTACTCGCTCGAGGGATAATCTACCAGTGCGGAGGGCTGCTTCGAACGGTGATACGACAACGAACGGCGAAAGTGTCGCACGCCGGTGATTAACAGCCTCGAAGCTGGTATAGCTTGCTCGCGCGCGCTGATGCCGACGTTGTAGGTGGCGATGGGCTTGACTAGGCCATAGTTCGATGCACAGGTGTTGCCATTGGTCATGTGGTGGTGGTAGTGATGGTCGTCGTCGTCGTCGGTGGGCCCTGGGTTTCCTGGGTTTTCGAGGCGGACGATCCAAATGGCAGCAGTGAAGCCTTACCGCCCAAAGGTCGCGATAAGCGCATGCAGACTGCCCATGGTGTACGTGTGTCTCGTCGTAGAACGATCTCCAATTCGATTTGCCCCACAGCGGAGATTCCGATGCGGCTTGAGGTCGACCTGGTAGCCGGGTCGTCACCCTTACTTTGCTCGAGGCTAGCTTGAGGGCATTGTACCACGCAATGGAGCAGAATCCAGGAACCTGGTCGAGCTGCTAAGTTACCAGCCGAAGACCCTGTGGAAGCAATCGCTCGGTTGAAACCGAGACAAGAATGTAGACGAGAACCGCGGCTGCTCTCTTCCGGACTGGATGGAATGCAGTCGCATCTAAGCTAGCGGAAGGAAGTTTTGACTGATTTGCAAGCGACTGCGATAGAGTTTCGGCACCAGATCTGTGAGATGCACGACTAGATGCGCTGGCTGGGCTTGAAGAGTATGTACGAAGGAGAAAGGGTTCGGTACTACGGCAGCTGAAGGGAGGATGAGCAGGTGGGTTTTCTCTATTTGGGAGTAGCATATGTAACGATTGAAGGAGACGGTAGTTCGTTATGTGTAACCGCAAAGGAGGGGCATTGGGTTGGGCTCGCTCAGGACATAGTGACGCCTTTGCTGGTGGAGGTTGCACGAAGCTATCTGCTCTCGAGGTGCAGACCGCGAGAGAAGCACTTGCCCGGCATTGCAGCACGCTTCTGCATTCTAGGGTCGACGTGTCGTTAACATAGTCTTGATATGACACCCGGCCCAAAGGGCGACGGCATGGTAGGTGTGCCGCCTGTTGGAACGGGTTGCTGCAGATGTTCAAATTTTCTGTGCGATTGACATCCATCGCATGCACGTTTCAGCTGTTACCCGGGGCCATGGCGTGCAAACCGCGTGGAAATGGAGATATCCTGGCAAAGCAATACAGTGTGTACACCAACATTGGAGCCTTGAGTCTACGAGCGGCTATCTCCTCCTAGCGATAACATCGCCAGGGCTAGTCATGCGCGACATTGGAAGCACTTTCGACATATGAAGCCGCAGCTGAGAGCGATGGGCCATGTTCAGTAAAAGTCGAGGTTGAGGTCAAGGGGTGTGGATTGCAAGTCTTTTCGATGTAGAGCACAATTATCCCAAAGTGGAAATCACGACAGCTGTTAGTTTGCGTTGAACGGGCGTCTGCCCGGTATCCAAGCGGGCAGCGCACCGAGAAGTTCAGCGAGAACGATGACCGAGAATGCGTTTGCGAGCTGCAGTCCGGATGGTAGCCTATCAATTCATGTTTGCGATGGTCAGCGACCTTTGGTGCCATGCGCAAAACAACGTATCAGGAGTGCGAACCCAGCCGAGCGTTCACGATGATGGGACTATCCTAGCTCAGCTACGAGTAGGCCGATTGATGATTGGGCCGCGAACACACAGCCAAAAGAAAAGCGAAACGTGAAGGATTACGATAGATTGATCATTGATGTTATGTTTCCGCAACGTTCAGGAATCCTGCTGGTGCGATTGAAAGGGCACGAGCCGCCGGAGAACGTTGGAAGGATTGCTGGCTTGAGATGATTGACAATGGAGGAGCCATTGTCAAGGAGCATCCGTGGAAGCATTGTAGGAAGATTGGCGAAGACTAGGGTGAGTAGAGAGCCACAAGCGTAGACAGGGTATACAACGGCACCGGCAACGCAAAGCGACGAAACGAAACGAAACGCGACGCAACGCAACGCAGTTCATCTGTCCGATCTGTCGGGGCGGAAACGGGGACGCAGACGGCACGAGCAGCAAATGGCGAATGACAAAAGGGCCGAGGATGGGGGGTGAGGGAGAAGGATGCTGATGGCTGATGGCTTATGGCTGATGGCTGTTTGAAGTGTGCTGCAGGCGATATGGTCGGGCATGACGACGATTGAGTTTTTGGTATTGCATGTGTATGGATGGTACTCGTATGGTACTCGTATACCCAGCACGTACAGTAGATGGTCCTGCATAAGCCTGCATTTGCATACATAGCCGATACAAGTGGACGCCAGCCGGGTGTGCCTGCTGTTGGTTCTAGTCCAGTTCTGCCTGCTGTTGGTAAGTAAGATCGTGGATCGCACCTTGTGAAACCAATGCTCTATGGGAGCGGGAAAATGTAGACAGCTCAGAGGTAGCGGGAATTGCTGGGGAGTGGGTTGAGTAGCATGAATGGAAGGATGGAATAGGAAGGTTCGGACAGAACGGTAATGATGCTATTATCGTTTGTAGATACATGGGACGAGGCAGAATGGAAGAGGAAGAACAGCGGGACAGAAAAAGGCAATGGAGGAGTGTGGCTGTGGTGTTGCTAATTGCCAGGGATGGATGAATTATGGGCGTATCGGGCCCGATTAGGTACAAAGGGAACAGGCGGAAGCGATAGGATGGGAAGAGGAGAGGGTAAGCAGAGGGAGGGTAATGGTGGTGGTGGGGACAAAGAATGGGAGGGAGCGTAAGAGAGTAAGCAAGGCAATGAATGGCGAAGAACAATTGGAAGAGATATGAAATTAGTTTTCGTAGTGAGGATGAAGAGAATAGTGTAATAGGTGTTAGGAGATGTAGGAAGTGGATGAGGATGGGGATGAGGAAGAAAAGGAAAAAAGACCGGAAGAAGCAAAAGGCCGATTCGAGGGAGTGAATTGGGAGGGTGTTAATTCTTCCTGATTGGAACGTATCATACAGTAATTAACAACTCACACATGGACATAGACATGCACTCTCTCCACAAGTTGGATATCCGACTACTCGTAATACTATTCATCTCTATAACATCCACATCCACATTCACCTCCACTACTCGACAGCTCCAACACTTTAGTTGCTCTCCACAGCTCTACACAGCCGCAAACAAGCCGCCGCCAACTCCAATCAGGGAAATCGGCAACCACCTATTCCGCGAGATAGAGCGCAGCACAGCACAGCGCGGCATAGCATCAGCTTTTTCTAAGAATACATCCAAATCTTTTCGGATGCCATCATCAAAGTCGGCCGGGCGTCCCGTCGGCATCATCGCGTCCTCGTCATCACAAGATAGTAAGCTCACGCATTAGCCGCGCAAGGGAGCCAGCCGGCCAGTCCAACTAGATCGCAACCAAAGCATACCAATGACCACTAAGGCAAAGCAAGGCATATGGCAAATGCAGTTAATTATCCTCCCGTCTCTCATTCTGTCTCTCTTTGGGCAGGCGCATAAGAATCCACACAAGCGACAGCCCAACGGTCGCCTACGCCGTACACCTGGCAGAGCTAACTAGTTAGCCCAGCTGGAATAGCTACCTACACACATAGCCAGCCGTATGTATCCTCGCGGCGTTCGCCTTCGCCGCCTGGGGGCTATTGTGGGTTAATTTGTCATGGGACGGCTGGCTTGTTGACCGTCCAACGTGCTTGCGCCTTTTTTCATCCAAAATTCACAAATTACCTGTTTTGCGACGACGCGCTCGCTGTTATGCCCGGCAGGTGGAGTGCAGCAGGGCGATGTTGTGCCGTTCCCGCTTGCTGAATGGAGGGATGAGGGATGGATCGGGTCAATAGGGTGGGTGTGACGGGGGTTGCTGTGAACAACGCCGTTGGGTTGGGAAACTTTTATGCGTTGGCCTTTCGTCTGATGTTATATCGGAGGGACGGCAGGGTCGGCAGAAGGAGTCGCAGTAATCAATCTGTGGGCGCTTAGGGAGGGATCAGGCGTTTGTTCTAGTCAACCTTTGAGTGGGATTCTGATGGGGCCAAGGGATCGAGGAAGAGGAGTGGGATTGGGAGCAATCGGAGTAGATTGATTCATGGTTTCAAGATGGAAGGGGCCTTGTTTGGTGCGTGAATGGCCGATTCGGAGCTCTCCAGTCGAGTTGATGTGAACCGGATATGTCTAGTACCATAGGAATTTGTGGTGTTTTGTAATGGTGCAGTGGTGGTATTACGACGAATAAGTAGTATAACAGTAATTGTACTCCGTGAGAGTATCTAGTTACTTCTTTTCCCAGTCCCGATCGGTCCATTATTCCCACTATGCCATTGTAATAGAGCCACAAGCAATCATGTTCTACCTAATTAGTGGTAGCAACTCGACGGACATGATCGTTCCAGGAGGGACGTGCAAACCAAACAACCAAGTGCATGCCAAATACAAACGCAACAAAGACTGACATTTCGGCTGAATGTCAAGGAAAGCTTGATTTCAAGTGCATAGACAATGTGACATGAGGATTGAATGAGGATAGAAGTTGGGAAATTACAAAACGACCAGATTCGTCGAAATAATGGAATGTCGGCGAGGGTCGAACGGCGAGCAACAAACGGCGAGCTGCACGGATTATGAACCTGGCCCTGATCCCAGCCCTAACCCTAGCCTTGGGCCATATCTCTGACGACCGAAGTCCCCGCTGCCACCTGCGACGATCACCATACTGCGAGTGTACAGTGCAGCGGTACTCAGTGCATACTACTTACATGTAAACAGGAAGAATTGGAATTCATGAGCCGGGAAGCGGGAGGATGCTTTGCCCGATACGGTGCGATGCGATTCGATTGCGCGCACTCTCGAACACTCGTTTTCTCACGCGCTCATCCATTATCTCCTCCCTCGGTGGGCGCACGCACGCACGAATGCACGCACGTATGCACGCGCATATGTGCATATGCGCAACTGCATAAGAAGAACGTTCAACGTGTGTTGAATGGTCGAACTGAGGAGGTGACCAACTGCCCAGAATGAAGGGGTATGTTCGTTTGGGTCAGAGGCCGGATCGCGAGGGAGAGGCGCGAGAGCAAACGCCGCAGTATCACAGAGTAGTCCACAGAACACGGACCACAGACGCCGCGCTCTGCCTCACGCCCTGTGCTCCACGGTGGAAGTCTAGTAGCAGTAACTGTAGCAGTAACGGTAGCATTAGTAGTAGTAATAGAGAGAGAGGGATGACGCCAGTCAGTCTTGGTGGGTCGTAAGATCGTGGGCCTGATCTGAGGGTTTTGTCATGGAGAGAAAATATATGGAGAAGTGAACAGGTGAGGTTAGGTGGTGATTGGTGATCATCATCGTCACCATGATGGTAGTAGATCGTAGTATCTGATGATACTACTCCATACTTGGTGCAAAGTGGACTGCTTCTTTGACTCCAGAGTGGGTAGAGTCAGAGATGGGCACAAGGCTCTGCCCTGCCATGCCCTGTCCTGTCATGGCTGAGAGGGATGGGGGGCCAGGAAGAGAGTAGGATCACGGTGTACTGGGATTACCGGGGTGATCGGGGGACGCATGGGGCGCTTGGGGTGGCTTTGAGCCTTTACCCTTGGAGAAGTTGAGAGGGATCCTAACAGAAATCAGAGAAGCTCGCCAAATGCCAAAAGGCGATTTGACGGAGGATGGAGTGAACAGGGTGGACAGGACTAGACAGGACAGGTATGGATGGAACAGGATGGGATGGGAATGGGATTGGGATTAGGATGGGGGTGGGTGATGGGTGAGGATGGGTGATGATGGGAGGTAATGGATGGGATGGGATGGGATGGGATGGGATGGATGATGATGGTGATGGTGATGATGACTGACAGGGATCAGGAGATTTAAGGTTGGGATGCAAGCCACTCCCAGAATAGATGCACTCACCATCCCTGCATCATAGACTAACCCGGATTGGGTGATGGTCTAAGAGTAGCCAAATCTCACCTCCCATTCGTCCATTTCGTCCATTTCGTCCATTCACTCGTTCGGTCGTTCGTTTCATTCTCCTCTTCTGCTCATTAGGTACGACTGTAACTACTACTACTACAGCACTATGTACTATTCTATACTGTAATACTCTCTGTACATACATGTACATATTGCACTAATTCGGAATTACCACTACCACCACAACTAACCAAGCCCAATGTTGGTACCTACAGTCCAATCAATCGCTCTAAACGTTCATATGCTCGCTGCTCACCTCATTTCTTTCTCTTCCCTCTCTCTCTGTCTCCCTTTCCATAATTTCCCAATTCGTCTTTCGGTCCCAAGCCCTTTTAGCTGGAAAGTCCAGCTTTCTCCCAGCTAGGCAGCCCACCTGAACACTTACCTACCAATCCACTATCCTATCCACTTCTTTACGTCCCTGACCATTCTCCATCTCCATCTCCATATCCACCGCACTGACTGTGGCTCTGCCACATCTACCACGCCCCCGGCTACTCCCCATGTTCCTTCTATGCCTGTCTACCTTCCCATCCCCTCTACTACAAACAATCTTCCGTCTGATCCTCCTGTGGGTCCGGCCATAGACGCCTTCGTTGCCGTTGCCGTTGTTTCTGCTACTGCAACTGCTTGTGCTGCTCCTCCTTCTTCTACCACTACTATTACTACCATAGCTACCGCTGCTATTGCTGTCTGTTGTAGTAATACACTATCTCCCACCACAGCTGATGCTCACGGCCATCTAGCTTAGGCCCATCACATATATCATTCCCATAGTCACCTCCGCCCGCGCCCGGTGCATGATCTTGCCTTCCTTTCCCTTTTCCTCTCTCTCTATTCTTTTTTGGCATCATATCTTTTTGCCCTGCCCTGTCATCACGCACCGCCGCTTTCTATGCCACAGTTGACCACCGCCACTACCGCAATCGATCCTTCTACTTACTATTTCCACCACCACCCTCCGACTACCTTACGAGAGTAATGCTCACTGCATGCCTCATATCTATCTAAAAATTCCCGTACCTGCTGCTCCTCGACATTCATCTTACCCCCTACCGTTCACGACACAAGATACACAACACCGTTTGCATTCTTCTCTTGCACAACTATTCACCCCCTCTCTATTGTTTCTCTCTATTCCCCACATCGAACGCCTCACGGATTGTGACTCAGCGCTTTGGCCTTGAGACTCCTGACCCTTTCCATCCTCGCGCCTTGCTATTGCAGAGGTCTCAGACGCCCTTAGCTACGATCCACCCGTCTCCTGGCTGTTCCCGTCGTCTCTGGGCCATCCACTGGAACCTTGGTCGATCCAGGAATCAACAGGCTCCTCTCCGACTCTGGCTCCCGCCTCTGCATTCGTACTAGGCATCACTTCCTTGTCTCTCTAGATCTACCATTGTTTTCCTCTCCACAGGGCCACTCACAACAGAGCGTGCCGGCTGAGCTTACTGCGTAGCACTGCGCCATCCTCGGCCCCGACAGAGCCTCAACGCACGGGATCCGCAGCCTGCCGCCGGATTTTGCCAGCTGTGTCTCTTTTTTGAGCTGTCAGGCACTGCACGACGTCGTGCTTCAACGGTGAGATTGGCGGTCTTCCGAGGGCGTGCTTGGTTCCCATCTCCTACCACCATCGCCGCCAGCTCTGCTAGTCTACCAGGTTGACGGGCCCGGTAATCACCAAGAGACATATCCCTCCCCCCCAGGAGTCTCCAGAAGTAAGTCCTACCTCCACTTTCCTTGCATGCTCGCACACTCCCACCAGCTCGTCGTCATCCCAGCCGGGCCAATCCCGCATCCTGCCGCCCCGGCGGATGGCGCCTCTGCCCTCTCTCAGATGCTCTGATGCCTCGCCTTCTACCGCCGCTGCTACCACTGCATATGCTGCTACTACCACTACCACTGCCGCTCTATTAACTCCTGTCCCTGTTCACAGTCATAGCTCCAATATAGCTACCCGTAGCTCCTCTTTCTCCTCATAGCTCGCTCGCTCGCTCTCTCTCTCCCCACATTTCCCCCCTACCGCATATCCTCGCCCAAGCTAGAAAAACCAACTTCTACCCTCCCTATCAACAACCTCTAATATCACACCTCACCAACCATCCATCCAACATACTGGCCTAGCCTCAAACCCATGTCTTGTCTCTCTTTGTTTGTTATGTACGTTCCCCCACCCTTTCTCTGGCACGTCAAAATGCGGTCGTGATATGCGACAACTCATTTAGCAAGCACTCACTCTCATTTCAGTCACTGGCACTTGCTCTGAATCAACATTGTTCACTCCACTCAGAACCAGCCTCTCCCTGCCGGAACCGTCGCTTGGAGGTTTTCATAACTTGCGTTGTGATAGGCGACCACCAGGACACATCGGGAGGAGACAGACATTCAAAGACTCCCTGACTCCCGGATGAATCCACTTTCTGAGCACTTCGATCGCCTGTCTTTGGGTAGACCTCTCCTGTCACATCTTCTGGTCACTAGCAACTCCACCAAAACAGCTCTTCGCTTCCCCTTACCACTAGACCTCCAGCCGCATGCTCATTGCGACGACTGCCTATCCCACCAAGACTCGTCTCTCCATTCTCTTTTCCATCTCTCTGCCCCTGATCTGACGGGTTCCTTGCATGTTGTTACGGCCCCGTCAGACCCTCTCAGCCACTGTAACAGCCCGAGCACATCTCCTGTGCTCGATCACAGCAACCCCCGAACACCGTCAAGCTGGCCTGCGTCGTTGAATCCAGCAGCTATCAGGTTCGTTATCCCTCGTAGGTTGAAATCTTTTCTTCCCAATTGTGTTCATTGGTGTTTGAGTCCATTTTCGCCCCTCCGTGCCTGACCAGGCAACCTCTGTTGCCTGTAGTTTGGACAAGCACCCTCTTCCTCTTCCCCCCACCAAGCGTGTCCCGTCTGCCTGACTGCCTCACCAAGTCGTATCCAAGAGTGTCTGCCTGCTAACATGCTCATTTGTACAGCCTGATAGCGACCGAGCGTCCTTTGCCGTAGGCGACCATTTCGCGTCGTCCGAACAGCTTTTGGCGCACTACAGTCAAGGCCTCGGAAACGGCCCTCTGACTGCTGCATTTGCGGCCAAACTGTCGTCCATGTCCAGCTACGGCAAGGACCAGGACCAATACGTGTATGGTGAGTAACATTTTCCGTAGTCGTAGAATACGGTTCCATCTGATGCGACGGGTTGGGCAGGGCAGATGCAGATGCCACAACCTTGTCGGATGGTCCCGGGGCCTGACAGCCCACGTGAGGTTGAACGAGCACCAAAGGCCATGACTGACTGACCACCCTCCCAGACGCCGCAGCCACAAGACCGAATCAGGCCCCGAGCTATCCAGGCCTCGCACAGCCTTCATTCACCTCGCAGTACACCGATGCGCCTGCGCGGCTATCCCATGAGCCTACAACTGTGGAAATGCCCTATATCTCGACCTCGTCCTACGAGTCACGCGGGGCCAGCAGCTATCAGGCCGAATCTCCATTTATTGATGCAAGATCTCGTCATCCCGCTCCCCAAAGTACCAACGAGCTCGAAGTAACCAATGTTGTCCATCCATCCCAAGGCACCGCTGGATCTTCGGTTTTACTCCATCTGCGAACCACTTACGATCTCGCGAAAGAGCAATACAAATTCACTGTCATGTTTACGGCTAAAAGATGCACGGGAGAACTGCAAAAGCTGGACCACGAGGATGGCTACTTTAACTATGCTCTCAGTTTCGACGTCCCTCCATTTCCTTCGACAAATTCATGGAATCCTACGATGACGCTCAAGCTCCTTGTGGAGGACAAGAACGACCTAGTCATTCATGAGAAGGAAGCTGGAAAGTTTACATTTACCGACATGTCTCCAACGCTTACCTACCAGTCGGTGGCGGCGACATCTCCAGAACTCGGGCGGAAGCGGAAATTCTCTGTTGCCGAATTTGGGGAGCCCCAAGACTATTCCGAAGGGGCGAAACGGGCAAATACGATGCGTCTGCAGGCGAAACCCCGTTCACTATCTGGGGCATATCCTTCGTCTTCGGTATCTCCGCTCCCTGGGCAGGCTGCTCTCACTGGCACATATGGCTATTCCAACGCATACGACCTGAACAAGCCTGCAACTTATACGCCACAGCTTCCTCAGAAGAGCTTATACGCCGTGCCTTCTGGTATCAGCATGCCTCAGAACGATATGAAGCCACCAGCCATGTCGCCCGGCCTGTCGCACTACAGTGCGTATTCCTCCATAGGCCCGATACGCCGCAGTCCTGCTTCCATTCCTGCACCACAGACTCCTTCTAGGGCACCTATGATGTCCTCCCCTTCGCTCCCGACTCCTACGCTTGTTCGAGCGACAACACTTCCCCAGCCTGGGGGCGGACCCATGGGTCAGAGTGGATTCAACCCCTACTTGATGCCGAGTAAAGCAAAGCTAGAGATCGATGGTGACCTGGACAAGATGAGCACAGACTGGACGCAAGAAGAATTCGACGCGAAGCGACGGCTCGTACAGTTTGAGAGGTCGCAGGTTGGCAGCACCATCACGGCTACGTTTGCTCCTGTGACACCGGAGGAACGCCCCGCCCGAAGCATCTGCGTGAGCTGCATCCTGTGGGAAGAGAAGGAGGAGTGCTTCATTACCAGCGTCGATACGATCTATCTCTTAGAACAGCTTGTCAATGTGCGATTCACGGTCGAAGAGAAGAACCGTATCCGACGCAACCTGGAAGGCTTCCGTCCTCTTACGGTTTCCAAGGCAAAGCCAGAGAGTGAGGAGTTCTTCAAGGTGATCATGGGTTTTCCCAACCCGAAGCCGCGCAACATCGAGAAGGATGTCAAGGTGTTCCCATGGAAGATACTCAACCACGCGCTCAAGAAGATCATTAGCAAATACGTAAGTCCACCCGTCACTCTCTACTATGGCGGCGATTCTGACACTTTGCAGACAGCGAGCTATTCATCCACAGCTGGCGCGGGTTCGCTGCCAGGAGCGGGTGCGTCCGCTTATGTCCCTGTCGGCATCTCGCAGACGGGAGACGGGCATCGCCATGCATCGCCGCGATCTGTGGCAAGTTCAGCGGCGACGAATGCCTACACACCCAGCATGACGACGAGCGTGTCGCCGAACCTGAGGGGATCAGCAGGACTGGATGGATCAGCTGCGCATGGCATACCGGTTCCCCAGAGGGACCCGACAGGGCAGACGATGAGTCAGTGGGGAGCGGGAGCAGCTCCCCATCACCCAGTAACACAGTACACGACAGGAATGCCGACAGGAGGGCGCGGGGGGTCGTGGGATTATGGGAATTACATCGACACCTCTGGGGCCACGCAACCCATGCACGACAACCCGTATCAGCCGTACGGGACCAGCCGCGTATAAAGATGGTGATGATGATGATGAGGGTGAGGACGAAAACTAAACAGCTTGGTCCAACTCGGGATGACAGCCACAGCCACGACGACTACGACTACGGCTACGGCTACGACTACGATAACGACGACGACAGTGGATATTAAAGACGAGTCATGGACAAGCAGCAACTCAAGCGGGGATCTCGACCCGAGCAGCAGTTATGAATTGAGGAGAACCGGATGATGATTCTGGCAAGGCAGACTGATTGCAGGAATTATTCTCAAGAGATGGTGATGGTGGTGGTGGTGACACTCGTAGTAGCGGTGCCTAATCTGTTCATTGAGGGTGTAGACCATTTCCATGTGTCTAACCCGATGTGGACATAGTCTACCGCTCCGGGCGATCATGCGGACGCTGAGTGGATCAGGCGATGCAGCCATGAACCCTCAACCATCAACCATTCCATGCCCATCCCATATCCCATGCATCCTCAACCTCATCCATCCCCAACTTGTCTACTCCATACTCCGTATACTCTTCATCATTCATCACCATCATCATCATCATCATCATCATCCGCCGCATCCTTCTCCTCCTACATCATCCATTTCATCCTCTTATCAGCACTTACTGTTACTGCCTCACACCCCCTCCATCAAGACCAACACCTTTTTCCTATCATCCCTCCCCTCCATGCCTTTCATTACTCTTGGCTCAATTCCGGCGCATCATTCACGCATCATCACTGACTGACGACTTTACACTCATCCATCGGCGCAATTATTCCCTTATTTCCTTACCAAGAAACGGTTCCCCTCTCTTTAACCCACGTCCCAGCATTTCTTGGATTTCTGTTCGGGCTCTTTTTCCCCTTCCTTTTTCCGCGTCGTCGGTTTTATTCCCACTCTTTTTTGTTCCAATATTATATCCATCGTTTCTTATCAGGGTCTTCTTCAATCATACACGGATACCAAAATACCCCCTTTCCTTGTGTTATGTTATCAAACAATTATGGATGGATCTACCCGCGGCGTTGACTTCTATTTCCTTTTTCCTTTTCCCTTTAAGATTCGTTTGATTTGGTTTTGGTTATGGTTATGGTCTGGAGGGGACTTTTTTTAATGAGGCTTGCGTGTGGTTCGTATGTTTTTTGTTTAGTTTTAATTCCAACGATGACGTTTTTTTTTTGCTGAAGTATCTGATCGATCGGTTTTTTCCATGTGTGGTCTTAATTTTTGAAGTCTGACTCTGATATGCAATTTTGATGGTACTAGATGCGGTATGAGGTTTTGGGTTTGCCTGCGGGACTACTACTAGAGATAAGAGATTAAGAAAGATATGTCGTTTATTGATTTTCGTCTCAACGCTCCGTGGTGATGGGTTCTTGACGGCACATGGCTCGGGTTGGGTTTCCCGGTGTCCTTGTCCTCGTCGTCGGGTTCGGTATCGGTATGCTGTTATCATCGGTCTGAACAGCTGAGGTTCGAGGTTCGGTGGCGACTTTTGAACATCCTTCCTCGTTGTATCTTCCCATTCTCACTCTCAACCCTTTGGTCCTGCGACTATGGAACGGTTCGGGGGCAGGGCGGAGTGAGGATATATATACCATACATCGAACAACCGAACAACCTCCGCGATGGAACATCCACGATGGAGGAAAGGGAAGAGGAGAAATGAACAAGGCGAGGAGGCGACGGGGCGACGGGGTTATGTACTTGTTTGGGATTTCCGGTGTTTTGGGTGCTTTGTCTTTCTCAACGGTTTTCTTTTTTGGGGTTGTGATGGGTTGAGTAGGAGAAGATAGAATGTAGCTAGATTTTTTTTTTGATGCGAGGATTTGAGGTCTTATGTGCAAAAGCGTTCTCATGAAAGGGGTTTTTGGTTAGGGGTTAGGGGAAGGGGAGGGAGAAGTGTGATGATTGCGTGTAATTGTGTGAATCGTGGAGGTTTTAGATATAGCGTATCTAGATAACTTGTGGAAAGAAGAGGCATGATTTGTTTTGTTGGCTGAAATGATGTCATGGTCCGTCCGTGTACCTGATGGATTTTATGTATGCGCACTGTACATGCTTGATCGGAAGGTAGTGGAATCTTTAAGGTTGAGGGTTGCTATGTTAGTTATGTTTGCATGTACGGTCTCTGCGTGAAGGGTGGGTACGTGCAAGACAAATAGTATCGCCTTTGCTGGAAAGTGTAGTCCTGGAGGTTGAAATGTTTGTAGGACTTGTTTGTGCATTGTTCCATTCCTAGACTAACAAACGCTTGCTATGTATCGTTTTTGGAAATCGATGTTTGCTCTATGTCATACAGAACAGCATATCCCACCATAGCGATTCTTCGACTATAAAGATTGTACAAACACTCACTAATTCGGTTAGGCTCTGGTCGGTCCATAAACTCCTGGAGAAACATAATGTCGCTATGTTCTTAACAACTGTCCCATCCATTCATTGTTGCCTACACATCCAAGTCCACTTTTGTAAAAAAACCGCAACCAAGCACAGCCACATTGCCTCAAGAAAAAACACTCGCGACAGAAGAGAAGAGATCCATTAAAAGGAAGCCTAACCACCAGGCACCGACAAAAGCTGTCGGTAGGGCTTCGTATTCGCGTGGTGAAACCCGTCGATAGTCTAAATCGGGCGTTAGCGCGTGGACAATCGTCCCAGACAGGTTGAACAAATGGTAGATGCCTTGAATTGTCCAATCCGTACACAGTAACTATGCACAAAGATGAAGAATCCGTGCTTTTTTCTTTCTGGGCGGGTATGCTGGAAAAGATGCCACTGTGGCTTGATGTGCGATTTTATGTTTGCCTGCGAGCGGGGAATGGGGTGGTTGTTAGCCTGAGGCTATGGGCGATACCAAGGCTACGACTTTGGGGTTGGGTTTATGAGGTTGCTTGCTGCGCCTGACTTTGGCTTGCGGCTGAACATCTTCTTTTTTTTTGAAGGTAGCCAGGACTTGGAATTGGTTGTTCTTGGTCTGCGCATAGAATTATTATTATTCTTATCGTGAATTCTTAACTTTGGATTTTGGACTCTGAAAAGGTTGTATCCGCTTCAATTCCCTTAAACATTGACAATTGGTTGTCCATCACCCTCATCATGGCTACCCCCCAGGACGACTTCGTCCACGTACCTTCTCCCACAACAACAAACCCCCTCTCATCAACACCACAACCACAAGCCACAGCCGACAATACCTCAGAGCCATCCCTCCTAGCCTTCCTATCCGACCACCCTTTCATCCGAGAATCCGTAGTTGACAGAATCTACGGCTGCATCGTCGGCTCGGCCCTCGGCGACACGATCGGCTTGTACACTGAGTTCCTCCCGCAAGCCGCATGTGAAAGAGTCTATGGAAAGATTGGGGAGTTCAAGTTCAGGCTCGCAGAGCCGGGGGTCACGGAGGCGGTGAACGATAGTCACAGAAGTGAGATGAATCCCCTATAGCATGCCATTCAAAGCGAGAAACCAACAGTATATAAAACAAAAACAACTACTGATTCAATTAACAGATCGCTTCGACCCCCGCTGCTGGACAGACGACACCGACCAATCCCTCCTCATCATCCTCTCCTACCTCCACAACCGCTCCCAACCCGACCACCTGGCCGACCATCTCGCCTCAGACTTCGCCTCGCGCCTCAAGATCTGGATTTCGCAGGGCCTCCTCGCGCTGGGACGCCCACCATGTGGCATCGGCTCGCTCGTCGGCTCCGTCGTCCTGGACCCGCACTACCTCGGCAACCCCGTCGGCGTCGCGACGAACCAGTGGCTCAAGACGGGGCGCAGAGTCGCGCCGAATGGGAGTCTCATGCGCTCGCACCCGCTCGGCGTCATCGGGGTGGGGTTGAGCGAGGAGGAGACGGTGAGGTTGGCGGGGAGGGTGGGCGGCACGACGCATGTTGATCCGCGATGTGTTGTCTGCTGTTGTATTCTCGTGGTGCTTGTCAGGGGGCTTCTGAGGTGCGAGGTTAGGAGCGAGAGGGATGTCGATGCGGCGATTGAGCGGTGCTATGCGTTTGTGAATGGGCCTAGGGAGGGTGTTACGTCGGCGTTGGGGGTTGTTGGGGAGGATATGGGGCCAGGGGGTGGGGAGGGCGATGCGGTTGCGCTTGATCGCGGGGAGTTTGAGAAGTATGTGTATGCGGAGGGGTTTGAGGTGTTGGAGATTGATGATAGGAAGACTATGGGGTATGTGTATAAGTGTTTGGGGTCGGCGGTTTTGTCGTTGAGGATGGCGATGAGGGAGGTTGAGAAGCGGTTCATGGGGCGGGATGATGTCTTTGAGGAGAGAATCACGGAGTTGGTGCTGAGGGGTGGAGACGCGGATACTAATGCTACGGTCGCGGGCGGTCTGCTTGGTGCGTATCTTGGATTTGGGAATTTGCCGAAGCATTGGGTGAATGGGTTGGATCATAGGGAGTGGTTGATGAAGAAGACTGAGCGGCTGATCAAGGTGGTGGGAGTTGAAGATGGAAAGGAGGAATTGGTGGATGAGAAAGACGAGGCGGCTGATGGAGGTAAAGGATTGATGACTGAACATGAGTTGAGGAAGAGAGATGGCGATCTATTGATGCTGATATTGCAGAGAGACAAGGCCGGAAAGGAGAAGGAAGCGGCAGCGAAGAAGCAAAAGCAACACAAAGGAGGATTGGCGAATTGGTTCAAAACCTCGTAAGCAGATAGGACCCTATGATAGATAATATTTAATACAATTCCTTTAACATGATGTAAAGGCAAGTTGCCAGTGTGCTGAAGTCGTAGCCGTACATCTCTTTGACGATGACAGCAGGAGTCCAGTAGTATATTCTCTAAGTCGGAGAAACGAACATAGCATAACGCATTACTTTAGCAAAGACAATTCTCTTTACGGACATCGTTGTCAATACCTCCCACGGGTGGCGCTGATTTCTGCGCAGCACCGTTAACGAGATAGTTTTGCAAACTTGTAACCAGTACAATTACCTTATGGTCTATGAAAGTCAGCATTTCAATACAATCAAGCAGTTATTATACTTCAGATCTCTAGGTCCATTAATGATCTTCACTTGGCATATACAATCAGCATTCAGTGCGACACCGTGCCACGTGTCCGCACGTGAACGAACGTTCAATAAGTGGCAGGAAGCATCACCGCACAACTAGAAAACCTCATCACTATAATGGAGTCAAAGCAATTATTATTCTCAAACATTCAATTCCATTCTCGTTCCCAAATCCGATCTCTACGGCGACTTCTTAATAACCTTCGTGCTAGATACAAGAATAACAAACAACAAGTAAAAGTAGGAGATGTGGTCGAAGGCTGCCACTCGCTTGCAACATTCCGGGCATCCAAGGGTGAATACACCGTGTGTTGATTGCCTGGCGGAGATAATTATCTAGTTGTTGTTCTTCTTGCCACGACCCTTGTGGTGCCTCTTCTCGACGCTCTCGACACTCTCATCGCGCTTGTTGTTGTTCTTCTTGCCACGGCCCTTGTGATGGCGTCGCTCGATACCGTGATCAAGGTCGAGGTCCTCCTCATCGTCCTCTTCACGCTTGTTATTGTTCTTCTTGCCGCGGCCCTTGTGGTGGCGTCGCTCAATAGCGTGGTCCTCCTCGTCGTCCTCTTCACGCTTGTTGTTGTTCTTCTTGCCGCGACCCTTGTGATGGCGTCGCTCAATGGCGTGGTCAAGGTCAAGGTCTTCCTCATCATCCTCTTCGCGCTTGTTGTTGTTCTTCTTGCCGCGGCCCTTGTGGTGGCGCTTGTCAAGAGAGTGGTCTAGATCAAGGTCTTCCTCGTCATCCTCTTCACGCTTGTTGTTGTTCTTCTTGCCGCGGCCCTTGTGATGGCGGCGCTCAATAGCGTGGTCAAGGTCAAGGTCCTCCTCATCGTCCTCTTCACGCTTGTTGTTGTTCTTCTTGCCACGACCCTTGTGGTGGCGCTTGTCAATAGAGTGATCAAGATCATCACCAGTGTCGTCCTCTCGCTTGTTGTTGTTCTTCTTTCCACGACCCTTGTGATGGGGCTCTGGGAGTGCGGTACGGGAATTAAGTACTCCAAAAGCGTGCACAGCACCCTGAAATGGGGTTAGTAAAGATTGTAGAGATGTACTCGAGGTACTTACGGAGTTACGAGCCTGGACAGCGTTCTCTGCCGATGTGTCCGGGACAACGTAGGCAGCGGCGGAAGCGCCAAGTGCGAGAATGGGAAGGAGAGTGATGAACCTCATGGTGATTGTATGAATACGATGTGAATAGAGACTAGCTCGAATGAAAAGACGATAAAGTTCAAAAAAGGTTAGAAAGAATGAAAGATGGTCCGGCCACCGATGAAGAGAAGGATTGAGGGAATTGGAGAAGGTTGAGAATGTTTGAGAAGGTGAGCAGTGGACTGGAGATGGCCTGATGGAACCTATTCAGACATTTATATCGATGCCTTCTTCCACCACTTCCTCACCGTAACCGCCCCTGGAAACCAATCAATTGGACAATGCTTAGCTCCTGGAACACCAGAGTGGATAGGCACGGAGAGCGGCGAAAGGGCCGCGGAGGCAGAGACTCGCAAAACGTCTCTACGGCCCATGACACTAGCCCCGGCAATGTCACATTGTGAGGGACAGACGGATCCTCATGTTGACAGGGAGGTTAGGTTTCCAATGCTCATTATGCCAGCTGACATTGGTTAGACGAAGCCCATGGTCGAACCAAATAGGTATCCTTCGCTTCAATAATCAGACAGAACCGAAAGCGAACTTCCTCGCTTCTGAATGGAGCAATCCAGACGGTGACAGCATAAATCGAAGCCATCAACCAATGGTATGCCATCCAAATACCAGGGCTTGGGAAGAACTCCGAGCATGCAGGACATTGTGAAACGACCCACGGATATGACGGCTGTTGGCTATCGTCTTTTGGGCCAAGACCTAAATGCCTCTACACGGGTTGCGGGGAGGCTACCGAGCAGCAGGATTCAGAAACACGGAATCCTAGACAGAGAGAAAGTCGACGCGATCGCGAACGTGCCACCAGAGCGTCAAGTACCGTCTCTGCCCCTTGTCCGATGGCTGGGTGTTAGATCGCCAAGCCGAAACGTTGGTGGGAAATGTCAAGATCATCAAGCTTTGATCTAGCGCCATCTTTGAAACCGTATGCGCCCCCGTTCACGAATCACCTCCCGTCCTCAGCTTGACGGCCCCGTCTTTAAAATGCTTAATCGTGTTTTGCTTTCCACGTCGCAGGGATTCTGCTGGCTATTGTTGCCCGGAGAAAGCCATTCTGAGGAAGCGCCACACCCACTCTTTCTAGGTGCGACTCCAAGATGATACACTCTACGGAGTCGCATTCGAAACATCGTGGCTAACGTAGGCGAGCATGAGACGTTTGTCTTTCGCTCAGGACGGCCTCCTAATGCTCTTGCTCTGCCGCTCTGTTCGTTCGACTTTCGTCGAGGGCCTCTTTGCATTCTTGCCTCAGTGTTGACCACTATCATCTTCATTCTCTTCGTACTTCCGCTGGGCGGCACTGTTTAATTTATCATTTACTATACAATTTCAAAATCGTTCATCATATTTGTAGAGAAACATCGTCGATATGGAGAAACACGAATCCACACAGCTTGACTTCGATGACAGCAGCTCATCAGGAGACTACGAGAGCACAGCGTTCCTCAACAGCCAATATATGAAAGACGATCGAAACCGAAGGCGGATGATATGGCTCACCTTTTTCAATCTCTTCCTCTTCGTCGTCTCCGCCTTGACATTAATATGCGTTGCCTTTACACAGCGGTCGCCATCGCAGCATCATGTCGCGAGCTTGATGGAACAATTCGGAGTATTCTGTGAGTACACCTTTGAAGTACAGTTAGGGGATACAAAGCTGATCTCGAAAAGCCCCTGCGATGCATATGGTCGAATACACGCAAACAAAGTTTGAGCTGCCAAACCCACTCAATTCATCAAAATACGTCGGTATCACAGATGAAGTCGAAAACGCCTGGATGGACATCGCCTATTGTAAGTTCTCTACGTCGGCCCATTAGAATTCAACTGACAGTTGCAGTGCCCGACCAAATGGTCTCGATGAAGGACTTCCCTAAACTTGAAAAGCCTGAGGATTCATTGAAGGTCACTGACCCCAAGACCGGAGAGACCGGATATCGTGTCGGTCTTGAAGTCTTCCATCAGCTTCATTGCTTGAACTTGCTTCGCATGTCGACTTACCCAGAGTACTACACCAAGCTCTGGTGGTCGGACACCAACGACAAGCCTGAGAAAGTCAGAGCGCATTTGGGTATGCAGTCTCTCCTCCGCATCTCACAGTGCGCATGCTAACGTTACCAGATCATTGCATAGAGATTCTCCGAATGAACCTTATGTGTCTCTCAGACGTCAACGTGTTCACCTTCCGCACTATACCTGGCCGCGAAAGTGAGGGACCATGGCCTGACTACGAATCGAAGCATGTGTGCCGTAATTTTGACGACATCAAGAAATGGGCGAATGACAACGCCATGCCCGACGAAGATGTTTGAGCCAGCGGTGCGACATTAGATACCCTTTTGTTTATACAATATGATTCTCTATTTTAGAAACTTGCCCCGGCGCCGGCCTACTGATTGACGCCTTCATTGACTATGTGATGCTACCCAAGGATGCAATAGATGCACAAGTGCTGTCCAGTTGAATAAAGTTCTCGTGGAAGACAAATACTATCTCTTGAAAGGTATCATGAGTCTAGGGGACCCTGAAGGTTACTAAACGTGCAACCCCAGCGGTCCTAACCCATTGACGGTCTTGATTTTGAATCACAGCGGACCATTGATACTCTTCCTTTCGGTTTGTAAGTATTGAGAACATGGCTACCGCGTTGTGGCTTCGGCAACGATCTAATCCCGATAATATGAATCCTTGAACTACATCCAACCGGTTACCGCACCTCGGATCTCCCTCTTCACCACAAGCGAAAACCACCTAAAACGACTACAGCCCAGCAAACATCTCGGATACTCACCTTCCTTCGCGCAAACAATTGCATGCATTGTTTCGTCTATTCAAATCTTTCCATGACCAAGACAATTCGAAGTCTTGAGTTGTTTTGTCCAGATGTTTGGGGTATCTCTTGGCTGGGCAAACGTTTCAGCGCTGATCTTATCTCGCGGAACGACAACCTCCCGGCAGATGGATGCGCCAAAACACGTCTCCACAAGTTACCAAACCCGCAGCCCAGCTCTTTGCGATCGACATATATCGACAGTGCAGGGATTTTTGTGATTTTGAGCTCAGACGGCTGGGCGCAAGGAAATGTCTTTGTTTGTGGTGCATGGGAAAGTGGAAGTGTCGTCATTTCAAATATTGAGGTCTTGCGCGTTTCGTTTCCACGGGTGACTCTGAAGGGTACTACTTAGAAGTTGACTTTTATGTACGACGGGCAATACACAACTATTTTCGGGTCTTGCATGACTGGATGCAGATCGAGATGTTGGTATGCTTTCGGGCAACAGTTCTGTTGCTAGTTTGAGAAAGATAATTGATGATCTTATGGTATGAACCGAATCTGCAAGAAAAGAGACACGTTAGTAACTCTATGATCTGCCCAAGGACGGACTCGTTCTCATTAGAGCCAATTTGACTCGGATTCTTTGAATATGTAAACTCACAGATACTCTAGCATTATTCGAGCAAAGCAGTGTATTTTCTAGTTGCTTAGAATAGCCCGATCGGGTACTCCGTAGCTGGCTCATTTAGACAGTTGCGCAGTCGTGTTTTGCGCAACCACTCCATAGTCGACCATCTCCATATCAATCCCATCAATCTCGGCAGTCGCCACGGGAGAAACCAGATGCCGGATACCAAGGCTGACAGTTCCTCAACACCTAGGCCTTGGTGAATCCAGGAATAGCAACCATATGGTAGATCAATTCCTCGACAAGGCCCGTCCACGCCATCACGATCCCAATAGCGGACACACGGATACACAATTGCGAATCCCATGCCGTGTAACTCGCACGTCGTCAAGCCTCGACGCAAACACGCAATCCGTACCTGGATTCCCCATAGCCCGCATTCACAAACTTCGCCATGGCACTTTATACACCATTCTGGACTTCGACTGCTCATTGTCTCGACTATATCACTGCATACATACAAACCATGCCGTTTACCGTTAGCCACCTACCATAAGCGGACACCCAGCCAATCAGCATCAGCAGCTGTTGATGAAATTCCCCCTTCCGTACTGGTAGTCCTTTTTACCCGGGTAATCAAAGCGGACGGGGTGTGCCGGTGGGCACTATATGGGGTTTATATATGGTAGATGAGGGACGCGCATCGTGCGTACGCACCACGGGCGTTCTGGTCTCTCTTGACTTGAAATCTCTGCGGGAAGGGAAGGGACATGGGCTGGGCTGTCGTGCGTGTGGAGGGGAGGGGACGAGAGCCGAGAGGCTGAATGGGAAGTGTGAGTGAGGTTGGTGATTTATCCATGCCTGGGCGGGCGGCGACACAATGGCAGGCACATAGATAGATAGTGTTTGGCGTGGCCTTGTTTCTGGAAATCTTTTCTTAGGTTCCTGCTCGCTTTTTCTTGGTAACTTAGGGTTTCTTTCTTGTGACGATCACATTGAAAGTGTGGATTGAGGATCTTGGTTAAGACTTCGGTATCTGGACGGATTCTACTACAGACGCAATGCACATCTCCGTCGTTGTGCTGGCCTTCGCGGCCGCTGTTGCTGCTTCGCCTTACCCTTGGGCTCAACCGCAAGTCACTGATATTCCTGCCCTGCCGACGAACAATGGAACTGAACCCCCAAATGCCACTACCACGAGGCACCAAAACCCCCATAAGGAGCCAACGCCGACCTTCAAGTTAAGCTGCGAATGCCCGAAGCCGATCATTCCTGTTGATCAATTGACGCCTGCGGAGGTAAGATACATTTGTCTGTTGGATGGGATATAGCACAATGGCATACAGGAAAGAGTGTCGAGGGGAAGATTGTGATCGGTGACCTCGGTCTCAGAGACTAAATTGGAAGGATAATACGGTTCACGGGAACAAACGCTAATAAGTATACATAGAAATGCGAGTTCGAATTTGGAGCCGCGATGGCCTGCTACTACCGAGCCCAAGGCGGATGCCCTTCGCCGACATTGGCTGTAAGTACCTTGTGATTGAAATTTTGGAAGGTGACTGACACTTCGAACTACAGTGCAACGGACTCTAAGATGTTCGGTATGTGCAATCGATGTAAACGTTAAAATCGACTGAACTGCATAAGGAGGATGTTAGGGATCATTCGCATGATGTTGCATTGAGTTGGTTGAATTCAGGAACATTTAGGGACAGGGGGAAGCGTCTTTCAAATCGATCTGGCGATACAAAGCGCAAAACGTACATATACACAAAGCGAATCCTGAACATCGTATCTACCCTAGATACATTCAATTCGAAATTTTAGTTTGATGTTATCAGGCCACTGACATATGGATGCACCGAGGCTCTGAAATTGGAGGGGATAGGAATTGAGGCTCATAGCTTGAACTTGTCGTCAGTTACACCCCTCATACACTTCTGCATACTCGTAGTGCATACTCGTAGAATGGTGGGGAAAATATCGGCTCATTTTGTTTATGGATTCTTCATACTAGGTGATGACAAAATGAGAACGGGAGAAGAAAATGGATCAGGAGAATGGATCTGAAGTTCAAATATATATCAAAAACAAGGCTCAAGTTCCAAAATGCTTTGTATATTGTGCACACAAGCTCAAAATACATAGCAAGCTTACTACAAGTGCTGCGCACTCCATGAAGACACATACAAACGACGATGTACAGCGCCAGCAAGTATGCAACCACAACAGAATGAATATAGCTTCTACATCGGCGTCGGCGATTCAAGTGGGAAGTAAAGAACTCCATCCAATGCCATGCTACTCTTTTTATCCAACAATATATCGTGCATCATCACTTTAACCAGCGTGCTCCACGATCTCGCTAATCAGCTTGCCATCCTTGATGTAACTCCTGAATTGTTCAGGGACAGGGTTCTCGACGTAGTCATCGTCGGTTGGGAGGTTTATGTTCACGCTGGAAGATTTGCTGGTGAAGATCTCTGTGTTAAGGGATTCCTTAGACAGGTAAATAGTGGCTCCGTCAACCTGATCTAGGAGAACGGTAGGTAGCGAGCCGAGTACCTGCAGCGCGAAGTTGGGACATTTGATGACATCGACCGAGGAGACGAGCGAGTCGATGATGAGCGAGGCGCGGGATGAATTGTCGAGTGAGATAGCATTGGCCTTACCCTTGATGCGGATTGTTGTGTTCTTGCAGCGAGAAATGAGGATAGAGTGCTGAATCTCAGCTTCAATCTCTACAACATCGCCAGGGCTGTCAAAATTGTCGATGATCCACTTGTTACCATCGAGCTCCTTCTTTGGTGGCTTCTTCGTCCGCATGCTTTCAGGCTTGGGTTTCTTGCCCGGGGGGGCAGGGGACTTGCTGCGAAGGGAGCCAGAGCTGTCGCTACGGGTTGGAACTGGCGCAGTTGCGCGCAGCGACGGATTCTTGTGCGTCATTTGACTAGCGTCGACCTTTTTCAGTCCCTTTGTGACATCCGAGCCCTTGTTCAAGTCGCTAAACACTGCACCCATATCAGGGGCAGCCTTAGACTTAGGCTTGGGTGCTGCACCTGGTGGTGGTGGAAGGCCTGGTGGCGGGGGAGGACCTGGAGGTGGAGGAATACCGCCTGCTGGTGGCGGCGGTGGTGGTGGTGGAGGTGGGACACTGCCAGTCGGGGCCCCAGAAGATGCGTTCTTTACTTGCTGAGCCGCCTCCTTAGCATCGATTCCATCCTTGTTCCACGCAACTGCAGTAGTATGGTGTTGCTTTGCGTAGTCGGCAAGGACATTGAAGAGCTTGTAGTAAGCCTGGACCCATTCGGCGTTTGTCTTGTCGGGCCTGTCGTTGTTAGCCTAGGTTTCCGCACCTCTCAACTGAATCTTGCATACTTGTCTCTGTATTCCTTCAGCACCTTATTGCCGAAGATCTGAGCACCGCCGAACAATTCCTTGATGTACTCGTGGGGTTTCGGGCTACCCTCGACCGTGACCCAGCCCAAAGCCCCGACACCATCAGTGACCATGGTGAGAGGATCCCTGAGACTAGCTTCGCGGTTGTTCTGTCGGACCTCATCAACTTTCTCCATGGCAGCCTGGAGATCTTTGAGGATTTCCATGCAGGTGGAGATATCCGGCTTCTTTGCCTTGGTCGCAACAAGCAGGAATTGCCTTTGCGCCGTGAAGGCTTGTTGTACAGCTTTCGCCTGTTCCAAGTCAGATACTCTGCCTATTCCAGTGAACCGTATCATGAGACCGTACCTGACCATCCACAACATCCCCCAGCTTGCTGCTCAAATCCAACCATGTCTTGAGCTCATTGTTCAAAAGATTGTCGAATGCCTGGATCGATGCAGGCAAAGACTCGGCAGCCTTCGGGGCGCTGGGTGCCACTGCGGAGGAGGGGCCTGCTGGGGTTACGCCAGGAGCCTGCGCCGTGGCAGGAGCCGGGGCTGTAACATCGAAGCCAACTGAGGTTGAGGCAATGTCCTCTAGTCGCGAGGTCGCCGCCTCAAGCCTGCGCAGGACGGTGGTCAGTAGATTTCCTTGGACGGGAACCGGGCCAGTGCGGCCTTGAATGTTCTTGTTGGAATCCGACATTGTCGCGTCTAATGCAGATTCGATGTTGCGAGATTGAGGAAAGAGGGTACCAACCTCTTTATGAGTGTGGTAAGATTGTTCATGTTGTTCTGAGCCATGTTGCTGGGAAGCTGCGAAATGCAGGGCCACCTAGGGTTGGTTGGAAGGACAGCTAGGTATGAGCTCAGGGAAGGGGCCGAGGGCGGGCAGCTACAGCTCTAGACGCCGAGCGTTTGCCTTCTAGAAGAAATTCGGGGATTAGAAATAGCACGAGGGAAAAGATGAGCCTTTCGTTCAACACGAGGCAGAGAGAGAGATTGTAGGTAGTAGCAAACAAAGTCAAGACGGAGGAGGGAATAACAGATGCTGGCCGCAGTATCAGGTTGATGTTAATCCGATCTCCCCTGTCGCCCACGCGGACTAGTGCCTTGCCAAGACGATGCTTCACCCCAGCCGGGACCATTCGATTTTCCCAAGTCAGCGACATCGTCAACTGTATGTCTTAGACTCAGGTTCAAAAGGCAGCGCAAACGTACGAAACTTTGTCGTCACCATGGTCGATGATGCAGGTCGGATCGATTTTTGTACGCTGGGAATGTTCATCATTGGTCGTTTGCCCCGCTATCTACGTCCCACTGCACTATCGCTCAATTAAGTGCAGATGAAATCGAATTCCCACCACCAAAACCACCCGTGACAAACATTTTGGGTGGTGCTGGCACATGGTCTGCTCTGGGTGCAAGATTATTCGCCCCGCCCCCAAAATCAACCGCTGTGGGATGGATTGTCGATTGCGGGTCTGACTTTCCCTCTGAACTTCGAGAGACTATCGCCCAATGGAAGACAGGTGCTGTTCTACGCGAAACACCTAATCGACTGACCACGCGAGGTTGGAATGGTTATGGAGACAATGAACATCGAGGTATGTCATGTAGTTTGCTGTCACCATTACCGATTCGTCTCTGATATCCGCCTGCAGCTTTCCGTTACACCACACCAAAGTTGCGTCTCGATCATAGCGCTTTGATTGATACACCATTACTCTGGTCCAAGTCTTTCCATCTTATTTGTTCTCCGTCACGCTGTATTGATCTAGTGGAAAACATTCTTGCGTTACGTGGCTCGAGCGATGCTCTCAGAGCCACGGATCTACCGATCTTCATTTGGGAACCGGTGCCTGATCTATGCACACCAGAGGAGCTTACGAATTGCTTCAAGGCTCTTAGAGTAGTGGATGTTGTCAGCCCAAATCATTCCGAGCTCGGGGCCTTTTTCGGCAAGGGCACCGACGGTGAAGATCATGTTGACTATCGGTTGATAGAAAGCCTTTGTAGTAAGTGGTTACAGAGTGGAATTGGGAAAGACAAGCAGGGATCTATTGTTCTTCGCGCGGGCAAAGACGGCTGTCTCGTTGCCCGCCAAGGCTTCCAGAAATGGTTGCCTGCCTATCATAAATCCGCAGAAAAGGTAGTGGATCCTACAGGCGGAGGCAACAGCTTTCTCGGGGGGTTAGCGATTGGGTTAGTCAATGGGAACGCTGCCCCAGGGGCAGGGAGGCTGGAGGAGGCAGCCATGTGGGGATCAATATCTGCAAGTCTTGCCATTGAGCAAGTGGGAATGCCCGAACTATCTCAAAATGCACATGGTGAGATGTGGAATGGCACGAATGTCGAGGAACGGCTTTCGGAATTTAAAGAAAGGCTGGAGATATATGTACAGCCATAGTGTGCCCAGCAAACACCTAGGGGATAACGCATGATGCCCATCTATATCCTCCCATCCTTCAAAGCTCGCTCGAATTCTCTTTTTGCTTCCTCTCGTGCTCGACGATCTGCTTGCTCCAGCTGTGCGTGCCATTGTCAGTCCATATGTTCTAGTAATATCCGCACGAGCGGGAGGGGTTCGTACTATCGACTTGGGAAGAAGCGACCCTGCTCGGGCATCTTATCTCGATACTCCCGGTTTGCGCTCAGATTCCAGGCCATTCCTACTATTCCGAGGAGGACGGCGCCCATGACTGCGGTGTTGGCTTTCCAGTTGGCAGGTTGCGAGTACCAACCACCGGCTGGCGACCAGACGTGTTTTGGGTACCTTCGACAGCGTCAGAAGCAAGTCCAGTGATCAATTGAAGCGCTAAACTTACGGGATCTTGCCTCCGCCTCCCATTGTGATGTATTCTCGTGAGGATGTGTGTTGAAGTGTGCGGAGAAGCTTGAGGTGAGGTTGGCGGCATGGGTCCAACCTACCAATCCATGATAGGCTTATGTAATTAGAAAATCTTGGCAAACCTGAAATTTTGGCAGCCGCGATCATCAAAGCTCTCCAGAAAGAGACACACGACCGTCCTCGTCTGCCAGGCCTCTGATCCTCCTCTTCATTCTTCGTTTCTTCTCTTTCTCCTCTACTGTCCTTAATGAAGCGAATACGCATAACAAGTTGCGGCAACCAATTGCTCGCCCAACCCACCTCGCGACGGCCGTCATGTCTCCGCTCTCCAGCTGCATTGCAGAATTCCTGCACACCTCATAATCACAGGATACAATCCCGACTACAAACCACCGCTGCAACCTCCGACAATCCATTCGACTCATTAGAGGCCTCCGCAACACAAAGAAGTCAATCATCCAATACCTCCTCGAAGCCTGCTAGATACCCCAACAAGCAGCCCCTCGTGACGCTCCCATCACCTCATCCATCCGCCGCTCAGCATTCCGCCAAACTAGCCGCTCTCAGAAGCCGTCTATCTCTTCCCCAACGCTTCCCTCTGCAGACACTCGCACGCACGCTTATCCATCCTTCCGCAGACCCCAACCCAGCCTTCAACAATGGCTCTCTGTCTATCCTAGGAGGCAATCTACTTGGATATTACACCACCGAGTATCTGTTGGCCAACTACCCCCGCCTTCCTATGGCTGTAGTATTTGCTGCACAATCGGCATACACTGGACCAAAGGCATTGGCTACAATTGCGAGTGAATGGGGCATCGAGGCAGCTGCGGAACCGGGAGGCGAGGTGGACCCTGGACTTCTCCAGTTCAAACGTTTACGCTCTGGTGATGATCTCCCAGCATCACTACGAAACCAAAGACGATACAAATGGAACGTCACTACAACCAACAAAGTATTGGAGAGCGATGAGTTTGGCTCGGCCACCCAATCACCCTCGTCCCAGCAACTGTCCACGCAACAAGTACCGTTGGAGGAGGCCGCACAATCCTTCGTCCGCGCTTTGATCGGAAGTTTACATCTCCATCTTGGACGGCCACTGGTAAAGCGTTTCTTCCGCGACCACTTCCTAAGCCGCCATCTCGACTTGAGCACCTTATTCGATTTCCGCACCCCTACTCGCGACCTCTCCCGTCTATGTGCCCGAGAAGGATTCGAAGCCCCCGTCGCCCGCCTCATCTCCGAAACCGGCCGTCTCAGCAGACATCCTGTCTTCGTCGTCGGCGTATACTCTGGAAAGGACAAACTCGGTGAGGGGGCCGGCAGCTCCCTCGATGAAGCCCGAGTCCGCGCTGCGGCTGCGGCCCTCAAGGGCTGGTACCTATACCGACCTACCGAAGTCACCGTTCCCAGCTCAATGGAAGGCGAAACCGACCAAAGCAAATGGAAGCCGAATATGGTGGATTGCGGAGAAGTCATTGTGTAAGAATATCAGTCACCATCATGTTGGGATATCATGTTGCAACCACACTTTGGAGTTTTCATCCTTTCATCGCACGACTTTGGCTGTAATTTTTGGGGGAAACGCTGGGGAAGGATTCGGCATGACATGCATTTGCTGGGCGGGCAGCAGTCTTTTTACATCTTCGACCTGTGTATTTTTGCAACGGTGATTTCACTTTATCCTTAACGATGGGAAGGAAAGAGGAAGAGAGGAAAACGACCAACGATGACATAGAAAAATGAGGAGAGGATAGCCTTCGGCAGCAGGCTTAAATAGAGGGAGGGAGGAGGAGGCAGACGAACATCGAAGGAAAACGCACCACAACTCTCCGCTATCAAAGAGGAGAGAACAGGATGAGGAAGAAAAGGTCGACTTCGCATTTGTTCTTCTTCTTTGGTCCACCACACACTTCCCCGGTACCAAAAAGAAACGCGCACGCAATGAAAAAGATTGCCTTTTGAGGGCAAGGCAATGTAACACTGTATCATACGAGTACTATATCAAAGATCTTTAAACTTTTACCACCATTGTTTGACTCACTTGTTCACCTGTCAGATAATCTAATTCTACATGCCAGCGTGCCAGCATATCAGCACATCACCATGTCAGCACCTCCCTCCCTCCCACACCCCCTCTCACCGCCTTTTATTCTAGGGAGCGAACGCACGCGGTTTCGCGGAGATCTGATTCGCACACGCTTCTATGCGGTTTATAGTGCTTTGTTGACGCAACTTTCCCATTACCTGGGCTCTATCGCATGGACATCTTTTTGTTTCAAGGGTGGTGAAATGATGGGCTGTCTACACGTAAATCGGCATATACGAAGCGATGATGCAAACGCTATAGCAGCATGCATGCAATGGCAGGGCGGGATTCGAATTTCCAGGATCTTTAAAAGATAGTAGAAGAGAAAATGATGTTGGAGTAAAACATTGTTGCTATATTGTGATGGTGCGAATTCATAATCTGTGTGTGTGTTTTTCAATGATGTTATTGATTGTGTTGGTGATACTCGAGAGTAGTGCTTGCAAGTATAGCGTTTTAAGTATCAATGAAGATAAGAAGAAAATTGTAGCTGCCCTCAACGTCCTTCTAATTCTGTTCACACGTAATAATAAGTATTTCAACAAATCAGAGCAGACGCAAAAAATATTCGCAAGTTATGTCTATTCGATGTAGTCATTGGGTGTGTGTTGCCAGTGTTGTCATATATACAAAATGGGTTCCTGAGAGATGTGGTACAGAGAGAGAGGAAGAGATATGAACCGCAACAGCAAGAGACATATACGAATCGATGTCCACCCTCCGTTCGAGGCACCTTGACAACAACTGCCTGAAAAGTAGGTCCTCCACCATGCGCCAGGTAAATGTTGAGATGAAGAGAAAAAAATATGTCCAAAAGAAATAGGCTATAAAAATGCATTGGAGACTGGTGCGCGTCCTGAAAAAGTTCATGATTATGATGTCCTTTCCCATTGTCGTCAGTTGATCTTGTGGAGTCCCTTCTCTTAAAAGTGATGCAACTCATCAGGCCTCAAAAGTCGTCACGTTTCCGGATAAAAACCCACGATGGTCGCTGCTGCTGCCGCTAATGTTTGCCTACTTGGAAAATCGCTCGAATTCTACAAAAGCAGATCGCGTTCGTAACTATGAGATGCATGAAGGGGTATCAAAGGGCCGGCCTAAAAGCGAAATGTTATGAAATGCTTGAAATGATAAAATAGAGAAAAAGTGAAACGAAACGAGGCACTGTTGCTGCATTATTCGTGGCGTATGTTTCCCATGAGTTATGTTTCGTAAGTCGAGTCTGCGGGGACTTATCCATCCCCCCCCCTCTGGCCAACTGTCATGTTTCAATCTGATTCGGATCGGATGGTTCCGGTGGACTGACGTTCCGCGTAGATTTGGTTCTGCGCCAATCTACCACGCCGAACCCTGTTGATCGAAACCGTCATACCGACGTTGTTGCTGCTGGAAATAGCCATCGAACACACTCAACTCGGGTTTTCGGTCTGGACTGCTCCCGGACGTGCCGTTCGTGCCATGTGTGCCGTTCATGCCGTTCAGATTGCTTGAAACGTTCCCGTTTCGCAGGCTTGCGGCCATTTGACCACTGACGCCGCCACCGTCGAGACTTCTTCGTCGACCGCCCACGACCTTTCCATCGCCCAATTGTGCAAGTATAGACACCAATTCCGCCATCTTGATGCGTTCCTTAGGCTTCGCAGTAATCATTTTCTCGATGATTTGAAGCCAATTAGATTCCGCCTTGAGTTGGCGTACTTTTCGCCCCTGGCCAAGCAGTCCGCTACGAAGACCAGAGGTGACTGTTGCGAACAAACGATTGCGCCAGCTGCCGACACGATCCAGATGAGCATGGAACGACGCATCCTGGGATGACCCTGCCCTATATTGCGTGAAAATAGAGAGCGACTGATTCAGGGCAACGGTCATCATGGAGAGAAAAACGCAGCCGAGGGAGAATACATCAGCTGGTCGCTTCCCATGGGATACGATGGCTTCGGGAGCAGCATAGACGAAAGCTTGGTCTTGGAAATAGGAATTGAGTTGGTCCAGGCGTTGGCGATTGATGGCTGTTGGACTGAACGTTTCACCGTTCGATCCAATACCGAAGGGCGCGAGGTAAATTCGGGAACCGTCGATCAAAATCTTACGAGGTCGGATATTGCGATGATAGACAGGTACTTGTTGGGTGTGTAGATATTCAAGAGCCCCCGACAGATCGTGCATCCAATCCACCAAGAGTTTGGAGCGATTTGGATCGCCTTGAGGTACAGAGAGGTAGTCATCCAATGAGTACTGTGATTGAACAGTAAGAACTCCAATGTGGCTCGGTTGAGCGTAAGAGCAAAGTAGTTTTCCAATATTTTTGTGATCAAACTGCTTATAGTCACTGATCTGTTTCAGAAGAGCAATCTTCTGCGAGGGTCGAGTCAGGACAAATCTCTTGCGAACAAGGACTCGATCACCGTCTTCTCCTAATACCCGGACGAGATCGGTACTCTTATCGGAGCTGCGAGATGTCCTGACTAGGCTAACATGCTTCAGCGGCACTGTCTCACGGTTGGTGAAATCTACATGTCCACCTTTGAGCGGGAGTTCTTTTGATGTCGCTCGCCATTGCTCTTCAACAACTTTCTGTGGATTCGTAACAATACCCTGAAGACGATCCTCGGGGAAGGGGAGGCTTTCATCTCGGAGGTCAAAGAATGCTGCCTGACGCCACGAAGATATATCATCACAGACGACCAAGAGCAATGCCAGTCTGGGATTAGACAATGTCCACTGCCATACCTTCTTAACCAGAGCCGGGTCCCATCCCTGTCTGCGAGATGTCTCGTAAAACCAACCAGACAGAGACTGACCCTGCGAGAGAACTGATGTATTGATGAAACCATTCACCAAGGGCTGAAATGCAGGTGCGCTTTGTTGAAATACAGTTCCAGTTTGACGGTACGGATTCGGGGATCCAGGAAAATTGGATACGGGAGAACCTGGAAAATCCCCTCGGAAGCTATCACCTGCCGAAGATGAAGTGGTTGGAGACATTGGAATGAAGCCGGCAGCGGGGTTTATAGGTCGTAGCGGCTGTGGTGCTATTGGCGTAGGCGTTGTAGATCGACTTGTATATTGCGGGGTACGATTGGGACTATCTCTGGGCGAAGAGCTGGCTGAATTGACCGAACTCACAGAATTAGTCGAACCTGGACTTGCCATGAGGTTCGACCATGGGTTGTTTGAAGTGGTTGGGGTTATACTCCGACTTGTAGTTGACGAAACCGAGGACGCCGTGGGGGATGATGGCCCTCGGTTCGCATACCAGGTCGGTTCCTCATGTAGGTTCACCATGGACATGGTGTGGGAGAGACTAAACTGCTGCTTAGGATACTCAGAGCCTTGTGCGGACGACAGCCGCCAAGGGACGTGGGAGGTTTGTTGCATCGCTCTGAAATTGATGCACTGCTGTGAAATCGAAATGCCGTATGTCAGATGGAATAAGGGAATGATCAATGAGCACTCAGAGATAAGGCGCAATGCTGTGAGGTGCCAAATGCAGAATCAGCAGTGGGATGCAGCGATGGGTAGTGAAGCGTGGAGAGATCCCAAACGTCCCCAAAAAAGCAAAAGGAGCATATCAAAGAGGGGAGTGAGGGGGAGAGAGTGGAGGTGACAGTGAAAGGAAGTTGGATCCCAGGAGCATCAGTCCATAATAGATGTACTGCGCACACAGGGCGACAGGTCACTATTGCGAATGCAACGGGGCCGGCGCATCCCAAGATCCTGGCGGGCAGGACGTGCTATCTCCAGGACGGGCGAAGGCTTTTGATGTGTTGTCAATTATTTGACTGCATTCCGAACCGCATTAGTAGAGGTGGACAATAATATATGCCTTCATGTTGCGCGTGTTGGGCGAGTGTAAGGCAGGCACAAGGGCTATATGCGGGTTAGCTCGACGCATGCTATGTGGGTGACGTTGATTCGCTTCCTTCACGAGAGGAGTGGCTCTGCAGCTGTTCGCAGCGTCCTATGGTGCCAGATCATCCAGATCATCTTGTATACAGCACGCGCGAGCCGTCCCGAATAAATCAGCCATGGGCCGCGATGGCCCTTATTCGTGGTCGCGCTATGAGGGTCGTCAAAGAGGCTGCAGGACTGCATGGAAAAGCCGTATGGCAATACCACCTAGATTGCCAGCAGCCGTGTATGTCATTGCAGTGAGTGGTTGAAGGATAAAGGGCCAGCGACCTGCCACTTCTCATTTGTGGTGAAGAGTCAAAGACGCCCGGATGCCCGCGACTTATGCTTGCAGTTGCTGTGGTTATTATTGCAGCGATTACTCCCGTTCTGTGAGGATGATGCTGATATGTTGTGCATGGGAGACTCCTACACCGTAATTCCTTGGCCTTTTGGGCTCAAATACTGACACATACCATACCATGCTCCGTCCGTCCCTTTAGCGATCTTCTACTTGCACTGAGTAGAGGTCAAGTCATCACCGGAACAGGAAGAACGTAAATCCGGGCGCGAACTTGGGCGGCGAGCTCATAGCAAGGCTGCCTATAACCAGCCTATGAGCTGTCAATGTGCGGATATTGAATAATAGTATAAAATCCCGGGCGCGACGCCGTCTCGTCATCTGGAGTCGCGTGCCCATGTTCTCACGTTGAAATGGTATGATGCACGGTACGAGGTGTCAGTGTGCGGTATGTGTGCAGCGAACGGCAGGTATCTGTGGCTGTGATCAAGGAGAGGTGGGAAGTTGAAGAGCAATCACGACACGACTCGAAATCTCGAACACGGGAGGGGATGATGTACTGTATCAGGCATGATGAGACAGACTCCAGAACGATAGGCGATTGAGATGATTGAGGCGAAGGGAGGCTCAACACTCAAAAAGGGAAGGGGAAAGAGACGGGACAGGCGTGACAGGGAACTTGAAACCTGGCGACAGCCCCAAACAGGAAAGGCTAGCGGCTGGCGGCTCGGCTGCCAGCGCCCATCGTAGCCTCCGATTGGCCCCCCGGAATATCTGAAGCGCCCTGAGTATCAGTCCGTGCTCTGCATTACAAGCACCTCAACACCAATTGTCTCAAGGAGTTCGACATTTTCATGCTCGCGAACACTCCACATATCCAAAATGTCTCCATCATGGGAAAGCTTGGTTGGAATTGAGCCTCCCACCCCTAGTTTAGGCCATATGCGGCCAATTCGTCCACCCTCTTAGCGTCCTGTGGCTTTTTTTGCATATCATCCCCAGCAATACTCGTCTCAGTAACAGTTACAAGCCGGTCTCAACTCGTGTGCCATTGTCGTGGCAAAGCTCGGTGCTGCTCGTACAGTCTGGAATGCCCCACGAACTCACGCCATATCGAATGTCCTCACGGCCTTCGAGCTCCATCGCCTCGTCATCCACTTTCTGTTCCTCTACCGTATCTAATTCTCTTAATTCACTTACCCACCCTCGCGTCACGCGCTGTTTTCTCTAATCATCCTTTCACAGAGCCGGTTTCTCATGAGCCGTTAGGACTTCATTCTTTTGTTTCTTTCTAACAGTTTCTCTTCTCAACACCATTCTTTTCCAAAGCTGCTGGGCAGCCCGGCTAACCATCCCTTCCTCCAGTCTCTTCAACAAAGCATACTTCTTTAATACCACAGAGCGTCTTTATCACAACAGTATCCAACATCCACAATGATCTTCAAGACCATTCTTCTGGGCGGTCTAGTGCTTGCTGGACATGCCTCTGCCAGGGTGAACAAAGTGAACGCCCTTTTCCAACGTAGTGACGACATCGAAGAAGTACTTCGAAGGGACGCCGGCTTGATCGCAAGTCTTACTGTTCGACAAAATGCTAATCCTGCCGGCACCGCTCCTCAAATCTCGACTACGCCGGCATCTGGAGATGCTTCACAAGCAGACTTAGCAAAGTGGGAGGCAGATACCAAGGCAGCATGTGGGAACGCACTGGCACAACTCAACGGGAGGACATCGAGCCCGACTGGTATCGCCGTTTGCTACAATCTACCTTTCCTCGACAACCAGACCGGTGTATTCCAAGCAGAGCTTCGATTGTACAACATATCCACGCCAATCAACCCATGGACTGGAGTCGGTGCTAGCGATATCATGGTCACAATGTCTTACCTCGGCGCGACGCTTCAAAACATGAACACCACTACCCCTGCAAAGAGGGACATGAGCTGGCCGCCAATCAAAGAAAGAAAGGAGGATGGTCTTCTGATAGTCAGGCAGAGTGCTGATGTTCCACAAGAACTTAAAGTACTCAGCTACGTCGGAAAGATCAATGATAATGTTATGGGCAGCGCGATGACTGAGTAAGTCTGGTTTAACGAATGCAGTTTGCACATGCTGACAACTATACAGAACAAGCCTGCGTCAATTGTTGATTCCATCCATCGAACTCATCGCCAATAATCCAAGGGGAGGCAACACTCTTCGCGAGACCCTCTCTTCAAGCGAAGCCTCATTTGTCAACGGTGTGTTCGCGAACTCGGCCGCATCGCAAACCGAAAATGCTGCAGCCGCAGCTTCTTCACTGGCAGCCGCAGTGCAACCCTTCTACCTGCCCGGAACCAACTTGGCCTTCTTCCCCATCGGACTCGTCATCACTTGCGCCTGGACTGGATTTTTCCTTCTGACTGTGGGCCTCGGCACCCTTGGCCGCATCCAGTTCCGTGATCAGTACCGCAGGCGTCTGAAGCGAGAGATGGCGTACAATGTCCGGACGATCTAACGCCCCACACCCACCTCCCCCGCATAACGCATGTAACTCTTCTTTGAATCTCAGTCAGGAAAAATAATGGAAAGCTCGCATTTTTTTACTTTCTTTTTTACCTCGTTTTCGAACGCTTACTTGTACATAATATTACCCAAGCATCCTGGCGATTTGAGGGCCTCTATTCTTTGCCAGCAAGCACCAGAACGCAGTACGTAATTTTGAGGATCTGCGCATCCATCATGGGAGGAAAAGGAATCACCCAGTCACGAACCCAAGAGTGTATATAGCACTAGATTGAAAAAACCAGCAACCTCCAAAAAAATCGAAATACTCCTTCGCATGATTGCCACCATTCTCCGTCATTTGTGATGTTGACACCAGATCCCACCCAGCTGACGCAATTTTCTTTGTCTTTTCGGACCTCCGAAAAAGCCCTAACCATGATGACTGTATCTGAAAATAGGGCCCCCATATTATGACATCGGATTTTCGCCGTGCTATGGCATTTTGCTACGGACAACCCTTCACCTTTCCGATACGTGTTACACGGGAGGACCCGCTAAGCATCACATCGTGATTGGCTGGATTGAGCAACGACCTTGTACTCCGTACGAGCCTCAGATTTTCCACATCCAATTTATCATTTTATTGCGCATGTACTCCGTATGAATATTTGAGGAAGCATTAGAGCAGTCCCTCACCCCAAGCGCATAATCTTCTCCCTTTACCCCGATGTCTTGAAATGACAAACCCCCAGCATCACCCATCGAATCGTCCCAGACATTCGCCCCCAAGCCGAGCAAATTAGCCACAAGTCCAGAGAGACAGAAATGAGTGAGCGCGTACGCTCATGCTTTGAGCCTGAATGTTCTACGCACGTGTAGCCCTATCCTGTGCGCTAAACGCCTAACTACTAATATTGATATTTTGGACCGCTGTGCCAAGATATTGAACCCATTTCTCTAGCCGCCAGACTAGTTTGGGGGTTCTGCTAATAATAGGTGGTTTGCTGCTTGCGATGGTGGGAGGGTTTGATTGGTTGAGGGTGGTTTGCTTCGTCTCCATATTGGGAGGCCTGGTGGTCGCGGAATTTGCTGGTATGGTATGTCTTTGGGGCATTCTTGAAGAAGGCTGGAGTTATAGTTATAGAAACCGAGTACGGGAAATCAGCCGGGACTGAAGATGTATAATTTATGGGTCAGATTTTTTCATAGTTCAAAAATTCACTACGTTTGCGCAATTGCACCATCATCAATGGTCGATTATACCTTCTCGGTCTCTTCATATCCATACTATTATATATACAACTCCATGGGCACTGTGCAGGTAATTGCGGACATGCAGTCCCTTTAACCACCACCAGCTCCTGAGTAGAAAGCGCCAACATTTCGATATCTCGTTGTAACCGTCTCCACCTCCCTAATCTCACAACCCTTCGACACCTTGACACCAGCAAAGCGATCCGCAATCCACTTCAAGTAGTCGAGCTGCGGCACCTGAGCCGCAACGTTATGATCTGCACCAGGATACAGCAAGAGCGTAGCCCTGGAATCCGGGAAGTGGCTGCACGTCTGATTGAAGTCCCATTCCGTATTGTTCGCGTAGGTGAGAGGGTCCTCGATACCCTGGACCACGAGCAACGGTGCAGCGAGCGCGTGCGGACCAGCGCCGTTGTAACGCTTTTGCCAGTCGACGACGAGAGGGTGTTTCAACCAGCTCAAGTCCTTGAAAAGTTGGTCTGCAGTCAGGCCCGCGAACAGCGCTCGTCCTGAGAGGAGGCAGCCCTGGTTGACGAGTGGGATTCGAGCGAGAACGGTGTCGGTGACGTAGTCTTCGACTTTGAACTGTCCGGGGAACAAACCCGCGAGGGACTGTAGGAAGAAGACGGAGACGGCATCTCCAATGGGACCTCCGTTGGCACGTCGAATCGATTCTGGGATTAGGTCTAATGGTCGCAGAGCTGGAGAGTTGGCGACAGACCCGATGAATTTGCCTGCTTTCAACAGATTCTCTTGTCCCGGCAAGGCGAGTCGTTCGTTGGTGCGCCATGCTGTCATTCCGCCTTCGCTGTGCCCGACGACTACGTATTCCTTTGAAAGTAGCTCTCCAATGACCTGACGTGCAGCTATCAAGCCATACGCGACATCAGCGGCATGGAGGAACCCAGCTTCGTACATGAATCCTTGAGGGATGTCTGAGCCTTGTCCGGCATAGTCAGGCGCAATGACGGCGTAACCGGCTGTAGCCAGCGCGTATGGCCCTTGCCATTCGTAGTAGAGATCTTTGTGGTTGGATGGCGCGCATTTGCGTCCCCATCCTGCTGTTCCGTGAGTCCAGACTAGAGTGTTGAGCGGCTTGTTCGGATCGGGTTTGTTGTATGGGAGAAGCACGAATGCACTTGCTGGGATCGGTTTGCGGTCAATGTCTTCGGTCACATAGAGTAATCGAGATATGGACATCCCAGCTGGTGGGGTGTAGTTTGTGTTGACAATCGTCTGGGAGAGGTCCTCCCATCGCAGGAGATCACCAGGTTTTGCTGATGTTGCATTGGCAGGCGTCGAGTAGAATGCATCATATGCGATGTCTTGGGATACCCATGACAAGGATTCGATGCTCAAAGCTTGTTGGAAGGCTGTTTGACATGCTTCGTCGCAACCGTCTTGTGCATAGCTCTTGCGGACCAAAACAACCAGAACCTCAAAAAGAAGAAGCAGCCTCATTGTTGAAGTCTCTTGATTTGAAAAGTAAGAGAATAGTCCTGCAGTGCAGACTCAAGGTTCGTTATTGCATCTGGGTTTATATAGCCATCTTGTGATGATATCGGGTTGTTGTTATCACCTTCATCACACTCAAAGGGCCGTTTTGGGTAGCCATGAACCGGATTGAACATAGTCTTACAGGCATTTGATTTGTTCATCCTCATTATACCAATTGCCGGGGATTAGCGTAGCCAGAACTTTGATGTATTTCAATCGGCAGTTCCTGGTGATAAGTGACCTGAACTAGCCCCCGTGTCAGTCGGACCGATGAGCGATGCTTCGTTCGTTATATTCCAAGGGTACCAATAATGCATTGTAGGTGAACATTTCGCGCTGCCTTACGTCGTAAGGTTTGTGACGATATTATTGAATCAGAATACACTACTCAGAGGTGATTTCTCCATTATAGCTATTGAACAAGCTCGAGGCGTGTGAAAAGTTGTCAACAACCCCTAGCAATGAGACAACGGATTTGGAAACTTCCCCGGATCTCATGTCGTCCACTAGCGCATCATTTCCCAGCTAAGTATGTCCAGGCGCACTATTATGTGCGGAATTGCTCCGTCCTGTGAACCACAACCTGTACTATGGTCATTTCCCCCTCATTTCGAGCTTCTCCCTACGAAAGATGCGCATCGGTAGTTATTGACGGTTGGAACTACGCTGACGAATGAATTTCAGCATGATAAGACGGGAAATTAGATTGTTATGATTCGAGGACCTTCACCATTCAGCTTTCCTTGTCGTTCGAGATATCAAGACATGTATCCTACGCCTTTACTTTAAGCGAGTGTGACGTATTGACCCAGCTTTCCGTCAATTGAGGGAACGGGACAAGGCCAATTGAGAATAGTCAATGCTTTAATAGTACCTCAGGTTGATGGCTGTTCTATTTGCTAGCACACGAGTGTTCTATTGATGGTGCGCACGATAACATCCTCTATGGCCTTCCCATCCCTTACTTCAATGACACGGTTCGCCCGATGAATAAGATGATCCTTATGCACAATGCTAATAATCGTCCATCTTCTGAATTCCTCCTCAACAAAATCCATCACAATTTCTTCCATTTCCCTGTCAATCGAACTTGTACATTCATCCAAGAGAAGAATACCGCCCCCTGAACCGAGAGTCCGACGCCGCAGCGCGGTGCGTACGAGCGATAAGATTTGTAAATAACCTGGCGAAACGGCCGATGGTTCTAGATCTTCTGTGAGATCTCTGCTTATCGGAACCTTGCATTTCTCTAGTATCGCATGGATCGCTTCATCAGAGTGGCTGTTGGTCGGATCAAGATAATCTCGCAGTCGTCCTAAGGGCGGTATTGCGTCCTGGCTAACGCCAATGATTCGTTCGCGGAGAAGAGAGGGTGTGATGTTGCTAATGTCAATATCGTCAATAAAGATCCGGCCACGACTGGGATCCATCATTCGAAGTATGAGGCTTAGGAGAGTAGATTTTCCACTGATAGTTCTGGTTAGCTGAGTACTTTCGAAAAGTTCATGTGTCATACCTTCCAGTCCGACCACGTATAGCGACATAATCTCCTCCTTTGATGTCCAGATTGAGATTGGAAAGTACGGGTGTCTTATTATCGTCGCTAAGATTGAGGTTAACACTTCCATCAGAGGTCCGAGGGTCAAAGTACTTGCGTGTAACCTGCAGACACATTCTCAAACCGAATGCCTCCTTTACGTGGCCAATCCCAAGTGAGCAGCGAGTCCATATTCCCGTGACGTTCTTTCGGCGTAGATGCTTCGAATCCACGAAGGCGAGCAATTGATCCTAGAGACGTTTCAAGGGTTGTCCACGCTACAACGAGATTTGCAATACTCTGATTGAAAGCGAGAATGTTGACCAAACCCACTCCTACTGCGCCGGCTGAAGTCATATCTTTGATGAACAGAGCCATTGTTACGAAAATGACAGCTATTGCTGCAACGAAAAGATCTAGTACGACTGTCAACCATCGTTGTAAGCATACAAGTAGGTAGTAAGGTCGCTGCGCGGTGTCTAGCAAATCTAAGAACTCTGTCCGCATAGTTTCCTGCCAATGAAATGCCCGCAAGGTCTCGAGGGTTTGAAGTGTGTCTATCAGATACGTTAGAAGTGGAGCTTTTGCTTCAAGTTCTAGGTAGCGCAATTGGCGGGATGTCAGAAGATAGAATTTCTGCACTCCATAGGTGAAGAGAAGTCCCAGCGGCATGATTGCTGCAATATATTTTGCCCCAAAGCAGATAAATATCATGTCGAAGAGACAGAATAGAATTCCTGCGATAAGCATTAATGTCTTAGCTCGAATACGTCGACCAATAGGTTGGTACTTACCGAATGCGGTGATAAATGTGGCGCTCGGAAGACTCATATCAATCAGTTGAATATCCTGACTGAATCTGAAAACGCATTAGATAGCAATCAATACTATCAAATTGCGCCTTACCTGTTCAAAAGTCCACCAGGCCCCGATTGAAGAATGAATGACAAAGGTGCACTGAATCTTTGCATTAACAACAATGACATGTCAGAGAGCGCAATAACATACCTCATCGCAGTTCTTAATAGAATATCGTGAAACTTGTAGATGAAGCGCGAAGCAATGTTGACAAAGTAGTTCCTTCAAGAGCATCAGCTTTCTGCTCTAAAGCATCACCATTGCTTGTCATACCATATAGTAGCCCATATAGCGAAAAGACTCGAAATAGCCAACATGTAGTATATGCCAATGAACGTGGCTTTGCTGATACGGGAATCATCTTCGGCCCACATCTTCAGCCAAATTTCTTCCAGCGCGTTAGTTTCACATTCTATATTACTAGGTGAGTACTCACGTGGAAACTTAAGTAGAAAGACATAGACGATAGCCATGAATGTAAAGGTGAGACCATCTTTCCAACCTATGGTGCGGACATAGTATCGATAAACCGCCAAGTCTCCAGTTTGGCGGGTTACATTTTCATGGTCCGCAACGACTGATGTCACTTTTGCAGCTTCTGTTTTCTTGATGTTTTTGGGGATATCTTCATCAGTTGTTTCGCTCTCGATAGGGTCCTCGCCAATGAGGTCCGTAACGTTTGCGTTGGATATTAAGCCGTGCTCTTTGATTCTCCCAGCTTCAAGGACGATAATATGATCGGCCAAGGAGGCCAATTCGTCTAGATGGACGCACTCAGTACGTTATTATTGCGAATCATCTGATGCATGTTTACCTGAAGAAGATGCGATGATCACACTCTGTCCTTGTGACCGACAAATACCGTCTGAACCAAGGAGATTATGAGCCACAGCTTTGCGCGTGTTCAAATCCAGACCACTGAACGTGTCATCCAACAGTAAAACCTCTCTTTGGGCATATAAAGCTCGACAAAGCGCCTATAGAGCAATTAGTCAAGTTAATAAACTGAGATGAGAAAAACTTACAATTCTCTTTTTCTGCCCGCCGCTCAGGTTTGAACCACCAGCTTCAATGAGGGTATTATCACCTTGAGGCATTCTAGATAAGTCATCTGACAGTGCACAGGCATTGAGAAGTTTCATATAGCGATCGTAGTCTAACGGGTAGTCGCCTAGTATGGTATCGCAGATTGAACGGCTGGGATACCAGACGAGTTGCGGACAATATGCGAAGGAGGTAGCATACGAAAACATTCGCCCTCGCTGAATGACAGTCTCCCTAAGCAGTGACCTGAGAAGAAATGATTTGCCTGATCTTGTCGGACCCGTGACAAGCGTAATAGATCCTCGAGGCAGGCAGATATTCACATCTTGTAATATGGGTTGCGCATCAAGTTGAACTCCAAAATCTGCATTTTGTGTTTGGAATAGGACATCTGGCTGTTCCAATGTTTGCGATGCCGTATTGGTTGAACATTTTGCGGAAATTCCCGGCCTCTCACTATCTCTTATCAAAGGAAGCGCCCGTAAGTGATTAATACTGTTCTCTGGCGTCTCTTCCGATTCGAGGAAGAGTTGAATGCGCCGAAAACAGCTGATCGTAGAAAAGAAGGCCGGAATAGAGCTTACAAGCGATGCGATAGTGGAACACAAGAGGTTGATAGTAGCGAGAGCGGCGAAAACATTTTCAATGCTGATCCTCGAATTTGAGTGGATCAGCGCCGCAATTGTAAAAGCAATGACAGGTGAAAAGACTGCTGGCGCATTTGCTGCAGAAGAAGTCAGGTCGAGACCAATGATGTGATGTTCTGAATGCGAGCTCACCAATTACATTCATGTACGCAGTGTAAGACCGATAATGCTTCGACTTTTCGATCTCAACCTTGCGCAAAGCATGAATTTGCTGGGATTGAGGTTCAACCATAGAGCAAAGCTTTAATTCCTTGAGCGATAGTATGGCGGATGTTGCCGCGGATACTCGACGCTGGACAGCTTGATTCCAAAGTCCTTGGTAGCGACTCATTCTAGATGATATTCCTAAAGACATCATGGTACATGCTCCGAGAGGTCAGCTTGTCCTTCCATCACCTATCATAGTATAGTCAGATTGGACCTACCTGCAGCCAGTAGTACAGGAGCAATAGATGCTACACCTATCTGGCTCTGTAATAGGTAGATAGCGAACGCAACCTCAACAATGTTGGCCCAAATCTCATGCATGTTCTGGAGCCCATTCGTAATTCTATCTACATCGGCCGTTGCAAGCGTGATTGCCTCCTTGCCATCAGTTTGAAGGAGGCTTAAGTGGAGAGTCTTCTCGTATATGGCCGCGACGATCAATGCGCGTACCATAGTAGTAGTGCGTCCTACATAGTATCTGTACAGGGACATGGAGATCTGACAGAATTCAGTGCGAGCTCTAGCAGAAAAGACCATGTTGACAGCCTACCGCTGTTCCAGTATATACCAGTGCAGTTGCAGCAACTAGACCGAGTTTCAAGTTCCCTGCTGCAACTTGCCCTTTCCCAACAATGTGTATGACTTGGGTAATCAGAAGTGGCTGTGAGTACTGAAAGAACCCCAGGAATAGGCGTGGTAGAATTGTCGCCAGTAATGGCATCGACACAGTCCGGGTAATGCTTAGGACAAGTGGGCCAGTTCGGCTTTCGGTCCCTACTGTGGAGTGTAAGGGCATGTAGGTCACATTGAACTGGAAGGTAACATTGGAACATACTGCTTTTCCATTGCTGCTTGAATTGATCGTTCAATGGCCCACTAGCCAGCTTGAGATCAATTTCTTCTAAGTCTTTCAGACCAAGAACCTTTTTTGCTCCGCGAACTAATAATGGATTCATCCAATAAAACAGGGCTCTATTAATCAGACTAGCTGTCATCTCAGATGGAAGACTAGGATAGCTTTTCACTAAGATAGGCCTTTTGTCGTGCAGCTCCAATAGTAAGACTCCACATTTTGTGACGAATGTCAGTGTTACAACAACAGAGACTGATGTATCGAAACCTCGGAGCCAATGCGTGCGCACTCGAGCAATGTCCAGTAGAATTGTGAATACTAGAAAGGATACGATCAAGCTCGATGGCCGAAATGTTCGCATGTGTTCTACAGGAGAAAGTGCTATCATTCCAGCAGAATTCACCAATGCTACAGCGGAGGTTACAGCCAAGAAATTGCCAATCTCATCATGCATGAGTGAATACAAGATGAGTTGTGCTAGCTGAAGACCACCTAGAAGGCATATTGAGGTCTAGAAGCTGGCGTCAGCCAGCAGTATGCAGGGCACCGAGAAGATGGGGAAACACGTACGATCTTGAACAAGGCCAATATTGACTTTTCTGTTTTGACTTTGGAGCGCAGCAGGTAAAATAACCGCCCAAGAAATACAAGAAAAAATAGAGCGGACGGTACAAGCGAAAAGAATATTGCCTCAAAGAGGACTGTGAAATCGAAGCTGTTGTGGCAGCCTTCCACTATTGGTCCAAAGGAATAGTCGTTTCGACACACCTCTTTCATGCTGCTGAGGTTGAATGGAGTGGGAGGAACGAGGAGCGAGTTCTTTCCAAAGCCGACGGAACATCTACTGGACAATGAGGTATTATCCGCATCCGCTAACTAACAGCGCAAAAAATACCCTGCGTAATTGAATGTGGATTTAATGTCATTGCTTTCATGCAAGATCAACATAATGATGTAGTCGTAGTGGCGGGAGGATCGGGTGCTGTGGATCCTGGTCAATCTTACGGGGACCAACACGCGCCATCAGCCTACGTACCCTGGTCATTTATACACCTCGCTTTGGTGGCACCAAAGTAAGTAAGTACCCGTATGCTGATCCCGAGGTAGTTAAGTCAATGTAAGAAGACCGGAGTACGATGCTTGTTAGGATTTGACATTGTCCTTTTGTGGATAAGACAAGCTTGGCTAGTTTGCACCCATTACCATATGTTCTTGTTGCGCTTTCTATTATGTTGTCTCCCCAAACATTAGGAATTTGCAGCAGAGCAATTGTATTCCATCATGCGAACAACACAGCAATACACACAACGAGACCGTTATGGGGTATTCACATTCTTTTACCTGTCAACGGGCCTTTTGGTCACTTCGATATTGATCCTTCTCTTCGGAGCCATTGGCTCATTGAAGGGTACGAATTCTGGTCACACTGGCTTTGATCCAATATGTAAGCCATTTAATTGACTTCCAGTATCGTTCACTCAAGTGACTTGAAGAATAGTACCAGAAACTACCTCTATTTTCGCCAGAGATCCAAAGTTTGCCGATCCATTCTCTCCACATGCCGATGAGGCATGGAACTCGATAATGCCAGGTAACATGTACTCTGCCCCTTTGATTGATATCTAGGCTGAACAAGGTATTCTTAGAGGGCCGTGGCTTTGTCCTGGTTGATGATCCAAAGAAGTATGGATATCGCAAAGGCGTACCCACAGAGAAGGGAGACCGTTATAGTGTGTCTGTGTTCCATCAGATACATTGCCTGTGAGTACTACCCTCCAATCTTGCTTGTCATTGCTAAGTATGAGAAGTGGCATGATCAGGGCTTCGTACTACAAAGGCAATGGTACGGCGAAGCCAATTGGCCATTTAGAAGGCGACTTGCCAGCGGATATCTTAGAAGAAGTCCATGAGCACCACATTGCTCATTGTTTCGACTATTTGCGACAGGCCCTCATGTGCAGCGCAGATACTACTATCGAATGGGCTGTTGTTCAGAGCACAGGTGAAAGGAGGCAGGTTGATGGATGGGGCGTCCCTCACAAGAAGTGCAAGGATTGGAATGTTCTGATGGCGTGGATGAACGAACACAAAGCTCCTTCAGATTATTCTGGCATATTGTAGATATTAAACTGGCATTTGAGCCTAGTTGATGAGGATTATCAGATTACGAAGGCAGAATAGAATGCAACATCTAAAGTCTGACTTGCGAAACTATGAGCATGTTCACCTCTTACTCTACATCACTATTGTTTACTAAATCTTGGAGCTCCACAACTTCCATTACTTATACATCTTGATAATCTTCCGCTATGAAATACCTACGAATCCTAGGACTCTACAATCTTCAGAACACTTTGTGGCCCTCAACATTGTTCTTGACAATGCTTTGGCGTTGCTAGAGCATTAACACAGACTCTAATTCAATTCACTTGGAGATCCAGATCGACATGGACTTCTAAAAAAATTTCCCATTTACATTTTGATCTATCGAGTATCGAAAATATTGCTGCTAAGCCTTCAGATGTCTCCATCTCTTCACCAGCGCTCAAGTTTCGCTAAATAGAAATGTCATCATACTTCGATGCGTTGTACGCATTCGTCATCATGTATTGCCAAATAGTATCCTGTAGCAGAATTAGTATGACATTGAAGAAATCCACGATGTTTGGAGAATCGACTTACCCAACTCTTGCACTTATGAGGAATGTCCCAACCATCGACGTGACGTCTTTTGCTGCCATCGGGCTCATCGCGCGGCCACTCCATTGACATGTCTCCAGCGCACATGAGAGCTTGTCGCAGATAATCAAAACAGTGCCCCGTGTGGGTGTTTTCTTGTTGCTTAAGCGACTCTTTAAGTGCCGCCTCTTGATCGCCACTCGCGACGTGGTTCAGAAGAGTCCAGTACTGCTTGCGCAAGAGTCCCTTTGTCGTATTAGCAATGTATTCAATGTGGAAAAAAAAGCGGACTCACCAAGCAATGAATCTGATGGAATAGAGAAACGCTAAAGATTTCACCCCAGGGCGTCTCCTGGCCTTCGTTCAGACCATACTCACGCGGCTCAGGTACAAACACGAAGCCACGACCAGGCTGGAACAATGGGTTAGTAGATGAGAGTTATAGAGTATAGTAGGGTACCTACAGGGAGTAACTTTGACCAGGCGTCTTTCTCTCCAGTGAAAGGTTTCATGAAATCCTCATGCGCTTGGAAGGTCTCTGTAACCTCAGGAACTACATCCCAGATTAGAATGACTGACACAAGTTTTGAACAAACAATACTCACCTAGACCAACAGGATCTTTCAATTGTATTGGTTTTGAAGCAGGAGTGCATGCGACAGGAGTCTTTTGCAACTCGGCTCGCGATACTTGATCGATTACGACGCTGGCGAAGAGCAAGCTCGTCAAAGCAGTCAAAATGCAAAGCAAAGTTCTGATTGAACGAAGCCCTCCCGACTGCTGTGACGATGGTTCACTCTCTTCACTGCTCGATTCATAGTCTTTGGATAATGAATCTCGTTCCTCTGCCGCTACCGCCTGGTAGTACGGAGTCTGATTGCTTCCGTCGAATTTGCTGTTGAACGGCCACATGGTGAATTCTGTGGAATTGATGGGGGGATTGCAAACACCTGGAAGTCTCGAGGACTACCTTTGACATATCGCACCATTCTGAAGAACGACCTTCATTGCTGACGCGATTTCGTAGGGTGGGGCAAACCCGTTGTTGGCTGCAGTAATGGCCATGCCACTCGCAGACGCTCCGACATGATCATCACGGGGAAGGCTGAAATGGAAAATGGAGAAACTCAGTGACATTCGTGAAGGATTCGCCGTAAGGATTCGCCGTCAGGGTTCGCTGTCTACTCAAGCATCAGCCAAGGTCACGCAAGCTTACTGTGGGGAACAAAGTTATGACGCTCGCAAAGCTTACGTTTTTGCACGCCAACAAACATGCGCATCGGCATGCAAGGGGGTACAATGTCAACAGCCAGATCCTACCTCCCGATTCAGGTTTAGGGGCTCACCGAATCTTGCATTGTCTCTTGGGGCTGAAAGGACGTTGGGGAACAGAGCCGCAGATCATCGGCGCCCTATTCCTCTCACTAGGTGAACAGGGACAAGATTGACGCATGCTAGAGGTGCGGCCCGCGGATCCAGCTGTCATTCGTATATGCGCCCTGCATCGTGAACTAAGACGTTTGTGCGAATAGCTTCAAGTACGTATTGACGTAACGCTCCCCTTCAATTTTGGAGCAACTTCGCCACCCCCGGTCGGCCTATGCATATTTTCGCAACCCGGGCCCAGAACCGAACTCAACCGACCTGAAACACATAGCTCGACACGTGAGGGAATATTTGTCGATTTTTGGAATGATGCATATTGGGTCTATTAAACGGTCATCTATCGTTGTCCCTATGAAGCAGGTGGCCTTAAATTCGCCATTGTTCAGCTACATCACAAACTTGTGTGAGCTCATCAGCACCAATGGTGCATGGGGGCACGCAGGTCCCATAAGCGCTTGATGCAATGAACGCCAAATAAGATCTCCCAAATGCTTAATTGAACTCCATAGGGACTAAGTGCTTGCCACAAACTGTTCATTTTATTTTTTGTACTATTCTATGTAGGACTACGTGGAACGGTGATCATCTAGTATGCTTCGACCCCGGATGACGAATTAGTGCTGGATCAAATCCATCGAATGAGTGATCCAAAGCCCAACCATGAAGCGCATCCCAATCTACGCACTTGTGTTTGCTTGTGAATACTGGCCATGGCTTCTGCTTATCGTCTCGCCATGTGTAAGTGTTAACAGTAACGTCCGCATTGCACATGATGTACTGGCGGATCACATCCAGACAATGGTCTAGTCAAGTCAGTCTCCAAATATGAAGGACAGGAACTAAAGACATTTTGGTACTTACCGAGATGCTCCTCTTTATTCGATTCATTGATGGTATAGTATTCGGGATGAATCGAATGTCGAATGTATTTCTGGAGTTCTATATTAGTGCATGCTCCTCTGTTCTCAAGTCAAAGGCAACTTACCAGACAATGCAATTGATGGTAAACATCTGGAAAAAGCATCAGAACAAATTCTACACACTGACTGAGTTCACGTACCTAGCGTTACGAAGTACCCCGAACCATCTTCAAGTGGAATGGATGTTCGGTTCATTCGGTCCATGTCCTCCTTGGACGCACGAATTGCAGTTGGTGCAAGAAGGTCATGCCATGCGGCATCAAGTTCTGGAGAAGGTGGTCCTTTGTACGGATTGTTGTCATCCAGTTCTCCATGCACTGTTCGGCTCTCGAACTTCAGAGCAGCATTTGCAGGTGCTGTGGAGAGTGTGAGACGAGCGAGAAGTCACTGCGGTGGTGGACTTACAGTAAAGACGGTCTTGTGGTTCTGGTGTACGCATGTAAAAGTAGAGTGCTGTCATATAACCAAGTGCTATGACAGTATGTATGAAGATGGCGAGCATTCCGTGGATGGAGACAAGCTTGTCTCCTCTACGGACGGGTTGTTGGGTATCTTCGACATTGGAATCATCGAGTAGCCCCTTCTCCGAATCGTCGAGACTCGAATTGCGTGACATCTTCATATTCTGAACGAGTTTTGAGAAAGTTCTGAGTAAGGAAGGAAATAAATTTGGGTGTAGTTGGACTTCTCGTTGCTTGATAGTTTGAAATGCACAATAGATAGGTTTCATGCGTAAGAACGAAAACGTACAACAAGACCCGTATGAGCAATTTGCGGAATTCTGCACCATCAGCATTCAACATGGTCCATCTGCACGTGAATTGTTCACTAAGTGATAGTCGCCGAGCCCCTGCGTGGCGATTCAATTGTCAATTCACCGTGCGCGCTAGGATCCTTGCCAAATTCGGAAAATGAGTATAGCAGAACGTAACGACGATCCACCCCGCCGCAGTTGGCAGATCTGGGATGGGCACAGCAGGATCGTTTAGGTAGCTCAGATATACCATCTCAACCAAATGCAGATGTTCGGTGCGCCGCTACGCAAGGATTCTCCATCTCACGACCCACCGCTCGACTCCATTTGCTGCATATTGTACGCGGCTCCAGATTGACATTGGAATGTCACCATTTCAGTTTTACATGTCGAACGCAATAGCCTCGGGGCCCGGAGGGTCTTACGTGAATTCAAAGTTGACCGAAAAGAGTAGAGGACATGTCCAGTAAGGAGCGATGTATCGTAGTCTTGAGAATATAAATATGACACTCTGCTCGCTCAAGTTCTCATCATCCACTCATCAAAGGCCTTTCGACATTCACTTCAGGCAAAGCATCTTTCTCACCATCATTATTACAACTCCTTTATATCAATCATCAAGATGAGAATCAACGCCGTTCTCGCCGCCATCTTGGCTTCTGCCACCTTGGGCGCTGCCATCCCCGTGAATGGTGAGTTCTGGGTTCCATTTCAAGTTATACAATCCACTAATTGAGATTAAGTTGGCCCAATTGAGGCTCGCGGTGAACTTGATGCCGACAGCCACCAGTCCTACAGGCGTGCCAACAATGATGCGGATAGCCACCAATCCTACAGGCGTGAGGTCGCTGATGCGGACAGCCATCAGTCCTACAAGCGCGAGGGCGCTGATGCCGACTCCCACCAGTCTTACAGGCGTGGTGAGGCCGACGCTGATAGCCACCAATCCTACAAGCGTGACAACAACGATGCCGACAGCCATCAGTCCTACAGACGCGAGGTCGCTGATGCTGATAGCCACCAGTCCTACAAGCGCGAGGTAGCTGATGCTGATAGCCATCAATCGTACAAGCGTGGCGAGGCTGATGCCGACTCTCATCAATCGTACAAGCGTGGAGAGGCCGATGCTGATTCTCACCAATCCTACAAGCGCGAGGGCGCAGACGCCGACTCCCATCAATCCTACAAGCGCGGAGAGGCCGACGCGGACAGCCATCAATCATACAAGCGTGGCGAGGCCGATGCCGACTCTCATCAGTCCTACAAGCGCGGAGAGGCAGATGCGGATAGCCACCAATCTTATAAGCGCGGAGGGGCCGACGCTGATTCACACCAATCCTACAAGCGAGAGGGTGCTGATGCCGACAGCCACCAGTCGTACAAGCGCGGAGAAGCGGACGCAGATTCTCATCAGTCGTACAAGCGCGGAGAGGCGGACGCGGACTCTCACCAGTCCTACAAGCGTGGTGAGGCCGACGCAGACTCTCATCAATCCTACAAGCGTGGTGAGGCCGACGCGGATAGCCATCAGTCCTACAAGCGCGAGGGAGCCGATGCCGACTCCCACCAGTCCTACAGGCGTGACGGTGCTGATGCTGATAGCCATCAGTCTTACAGGCGCGAGAGCGCTGACGCAGACTCTCACCAGTCATACTAAACGACGCAATGTCTTCCCCAGACATGTCAGAAGACTTCAATCTGGGGTAGATAAACGGTACACGCAGTGCAACTTTCCTGAAACAGCTTGGATTGTATGCAGGAGCACTTGGGAATTGGTGCATGCCGAATAGGACTGGATCCGGTGATGATATGAACGGAACGGAATGGTGTGACGATGCAGCCATCGGTGGGATATTTGGACGCTCATTAGATGTGTTTAGATCTTTTAGTCGAATACAGTGGATGTTAACGAACTTTCTGTGCACCGTTGTCTCCTGCTGAATTGTGAGAATGTTATGCTTACAAGACAGATTGTGTCAATATTTCGGCTCTTCCTATCTCTCTTACTAGAAATCAAACGAAGCTCTACTGCATGCAACTCAGGGCCCGGTCTTGGCCATTAGCAGTGCCATGAAGCATGACTCAAGATGTGTGAATGGAAGCTGGAACGTGGCCAGAGGACGTTGGATGTTCGATCAGACTTTGCACGTTTTTAACCCGAGACTGTTGATTTCTACCAAGCAAAAACAACCACTCGCTATTCCAGAAGTCTGCCTTTGAATATGGCCAAATGGATTCCTGTATATCTGGCCGCTCTTCGCAATAATTGTTGCATCCGGAAATGATAATGACTAGGCGGAAAAGTGGATGAGATCTAGCTATAAGAGCCCCAAAGGCCGATGAGCCCCGCTAGTAACCGTGATGCTGTGATTGGTCAATGGCTATAGGTATGCCGGCCTGACGCTAAATCCTGACCGCACGCCCTATGTAATAAGCCTCCAGGAATTCTTCAAAGATGAGTCGGAAGGACTGAGGAGTCATGCATTTATAGCTATAAATTTCAACTGACTTCCTTCTGAAACCATCTTTTCTTATCTACGACTACACATTGTTTTTGTTTGAGCAAGAATTCAATTACAGAAAATTACCTAAGTCATGGCGTCGAGCACACTTGCTGTAAGGGAGAGTGGCCCCTCGAAGTTTGGAAAAGAACTGAGGAAAGACTTCTTGTTCGACGAGAATTGGCTCAATCTTAACCATGGTAGGACCTCCTGGCCCATGTCTTGATAAATTGGCCTCGTCGCCACTCGTTTTGCCTGGTTGAGGATATCAACACTTCTATGGATTACCCCACATTGGATTTGCTTTGCTTGTCTTCAAGTCCATACGTCAATGACCAGAAGAGCTTCTTTCCAAATTGATTAGAGTCTCAAATGGTCATTCTTGGAGTATCAGCTGACAGAATACCAGGCTCTTTCGGAACCTATCCTCGTAAGATCCAAACCATTCTTCGCGGGTTTCAGGACGAAGCCGAAGCCAGGCCAGACAAATTCATCCGCTATGACTACCCCCAGTACCTTGATGAGTCTCGCCTTGCTGTATCAAAAGTTCTCAATGCACCCGTCGAAGGTGTAGTCTTTGTGCCCAATGCGACAACTGGCGTCAACACTGTCTTTAGAAATCTCGTCTTCGAAAAGGGCGACAAGATCCTCTATCTCGACAATATCTACGGTGCATGCGAAAAGACAATCGCGTACATCACTGAAACGACCCCAGCTGAGGCTATCAAAATGCATTATGAATTGCCCTTCGAGGATGACTCGTTCGTGGAGGACTTCAAGAAGACTATCAAGCAGGAGCAGGAGAAAGGTTCTAAAGTCAAAATTGCATTGTTCGATGCAGTCGTGAGCATGCCAGGTGTCAGGCTCCCATTCGAGCGACTCACAGAGGCATGCCGAGAGCTGGGTGTCTTGAGCTGCATTGATGCAGCGCACGGCATCGGACACGTGGAGATCGACATAGAGAAATTGGACCCTGATTTCTTCGTGAGTAATTGTCATAAGTATGTTACAGTCTCTAGGTTCCCCCTTGAACTCCTTTGCAAGATATTGTGTGCTGATTAGTAAAGATGGCTTTTCGCGCCTCGCGGCTGTGCCGTGTTCTACGTTCCGGTCCGGAATCAACATCTCATTCGCTCAACGCTACCGACTTCGCATGGTTTCATTCCACAACTCAAGCCCGGCGTCAAGATTAGGACACCACTTCCTGTTGTTGGCGTCAAGTCTCTATGGGTATCCAATTTCCAGTTTGTTGGTACCATCGACAGTGCGCCCTATCTTTGCGTTCCAGAGTCGATCAAGTATCGCGAATCCATCGGCGGCGAGAAGGCCATTATCGATTACTGCCACAACTTAGCCAAGACAGCTGCAGCGCGTACTGCAGAGATTCTGGGCACAGAGGTTATGGACAATTCTACGCGCACAATCACAGATTGCTGTCTTACAAACGTTCGCTTACCGCTCTCATTGGCTGAGCTCGAACCAATCGCTGTCAAAGCAGGAATAGAAAAAGATGACGTTGCAGGTGTTGCAACTGCTTGGATGCACACGGCCTTCATTGAAGACTATGAAACCTTCCTAGCCTTGATATTTTACAATGGAAATTGGTGGGTCCGACTGAGCGCACAGGTGTACTTGGGTCTAGAGGATTTTGAGTGGGCTGCTCAAAAGCTGAAAGAGGTCATCGAGAGGGTCAAGAAAGGAGAATTCATTCCTAGTGGCAGCAAGTTGTAGAGGATCAGGGAGAATAGGATTCGCCTTTCGCATTGATATAACTTAGACTTGTTCCCTCAAATCATAGAATGAGACTGTGATTGTGGTAGCATGCTTTCCTTGCGTCACTTTATTGCCCACTATTGTCGATATCCAAATTGAAATGAGGAACTCTGTCTCTGGATAGCTATCCCTCAAGCTTGGTGAGAGTGCCGGACTCGTCGTAGATGTACTCGAGGAGGTTAACTGAGTGGCCGAACCCGTCAGCAGCAGTGGCTCCCTCCTCGGGGTCCTCCTTGATTACGATAGTCGGATGAGGGTACTTGTTGAGACCGGTGCAATTGAGGAAATCTTTGTCGCAGCCCTTGCACTAAATGTAGTGTTAGCACGGTGATCGGAACAGAGGAGATCGACAGGGGAATCTGTCAAATCGAAGTGAAATATCGTGACGGCCGAGACTTACGATATCGTTGTTCAACTGGCAAGCACGCTTTGCACAAATCTTCTCGCAGCCACCACCATTGGTACCCTTGACTCCAGCAATCTGTGCACTGTTTTAGTGGTCATGTTTGAGATAGACAGTGTGCCTGCTTACCCGGACACAGTTTTCGAATCTGGCCTTGCAGTCACCGCAGGAAACTACGGCGTTGGACACATGACCAACAGGATAACCGGGAAAGGCACCTCCAGGCAGGGCACAGGCGAGCGCGATGAGCCCGACCAAGGTGGCGAAGACCTTCATGTTGATATTGTGTACGAGCTATCCAGAAACGAGAGTAGTGAGGTAGGTATGTGAGCTTCGTCTTTCGTAGTCCGGGGGCGGGAGTGATAATGGAGGCTGCGTGGTGGGAAAAGTATGTTTAGTAGGGTCTGAGGTCTCAAAAGAGATTGAGCAATGGCGCACGGAGAGAGAGAGGACCCGACCGGTGTCAAAGTTGTTATTCGATTGGTGCAGAGGTGGGTGGGCAAGTGCGGTGTGTGACGTTTGTAGTGAAGGCACATGTGGATGATCGCATTCAATCACAAGACAGCGTGATTCTACTTCACTTGCGGTTTGTTTACTGCTCAGCGCACCCTGCTGGAGGACTTAATTGATGAGGTCAAAAAATAGCAAACAGATGCTTGAGCCACATGAACTAATAATGTCATTAAATTACAGCCACTGTGATGGTCAACGTGCCTTCGGCCACACTTCCACCATTGATGAAGATTTTAGTACGCTTATTGTCTTAATGAATTAATCGGGTATCTTAGTAGTAAGGAATGATAAAAACACAGCACTCGTACAGGATTCATTTTACCTCTTCCTCGTCCTTTTTGGTGCCGGTTTGGCTGCCTTCGCAGCACTACGATTGGTCCTCCTTGTGCTTGGGGCAGTTTCTTCTGTGGCAGACTCTTCGCTGCTCTCTTCTTCCTCCTCTTCCTCTTCCTCCTCCTCTTGTTCTTCCTCCGCCGATTCCGACTCTACTGTCTGTGCCTTATTGTTCTTTGCGCTTTGTCCGCTTCTCGTGGCCTTTCCCTTGGCAGCCGATCGACTTGCACGTGTGTTCTTCGGATTTTTCGGCGCGGGTGTGGCACCTGACAAGCTCTCTGCTTTGAGCGATTGTGATTTCTCGTTTTCTGGCAGATCATGTAGCAACCCTATTCCAGGCTGGTACAGAGCCTTATCGTCTTCGACAGGCATGAATGGTGGAGAGGATGCTGCCTCGGATTCCGGGCCATGGAAGCGTTTTTGCCACATAATCTCGCCAAAATCCTCCTCTGGTAACTCAAATTCGGGGAGATCGTATGCTTCGTCGGGGTCGGCAGGGTCGGGCTGGTCGCTAAACTCATAAGAGTTCTCGCGCTCATCGAGGGCTCGTAGATCGTAGAGCTGGTATAATTTGCGCCAAACGCCGGGTATTCGGGTGTGAGGAGCGTCTTCGGACGCGAACCCGTGAGATCGCATATTGTTATGTATTGACATCATGCGGAAATGCTTGTGCAGACCTGTCGCGAAGGTTACTTAACAGCTCAAACAGGGAGATGGTACAACTGACCTGCGGGCTTCCATTTCATCATGTTTTTGAACAATTGGGTCTCCTGATCATCGGTCCATAGTATGCCAGACTCATTCTCTTCCTGCGGGGAAGAGCGATCTTGCGATTGAGTAGCTACGCCAGATTCCTGTGGTGTTTTGGGCTGCGTGTCTGCGAGAGGCGTGGAGGCCGCACTGGCCTTTGTTCGCTTCCGAGGAGGCATGTAGGAGCGCTTTCCAACGATGGATGGATAGTCGTAAGATGTTTAGATATGCGGATCGAGCAATGGGATGTTGCAGGCGGCCGTTCTTGTAGTGTGGTTGGCGTTCACGAGAATGTATGTTTAGCGCGAACTGCACCGCGTAGGGCTGAGATTTTGGCGTCATTGGCCGAGGCACTCCCGAACAACCAACTACCCCAGAAATGTCAGGGCGACCGCGAGATGGACGATAATGGCTGCGTACGAGATGTCTTCGCGACGGACGAGCTGTGGAAGCCCTCAAGCTTCTTCGAGGATCCCTTCACGCAGGAATCTACACTGTTCGCGCCTATAGAGCTGGATTGTAAGTGTATCGCGTCCCCCTCAATTTACGCGTCTAACCCACACACAGTGCCATCGATCCAGCTAGACCATCCGTATGCCCCCAAAGGACCCTTGGACAAGGCACTTCAGCTGCCGGATCTCGAATCGTTTAAATTTGAGCCCTTCCCAGAGCTTGATAGCCTTGAGCCATCGACTATCTCCACCGACACCCCGCAATTAGACGAGCAGGAGGAGGATATATGGCGCCTTGCCTTGGAATCTGGCCCTGCCAACAAAGATCTGAAGTTTTTCAGTTGGGAGGCATTCGAGAATCCGGACCATGTCGAGAAGCGATCACCGTACATTGCAGAGTCCGGTACCGCTGCTCTTGATGCAGCTTTGGCTAGTCACGAGGGCAAATTAACCGCCAAAATCATCAAGAGGCAGTCCCTTCTGAGCTGTTTGTGGAATCTGGGCCTTGGACGCTCTTCACTATTGTTTCAACTGGATACCAAATCAAGCGCTTTCGTGCAGGCCATCGATCAGGGACGAGCCTCGGGCCTGAGCCTCCCCGCTTCGCAAAGTATCGTGAAGCAATTCCTCCGAACTGGCAATTTGTTCGTTTACCTCCGCTCTTTCATAGAACGTACATTTGCATCGCCCACTTCCATATCGACAAAAGTTGCATTGGCCACATGTGTATCCAGTATCTTGTCGACCTTTGAGGATTATCTTGGTACACATTCGAACGAGATAACATCTTTGCTCCAGTTGCAGCAACTGTTCGCTAAACCACGGGTGATTCTAGCTCATGTAGGCCACCTCGTCGACGCTTTGAAGAATGCAAAGACAAACGAGCATCTCTCGTCCTTACTACATCACATCGTCCTGGGGTTGGAAGGAGGGGACGAAGTTCTCTGCAGATTGTCGGCAGAAATACTTCGCAGGGTGGCACAGCCTTGTTTGGAACTCATAGGAGAATGGATAGGGACTCAGAGGGAATCAAGCACAACTTCCATCGAAGAGCGAGGCAGCTTTGTTCTGCTAGCAGACGGCCCTGACAGTCCGGATCCGCGAGAGTACACATACAGATCAGAGATGATGCCTCGATTCATTTCACCTGAAGATGGCAATACTATTTTTGAGACAGGCAACAGTTTACGATTCCTAAAGCTTCATCACCCCGAACATCCCTTGGCCTGCCCGGAGAAATTTGGCCTTTCGTCCCCTAGGTTAGATTGGGAGTTCGGGTGGCAGGCCATTGAGGACATATCGTCAAAAGCAAAATCATATGAGGAAAGTTTACGCACCGCAATCAAACAATACTCACAAACCACGGAGGTGGAAGAGAGAGAACGAGATAATTCACGATCGACAAGGGACAACAATATAGTTGAGGCGGAACCGGATTTTCAGCAATATATTGAAGAGTCAGCACAGCTCTTTGACCAGGATCCACAGCAGACCTTGGATTTCCTGCCCGATGAGCTACGGACGATTACTGCTGATATCTTGACGGGATCTGATGCAAAGTCCTATTCTGAACCCGAGTCAAGGATTTTCGCACCGCCAACCTCCATCACATCCACACTTTCCTTCCGGCCTCTGTTGCTTGCTCAAGCCAAGATAGTGAACGCAACCACGCTTCGACTCTTCTTCCGATCGCATAATTTACGGAAGCATCTCTCGCTACAAAGGCAATATCATCTATTGAACGATGGAGTGTTCTCCTCACGACTCGCCTCCGCACTCTTCGACCCGGAGCGTGAAACAGCCGAGCGGCAGAAAGGAACCATGCGAAGTGGTGTACAGATGGGGCTACAACTTGGAGCCCGAACCGAATGGCCACCAGCAAGTTCGGAGCTTCGACTTGCTCTCATGGGTGTTCTTAGTGAAGCTTACCACTCCTCTGCTCTCTATCACTCCACACTCAACGCCCCGGACACCACCGACGCCCCCTTTGCCAACAACCGAGACAAAGACGAACTTCCCGGCCAACTCAACTTCTCCATACGCCAACTCACCGAGCCGGAGATGGAAAAAATCATGGATCCAGACTCTCTCTACGCCCTCGACTTCCTCCGCCTCCAATACGTTCCCCCCTCCCCTCTCAACCTCGTCATCACCACCTCCGCCCTCGACAAATACGACACCATCTTCAAATTCCTCCTCCGCCTCCTCCGCATGCTCTTCGTAGTCTCCCATCTCCCACGCACCTACCCATCCTCCCCACCCGCCCGCCGCTTCCGCACCGAAGCCCACCACTTCGTCACCGCACTCTCGACATACATATTCCAAACCGGCATCGCCGAGCACTGGACGACCTTCGAGACGTACATATCGATGCTGGAGCAGCGGCTCCGCGAGGAGGACGCCGCGGGCGAACTAGGCACGCGCGTGACGTCGGGTCTCGAGTCGATAAAAGCGGCACACGAGCAGTGTCTCGATGGGATTATGTTTTCCCTGCTGCTCCGTAGGCGCCAGAAGAAGGTGCTCGCGCTGCTGGAGGATATCTTCGAGTGCATTCTGCTGTTCGCGAAGACGCATCGTCCTGAAGCGTCGTCCGGGAAGGAAACAAAGGCTCCGGCCAGTGTTGACGAGGAGGAGCTCTACGCGAATCTGAAGGGCAAGATCAGGGTGTTCATCAGCGTGTGTAGGGGACTGACGGGCAAGAAGGGATATGGCAAGGGGCGCGGCACGGGGGAAGAGAATACCATCGAGAGGCTTGTCACCGTGTTGGAGATGAATTCGTATTATAGTCGCTAGGCATCTTCATCGTCTTCATAATAGAATTGGTTTCTTTCGATTGAATACAGGTCCCAGCTCACAACTTTCCTTTCAGTTCCATGGACCCCTCCCCGGTTGATTCCAAATAATGCTAGATCAGGGTTGTCGCAAACCTTCTTGCAGATACGCGCCTCTCAAACAAGATATCCAATTCTTCAAATGACCTCGCTTTCGTCTCAGGGACGAATAGAAATGAAAGCACAAATGAAAGAATCGACAAAGCCGCGAAAATGAACCCAATCTTGCCCCCCAAGTTGCCAGCATCCACATTGAACATGTACGGAACACTAATACTGAAAACGACTCCCGCGAAGGCGTTGGTGATGAAACCGATTGCCGATGATTTGGCACGGAGACGGACAGAAGATAGCTCGGAAATCAACACCGGCCATGTTGCGCCGACACCGAGATTGGTGACTGCACCAGAGGCAATAATTGATGCTCCGACGAACCTGTTACATCAGTTAATCTCACTGTATTCTTGTGGTGTTTGATCTCCTTACCTCGTCGCTGATTTGTTATCGGGGAAGCAACCCGCAATGCCCATTGCAACGAAAACAGTAGCCGCGGCAATCGAGCTCCATAGGACAATAGTGCGCCTCCCAAACTTCGTGATAGTGACAAAGGCAATGGCGATGGTCACCATCGATACCCCAACGCCAATCTGAGACATTTGTAGTGACTGAGTAGGACTCATACCAGCCATGATCAAGAAGTAATTTGCGTTTGCTAAGATAGAAACTCCAAGGAAGTACTGAAGCAAGGCAACAATAATGATAATGAACGTTCGGCGACGATTGACTCCTTGGAAACATTCTGAGAAGGAACTGTTTCCTGAGCTAGCGTCTAATTCCTTTTCATGGTCCAATACAGCGCGGATTTGTGTCAATGCGAGGGCGACGTCAGATGTTGAACCATGTAGCCTAGAATAAGACTTTTGTGCTGCTTCGGTCTTGTCTTGGGAGACGAGAATGACTGGAGATTCTGGGAGAATCAAAGCAGCAAGTAGAGCCAGCCCTGAGAATGCCCACTGGGTTGCGAACGGGACCTTATACACATCTCTTAGTTTCCAGGGTTAAAGAACGAATAAAAGGGGCTAACCTTGAAGGATGAAATATCCAGTACCATGATACGCGAGAATACAATGGTTATGGCAATCATTTGGCCAACAGACTGAATGGAAATTGGATCATTAGCACAATTTTGAACTCTTCCTAATCATTCAGAGCCTTACATACCGTCATGAATGGAAAGAATGCCAAAAGAGCACCCCTCAACTTGACTGGCGAGATATCGGATATATATGTCTGGCAGGTCGTCATTAGAATGCCCATTCCCATCCCTGTCACGATCTTCGAAAAGAGGAAGAGAACGCGGCGAGCTACAAGGGTCTTTAAGTCGGGCGAGGTAAATGCCATCGCGGTGCCTATTATAATATTGGTTAGGTCAATTGACAATGTCGGCCATCGTAGTTCATCAGAAAAGACGCCTACCCAACGCAGTTGCGACTCCTCCGAGAGCGAATGCAAGGCGACGGCCAAACTTGTCTTGAAAGGGCCCGTTGAATGCAGCTCCCATCATGATCCCAATTTGAATGAACGCTGTCCAAAGTCCTTGCCATAAGGCTGGCAGAATCAACTGGCCTTTATATTGTTCCCCAAATGACATACTGGTTGTTGGGTCAGTAAACATTCAAGCACATATTTGCACCGAGTAAATCAATGCGCGTGTGCGAACGACGTACGAGAATGAAGGTAACGCCGTTATAGCGCCAGTGACGAGAATATCGAAGCCGAATGTCAGAGAGCCTGCGTTGGCAAGGAAAGCGTATGCGACTACGCGATGATTTGACTTCAGCTCCTGCCATACGGTTTGTTCGCTTGTCGAAGATTCTATTTCGAATTTCTTGATGCTTCCTTGCTCAGGAGCTACCGCATGCTCATCTATCAAAAACCATTAGTACTCGTATGCAATCAGGGGATCGAAAAGATAACTGACGATACTCTTGCGAGCCTTTAACAGCGTCCGTATCTATAGCCTTCATGGTAAAGTATTTGGTGAAAGATGGCCAGCAGGTAAAAATATGTGATGAACACTTCTGAGTGATGAAGAGATGTTCGAAGAGAGTTTCTTTCAAATAAGGATGCTGTGGAAGTTCACCGCATATATACTTTCATGCTCTCATTTAGTGTGGGGTAGGAGTTTCTGGGGAAGTGGATTCACAAGAATTCACAATGTGCAAGATCGATACTAAGACCGCCCAGAGTGTTCGATCAAGACATTGCTCGTTCCAGATCGGTTACTATTGCTCGATTGATATTAAACTCGGTGCAAAGTAATCCGAAGCTATTGATCAGTATGTCAGAGAGGCATACAAGCATAACAACATGGCCATAGATCCCGATGGATAGGGGCACCCGAGCCCGAGTCGAAACCCTCCACTTCCCGAGCAGCTATTAGCTTGGCATCTGATCTATCTCTGTCTCGACATTGATACGACTATGTGAGCAATTGTGCATAATCTGTGTGTTGATGGCCATGTATTTTGGTATCTATTATTGCGTTGCTGTCACAAAGTGGTTGGAACCTGTTCTTACGGCATGTGAGATGGGTAGTGTGCGTATGTCAGCGTAGACACGAATCAATCAGAAAATTTTGGCAAGAACTATTTCAATTTAAAATTTGGCTAGAATGGTAATAAGGATATTGGCTTCAGGGGCCAATCTCGAGTTCCCTCGATCGAGGTGTCGAAAGAGTAACGTCCGCCCTCTAAAAGTTTCACCCCCGATCCATCAGGAGTCACCAACTCTGCAATGACTCCCTCAGGTATGATAATTTCTATGTTGAATTTTCCACCATCTGTAATATTCCAGGATACAGATACTAAGCCGTAAGGGGTGATGTGTGATGCCGATGCCGATGTAATGTCAGCTCCAATTTTGGGTTCAATACGAACTCTTTTCCAGCCAGGCTCCAATTGCGACAGTCCTGCAACCCTCTCATGCAGAAACGTTGCCACAGCTCCAAAGGCATAGTGGTTGAAGCTAGTCATATCCCCAGGGTTGATAGAGCCATCCGGGAGCATGCTGTCCCACCGTTCCCAAGTCGTCGTCGCGCCCATAGTAATAGGGTAGAGCCATGAAGGGCAGGTTTGATTCAATAGCATAGCGTAGGCCACTTGAGTATGCCCTGTTTGCGCTAAAGCCTCACAAATGTAGGGCGTGCCTGCGAATCCTGTCCCGATGTTAAATCCGTTTATGCCAACAATGCGTGCAAGACGATTGCCAGCACCAGATCGTTGGGATTCAGTGAGCAGATCGAAGCAGATCGCAAGAGCATAAGCAGTTTGTGAGTCTGAAGACATAAGGCCATTCGGTGTTACCCATTCATCCTGGAACTGCTTACGGGCAGAGGTGAAGTCGATCGAATATTTCTTCTCATCCTCGGCATTGCCAATTAGTCCTGCGATGAGGGACATGAGGCGTAAAGATTGTATGAGAAAGGCGTCAGCGACGAGTTTACTGTCTGTAGCACTTTTAAAAGGTGCATCTGGAGGTGCACTTGGATCAAGCCAGTCCTATATTTTAGTTTGTTAGCTCGCACTTGAATAGAATTGAATGGGATAAACATACGCCGAGCTGGAAGCACTTCGGATGCCATAAGTTCGGGGTTTGGCTGTCTGTATGCCTCTCTATCTTATCCATCCACTGTTGCATACTTCCATACTGGGTCCTTAGAATTTCCACGTCCCCCGTCGCAGAGTACACAGCCCATGGGCCGATGACCGCGACATCATGCCAAATTGCGCACGGGATGCCAAGGTCCCAGTTAGGATGACCCACTAGAACATCTGGAACCACCATTGCGGGAAGTCCATCTCTGGTTTGTTGAGCGATTTGGAAGTCGATGAGCCAATCCCGTAGAATGCCTGTACATTGGTACATGAACATCGCTGTTGGTGCAAACAAGGCTAGATCGCCAGTCCATCCAAGTCTCTCATCTCTCTGGGGACAGTCCGTAGGGACAGATAGGAAGTTATCCCTCATACTCCAAGTGACATTGTGCCACAGTTTATTCAGCATGTCATTAGAACACTGGAAGTCTCCAAGTTTCAGCATGTCTGTGTGACAGACCACAGCTTCAATTGAACCCTTCAAATGACATCCTTCGGGCCACTGATCGATCTGGGCATATCTGAATCCATGGAATGTAAACCGAGGTTCCCAGGTCTCTGGAGAATCGGAATTGGAACCTTTAAGAACATACTCATCGGTAGCTCTACATTCCCTGAGCGGTCGAGTACCGAGCTCTCCATTTTCGAGCACTTCAGCATGCTTGAAGGTGACCTTGTGTCCAGCAGGGCCATTGATGCTCTTGATTCTCAGGTATCCAACAAGATTTTGGCCAAAATCAAGAACCGTCTTTCCTGAGGGCGTTGTAATTTCGGCGATTGGTTCTATCGTCTGAACCCTTCTCGTAGGTTCCTTATAACCTGCAGTAAGTGTGATACTACCAGGGAGGGGGTCCAACGTGTCAACCCTGTGCCAAGGCTCGCATACAGAATCCCCGGCAGGCTCACTTTTGATAGTAGACCATCCATGTACTTCCTTCGACGCATCATATAGTTCGCCGTCATAAATCTCCTAGTACGACCGTACAGTCAGCCCTTCTGTGAATCCGAAATGCATGTCATGTGGTGACGTACCGATCTTCGAATGGGGCCGGTGGTAACGCTCCAAGAGCTATCTGATACTATCGTATGCTTGATTCCCTCTGTAGTTGTGACTTCCAGTTGAGCAATCAGACAGTTCCGGGAACCCCAGATATTGCGGCGTCCACCCTCGAACCCAATCCGACCGTTAAACCAACCTTCCGAAACTCGAACACCGAGACAATTGTCTCCTTTGACTAGAAGCTCTGTAACATCGTACGTTTGGTAGTGCAGGACAGAATTGTATTCCGTCCAGCCCGGAGCAAGGAAGTAGTCACCAACTCGTTTTCCATTGATCTCGGCTTCGTATAGACCTTGGGCAGTGATATATAGTCTGGCGGATGCAATTGTTTCACTGATGGAGGAAACAACACGGAACAACTCCTCAGGCTGAGGCGCTTCAACATCTTTCGGCCAAGGACTAGCAATACGTTGTGCCTTCCAATCGGAAGGGTCCATCAAACCAGTCTCAAGAGTCGCTGGCTCGCTCCAGGGCGTGAGTTGCCCCTGTTCAGAGATTCCTTGGATTCTGACCGACACTCGCTGTCGCGATTGTAGAGGCTGTTCCAGAGGCCATGGTTCGAGGATGGTGTTTGTGGAGGAGACATTGGTGGAACAGATGACTCTAGGGTTTCCGATGGAAGAACATTCTGACAGTTCGATATTGTAGCTATGCTGTCGGAAGGGTGTTTCTGATTGATAGGCCCAGGAGATTCGTGGTCTCGTCTCATGGATGCCGAGCGTATTTTCGGATGAATAATGTTCAAAGCGAACGTTTTGAACGAAAGCCATGATGCCACGATCTAGAACAGGAAAATACTGGTGGCGCGTAGTGTAGTATAGAATAAGGATGTTGAGCTGGGCATTCTTCGACACGACATGTTGGACACAATAAGAACCATGTCGGCGACAGCTCGCCCGAACAAAGTTGGGGAGAGGAGCTAACATTTGGATATCTAGTACTAGAGTAGGCCGGTGTCGTGCCGGTCCATGACCATGTGACTACCAAGGCCGGCCCGGTATGCACTGTACAGCTACTCCCCTCCCAAGCCTCCCCACATCCCGATAACTACTTGGCGGAATTTGCCTGGATGTTTGCCTTCGGGTTATTTCCTGGCGGTGCCAGAACTATAGTATATTATTGAGGCGTACGTCCAGATGTCGGTAAGTCGGCAGGCAGCGGGTTGTAGGTATTCATTGTCGTCGGTATCACGTCCCTCCGAAGCGAAGGCGTTCCCGGGAAGGTGGAGGGACCCAAAGGGACCTCACAAACCATCCATCTCGTCTAGAAAGCGCAGGCTCATATACAACTGACCCCAGTGTGATGGAGAAAGATGAAGCAAAAAGAGCCACCGAATCCTCCTTCTCTTGAAATTCGGCATCAGCTGAAGCATTATCCAACATCATGGTGTCGTCGAATACCCTCATTACTGAACGCAAACCAGGATACTTGAATTGGCGCGACTTCAAGGCCAACGGCGTCAACTTGGGCAGTTGGTTCTGTCTCGAGACGTTCATGGTCCCGAAGCTTTTCGCTGAGCATGGAAATGGTGCACAGGATGAATGGACCTTTTGCCAGAACGAAGGTGTCGCAGCCACCAAAGTCCTCGATACACATTACAAAAAATTCTTTACAAAGCAAGACATCGACGTACTTGCTGCCAACGGAATCAATGTCCTTCGTATCCCCTTCATCTACTCCGCTTGGATAGAAGTGCCCGGTTCCCCCCATTATCGAGGGCCGCAAGTGGCCATTATGAAAGAGCTAGCAACATATGCAATTGAGGAATACGATATGCATATCGTGCTTGACCTACATGCTCTACCCGGGGGTGGTGAGTACAACGCGCGTCACCAATATCAAAATCATCTTTCAACTGACCTTTATGCGGTGTGCAGTAAACTGGCTTGAGATTGGCGAAGCGATTGGACACGGCGACTGGTTCTACAACGAAAACAATCTACGACTCTCCTTCGAAGCGGTTGAGGCAGTGCTTCGTTATATTCAGGAATCATCTGGGCATCCAGAATCCTACACCATTGCGCCTGTCAACGAGGCGGTCGACAGCAAAGACATTCGCACCTTTGGAACCCCGCATGCGCTCTCAGACAGAGCCGCAGCCTGGCTGTTGAGATACATCCTGGGGACCATTCAGCGGGTGGAAGCCGTGAACTCAAGCATTCCAATAATGTTTCAGGATTCCTTCAAAGGAGAAAGTTTCTGGGCCACTCAGCTACCGGAGTCGGCAAATGTGGTCATCGACACTCATTGCTATTATTTTGCCGGCCGGCAATGCAATCCCGATAATACAATTCCCGTTATCAACCAGGATGCCAAAGATGCGCAAAAATCTGGCCGGTTCCCAGTAGTCATTGGGGAATGGTCTATCGAAACAGAATTCGATAATCGACTAGGAGATCGCAAGAAGCTTTATGAAGCCGGTAGAGACGCGTTCAACGAACATACACAAGGCAACATATACTGGTCTGGTAGGGTCGACAGCGACGCAAAAGTTCACGGCGAAGGGACAAAAAGAGACTACTGGAGCTTCATCGACATGATAACGGACGGGGTCGTAACTCCGATGCAGAAGAAAAAGTGAGTTGACGGCGGCTGCTAGTTCCATTACAAATAAAGGCGGGAAGATATTTTGATACAAGCGTTCAAGTTTCAAGCAATTTACGTTTGAAAGCACAATTATGGGCAATGCGGAGGGTGTTTCGTACCTACCCAAGTAGTCACCGACGTTGGAAATTACTTGAAACTTAAGGACTTAAGATTAGCGTTGAGAAAAGTAGTTGAAAACAACGATTGGAAGTGCAACATGTTTCTCGGTTTGCTTTTCTTCTTTGGAACTTTTCGAGGTTCCGGCGGTACTACCACTATGTTTCTGTGCTACTACAACAGAACCTTGAGTATTCAGGTAAATGATAAATGATACTGATGCAGGGTCGTGAAGCAGAGAAGTAAAGAACAACCTATCTGTCTAAGCTAGAAGTTGTTTTACTGTAGCTCAGAAGTCCTGTCTGATATCGCCCAGTTGGCAGATGTGGAAACTGGCGAGGTTAATCGTTCCTCCAGGCACTCCTCCCAGTTGCAGCTCTGCTGAGATGAGACATGTAAGGATTTGGGGAAGGCAAGGGCTGCGGCGTTGGAGGATACTAGAGTGTTTGGATAGATTGGTTAGGCACTTAAAAGGTGGTCATTTGCAATAGAGCAAGTTCCTATTTCTCATATTGATAGACGAATCGCTGACGAGGACTCTCAACCCTCTGGTGGATGATATAGGATGGATTATGTAATCCTACTAGACATAGGCTGGAAAATGGCCCACGGCCTGACATAACTTTCTACCATTTTCCTATTCTCAATCCGTGCAACTGTTTCCCAACTAAGTCTTATACAGACAGACAGACAGAGGATATGTGCACAGTGCAGGGGTTGCAAAGAAAAGGAGCGATAAGCAACCGTCGGGGCAGATCTGTAAACGGTAAATGTGGCTGGAGCTTTCTGGGAGTACGTGCGCGTGCGCGTGCGTCGGATCGGAAGAAACTACCTCGTAATGGGTGAACGGTGAGGAAAGTTGCTTAGGAATCAAGACGTGAAGTTTCGCTCTTCAAGTCAATTTTGAATTTTGATGGCATTATTATTGTTATTACATTAGTATTGGAGAGGGATAGTTGATGTGTGTGTGTGTGTGTGTGTGTGTGTGTGTGTTTGTTTAGAGGAAAAGAGGTCAGACAATCGACGTCACCAGTGGAGCCAAGCTGTGTTTCTCGAGATTTTACTCGCAGGAGAGGATATCCGATGGAATATTGTACAGTATGGCAAGTTATTGGCTATCCCTTGTTGGCCGTAGCGTAGGAAGACGGCGTGGGATTTTGTGTGGGATGGCCGATACAAACCTAGGAGGAAGACAAGGCTTGATTATGATTATGGGAAATATGAATAGCCGCAGACGCCGCCGAGAAAGAGAAAGACTAGGTAGGAGAGTACACAGGACTAGGAAGAGAATCCTGCATGTCGGGCCGCCACCAAGTCGTCATCTCTGGGCATGCAGACATTGCGAAACATTGTCAATATTATCTTGCAGTTCACCGTAGTAGTTCATCGAGGGTTCAGTCGAGTCAAGTGGTGGGTTTATCCCTGATCACGGGCATAAGAGTTGTATGGTATTGTGTATGCTTGTGGTATGATGGATGTTCTCTGCAGTGCAACCACATTAGCCTCAATATAGAAGTCATTATTTACAGTATGTATGTACACAGTATGTGCATATCCATGTTGTCCATCTATCGGAATCAAAATCACCAGGTAACTTGTAGATATCTTTCTATGCATCCATCCATCCATCCATCATCCAGCTCTGCCGAGTGTTATCGCGACCACAAACACGCGTCGTGTGATTCCACCCTCCATCTCCTTCTCCTCCCCCTCCTCCCTCCCTCCCTCCCTTTCTTCATCCCTTCCTCTCCCCACCATCACCCATCCATCCCTCTAACCAACCTCCATCCTCATCGACACACCCTTGTGGTGTTCTCGTGAGGTCACCTTCGCTTGTCATCGAGTCTATCACCTTTGAAGTAAACGTATCAACCGGTCACTCCGGCCGATCATTCGCTCGTTTAATTGATCATCGATCTCTTGAGTCTTGACACTGGGGACTTGTGCAAGATTTCTCTCGTTTTTCTTCCACCTCCGTTGCTTGGCGCTTGCGTCGCCTTTTCCCGCAGGAGCCAACGACTAAACGGAATCAAGAGCCACCGTCTTCCCTTCCAGTCTCCATCCCCCGTCTTCGTCTCCATTATTGCCATCTCCATCCACATCATTATTAACCAGACCAGACAAGGAGAGGTGAGGAGACAAGACCAGGAGACGAAAGCAAAGGCCTTGCCCTGCCCTCCCAAGGAAAAAAAGACCATCCCTCCCAAGTAATATCCAGTTAGAGGCGTCAATCATCTCGTTGTAGCCGAACCTTCGTAGCTTAGCTTCCAACCCATCCGGCGCCGGGTCCATTATTATTCAACAATTCTCCTACCCATAGTCGCTACGCTACTCGCTCGTTCATCCATCCCGTTTCTTCCTACGCCAACCTTATCCGTAGGTACTCTCGTTAAACTCGTTACTCGTCTCGTTACTCGTACCAACAATCGCTCAATTCCCAAAACCAAGTTCTTGTTCAAGTCCATAACCAAGTTCGAGTCGAGTCCAGTCCAATCCAGAAATACTAGTTAATTAATGGTTCTGTGCGCGCGTTAACTCCTGTCGCTACATTCGCTACCACATTCGCTTGCTTCCTCTTTCATACCGACCACACCACCATCACCCCAAGGGATCTCCTGCTCCTACTCCTCCGCTTCCTCCTACTCACACGCCTACTGCACTCCTCCAATCTTCACTCCAAATCCTGGATTACTTCTACCTTCCTCCTCAAGCACGCATCTCGCGCCGCTGAGCGGTCCGCTGCGCGTGTGTATTGAGTAAATGCGCCGCCGTTCCTCTGGCTCTTTACTTGAGGAAAATACCTCGAGCCCCCAACAACCACAAGCTCCGTCCCCGTCTTCCTCCCCAACAGAACATGGCGATAAGACGACAAACACGCACACGAAGTTAGGAAAGGACATACGCATCGCTGCACACGGCGAGGAAAGGCGGAAGGATAATGCAACCCAGCAGCGATTGCTCCCATCAGAATCCATAGCCATGTATAACACCACCGGCACCCCCGAGCCCGCCGCACCGCTCGCGAAACAACACAACCCCAAAGCCACCCCGGCCAAGGACATCACACCGGACAGCATGGTCGAGGGTCAGGCCAAACACCATTCCAAGCTCCGGAATCCTTGGGCTTGTTCGGTCAACACCGTTCTTGCCACTCTGCTGGGGTTTGGGCTTCTTGCCCTGATGATGCATTCCTTCTTCAACAAGCAATTGGATACAAAGGGCTGTGAGATGAGCTACATGCGACCCATGTTCGCAAAGTTTGACGATTTCGACACCGAACACACGCGCTTTGCCTCCAAATACTCATTGTACCTCTACCGGGAGGGCGGGATAGAAGACGACACCAGGGTAGGTTATATCGGAGGATTCTCTCATGGAGAACAGCTCAGTTAACAACATAAAGGTCAAGGGTGTACCCGTACTCTTCATTCCAGGAAATGCCGGAAGCTACAAGCAGGTCCGACCGCTCGCCGCCGAGGCAGCATATCACTACCATAATGACATAAAACATGACATCGGGGCGAGCAATGCAGGAAAGAGGTCCTTGGATTTCTTCACCGTGGATTTCAACGAGGACTTCACCGCATTCCATGGACAGACGCTGCTAGACCAGGCCGAATACCTCAATGACGCCATATCTTTCATTCTGTCTCTTTACCACACTCCGTCACGGTCCCTTCGCGATTCGAATCTCCCGGATCCTACGTCGGTTATCATCGTTGGGCACTCCATGGGTGGTATCGTCGCCCGGACGATGGTTACCATGCCCAACTACCAGGCCAACTCCATCAACACGATCGTCACCCTATCTGCGCCCCATGCACGACCTCCAGTGTCCTTCGATGGCGACATTGTGCGGACGTACACCGGAATCAACAATTACTGGCGACAGGCCTATTCGCAAAAGTGGGCAAACGACAATCCTCTATGGCATGTCACCCTTATCTCGATCGCTGGTGGTTGTTTAGACACCATTGTGCCCTCCGACTATGCCAGCCTTGCGTCATTGGTCCCGGAGACGCACGGTTTCACTGTGTTTACATCCTCCATACCGAACGTCTGGACCGGCATGGATCATCTGGCCATCACCTGGTGTGACCAGGTCAGAAAAAGCGTAGTGCGCGCCTTGTACGACGTGACCGACGTTTCGAGACCTACACAAACCCTACCCCGCGCAGAGCGCATGCGAGGTTTCAAAAAGTGGTTTCTGACCGGACTGGAAGATATCGCGGAAAAGACGCTGCCCCATAAGGAAGCAAAGACGCTGCTCACGCTGCAGGATGATTCGAATGCGATAGTGGCACAGGGTGAAAGACTCGTGCTCAGGAGCCTCGGACAGTCGCCTCAGAAGCCGAAGGCTTATCTTCTGCCGGTCCCCCCTCAAGGCGCAGCGGAGGGGACAAAATTCACGTTCTTGACGAATGAACATCTAGACGCGAGTGGCGAGCATGGCAAGCTCGAGGTGCTGTTTTGCAGTGCCCATCCGTCTCAGGCCGGCCAGGCAGCTGCATTGTTCTCCATGAACATGGACCTCTCTGGCGACAGCACAGGCTCTACGAGATTGGCCTGCAAGAATGCAGCCTCAGATCTCATCAGCCTTCCCGCCTCGACGCGACAGTCGACCCACCCTTTCAAGCGCGATCAGTCGCCCTTTTCCTACCTCCAATATGACCTCGACGATCTTGCGGAGCACCAGTTCGTGGCTGTCGTGGATAAATCAGGCGAGCACAGGGCGGGATGGGCGATAGCAGAGTTCAGCGCTGCGGCTGAGTCGGTGCATCAAGTCCACACTGGATTGCACCGACTTCTGACCACCGGGCTAAGCTTCCGACTTCCGGCGCGGCGGCCCCTCGTCACCGACATCAAGATACCTGCACTCCACTCGAGCTTACTGGCGTACAAGCTACACGTTGGAAAACAGGCTTGCGACGCGGGCGAGCTGTTTGCACCACTTCTACGTCAATACATCACGGATGTGCACGAAAGCAAGTTCTTCGTCAATGTAAAGGACGCTAATATCAATCTCCATGGCGTAGCGCCGTACATGCCCCCTGCGTTCCTTGCGCAGCGTTCTTCTAATGGTCTGTCGTTGCAGATCTGGTCCGATCCCACCTGCGACAGCTCCCAAGAGATCACACTCAGAGTTGATATACTCGGCAGTTTGGGCAAGCTATGGATGCGATACAGGATTGTATTTGCCGCATTCCCTCTGTTGATCGTAGCGCTCGTCTTGCGCCAGCAGTTCAAGGTCTACGATGAGACTGCGGTATTCATGAGTTTTGCGGAGAGCATGAACGAGTGTCTGCGTTCATCGATTCCCTTTTCGTTCGCCGCGCTCACGTTTCTATCGATATCGATAGCAGGAGCCAAACGACAGTTCCCTGAGCAGGTCGGCGGCGCTGGCGCAGACGGAAGCAACTTCGCTGAATTCCTGAATTACAGCAACAATGAGCTTCTTCTGGGATCGGAGGATACCTTTTTCTGGTTCCTGGTTCCCCTCTTCGGCCTCATGTGTGTCGCCATTTGTGTGGCGGTCAATTACGTTGTACTTGCTGTGACCTTCCTCTTCGCTGCATTGTACGCCATCTTCCCTTCGTCTCGCAATGAGGATGGCAGCAGGACACCGACCGCGTTCGCTGTTACCTCAACTCGGCAGCGCGTGATCACCACATGCGTTTTGCTGTCATTGGTCTCCACAGTGATCCCGTACCACTTCGCATACGTGGTATTGTGCATCGTCCAAATCGCCACCTGCGTCCGCGGCTACCGTCTGGCTCGTGACTCTCACCTGGACTCAAACTACAACTTCTACAACTACGCACACTCCATCCTCATCCTCATGATATGGATCCTCCCTATCAACCTACCCGTCCTCGTCGTCTGGGTACGCAACCTCGCGGTCCATTGGCTGACACCGTTCTCGTCCCATCACAACATCCTCTCCATCCTGCCCTTCATCCTCCTCGTCGAAACCCTCAGCACCGGACGCATGGTCCCCCGCGTCCAATCCCGCCTCTACCTCTTCACCAACGTCTTCCTCTTCGGCATCGCCTCCTACGCCGCCGTCTACGGCGTCACCTACGCCTACGTGCTCCACCACCTCGCCAACATCCTCTGCGCCTGGCTCGTCGCCATCCACTTCGACGCCTCGACCATCTCCGTCCAACGCCTCTCCACCATCTTGGATACGATGAACCCGGAGAGCGAGGTCAAGAAGAGGCCTTGAGAGTTTCGGAGCAGGACCGTTTTACGAATGAAAAATTTAATATTGATGAATAGAATCCATTACGCTTGGTTGGGAGTTGAGTTTTCACACCATTGGACTTACTGAGAGGTCTTTGGCATTCTGGCCTGACTTGGCTTGGATTACCCGATCGTGCTCGACGCAGACGCTGGACCGACCCCTCTTTTTAGACATTCATCGCACCTTCGCACCTTGGCACTACACATGCGAGAGCATTGTGTATCCCCCCATCACAATTTTTACCTTGTCACTCACCAGCGGGGGCGCGGAGGAGAGCGTTGTCACCGTGTAATTTCTCCTGGCGAGCGAGCGAGCGACGCTGTACCGTCATGAAGGAGTGAAGGGAAGGACGATGTTAGAAACGTTATAATAATACCCAATTGAAAGCTATTAATACCGTACTACTTGTCTTGTTCTATGGTTGTGTGGTGCTGTAGTTTGTTCCATGGTCCCGTGACTTCTATTCTTGCTATCTCCACATACATACCTCTCTCTTGATCGTAAACGGCATATTTCCACCCCCCGTTTGTTGGTACTGTTTTCGGCGGATTGATGTCGTTGGCCGCTGTGCTACTGCTGATGTGCCGCTGCCGCTGCTGCTGTGCTGATGAATAAGAGACGCTGGGACATTTTGTAGGTCGGAATGGTCGGAAAGGGGCCTCGGAGCCTCGGAACTATGCTGGACTTTGCTTTTTTATCAGTAGCTGATGATGAATTGATAGGCAGTACTTCAAGCACCAACGACAGTTCGCAATAACCAACGATAATGTTTATGAGGATCAACAGCCCCCCATGCGGCGCAAGCAGAAATTCGCTGGTGTTGAACTATCGCGGCTTATGTTGTGTGTGTGTGTCGTGTTTTGATTTAAACTCCGTTTTAATTCCACTTTAACGTAATTAGTCGAGAAGTTGAGGGCTTCAGGGTTAAGAACTTGAGCGTAACGTGAAAACGTTCTTTACGGTTTGCGTATGTAACTTCCTTGCGGAATGTTGTAGGTCGTAATGTTTCAAGTAACCTGCCTGCCTGGGTAGGTAGGTATGTTGACTTGAAAGCTCTGCTCTGATATCGCATGGTGTTACGTTGACTGAACTACCTGGAGTAAAACTATACTAAGTGATATTAAGCGGATGGGGCGGTGCGAAAAATGATGGAGTGGTTTATGGTATGTGCTTGTCCACCCCCTCTCCTCGTATTCGATTCGAAATTCGATTCGAAGCAAACCGAGAAGCTCACAAGATACTGTGGCTTCTGCCGTGTGCATCTAGGACTGCGGAGGAAAGCTGGTTCTCCGTTTGATGCCGGCTGGCTGCGGGCTTTGGGACACTTGGTAGGTATGATGGGGGGATCGTTTCGGGGGCGGGGAAGATGGGTGGATGTACGGATGCTGTGAGATGGGATGGGATGTAAGGGAAGGTAAGGGGATTTGCATAACGCGTGTGTTGTAGTGAGGTGAATGGTGCGGTTCAGGGGCGCATGTACGTACGAGAAGGGCTCGATGGAATCTGAAGTCGACATGTACGGTTTGGGTTGTGTTGGGTAGGGGGTGTGGTATGAGTGGGTGAGGACGAAGTGCTTTAGAGGCCATCATCACAGTAGCAAGAAATTGTTCAGGGTTAAATCAAAGTAAAAAGAGTTTGCTGAGAAAACACAAGTGGGAGAAGAATGGTCTGTCTGTCCGTCCAGCAGCCCGAAGGAGAGAGGAGTATACGCTCCGAACTCAAACTTAAGGCTAGCCAGCCAGCCATCTCGAAAAGAAATCGACGGATCAAAAAGGAGGTTGACGTCTGTCCAGCAGATGATACAACATCCTCCGCGCTAGATACCCGTGTACAAGTTCCATGCTCGCCTTCTATTTTTCTCTGTTCTCAACCTCTCTGGCCATCATCGCCAACGCCCTACTTCTACTATCCCTCCGTTTAAGCTTCCTAATTAACGTTACCCACAGCAACCGCAGTCGTTCCCGCTCCTTTTTCATCGACGACGGTACATCAACCCCAGCGTCATTCCCTCGGAAAAGGAGGACGTTGGTTCTGATGCTGTGTGGGATGTTGTTGTACGGCCATCGTGCTCCTGAAAACGCGGGGTGTATGTTAGCAAAGAAGGAACACCTAAGAGTTCTTGCTGATGATGGGTCCGTGGTAGGTGGGTGCGTACCGATGGGTCGGACTGGCGCTGGGATGTAGAGCGGTAGGACGGGTGAGAAGGTGTTTGTACGCGGGTGCTGGCGCAGGACGTCGAGGACGGTGACGTGCGGACGGTACGTACGATCTGTGGTTGGGAAGTCTGATCGATCTGTATCGTTTGGTGGGGGACGCGGTGGGTTTGACGGTGGAGACATGGTTCGCGACGGAAGAGAGAAAGTTGTGCTTTAGGGGCTGGAGTGATCTGGCAATTGGATTGATGCGAGATAGATCTGTGCCATTGAAGTCCCCTTCTTATACGTGAGCCGAGAGAGGGGATATGATGGACTGGGTTGCTGTTTTGTTGACGGATGGATGGAGTGAATGTGTACACTGGCACATTTGCAATTGCTGTCTTCGTGTATGTTCATTACATGCTTACTGTTGACCGACCAATATATCATCATATCTCTAACAAGCCGCTACCTCCCCCCCTCTCCCATGGAATCTAGGGGCGAGTGTTTGTGTACGACTACAACCTACACTCATCTACAGGACGAGAGGATTCGGTCTCCATAGTGAAATTCCAACGAAGCTCTCTTTGATATGCCGTAAGACAAAGGCGGTCGTATAAGAGGCGTGTTGACATCGCATCTTACTCAACAACCGGCCAACACGGTCACCGGTATACTGGATTCACTTGCTCGTTGGTTGGCGATATGTCAGACATTCATGCGTGGGCAGAGTACTGGGTCAGGAACGGAGGTGGTGGGTAAGCGCTGAGTTGGTGCCTGGGCTTTGCCCTGCGCGATATAGAAATGTGAATGTAATTCTAGCAAATAGACTGCTTCTTATGCGTAAGAATCTATCATTCAGAAATCATTGAGTAGATCCCCGTGTCGTTCATGGCCGGGGCGGGGTGACGATAGGCTGAGACGCCATAACCGTGAGATGTCTCAAACTGAGGGACAGCACATCATCGTCCTTCAAAGTTTCATGCTACTCGCGCCTATTAATCGCAAGGAGGGTGCTGTCAATTGCTTATAGATGGCTTGTGAAGTTGCCTCGCGTAATGCGACTTCAACGTGATTGTTTTGATCGCGCGTGTTCACGTGAATGCTGGGCAGGGCTTTGGACAATAATAATACGGTGTGTGATAGACTAGGTACAACCTCGTCAGACTTCTCTGACGGCTTGTTAACCCTGTTTGACGGCTGGGGCCTTCATTGTGCGAATGATAATTTATGTATGAGGAGATTAGAATCCTTATGCTCAATCAGAACGCACCCCTTCAATCGTTGATAGTCGCCAACATACAATTACCTCAACGGAAAATATGTATCGAAACCAGGGAGCAAGTATTGGAACGTCGAGATCGTAGACGAAGGCTTCCCTAGCATTACACATACTCCCGAATCTCCAGCCCACGAGAAAGACATCGGAACCTCGACGATGGCCGTGGAAGGACACGCCTTCTCGCTTTTATACAGAATTGAGGGGGATTGGGCATTGGAGTTTTCCCGGGTTTTCAATGCGCCAACGCTTTTAGGTGCGGGTACGGATGAGTGGACTGAACTAAGTAGAAATAATCACAGATACAAACGGTCGCGCGCTTCTGTCCGTGGCTTGATCTTGAACAGGAGTGCTGCGTTTGGTGGCAATCTATACTTTCACGTTGTCTACCTACATTAGCAACTCTCCTGATGCTTTGGCGGCTCGAACACGTCACAACACCCCGGAACTAGCAATAGATGTCTGTCGTTCATGAGAGCCACTGCGGACAAGAATGGATCGCAATGTCAAGATGAGCTGGTATATTTCGGAAAACGAAACAAGTCTCTTCATTCACGAGACCGCTATCAATTTAGACATAGACCACGAGAATACATTGGAAAGCCCTCGAGAGTGAGCACTACGGATACTTGTACATTGTTTGATATGCTGAGACTGCGCTAACGTTGGCAGAGTTAAGTAATGGCCCAACGACCACGAAAGAGAATAAATAAAGGCTTGTGATCAATATGGATATAGCATGGCACAGGACGATCAATATTCCGCGGGTTGACGTGAAGAACATGTGTCTGACATAAGGTCGTTTCAAGATCGTTATATTGCCTTAGGTTGCGCGTAAGAAGCCTTGGAGAAATTACTCATGCTTGGGCACAGTCAGAGTTTGCTAGAGTAACGTAGTTTTTATCACCTACCTCACTTGGATAGTAGTAATTTTAAAGATTCTCATCCATCATTTGGACGAGCAATATCTCTGGATTGAGTAAATTATATGGATGAATGCTTTGGTTGTCGAATTATATCTTTTCCGAACTCGTGCTAGATAATGTTAGAGTAAAGCGGTCGTCCTATAGCATACCATTTGTTATAGTGATTCTTCTGCTCTAGCAATTAGCTTATCGCTGTTCCTATTGCAAGCTCAATAAAACGAACGTGGTTTGAGTGAGTTCTCGTTGACTGAAGAATCACACAAGCGTGTTTACGACGTCACAAAATCATGCATGTGATTGGTTGTAGCATTTGTCCGTCTTCAGATCAGATGTTAAGATGTTGGCAGTCACTAGTCCCAATCGAGCATCGCCTGCTCTTGGCCCCTGCGCCAAACATTCGTGAATCTTGAAGATGATGCAAAGTGTCCAAATCGTCCCCAAATTGTCGCCTACAAGGCTCCAATCCGGTCATAATAACCTCGAAGTAGGATCAAACCCTCTCTTAGACACCCGTGTCTTTCATCAACTCACCAACCTTTGCCTCCAACCCCAAATTCTTTCCAAATTCGAAACACATCGACCTGTATTGACAGCTCGCTCGCCCATCATGGTACATTTTTGCAGACTCCATATCTAAAGCCAATATCTAACCCCCCCCCCCCCAGAACGCCCTCTTCAACTCCGCCCTGCGGCAATCCTCCTCCATCCGCAAAGACCTCGACGCCTTCTCCGATGCCGCCTCACCATCCCCCGCCCTCCACGGGCAAATCTCCGCCTCCCTAACCAGCTTCTCCCGCACCATTGACGACTACTCCAAGCTCGCAAAGCAAGAACCCGTCCAAACCAAGCAAGAAAAAGCCTTCGAGCGCGTGAAAACCTTCCGCACCGAGCTCTCGGAATACCGCGACGCCTTCCAGCGCATAAAGAACGTCAACGACGAAATGCAGACCAATGTCGCGCGCAACGAACTACTCGGCCGGAGACCGCACCACGCGTCGACGCCGGAGAACCCCTACGCCATGAACCAAGGCCAGCAGAACCCGTACTCCAACTCGCACAACTCGCCGTTCGCGCCCGCCAACAGCGACCCCAATGCGCCGTATAGACAGAATGCTTACTCGATGGGGGGCGGTGGTGCGCCTGGCGAGTACGACAGGGAGACGCATGCATTCCGGGAGAGGGACTTCGTGAGTCAGACGTCGGCGCAGCTGGATGATTTCTTGGATAGGGGGCGTGCGGTGTTGGGGGATTTGGGGCAGCAGAGGGAGATGTTGAAGGGGACGCAGAGGAGGTTGTACTCGGTTGCGAATACGCTGGGTATTAGTGGTGATACTATCCGTATGGTGGAGCGGAGGGCGAAGCAGGATAAGTGGATTTTCTGGGGTGGGGTTGTGGTGTTCTTTTTGTTTTGCTGGCTCGTGTTGCATTATCTGAGGTGAAGGAGGTTACTGTGTTATATAAGAGAAGGGACATGTGTTTTTGTATGTCATCGGCCGTTATATTGCAGGTCGTGGCGGAGATTTGCTATCTTAGCGAGGCGTTATGGATGCATGAGTGCCAGAGTCGACACTCAACTTCATTGGATTGCTGGCGTTTTATCTACAAAATTCAAGCATTAATCCTGGATCACTTCAGTTCAAATCCGGTGTCTGTTTGATATCGGATATTGCTATCATACTAATTGACATTTCTAAGATACAGTTGTGTTATGCTATGGTATAATTTGCTCGACTGACTGAGTTCATTACAGTGCCTCCCCACTCGCTCATGCTATTACGCCAAACGTTACGATAGATGAAACGTAAAAGAAGATCCTCGAACATAGAGGGGGTAACAAGATAACCGCGAGTCTATCCCTCTATGATAGCCCACACAGGAAGAAAGAAAAGAAAAGGGCTATCAGAAAACATTGGGTATGTCATGCTAGAAGGAAGATGCAAATGCAGGAGATGGAACTTTAGCGACTAGGACAGACTTTCCATCACCGCAGGAATGGCAACGCCTCCACGTCCTCACGGATGTCCTCGATATTCTCCGCCATGATGTCCTGCTGCTCTACCAGATGCCGCACCAGCATACCTGTGCTTTGCCCACTCATCGAGTACGGTGGCGACATGTATGAAGGCCCCATGACTGACATTGGTGATCTATACCTCATACCCATTCGAGGCGAAAGCGTAAGAGCCCTCGGCGGCAGCCCATATCCGATCATACTTCCTCGACTTCTCCCACGATCAAAGCCAAAGGGAACATGATGCCTCATCGGCTCACCCAAGTCCCACGGTGGGGAGTCGTAGATGCGTGGGCCGGCGAAGGAGGGGATAACGTTGTTGTACCCACGCTTCATGAAGAGGTCCATATATCTGCTGATATCGGGCATGTAGTGGAGGTCCTGGATGGCCATGAGGGCGGTGGCCCATTGGTCGATGTACATTGTGCGTTCGTGGTCGAACAGTTCGCGGTAGCGTCGGCTGATGAATCGTCCCAAGGCTGAGGCTAGATACGACGACTGTGTGAGTTGGGCGAAGAAGGCAAGGGCGATAAATTGCCGGCGGCAGCGTTGGATGCTGCGGTCAGCGTAGGCGGGAGCGACCATGTCTTCGTGCAGGAGAGCGCTCAGGCTTTTGTAGATGCTGTCGTGAAAGTAATCTGTACAATCGCTCCGCTTGAAGTGATTGAATAGCGACCGGAGGGCCTGCGAGATAGACCTCTGTGAAATGTTCCATCGACCAAGATAGGGGTAGAGCCGTCTTGATAGATCCATGGTGCCTAGCCAGCGGTGGGTGTTGATGTCATGTCGTAACCCTGGGAAGTGATGCTCCAAAGGACGACGATATGCAAGAATTGGTGGCCCCTCATGAGTGAAGATCTCAATCCGATCAAGGGGAATGGAATAATGAGGGATCGGTGGAGGAATATCCAGCAGACCGTGTGGATCGAAGCTCGTAAGTTGGGAATCCATCTGTTATGAGAGCTGTGGCACTGGCCAATATGAAAGAGGACTGTAGAAATTCACCGAATATACTTTGTTGTAGGTGACGAGGCAAAATCGATTACAAAGGGAACAGGGTCCTTGTTGGGTTTATATTCGTCTTAATGTCGACTTCGCCTGGAAAGGTATGTAGTGACGTCGCTGATGCCCATCTCGGGTGCTATAAAGTTTGTTTGCTTGCTCATGGGCGACACCACCGTCCCACACCACAATGCGTCGATACCACTGTAACCTCATTGGGAGCAAACCGCAGATATCAAGTATCGGCCCAACCTTGACATTGCTCACGCGGTGTTAGATGAATGTGGATATTTTAGGCTCATCACCGATGTCGGAAGTTTTTCACAGCGTCGCTCGACCATTCAGGCTTAATGTTCTTCAAATAGTGCGACGATATGTTGGAGATATTTGACACGATCAACATAAGCGATATCGACCAGAGTTCAGCAGCCAGAAAAAATCTTCTAATGGGACGGGGAGGGCAATCTCGTTCCGTCTTATGTCAAATCATTTCGTACCTTCCTATGCTCATCACCTCGTTCCGTCTTGTGTCAGATCCTCTTACCCCCTATTGTGCCCTCACTTCTCGTTCCGTCTTTTGACAAATTATCTTACTGCTTCTTGTGCCCACATGTCTCGTTTCGTCTTCTATCAAGTCACACTTGAGCCTCAACTGATCGATCCACACCTACCACGGAATCCCTAATTCAACCATTCCGAAGTTTGCGTTCAAGGCCATCCACGATCTGCCTGCAATCGCTGATCACAAAGCCTTGCATCCTACCAGATGTTCCCCCAGGCTATCACAACACACGAACGTGGCAATGCAGTGCAAACTACAGCCACCCGTATCCGTACCGTCGCATCAGCCTCGACGGCCTCATACGCATCGTCCGTCCAGAAGCGAACGCATCCAGGTTTCCAGGTGGTGAGGTGCAATGAGCGTTTGGCCTTTTGGTTAGGTAGTATGCTGGCAGTTGTCCGGATGGAACCTACAAGGTTCCTTGTGAATTGGTTGGTGTATGAGGTAGAGTCGATGGTGTGAGGCGTGAGAAGATTTGGAAAGGAGTCCCGTGGGTGGTGTGTCGGACAGACGCTTAAATGATGCCATCATCGGTGGGATGTGTGGCAAGGAGTGTGCTGGTCGTGTCTGTAGTCGTACCGTCTCGCGACGCATGACGCTGGCACGTACCGACGTAGAGAGATATCAGGCTGCGGTTTGTGAAGCCTCACTGCTTCGCTTCCCAAGGCGGCCACTTCGACAATTTAAAGACCGGTGAAGGATTTCAAGCGAGCAGGGGGAGGGGGTCAAAACATTGCATACTAGGAAGTGGGCCAAGAGGGTGATATCGCGTTGCTGACAGTATCCAGGCTCTTTCCCGAAAGCAGATATATCGATTCGCTCTTCTTCACTCGTGGAGAGTTACATCCCCTTCCCGATCCATGTATCAGAAGGGTTGGACAGACCGAGGCGATGCACGAATGTAACGGTTACCATTACACACCGTGAGTGAGGCTACGACGAGAGGCATGATGATCACGTACATGTGGACTGACTGGCAAGTCAACGTTATTTGTTTGAGTAAAATGATCCGAATATGGTATATTGTCGTTTTTCCAACCGAGACTGAGTGTTACTAAATAATTCGCCCCCAAAGACAACATTGTAACGCCCTGGAAATGCAATCATGATATCGTTGTGTACATCCGTCGTCATACGCTCTCGGAGTGACTCTCCGTCTACCAATCAAGTCCACCTGCGCCGCGCTCGCCTCCAGCAAGAATCAGAGCTGCCTTCTTTTGCTGGTCTTCAAGGTGGCTGATCATCGTGCCCTTCCTGCCCTTCAAGTTGTTGATTGCGTTCAACTTTTTATCCATGGCCACAAAGGGATCCACGCTCTCGCTCTTCTTCACTACGAACAAGCTTGTACCGAGAACGCTGTCCAATTCTTCGACGCTCGGTAGCTTGACGTACACCCAACCATCCGGCCTCTCCTCGATAGGGAATGTCGCGATGTTGACCTCGTCATCGTTACCACATTTACCAGCCTCCGCGCCGCCGAGCTCGTAGTTCCTCTTGTGGAGCGGGCAGGAGACCCATAGTTTGTTATTCTTGATGTCATCGCCGATGAGGCCGTCGCTGAGGACGAAGGCGCGCTTATGGGGACACATCTGCTGGGTGCAGTACCACTTGCCGCGGACCTTGAAGACGGCGAGCTGCGTGTCGCCGCGCTTGATGGGCTTCGAATCGCCGGTTGGCAGGTCGGAGAATGTATCTGCCTTGACAAGCGGCTGCCATGTCAGTTCTGACCACTTGTGGCCCTTGAAGTCCGTCTTGACCGAGTCCGTTGGCCAGTACGATGGGCGCTCTTGGCCGCGCTCCGCGGTCGGCTCGATCGCCGGCGCGATGTTGTCTTGCGTGTTGGCGAACTGCGAGAAGTGTGCTCGTCGTGCGGGGCTGACGAGGACTTCCTTCCACTCGTCGAAGAAGGTGCCGACGAGCTCTTCCATCTGCTTCTCCAGGTCGGCGCAGATGCCCAACTTGTCTTCGAGGATGACTTCCTGGAGGTACTTGAGGCCTCCTGGCAAGTTCTCGATCCACCTCGCCGTTCGCTGGAGCTTGTCTCCGGTGCGGATATAGAATGCAAGGTAGCGGTCGAGGATGGGGACCACATCGTCCGGCGCAACATCCTTCGCAAGAAGATCTGCGTGCCTGGGCTTCGCGCCTCCATTACCGCCAACGAAGATGTTGAACCCCTTCTCCGTGGCGATGAGGCCGAAATCCTTGCTCTGTGCCTCTGCGCACTCGCGCACACAACCAGACACACCGCCCTTGAACTTGTGCGGCCCGCGAATCGACTTGTAACGCTCCTCGAGGCGCACTGCCATGCCCACACTGTCACCAATGCCGTAGCGGCACCATGTCGAACCGACGCAGGACTTGACCGTTCGCAGGGATTTGGCGTACGCGTGACCGGACTCCATGCCTCCATCGATGAGGTCCTGCCAGATGGCCAGAAGATCATGCTTCTTCGCGCCGAACAGATCGATACGCTGACCACCTGTGATCTTGCAGTAGAGGTTGAACTTCTTCGCGACTGTGCCGATGATGATGAGTTTCTCTGGGGTGATCTCGCCGCCTGACACTCGGGGTACGACGGAGAATGTGCCGTTGCGCTGGATGTTGGCGAGGAACCTGTCGTTCGTTTCTTGCAGACCTTTGCGGGTGTCGTCGATGAGATGCTTGTTGAACAGCGAGGCGATGATGGAACCGATGGTGGGCTTGCAACCCTCGCAGCCCGTCGACTCAGGCTCCTTTCCGCACTCCCTCATGACGTCCGCGAACTCGGTGATGCGTTTCACGTAGATGATGTTGAACAGATCGGCGCGAGAGTATTCGAAGTGCGGGCACAGGTGGTTCTTGACCTCCTGGCCCATCGAAGCCATGGTCTTGTTGAAGATGGTCTGCACGAGCGGCATGCAGCCGCCGCAACCAGTGCCGGCCTTAGTGCACGACTTGACGTCGCCGATGCTCTTACAGGTGCCGTCCTTGACGGAATTAACGACGTCGCCCTTCGTCACGTTGTGGCACGAACAGATCTGCGTGTCGTCGGTTAGGTCGTCGCCGTCCTCTTCGCCCTTTTGTGCTCCGACGATGAGCTCGCTTGGAGGAATCTCCAACGGCTTCTGGTTCTTGACCATGGGCACCAGTTTTATGTAGTCCTTTGTGTCGCCGATCATCATTCCACCAAGGAGGTACTTTCCATCCATTGTGAAGAGGTACTTCTTGTACACTTGCTGGAAGGGGTCCTTGTATGTCAATGCCTTGACAGGCGGCGGGGCTGGTCCATCGGTGAGGTTCTTGATCGTGTCCTCCTTCGTCGAGCCAGCGGGTTTCCTCCCAGGCATGTTCTTCGGGCCATCGCGGTCCGCGAAGAAGTCTCCAAAACTCGCAACCTCCACCCCGAGAAGCTTCAGCTTTGTGCTCAAGTCCGGTCGCTTGAACTTCCTCATCGCGTGCGCTTTCGCCTGCGTGAGATTGAACGCCAGCACGTCCGCCATTTCCACTCCCGGTGCGATCAAACCGAACGTCTGGTTTTCCCAGCTCGCGCACTCTCCAATGGCATATATGTCCTGGGCCGATGTCGAGAGATCGGGATTCACGACGATACCACCGCCACGATCCGCACACTTGATTCCCGCTTTCCGCGCCAGCTCGTCACGGGCCTTGATGCCGATGGCAAAGCAGATACAAGAGCAATCCATCTGCTCTCCGTCCTCGAACACAACGCCCGTGACGGCGTTCTTGTCGTCTGTGAGAATCCTTCCAACGCGCTTGCTGAGCAGGACGTCGAGGCCGAGTGACCGCACTTGCTCCACGACCATACCTCCCGCGTCGCCGTCGAGCTGCCGAGACAGAACCCACCTGTTGCGCTCGATCAACTTGACTGATGCAAATTCGTGGAGGTCCATCATTGCGTGTGCCGCTTCGAGGCCGAGAAGACCGCCACCCACGACCGCGCCTGTCGTGCCTTTCCGCGTGCTCGAGAATGCAATGAGCTTCTGAAGGTCGTCGATGGTTCGGTACACGAAGACGCCTTCTGCGTCATGGCCGGGAGTGTGGCGAGGTACGAGCGCATCTGAGCCTGTTGCTAGGACGAGGATGTCGTATGGCACTGTGTCGCCTGCCGATGTGCTAACCGTCTTGTCCTGTGAGTTGATCTCCGTGACCAGTGTGTTGAGATGGTAGTTCAGCGAACCCTCGGGCATTGATGAGTACTGTTATTTCTGATCAGTATTCTGGCCGTCAAAAAGAAAAGAAAGAACAATTTATACATGTTCTTTCTTATATCATGGCAAAGATAACTTACCCATTCCTTAGGATTCAAGTACAAATTCTCCACGATGCGATGTTGGAAGAAACTCGTCAACCCCACACGGTTGTATGCGAGATGTGGTTCCTCTCCAATAACGACGATGTCGTATTCCCTCCTCTTAATATCGTACTTCAGAAGTTTCTCACTGATTTTCACAATACGTTAGCACCGAAGTCTCTCATACAGAGACAAAAAAGGCGAAACTCACATAAACGCCACACCCACCATCCCCAACCCAACAACAACCACCCTCTTCCTCGCCTTCTCCTCTCCCCCGGACGGTAACTCCCCCTGCACCTTCAACTCCTCCACCTTCTCCGGCAACCTATTCGCTTCGGCGTCGTTCCAGTCGCTGTTCGACACATTCAGTCCCTTCATGTCTTTCGATATGTCGTCCACTTTGCCCGCATCTTCCACCACCGCGTCGTCCGGGAAGAACGACGACGGCGGGCTGTGCGATTCCCCGCTCGTGGGCTCGATTCCTGGTGTTAGGACCGGCGCGGGGGTGTATTCTTGGTCTGTCATTATGGGCGATTTATGTGTGTGTATGTGTGTATGGGTGATTTTCGCCCCAGATGGAGCGATGGGGGTGGTGGTGAGTTGTATAGTGCAGACAGATGTGTGTGTGATTGGTCCGCTGGTTGTGTGTGAGGGTATGTTATGTTCCAATGCTAATCACCAAAGCTACCTTAACCCCCAGCGTAAGGAAAGCGGCGTGTGTGTGAAGAGAAGTAAAGAATATGAAAAGAAGGAATTGAGGCAAGAATTGGAAGGGAGGGGGGGTAAGTAAGTAAGTGTAGAAGAACGGCAGCAGACAAAAAGCGATATGATTACTGGCTGGAGGGTGGGAGATAGATAGATTTCCTGAACATCCTGGCCAGCATCGAACTTGCTCCGGAAATGCATACGTCCTCCCCATCCCATACATAGTGTAGGGTGACAGGTTTAGATAATACCTACCATACCTAGCCCAGCCCCGTAGGAGAAACCCAAAACATAGGTTACGAAAAAGAAACAATGCCATAACGATGTGAAGACGTCCAATGGCATCTCGATCAAAGGCGATTATCTCACGCCATTGCATCGCCTATCCCGCGAAACACCCTTGCGATAACGCACAAACCCAAACCGCACCTCATTCTGTGTGGCTGGTTCAATCTTTCGACACTCACTACTTGCCGTGGAGACGATCGTTCGGTCGGTCGCTTGAGAGAGAAAAAGTCGGAAGCGTTCAACAGAAACCCATCAGCCCAACCAGTCGTGCCAGTCTACGAATTCAGGGTAGACGGGACGACGAACTGCCCCGCGGAACACCGCCGGAGATGCCACCACTGACGTCTATCCTCCCTGCCTCTGTCTCTCAACGCACGCGATGCGATGCGATTAGCTGACAATTCACGCGACATAATCCGCTCTACACTCAACCGCTCGCTAAATGCTCCGGGGAGAAAGACGTCTGCAGGGTGGATTATACAGGCTGGCGTGGGAAGTGCGGGAGCGATGTGGAGACTTTTTGCGCGGCGCACGGACGATCGTTTTGATAAGGGATTTTTGGGAGCATGTTGCCAAGGATTGAGATAAGGGATGGAGGCCATGTATGGAGGGAGTCTGTATGGTAGGGCAGTTCTCTGGAGATTTTCTCCGATGTAGTGCAATTGGGGTGGGCTTGTGCGTGGGAGGAGGGTAGTGGGTGGTAGGGCAGATCTAGATTGATTGATACATGGGTGTGTAGATGCGTGGATTTGCACTGGATGCTGTTGGTAGAGTGATGATGGATGATCGGAAATCGAACATCGTACGAATGGATAGAGTGATGATTATGATGTTTGCTGTCATTGTTGGATGGTTTATTGACAAGAAGGAAATAAAATGTAAATATAGCAATAAATCCGACGTGTTCGACACGTTCTCGCTCGCGAGGAGAGACAGAGAGAAGGGGACAAAAGCGTGGCATGAGAAAAGATGGGTACGACTAGCTGGATCGGGGTTAGTGGCTGGTCACTCTATCCGGACGGTGGCCTTCCAGAATTCAACGAATTTGAGGAGGGTGATGTATGTGGTGGAAAATGTTATTGTCATAATTGAAAGGACAAAACCGAGAGACATGGTGATCGTGATGAAGATGAAAAAAGATCCCATATGTGTCATCCATCCATGAACAGTTTGATATCTTGAAACTCCATGCTTTTGCGCCTTTGAAAAAGATTTTTAACCAGCCAGATTCCGAATCCCAAAACATGAAAAAGCTAGAAAATTAAAGAAACCCACTTAGAAGAAAAGAAGGTCCTCATCAGGCCACCCTTGCTCGTTAAGAGCCGCATGTGCGCTCTTCTCTAGAGCCGGAGGTCCACATAATAACACGAGAGTGTCACCTTCTGTGCCTCGAGGACAATGCTCCTTGATGAGTTGGGCGTTGATTCTTCCTCTCAATCCCTGCCAGTCATCGGGGCCTTGCGTGAGTGTGTAGAGGAGTTTGCATCGGTCGACGTTCTCTCGGGCGAAGGTGTCCAGGTCTTCTTTGCAGAGGATGTCTTCGATGAGGCGGTTGCCGTCCAGGACGACACAGGTCGTTGGGTCCTCCTTGTCCTGCATGACCGCGCGCAAAACTTGGAAGATTGGCGTGATGCCCGAGCCACCGCAGATCATGAATAGCTTCTTCACCTGTCGTTTGTTGCCGTTGATCGAGCATGCTCCCTTGCTGAGATACTCGAATTTGCCGATAGGACCCTTGACATCGATGAAGTGGCCGGTTGGGATAGAGTCCAGTGCTTTGGTCATCTTGCCTCCTGGCTGGTCTTTGGTATCGTTGTATATTTTGATGAGAATATCTAGGTATCCCTTCTTCGTGGTTTGCGAGATGGGTGTATAGCTTCGGATAATAGCTTCTCGAGTCACGGGATCGCGAAGGCGTAACATCAAGTGCTGACCTGTTGGCAGGCCAAGCGCCTGTTCATCATAGTCGAGCTTGAACGTGAATATCCGTGTATCCCATGAAACAGGGACCTTCGAGTGTAGCAGCGCTTTGTGCCATACGCGTGTGTCCAAGAAGACTGGCCTGGGATCGGGCGATTCCTCCTCGGGTTCGCCATCAGCGAGTACCTTACGCCCTGCCTCGTCCAAGGTGCCGATGTGATAGGAAGGCATCATAGCCTTAGCCGTCTCGCTGTCTGTATGTCGTTAGCATACGACTCACTAGGTTTGATGTAGACCATTACTTACGGATTGCCATGAACTCATCTGTACTGTCCAGACCAGCTGCCGAGATGATACTTTGGGCTCCACCCGGATGCCCTTCCAGGAAATCTTTGCCATCGTACACCTCGCCGTTGACCACGAACCACGGAGATTCCTCTGTTGTGTGCTTTCTAAACTCGTCAATGGTAAAGACTGTGTTGACACCATCCTTCGTCATCTTGATCTCCTTGGGTGCTTCGACGATAGCAGTCTCTGATTCTTCGCTTCCGAGCTTCTCGCCCCAGTAGCCATTCGAGAGGTTGCCTCCAGCCTTCTTCACCCTCTCCATCCAGCCTCCAGGCATGAGCGCTGGCTGTGTCGGGTGCTCAAATCGCAAAGAGCCGTGTTCCTTGTGTATCGCAATTCGGAACCATGGGTTGTTCATCATACCGAGAACAGACCAATACATGTCTCGAGGTTGAATACACATACTCTCGTCCATGGTCCGAACAACGATATCTTTAGCATCCTCCAATTCAGATACGTTGATGTCGAGGCTCCAAAAGCACCAGCAGAAGCATGTCTCCCTCCAGTCCATGTCCAGACGGCCGCCGAAAAGCTGCTTATCTTCGAGAGCTCGGTATTTGTCCTCGGCATAGTCGATATCGGCTAGTCTCCATGTTTTCCCTTGATCGATGGACACTTCGGCCCTTGTGATGCGGCGACCGCCGCCACTGTAGGCATAGCCCCTTACTTTATACTTTTCTGGTGCTGCTGTTAAGGAGAGCTTCTCTTCATGTGCTGGATATGCGATGGCCGAGTTGGGGCTCAAGTCGTAGATTGCGTAACGCTCATCTGTCCACCACTTCGGGTTCGTTGCCGACTCATCTGGATCGACCATGGTCCTGTCATCGTTAATCATTTGTACGGCTGGTGTACTTGTGGTACTTACGGGAGTACTCTGTTATCGTAGATGTGATACCAGTTATCACTTGGCTCAGCAGTAATGATCAGCTTCTTCAGCCATTTGACACTGCGACCGCCAATCTGACCAGGAATGACCGCTCGCAGAGGTAGGCCGTGATCTGGTCGAAGAGGCTCGCCATTCATCTTGTGGGCAAGCATCATGCCACGGTTAGGATCCATGGCCCAGTTCAACTTCACAGATGTGCCATAGTAGCCATTGGGCTTGTACAGAGTCAGCTCTATGCTGTAATTCGAAATTGTTGATGACTTACGAGCTTGTCGGCGCCCTCCATGCAGACATATTTCGCACGTCTCAATGGCTTGGCCCTTTCAATCACATCCCTCATCACCACACCGGTGAAGAGGGCAGTAGAGACACCGGCGGCTCCCCATGAGAATCCTTTCGACTTTCGTACGACGTTTTGCTCCTTTCGTCTGTTTCCTGCACAGACCAGTGTGATAGGGTATGTCACATTCTCGTAGTCTGAGAGGAGTTCTCTCAGGGTGATTTTGATGGGGTTTGCTACTAATCTGCGATACGGTCAGTTGATATGCTCGGCCTTGTGAACGATCAGGTTGGCATACCCTTCGACTGAGAATTCCCAGTCAGGGATTTCTTCTTCTTGCACGACGGGTACCGCCCCGTGATTTCGCACGTAGAATAGTTCTGGGCTGGTCAAGAATCCCTCGTTGAAAAGATCTGTGAGGGGCGCTTCGACGTTGAATGGGTGGACACCAGTTAGTCGGATTAACCTGGGGTCTCGTGGGACATGTGCATCGGGTGTTTTCTGGTCTACTTCGAGGACCTTGGTAGGCGCGGTCGAAGGCGGAGGGAGAGGGAGAGATTCAAGGTACGATCCATCATCAGTCAAGGATTTGTTGTCTTCCGAGTCGAAGACTGTTTCGGGGGGTGTTGGTGGAAAAGTCACGTTACTTGGGGCATCTGCCTTTTGTGACACCTGTTCGGCGGTGGTGTTGGTGGTGGGAGAGTCCATGTTGGGGTTGAGAAACGAGGGTGCAGGGGTTTTTGGTCAGGGAGGGATATCAAATACAAGAAAAGGAATCAACTTGGGGTATAAAACTGTAAAAAGTCGATATTGGTGCACGAGTTGAGTTGGACGAAGTCTTTCGACAACGAAGGCACTGTCCAAGAGATGCTCACCACTGTGGCAAAAGGTGTGTCGTAGTAGACGCAGTTTTGGAATCGAGGACGAGCGATGGTAGGCGAGAAGTAATGTAGCATATCATCAACGAAGATCTGGGGTGATCCGCTTCGTCATTTTTCTGACTACCGGTACGAGAGACGCCACAGCTAAGACTGGAGTTCGGAGAAAGGTGGTCGACAGACACGCAAATGACAAGCAGCCAGGCCCAGTAAACGTTTTCCTAGGCTAGAAAAGCAAAGAAAGGCCCACCAGGAAAATGACGCCCCCGATCTGTGGAGAAAGGCAGGGCAAGGGTACCCGGGAGTATGAGGTTTGATTGCCGCCTTGAATGGCCTGGAATGGATAGAAAGGGTTGGGGGTTTTGCATCAGGATCAAGATCTTCATCATCGAATGGTGGATTTCTGTCTAGGTAGTGTACTGTACGTAGTTTCTGTGTATGCATCCTTATCTCTGTGCAATAAGCGGCGGATCTGGTTTGGGAATAGTGTGGGTGGGCATGTTCGCTGCTTCCCTAGCCCTAGCACTCTCCTAGTTAATTCTTTAGTCGACAGCCAATCCGCGATAAGACGTTTTTCAACTCCTCCTACAGTCCTACATGGTTACTCACTACGAGTATTATCCTTTCCTTTCTACCGGGTTGTACCGGCAATAGGTGTTTCCATCCACTAGCGACGGCTCTGTATAATGATTATCCCGGATTATCCCATCCACCATTGGGTCTGCATGCTGCAATTCTTAAGACGTGGGAGCCCTTGTCCACCATTGATGCCCGTATCGAACGTACATATTGTGCGTGCGCGACGTTCAGCGGAGATGCTTCACATTCCTACCCCGTGGAGAAAGGCCATAGAACAGCAATCGGCAGCCTCGAGTGTGCCGATGCAATGCCGAACAGTATGAAGATAATGCCGCTCATTGCGAAAGACTTTATCGCGCAAGGTATCGTGTTGAGGAGGAGCATGCGCGAATCGATTGTGGATGCCGATAGTTGGATAGCCTCACTGACACTTCCATTGACACCTTCATCGGTTTGAAGGCGTGAACCATCTCTTTTCCATATGCCTATCCCTGTTCAAAGATCACCATAGCCCATTCTACGCAGTAAACACCTGGAGTGGCTTCCGCCTCCAGACTGGTCCTATCAGTATGGATGTCATGTCGATGATGGCCCAGGGTCAGCGACGTCCTCGGAAGTCCACCATTCACTCGAGAATCAATCATTCATCAATTCTTAGCGCCCTGATAAGATGAGATTGCGACAATAATGCAACAGCTGAAGTAAAGATAAGAGATTCAACGGCTGTGGATCATATGTGGTTCTCGACCGGATGAACTTGTCCTCCGTGATGTGACTTCTCCGCGGATTGTTCTTTCGCGATTTGCCTTGCTGGCCAATGAGCGGCTTCCGCACTAAATCAGCCCTGAGACTTGGTCAACGACATCTCATCAACACCGATCCATCGCAACCATCTCATTTCAAACACACTTTAAACAGCTCCAAGGATATAGTGAAAGCGATCAGAGTTCTTCCGCCACGGCGAAGCTTCTGGTGACGAACCTCGACTCAAGAGCAATATAGTTGCACTTATCTGTAGATGGCTTTCGAAGCCCTTTTGTGTGTCAGATTTGACATATTTCTATTCAATGATCCTCCTCAATTAGCTATAACTGTCCCAGTCCATATCATTCAGGCTTGATTGGATAACATCACCTGGTCTCACAATATCACCAGAAGCAAAGGCAGCCCAAGGCCATTCCATACGTTCATCTCTGAAACTGGATTTTAAGACATAGTTCTTCTAATACACCGCGTCTATACATACAAAAAAGGAAATCCAATCTTCACCTCACCTTTTCAGATTCTTCGGTCCTAACTTTGGAATACCAGAGTATTTGTGACCTATTTTTGTTTTCAAATCAGTCGTTCAGCCCTCAGAAGAGCCAAAAGTCTGTGAATGAAGAGACAACAGCATTGCAAAGGTTGGATCAACGTTTGCAATCTCAGTTATTTTGTCGGCAACCTGCTTGCCTTCCTCCAAAAAATACGGTGCTCAAAGTTTGATAATGCGTCTCTCCAATAGAGACTTTCGTGTTCTTGTTGGTGTCAAGGTAGAAAAGTAGTATGTTCTTTGCAATTCCAGGCCCTGTCTCAGGAGCCTTCTCATTGTCATCGCATAGCTCGATTTGAGCCGGCATATACCCTTCCCATGAGCTTCCCAGGAGGCCTTCGAGACATTGAATATTATGGAACTAGTCTCTGTCATCTATAGCTACTCGTAAAATTAACTATACTATAGAAGGCGGTCCACTTCGTAGCGACGGCTTTCGTTGATGACGGGGCGTGGTCGTTCCTGATCAGGAACCTCGGGATCAAAAGGATCAGCGTCCTGTGGTGCTGGTTCGCGAATTTGTTGACTAAGCGCTTTATTAGTATTCGTAGGCTTACTTCCGTTCAATACATCGAGGAATGCTTTGAATCTTAGTCTGTGAATGTTAGACCACTATGTTAATAGTTTGACCTTCGAGCTTGAAAGGTTATGAGAGAGAGCGGAAACAATGGCGAGTCCAATGCTGCTGTTGAATTTTAATGACAAGAGGTAAATGTTGAAAATGAAAGGGTTGCGAGACGTTCAGAACGCTGCTCCTAACATAGGCGACGGGGCGTTTTGATTTGAGCGCTTCGGAAAGCCGAGATAATTGGTGGGAAAGCTCGACGAGGCCGTCGATTGCCTCTTTGCGAGTGCATTCTAAGCGATCGAGAAGCTGGTCTTCGGTATCTCCTGACTGTGAAGGCAACTCATCGTCCGTGCACTCGTCTGCGACGGAGATTTGCTTAATATAAAAGATGAGGGATGTCAACTGTATCATCGGATGGAGACAGACTTCCGCGTGATATGGCTACACGCCGATGTCTTCGGTAGGAGTCGAGATACGTTGCAGTGCTGTGCTTTACTTGACCTATGCGCAGTTTGGGCTCTGGTAGGCTATCGAAGAAGTGCGTCACCATCTTTTTGGATAAGCTTATAGGCATCTTGTACAATGTTGAGTGCGTGTGATGAGGTTGGGTATCTCTAGTTTCATTTGAGGTATTGCCATTATGAGCTTTGATGTATTGAATTGCGCCCGAGCAGATGACCATATCGTGGCGGCGTGGAATGCATGAAATGACATCATGACTTATCTTCTTCATCGAGCTGAATCAGTAGAATCTCAGTTTGAGCTGTTCCCCCTCTGTTCCTCATACCACACCCGTAGATTCCCCCTTGTCCTCTAAGATTGAATCTAAATTCCCGAAACCCAACTCCTATTACTTGAGCACAGAGATGGTGGTATCGACTGGGCCTCCGGAATGGCATCTTAAATGTTTCAATCATCATTTCAAAGATGACGTGGACAAGGAGACATATCTCGGAAACTTTCAGCAATTTCTGAAAAAGCCTGCAAATAGGCGAACAAAAAGCAGAGTCTTGAGGTGGATGATGCAAAGAATGCCGAAACAGACGGCAAACAGCCACCCTATATTTTGGTATGTTTTATCTCAATCAATTCCTAATCAACCGTTTCAAGGTCTATCATAACTCATTGCCTGCGAGCGACCCCTATCAGTTGACCAGAGCTTTGTCGCTTTAACCACGAAACCAAAACTGACATTTTCATGCAGGTACCGTTAAAGATCTCTACTAAATTTCGAACCAAGAAATCTGGGGATGCTTTTTCTCAAGCAGTGTCATTTTTGTGCGATCAGATCCTCGGGAACTTTGCACACAAAGACATGAAGCAGAAAATTGCGCTGGTGACGAACTATGGTCTGGCAGAGATTATTCCCATTAATCGAATCCTTCAACTGCTCTATGCCAGGGTCTGGTTTCAAACGGTATCTAACAACAAAATGCCATCTCTGGATGAGGTCTTGGGCTCCGCAATTGGTTTTTGGGATCCTTTGTATGGCCCTCTTTCACCACTATGTTGTATGGTCGTTGACTGATATTTTTCCCGAAGCTTTAAAGGAGTGTCCCTTGGTGTTCTTGCCTTCTATGATGTCTTGAAGGAATTACCTACGAAATTTGAGCACAAAGTCTCTTTAGAAGGTCTGAAAAGAACCGCTGAAGATATCTGGACACGTCTATACTATTTCCGTGTAAGCCACGTTGCCTCATAGCACGCGAGTTTAAGGCGGACTTTCACATTCTACTCTAGAAATCCGACGCAGAAGAGCCCCCGGCAAGAGCTCCCAAAACAGGAGAAACAGGCTTTTCAAAGAACTCGCAGAGGAATCGAAAACTTTCGATAGTGTCGCAGATACATTTACGCAGGCCCGTGGCTCAAACGAGATCCACACATGCGTCTAACAGGATCTCAGCACCGATATAATGGACGCGACACTACGAATGCTTGATATCACCTTCGATCTCGAAACCACGGACTCAGATATGCTTAAATCCATCCGAGAAGCAAGAGACAGCGTTCACCACAAACGCAACGTGTGCCTGCGAGTCGCTACTGTAGGGGAAGGCGTAGCAATTGGAATGAAACTTGTTGGTAAAGCGGAGGTTGGTTTAAGTGTGGTAGTGTGCCCAGCACTTTCACTTGTCTGTGCCATTGGTCTCGGGGCCGCCGGCTACAATCATTGTAGATACTCGAAAGCTGAAACGGAAAGTGAGAAACTCCAGAACGGTGAGTAAATCAGGATGAATGAATATATTTTACGACTAACGTAGGGACCAGTTGGAGAGCTCGTCCAGGAAATTCATGATCACTGTCGAAAGATTGCGACGGTCCTCCTTTCCATCGCTCAATCCCAGGCGCTGATCAAGACTAATGTTGAACTCAGGGATATTGCTTCCAGGGATCATCGAGGGGCGGTAGGCCATCTTCTGCGGGCAAGAGGCCTTCGTTCTGAAGCTTGATAGCTACCTCATCGACTTTGTTCCACACCCGCAGAAGATTCCCCCCAACAATCTTCTTCGCTATTTCATCACTAGTCCCCTGTCGCAGCATTTCTGCAACGAGCAACGGATATTTTGAAACGTCTTCCAATCCCTCAAGCACAAAGGGGACGCCATCGAAATCGCTTCCAATGCCGACATGGTCGTACCCGATCATATCGCCAATATAACGCATGTGGCGAACTACCTGCGGGATAGTGAGGTTCGCATCGACTCGTTCAGGCAGTTCGCCTTGGATCGGTTTTCCATCGGGCCACTGGCAGCTGACAAAGTCCGGGGAAAATGTGACCATGACAACGCCGTCGCGTTGCTTCAAGAGATGTAAAACATCATCGGGGACGTTACGCGGATGTGGACACAGGCCAAATGCGTTGCTATGGCTAAACACTGGCGGTGCCAAAGTGCCTTCCCAGGGCTTGGAGTCCTGGCTGTCCCTATTACCAGCCCCCAGCGCAGCACGCATCGTATCAGCAGATGCATGGCTCAGGTCCACAATGACACCAAGTCGGTTCATCTCGCGCACGATGCCCTGTCCTGCTTCGCTGATACCCCCCCATTTTGGTTGAGATGGCCCAAGACCTCCTGGTAAACTCAACAGCGCTGAATCAGCGTACGAATTATGGCAGTTATGTGTGAGTGTTATGAGACGCACCCCACTCGAATAGTAGCTTCGGAGCTTGGAGTACGAGTCGCCAATGAGATGAAGACCTTCCACTGCGAGGGGGGAAATGAAGCGACCAGACCGAAAGATTGCGATGGCGTGTGAGCTGTTGTCAGGTCTGCCGAATACATCAGGGTATCTTGCGTGGATCCTATGGATCACATCTTTGGCTGCTTCGGTGGTAGCCAGAGCTAAAAGCTAAGCTCAGTCATGGTGCAGGTCACGACTTGATGGAATCTAACCTTGTGCATAGTACTCTAAAGAGTAATCCTCGGTCGGGCAGTCTGAAAAGGTAGACCAGAAAGCTCCTCCAGAGTGACCTTGAAGAAGCCTGTGAAGGTCAACTTCACCGCCTAAATGTCCAGACTCGAAGGGCTTGGTGAAGTTGTCCAGATTTAAGCGATTGCTGTGAGCCCACCGAATGAAATATGCGAGGTCATTGTGGCCATCTAAGAATCTTTTTAGAACCAAGCTTGTGATTCTGCCGCTTGCACTCGAACTTACCTATGAGCGGAGTGGAATGTAAGATGCCTTGGACGCGAGCCTCTATTGTCTCAATGTGAGGGCCTTCGAGGTTCTGAAACAAGAGTTGATAGTGAGGGGTTCTATCAGATAGTGCCCCGAGGAGCCACAGAAAAAGTAAGCTCAACCCGAATTTAGAGAGTGCAATATTTGGCGAAGCCATGATGCGCGAGAATGGGTGGGCAGAATGGGTGAACTTCACGGTGAGGAGGGTACGCTTGGCCTTATTTATATTCTTCCCCTGTTGCACCCGTTACAGCAGGACGTCGGCCCGAGCCATGGGTGGTACCTTGACAGCCTTGTGAACAGCAAACGATAAGAGCAACCCGAAGTTGTCGCAATATTGGGAGGTTGTTGATTGGTCCATGATAGGCCTTTGAACGCGGCTACTGGTTGGTACTAGGAATGGGCGCAAAGGGGCTCGAAATCGTGCGTATTGGTTTTCTAATCAGATTCAATGGGAAAGAGGACTGTACATATGCAATATACTGGACCATGCAATTGTTCCACCTTGACATCGCGGAAGGCGTTATGCTCTACCTAAAACAATCCGTTTGGGTTCGTGAAAGTGGCTACTCAGATATCAAATATGTCACTCCAATCTTGAGTGGCACGACCAACTATACTTACCGTGTGATGTTTCGACAAGAAGGCTCGCTCACTGTCACAGACACATTCTTGGGAAGCATCATCTTGAAGCATGCTCCCGAATACCTCTTGGGTACACCACATATTCCTTTCGCAGCCGGAAGACAGGTTTTTGAAGCCAGCGCAATGAGCGTAGTTCCACGAGTCCTAACAAACGATTCTAGTATACTACCAGTTGAACTTCCAGTCCTTATCCACCACGACCCTGCCGCCCGTGTCATCTTCATGCAAGATCTGAGTTCAGTGGATACAGAAGCTGTTTCAGGGTCTTGGTTCGACCATACAATGCAGTTGAGCCAGTTCTGCCGCGAAGCAAACACTCCTTCCCACTTACAACTCCTTCGTGGTGCGGGCATTGCGCTCGGGGAGTTAGCTACCGACTCCATTCTTCATCATCCAACACAAGAGAATCGGAGGCCAAAGCCCTACAGGACTTCAAATATCTGTGTGCGACCCACTCGGACGCACGCCGCGTTGCGGCCGAGCTTTTCTTTGGCGACTTGCTCCACTTCATGGAGAGCGCAGGCGTGCAACTGACCGACCAGAAACGCAGCACCATTGCAGATATTCTTGATTGCGAGAGATCTTACCTGAATAATACATTGCAGACATTAGTCATGGGAAATTTCATGTAGGTATTTCCGCTTTGCGAATCCGCTCATGGTGCAAGCTTGCTACTTGTTGACCAATTGTCCGACAACGTAGGGTAACGAACGCGATGATCAGACTGCGCACTCCTCCAGATGCACACATTCCAGAAGCGACGCTCTGCGTCTTCGATTGGGAATTCACGACATGCGCGCCATCTTACGTCGACCTGGCGGACTTCGCAAGCGGGGCATGGCTGTATGCCTATTCTGGTCCAGCAAGCGATGCTTGGATCGAGCTCACGTCCAACGTATTTCGTGCGTACCGGGATTCTGGAGGCAGAAAAGATATCAAGTGAGTGATATACTATATGGCTAGACACATTGGAAGGTCTACAGAGAAGTTCCATCTTGCGAAAGGACGGTGGGAGAGGAAGACTGCGGCACTCGCAGCGGCGAAAAGGATTCTCAGTACTTCGCAAGATGATTGGGATGTGTTGAGCCAGGACACATTTCTTGGAACACTTTTGAGAATTGCATCAGCCCAGGGTAGAGAGAAAGAAGCTGGGGAAGTCAATGGTAGCGCTCTCACATTAGGCTAATTTCTATTGCCGTTCGCCGGAACTACTTCACTAGCTTAAATGTCTAATATAATTACACATCAACATCGTCATCATAGAAGCAACGAAATATGCTGGTGACGAAAGAAAAGCGTTGACATCTTAGAGAATGAGGTCACAAAAACAGGATAGGGCATTACGCAACACCTCTTTCTGGATCAAATCATCCATACACTAGAACCTGTGAAATATCTTTTTCAATTGCTAAAGAACTGAAGCGATCTCTTTTAGGAACCTCAGGCCGTTACACAGAAATTGCGAAGCGCAAGATATACCTGTGACCACACTTGGACAGACTGTCCATGTTGAAAGAAAATGTGAATGCCAAACACTGGCGGACAACCTAGAAGGCATGCAGCAAGTGACTAGAACTACATTGACAACGGAGGTAACTCTGGCATCAGAAAGGGCCTGTTCTGATTCCTCTGAACGGTCCTGTAGATCTTCCGTTCTGGATATAGACCCGTTTGTCCAAGAATGCCATCCATTTGTCATGATCTCCCGTCTCTGGGCGATCTTCAGATGACACTGAACTAATAACTTCCTTTTCTATCGATATGGCTTCTTCGCGGCATCCCTGAGCATACAAAACAATCCCCAGCCTGTACTGTGCCCTCGCCAAGTCGGTCTCGCTGAATCCTGAATTGGTGCCGTGTTGGACCGCGGTGCGCAAATATTTGCTGTTGCAATCAGCTTCAGGTATCAGCTGAGGATGTATGGAAATAATTCAACTCACACTGCCTCGTCCAGCTGGTTGAGATAGTAGTATACTGTACCAATCCAGTAGTTAGTATTCAGCACGCCCGGGTTTTCTAGTTTCAAGAGCTCTGATTGCACGAGTAGCACCTCTTGAAACTTTCTCAGTGCTTCGTCGAGCTTTCCGGCACCGATCAACAGATAACCCCACTGCGACTCAAATCTCATAGTCTCCAGATTCTTCCAACCTAGTTCACTTCTGTACAAGAAGCAAGCCTGATTAGCCAACGCCAATGCTTCGTCAAGCCGGCCTTGACCAAATCTGACCACAGTCATATCGATGTACTGCAGTGAGAACCGGAAGCGTAGGGTATTTTCGTCACCAAGGCTTTTGTATAAATCCAAAGATTTTGTCATCCACCCGTCTGCCTCTTCAAACTCTTCAAAGTCGGCATAGAAGTACGCCAAATCGTTCCAAGCTCTGCCGACGTCGACCTGTTGCTCAATGGTTGCTGTGCCTGGCGGCAGAGACCGTAAGATGTTTTCACGAAGCTTGACAACAACTTTCAAGCGCTCTGCACCTTTCTTTCTTTGATCAACACTGCCATGTGCTTCAATTAGTCCCAGATAATTTTCGATGGCAGCCAAGGTTGGGCTCGGATCATCATCATTTAGCACTTTCAATGCTATTTTCTCTCCAAGCTCCAGTACGGATCTAGCAACTTGACTCAACTGTTGTCCCCATAAGAAGCTTCCAGCGTCGGCTAGCAATTCCGCGAATTCCATGTTGTACGCGATAGGAGGATCGGATCGCTCGAATGAACTCTGCAAACTTATCACCTGCGGGATGTTCTCCCTCCAGATCGCGTCATTCTGCAGGGAACGGGAAGTCATGTCACGGTGTGGAAACGACGCTCTGACGAGCAAGTATGCCTTGTGGAAATACTTTTGTCGCTCTGCGGGCTCCTTGTCGAGCTTCCGCAAGAGTGCACGCCGAAGAGCTCTTTGCATTCGCAGGTTTACTGAGTTGGATGTGGCAATGTTTCTTTCGACAAAATTGCCCCTGGATAGGTCCGCTATCTGCATCGTCAAGCTTTACTTTGTTAGATGAATTCTGCGCACTTGGAACATTACTTGCCTGAAATCCTCGGACATATCTTCCCTCGTGGGTAGAACGCCAGGTGCATTTCGGAGAAACTCTTGCGACACTCGATGTGGATTGAGGAATGCTAAAATGTAAAGCAGCTCTTTCGAGTCTTGTGGTAGGCTTTCCAGGGCAGCTTCCCAGCCAGTATTCGGAATAAGCTTGTAAGTCTTCCAAGATACGTTGGAGTTGTCAGACCATCGCTCCACCCTCCAACGCCTAGTTTGGAATCTTTTCAACAGATCTGGCAAACGCGTATGCGAGGCTACCGCGCGTTCTACAACCTCTGAAATTGCTAGAGGGTGTCCACAGAGCTCATTTGAGAGCTTTTTAGCTTGTCGTTTTGACGAATTTTCAAGATGCATTTGGTTCAATATAAATGAGCTTCCTTCCTCCGGTGTGAAGGGGTTTATCCTAAGTTGCAAAGTTGTGAGGCCCTCATACAAGGCCTTTTCCGAAGTGATGATTACATTTCCGGTGGAACTTTGCGGCCAATAAGGGAGGATGTCTGACCTCTGTTGCACATTATCGAATACCAAGAGCCAACGATCGGCTTGAATCTTTGTTAGCGAAAACCCTCTCTAGCACTTTGGCTGAAGACTTACACGTAGTGTTCAGCCATCTCCTCATCGCCAACTCGAGGGCCTTACGCTCAGAGCCACCACTCTGATCCATGTTCATGTCTCCTGCTATACGAACAAAGTCAGAGCGCATTTCCCCTTCTGTCCCGGCATAAACCCAGATAACATGGGAATAATGTGTTTTATAGCGATATGCGAATTCTATGGCGATCTCGGTCTTGCCTATGCCGCTCAATCCAAACAATGCGATGGAGCGCAATCCATCTGGGAGTTCAGGAGAGTCGAGTTGCAGGGTCTTGCTGATATCTAAAAACACATCCTCCCTTCCAGTAAAGGCCAAGTTTCGGGAGTAATAAGCGTTCATGATGAATTGCACTGAGGAGTTGTTTCGGGAGACAAGAGTATCGGAAAGGTTTTCTTTCATGTACTCCTGCCACTTCTGATTCGCTTTGGCAGACCAACCCAGAGGATGTCTGCTAAGAAAATTGGCGGTTGCAATGCGAATATGGATGAAATCGTCGTGAATGGTGCGTAATGCTCTTCGGAGGCCGGCTGTGGGGTTTAGATCTAGATAAGTGTCGGAGTGTGGCAATGTTCTGGCGAGCTGATCTAGCACTTGAGTGATCTTTCTAAGAACGTCCTGGTGAAGCAGCGTGATCTAGGGAAACTACCAAATTTGTTCAGCTGCATAGGGTAACCTCGACTCTGGACTGACGTCAACCAGTAGCAGAATGCTTCCCCAGAGCAATTGCCCAGGCTAATCACCGCACTGGGCTATGCTGGACAGAGCAGTTGAGAAGTAATTGATGGCACCAAGTGTACCTTCGAGATGGCCGAAGCTGGCGACAAGACCGTGCGATGCGTATTCTTTATTGAGTTGTAAGATGGAGCTTCCCAAGTCAGAATCATCACAAAGGTCAGGAAAGATTTCGGCTATTTCGGACTTCAATCGTGCGATGTGTCGCTTGATAGCGCGATTCCATTGTACAGCGTAATGATTTCGATCTTGATCTGGTGCAAAACTTGCCAGGCGCTTGCTAACGAGCTGGTCTGTGGGCTCCAGCCCAGAGGTCTTTTGGCTAGAGTGCATACTCCTGCAACGAAAATACCAGCATCTTGACATTGTGATATTGGCTCTTTGAAAAATGTGCCGTAGTCAACCCTTGCGATCATGATTCGCATTTGTAGGGGGCGTGGGAAGGAGCGAGGATGCATTACCTGGAGAGCAAAATATGCAGGGCCATTAAGGACATAGCTGAGACGAGGAGAGTTTGGTGTACAACTACACGTAGCCAGAACGTTTCTGGTACACTATATACAGTCTTAAAAAGAGTTCTTAAGAGATTTCTTACTGATTACTCTACCTTTCACTATTCCTGAGATAGCTTTTACAGGTACCGAGTACTAATAGGATCTAAACCATCTCCTACCTATAACTGGTGTCTACCGAGCTCTCTAATATTTACAAATATTTCTATTAGTATTCCGAAAAGTGGCACCTGAAGAATCGTACCGTCTCTACGGCAGATGTACCCCATCTGAATTCACCTAGCACACGCTAAGTCAAAGACGATGCTTTTTCTCAGAATTATCACTCTCTAACATCAAGCTCAACAGTATGGTTGGGCAGAATGGGTGAAGGGTGAGGAAGAAGTGGCATCGGGAGGTACCCATCAGACCGGGTCGGCTCTCTGTTTGCACCCGTTGCGTCAGGACGTCGGCCCGAGCTATGGGTGGTACGGTGCCAGTTCTGCTGTGAGGCGACCACAGAATCCCGGGGAATGCATTGGCTCACAGGAAAATCTGTAGTAAGTCGGACGTGGCCGTTCACAGCGGCGAGGTTCTTGATGTCGATGTTGATCTGTTCAAGTCAGTCGATTCAAACAGGAATTTGAAGCATATCTCGAAGACTTAGCATAAGTTCATACACTCTAAAAAATGGTTGATCTTAACAAAGAATATGCAGTTATGTCTAACTCCTTGTGTCTATTGTCCTCTACGTACTATTAATGTATTACTAGGCCTCATAATGTTTTTGGAAACAAAGTATAGGAAATGGTTAAAACAGCTCTTGCCTGTTCATACAGCGAGGAGGACCTCGCACGAGATAGATTCTAGCGCACGCCCGAATAGTCGCAACAGACAATGGTATTGACAAAATTCTCACGGACTACGATCTCGATATCATGATCGGTCCGGCCGATAGCAATTCGCCAGTGTTAGCTGTAGTTCACGTGGAGGAGCTATGGTCTGCCAAACAAGCATTAAGGGTATCCCATCGCATCATAGCCTCTAGGCTACCTCGAGTATAATGGTCATCCACTCGGAATGGCCGCTGTTTCACACATATTTCGGGATGCCACGTTGATAGGGGTTCAGAGCGCGTGGGCTTTGACATGTTTGGTTCGTTCGTGTCGCCACCGTACAACGTTTTCGCAAAACGAGTACCGGTGTGGCCATGATGTGGTGATGGAAGATGAAATCATACGTTAGGGTTCAGCAGGCGCCCGATGGGGTTGTTGTGAAAATGCTAGTACAACTATGTCCTTTGAATAGCTTACTCGGTGCATGCAATAGGACGCTCGGTGCGTGTTTTAGGCTTTCTGTGAATGAGCGGCGTGGGAGTGTGTACGCATAAGATCGTTGAAGTTCCCAGTTTGTTATCTAGTGCTGTAGCATATTTCAAAGATGAACCTTGGATAGTATGGTTATTTGATAGCAGTGAAAAAGGCACCGTTGCCGCGTAGATCGACTAGGTCAATACTAATGAATGATGTTGCATTGTGTACAACGTGTTCAACAAGTTTACACCCTTTGTTCACCTTTTTGTGTATCCGTTTTCGTCTTTCAGCAAGGCATGTTGAAGTACATTGGTTCTGATTACGCAACATCGTCACTCTAGGGCAAAAGCACTTCCGTATGCGGTCATGTTGAGACAACGCGATAGCGTGACCGAAGGGGAGCAGACCCATGGAAGCACTCTCTCGCGTGAGTTGAACCAGCTATTGAAATGCGGTTGCGTGGCTAAACCCTCAGGTCAAAGAACATTCCTAGACTTTTCCGCAGGAGCAAATTCGCATTCCATGGCTTCCATCGAATCCAGGAACCACTGCATCGGTAACGAAGAACAAAGAAGACACTCTTGGTACCTTCAACCCGACATCACCCCACTCGTACAAATAAAACAAAAATGTCCTGTCGATCGTCAGTGTATCTATCGATCGCAGATGTAACACAGTCTGTACCTGCGTAATGGGAGAAGTCGCTGTTTCGTCCATCACTGCACATTTCGAGCCTGGAGCTCACAAGTCTTACCGAATGCCTCCTCTCCTCAGCAAGTTGATTCCGCGGAAAAGCTCAACCGATGGAGAACGTCGCTTTTCGACAATGACGTCCTCTGAGCCATCAAGTTCGCCCTCGGAGTGTGCACATGAGCCTATACGGCCACCTGGGAATCCGAGGTCACTGGAAGGTTTGTCAGACGAGGATATTGAGGTCCAGTTTGCCGGCGTCTATCAAGCAATTGTCACGCACGTGCACAAGTTTTATACCACGGCCCCATTGGAGAAGGGAGCGTATCAGTCGGCTATTGAACACGCAACGACGGGTTTGGGCATCTCGTGGCGACAATTACTTCCGCTCTTGAACGACCCGAAGACCAGACTGGGGACACTCACTTTATGTATCGCTTGGGCAATTCTTAGCCGGAGTCTGTTGCTAAAATTGGGATTGAGTGGTATTCCGGGAAGCTCGTTCCTACCTCCGGAGATAGTGGAGTGTTTCCAAAGCTTCTCGGTCGGAAAAGGCGCTATTGTGTCAGGCGGTGATGAGAAATGTCAATGTCACCGTAAGTATCCATCGAACAAGATCGTAGCCACACGGTAACCCACTGACTCTTTAATCAGTCGACCTAGGATTGATATCCCGTTGGAAACAAATAACCGCCGAATTACTTCGTGAGACGTATGTCGAAGACGCATTCTCTCATTTCGACTCGCGGACCATCAATATCGAGCGCGGCGTAAACGACCTCTATTCCCTCCTCCGAGCATACTCAGACACTTCGAAGGACGCGATCGACGCCCGGACGACCGATCTACGCAACGTATTGAAGCAAGGGGCGAGATTCGCGTTTACTCTATTCGGCACACCGACCTTCTGGCAATTCGACTGGAAAGCACCCAACGAGCCTGACGAGAAGACCTCAGACACATATGACGAGTGGCATCCAGTGCCGAGGAGGCCGGCAGAGAGGGAACTGACACCCGAGGATATCGTGATCTGGCCGAGTCTCGTAAGAGCGATGGATAATGAGGGGCATTATGTCGAGAATTCGGGTGGGCCGGGTATTGGGAAGAAGATTCACCTGAGCCAGTTTCAATGATGGTTTGGAGTGATATCACGATTGATCTTGTAGGAATGACCTCGTGTATCAAACATACCGATGTGGCTTGTATTAGACATAGACAAAAGCGCAGAGACAATTCGATGGCGGGGAGACACACCAAATGTTGAGCTCAAACCCCCCGTTCTTTCGGCCTTTTCCAGAGAGCATAGTATTTCACTGATTGAAGTTCAAGCCAGTATGGGATATCCGTAGCTTAGTGAAGCCAATACAATTAGGGCACTAAATGCGCTATGTTTCTTTCAGCGTAACCTGTGTAGGGGAAGCCAAAGAGGTATCAGAAGTACAAGGCAAAGGGAGCAAAATAAGCACTGACAAGCATATTGGTACCAATCAAATGAGAAGACTGCCTTACAAATAACGTATTTCAAACCACGGCCTTGTACCTACGTCCATATGAATTTCGGGCAGATGACTTCTACAATTCTTGCGATTCCTATAGAACCTAATGAGCATGCTGTCAATTTGAAGACATATGTTCCTAGTTTCTAGGAAGAGGCTTGATATTATGGTTCAGAAGGATAGAATGAAGCCCGGGTCGGAGATCACGTGCAGGTAGGAATTGTTAGGAGGACTTTAGGGAGATAGATCAGGGCTCCAAAGAGCATTCAGGCAGCATACTGTCGCGTATAGACGCCTCTATAGTAGGGAGCATCACAGGCACACTCCGATAGCAAGAGAAGATACGGGCGGCCAGAGGGCAATATAGTAAGATTGGTACACATAGATCATAATAATGTACTGCCGCATGTGGCAGTACATAGATGATCATCTCTGTTGGCCTAACTGATATCAAACAAGGGTCCCACCATGACCTTTCCCTGCATTCGTTCCTTCAAAGTTTGTGCTCGCTCTCGACTACGATCTTCGGCCTTCTTTTTAGCTGATGCCTTGAGGAATCTGCCTGTCGTACCATGCTTGATTCGAGTGAGCATGTCTGCAGCCTTACCCTTGGTAAGGTCTTTGGGGTGTAGTTGATCGTCTTCCGGTCGATACTTGTTCAGGAAATCGACCTGGGCTTGCGATGCTCTGCTACGACGCCAAGATTGATTCTTGTATATCCACATATGGTCGAAGACCTCTACAGCAAATGTATCCGCTGCATGTACGGTATGTTCAAAGGACTCCCCCTGTGCGACAGTCTTTGGCGTGGCATATGGACTTTTTGACTTGACGCCTGCGGGCAATCTACGATAGTATTTTACTGAAAAGGTGGCCCCGTTCTCGGAGGGTTCCAGATACAGGTAATTTCCGCTGTTGGTGGTCAAGACATATTTCCCATCTCCTACGCCTACCCAGGCGTATTCGCTGAGCTTTCGTATGTGCTTGTCGTTTGAGTCATCCGCAATAAGATCATGTACGGAGTCATAATCTGTGAATGTTACAGTTCCTGGCAGTTTCTTCGACACATTTTGCTTTGTGGTGCCCTTCAGTGAAGCATTCCGCTCTGCTTCAGACTCCTTCCTAGCTTTGATCTCGGTCATGGCTTCTACATTCGCATTTTCAACAATCTCATCGGGGTCGAGTCCGAACAGCGTTGGAGTAGAAACGACTCCAGTACTCAGTGCAGCGACCAAATCAATGACATGGCAGTTCTGCTTTCCTTCATGCAAGCGCATACCTCGACCAATCATCTGCACTAATAGGTTTCGAGATTTTGTCGGCCTAGCGAGGATAACACAGTCGATGTTCGGAATATCAGTTCCTTCCGTGAACACGCCGCAATTGAGTAGCACGGGGAATTCCTCATTACGAAAAGCATCGACTCTTTCGCTTCGAACCCTCTTGGGAGTGTCTCCAGTAACGAATTCGGCCTGTATACCGAACTCTCGAAATTTCGTCGTGAGATCTGCAACATGCTGCAAATCGACACAAAATATCAATGTAGATCTTCGCTCTTTCGCACGAGCTAGGTAAGTTTTCACTACAAGCTCATTGGTCTCATTCGTGTTGATGGCGTTGGACAATGCCGCGGTTTGGAAATCGCCATTGGCGCCTGATTGAACTTTGTCAAGATCAGCCTTAATCTCCACAGTGGTGAACATGACATCCGAGAGCCACTTTTCCTCGATCATATCCACATAATCACGGTGATATACGATGTGGTCAATGACCGCGCCAAGTTTCCGCCCGTCAAATCGTGAGAAGGTGGCAGATACGCCGACGAGTGCTGGAGCCGGCACCTGGTTCCAGTCGGAACTATATCTCAGGTGGAAATGTTTAAGCAGCTCTAAGTATTGGCTGCTGACAATGTGGTGTGCCTCATCGACAAGTACGAGCTTGAACTTGGTCGGGTCAAACTTCAGCAACCTATCCCCAGACATGATGCTTTGAATCGAAGCCACGGTGATGTCTGCAGCGCCAGACGCATGGTGGTTCCCCATCTCAATGTCTACATATTTGTCCGGATAAGCGAGACTACAGTGACGGGCCGCTTGTTCGACAAGTTCACGGCGATGGGCAAGTACAAGAGTTCGTGATGCATCGTTTACGGCTGGAATCCTATCGATCAAGTGGGTGAAAATGACCTTAGAAAATTAGACAGGCTTCAGCAGAATAAACGGAACGACTTACAGTCTTACCGCTTCCTGTAGCTAAGGAGATTCCCAGCCTCTTGTGGCCTTTCTCGAGGTACGATAGAACAGATTGAATGCACTCTTCTTGATACTCGCGAAGAGTGATCTTCAGCGGCGAGACGACATCAGCCGGCTCTGACGTTGTGGCCGTGCCTGTACTATTGCTGGACACATATCTGATAGTGACGCGGGCAGAGTCAAATCCTGCCCGCTTCGACAAGATTGGCGCATGCCGAATGGCTCGCAACATGAAGGTGTTGTGTCATGAACGCGTCCGCGATCGTGAACTTGGACTGAAGCCGAGGCATCTCCGGCTTGGCACCGCGCTATCACGACTTTCTTGATCCAACCAATTGAAGCCGTCCTTGAAACTTCCATATTGTTCGCAACTGCTCAATCCGCTTTCGCACTTGTTGTTTGCGATTTTCCCGCGCCGTCACCGATGTTGCGGCGATGGGCTCTTCGGCATCTGATTATGAGCCTGGAATAGAATCCCAACAATCATCTCCAGAGCCTCCATCTAGGGTCAGCTCAAGATACAGTTCTCATGTCCCGGGTTCTCCACACAAGCGCCGTCGTATCTCTCGTTCTCCCTCCGGTGAGCGTGTATTAGCCAGGAGATATCATCTCGAAGGTCTCTACAACGACGACTATCGTGTTCTATATAATGAAGTCGTCGCCTCTGCCACGAATGGCATGAACGATGACCCTTTCCAACCTCCAGCACTTCAGATTGGAGGCTCGAATTGGACCGTTGCAGAGAAAACTGCATTATTTGCTGCATTAACGAAACATGGCCCCGATGATGTTGCCAGCATTTCGCATGCCATTCGCACGAAGACAATTGCGGAAGTGCAGGACCTTTTTTTGCTTCTACAGGATGCAGCAGAAAAGCGATCCACGAATGAACTCACTCTTCTCGACATCCCTGCTGCTATTGAAGTCAGTGATGAATGCATAGAACGCCTCGATGTAGCTGGCGACACGCTCGCCTGGCTTCAAGAGAAGTTCGAAGCTAAACAAGAGCAAGACCGATTTGGAAAGCACTGGCTCATTACCCCCGAAATAGCGGATGACCTTGAGGCTGCCATACGTCCTCCAGAGAATTTGTTCTCCTCGCCACCACCAGGTATCAGTGGCGACAATTTGCTGGCCGACGCGGGACAACTTACTCTAGCCAGTATCCCTGAGGCTGATCTCATCAACGCTTCTGTGATGCTTGAATTATCTTCAGCAGTGTTCATGAACAATCCACCCGCATCACATTGGACAACCCTTATTTCACCTCTGGCGGCCAAACCATCCATATATCGTACAGCCTTTGGTGACTTTCACAATCTGGCTGTCTCCCTCACCAGGCGTCTCGTACAGGCAAGTATAATACAAGCTACATCTCGACTGAGAGCACAGGGGTGGCGGAACACGAAAGGAAACAAGCCATTCGTAAGGAGTAGGGACGTTCATACTGCGGTCGACATGCTCCGGTTACAACGCAATAGCCGTGAGTTTTGGAGAGGTGCAGCGAGGCGATGTAAGCTTCAAGTCCTGAAAGGGACGGGGAAAAGAGAGGAGATTATTGACTGGAACGAAGCCGAGGCGCGATTGGATGTAGGCGATAGAGCAGCATACTCGATGTCTACCGACGTACACAACACTTCCGCTTCAGAGCCCGATGATTTCCAACAAAGGGCCGTACGGCATGGGACTCCTCTTCCAACCCGTCTTCTCTCCGATGCTGACGACGACGATCTATCGGATAGGGAATACGAAGACGATGCTGCGAGCGATGAAGCTTTGGATAGCGATGAGGCCTCGGACGCGTCGTCTCAGATCATCGACATGCCAAAGAATAAACCCCAGGGAAGTCCTGAAAGAGCTCTGGACACTGTCGCGCAATTTGATTCAGAAGCTAGCAGGCTAGAAGAGCTACGCCTATGGCAGATTATAGGCGAGACCCCGAGATCAAAAGCTCCAGCCCCTCTGTCACCAGAGGATGAGAACGAGGAGGATGATGAAGGTGCCGCGTCGTTGACGGATACTAAATGGCGAGAGTCTTTCCAATACCGTGCAGACTGGGAAGAATTTCGCAATCCTGTTTCGGCCAATAGTTTCGAGGCCAATCAGAAAACATTACATGCAGATGAAATTCTGCTGTCTATCGAAGACTTCGCTGGTAAGATGGCGAACGAGAATGAATTTGGGGCTGCACGAAGACACAAGAGAAGGAGAACGGCGGAAGCTGATATACCAATCCTGGGTGCAGGAGCATACGCTGCCAGAGCTTTTGAAGCAGACTATAGTCGAAATCCCACCAGCAGCGTTCAAAGCGATTCCGATGCAGACACGGAAATGCTAATTCACTGAACTGAGCAGGGCAACAAATGAACATCACATATAGCTTCGTGTTCTGTCTCACTTACAGCCTGGGGTATCTTCTTGAAATGTTTATGCTGAACAGAATATCTTGCGATTGAACATTTACGGGAACAGTCTTAGGTGTTGCTATCGCGAGGTCTCATATCAGCAAATCTCGTACAACTGCTCGTTTGTGCTGTCTAGCGAACAAGGAAACGATCTTTGGGTTCTCTAAATTCCCGTTCCGCGCTCTCAGGGCTCAACGGCATTGACATCCATGGATCAGGGATAATTGGACCGAATGATCATCCATGACGATATCACAACCCAGATCTCGAATTGATACCAAGCCTACCCAACCACCTTCCTAAAACAGTAATCACCTTCACAAAACCCTTGCTCTCCTACGCAACTGCTGGGATTGGAAGACTGCCGAGCTGCAACCGATGACATTATGAGCACGACTATGAGGGGTGATGCGGGCTGCAGATATGTTTCCCGTCTTTTGCTAACTTATACTGGCAGTTGGCAACGTTTGCCCAGACTTGTACAGAGTGTTGCTTGGTGCCATCGGCTATTTTCAGATCCGCATTTAAAAGCCTTCAAGATCACAATTTCTCATTGTACGTCCCGTACATCTCTGTCAAAATGCACTTCTTGATCCTGGCCACGGCGCTCTTAACGACCGTTTGTGCCAACGAGCTTCGCCTGTCCCCCAGGGATCTACCCCCGCCAATTGCAGCAAATGCGAGCAGTTACACTGACTGTGCAAACGCAGCATGGCCGCCATCGGATGTAGGAGTTGAATTGGTCCCGCAGGCGCCTAACGACGAGCTCAAGTCGATGTTGGACGAAGTGGACGCGGCTAACATCGAAGCTTCAATCGAGAAGCTCGTTTCTTTCGGCACCCGCCATACACTTTCCGTCCAAAACGATACCAAACGCGGTATCGGTGCCGCTCGAGACTGGCTGGAATCCGAGTTTAAGAAGTATGCAGAGGATTCGGATGGGAGGATGACGGTTACGGTACCGGGTTATGTTCAAGGCGTAGCTTCGAGGATTCCGTTCCCTGTGAAGATTTCGAATGTGTTAGCTACCATCAAAGGTTCAACTGACCCGTCGAGAGTGTATGTCATTACGGGTCACTATGACAGTAGGGTTACAAACGTGTTGGATTATACCTCTGATGCGCCTGGGGCCAATGATGATGCGAGCGGAGTAGCTTGTATGCACGAATCCCGCTCGATATGTGAGATACCTAATGTTTCTTAGTGGTACTCGAACTGGCACGGATCCTTGCAAAGAAGCAACCTAAAGCCACAATCATCCTGGGCGCAGTAGCCGGAGAGGAGCAAAGCCTCTATGGATCTACGTTCCTGGCCCAAACCCTGAAGAACTCAAGCACGAACGTGGAAGCCATGCTCAACAATGATATCATCGGCTCATCCACGGGAGATCGAGGACAGAAAGACCCATTCACGATTCGAGTATTCGCTCAGGGCCCACCTCTGAACGAGCCAACTGACGTTGCGGCCCGGAGATTGCAGATAGGAGGGGAGAATGATTCTCCTGCACGAGAACTCGCACGGTTCTCGAGTGAGGTAGCGGCCAACGAAGCTACTGGGATGAACATAGCAATCATTTACCGTCTAGACCGTTTCCTTCGAGGTGGAGACCACTCTCCGTTTCTACAAGCCGGATATGCTGCAGTGCGATATACGGAGCCGAACGAGAACTTCGCCCATCAACATCAAGACCTCCGCGTGGAGAATGGGACGCAGTACGGCGATCTCATCGAATTCGTTGACTTTGAATATATAGCGCGGGTATCAAAGGTCAATCTCGCAACGCTGTGGTCATTGTCCGAAGCGCCCGGACAAGTCAGGAATGTGACTGTCGACACCACTGCGTTGGACAACAATTGCAGGCTGAAATGGATAGTGAGTGACAATGCAGAATTGGCCGGGTACGAAGTCGTCTGGAGGGCTACGACGGCAAGTTTGTGGACCCATGTTGTTGAAGTTGGCAAGGTTGGAAGTGTGACGCTACCTCTGAGCAAAGACAATGTCATATTTGGCGTGAGGGCAGTGGGCAATAATGGATACAAGTCGCCTGCAACTTACCCATTCCCAGGCTGATCAAGCGTAGCGGTATCAACAATGCACTTCTCAATTTCTCAACATCGATTCATTTGAAACTTAGGTTTTTGACTCACTTAGACATGCAGAACTTTTCAATGGTACGGCTGAAGCGCATATTGAATCCAGTAGACGAGGCTGTGTAGTACGTACACTATGTACGTGTATGACAATGCAGCGACGACACTGTATCGCATCATCCCCAAACTCTCCACCGTTCTTTAATTGATCATCTAGTTTATGAGTCAAATTGTTGACGGACTGCAGTCATGGACAATGCATGTAACCAATTTCGACAACAATTTAACTACCGGTAAACCATTATAGCTACAGATGCGAATTACGCGGACGTGCTTTATAAGATGATGCCTACGTCCGCGGGTGGTGAGGCCCGAAGTGGTCTAGCCCTGCCCTGCCGACATCGCATTGAGTCAGACGCTATTCACGCCGTTGTACGCCCTTCGCCTACCATCGACTACCATGACTTGGATGCAGCAAATCCCGCGCCCTTGCAAGCGATACCGCATCCCTTAGCACCGGTGACTTTAACTGGTATACGCGGTGGACTATGCCTGGGAATGGAAATGTGGCTTAGCGCAAGTGACCTCCTCCCCAGATGGCTTGCAACTTCGACTCGTCGGATGACAAACCGAGTGATGTTATTGTCGAGTCCAATGGTGGAAATGGGCTGAGGGCTTGGAAATCATGGGAAGAACGATGGTTGGTGAGGCATCCCATTTGTACTTAAGGGCCTTGGTGCCTGGACGTTGAGGAGGTATATTCTTTCATTCATCACTACTACTGTCTATCAAACAAAGACAATCATCTTGGATATAATTGTTCCACCCCGCAGCATATCCGCGCATCTCCGCCCTTCGAGCCAATATATCTCAACACAGTATATATCACCTACATAGTACCAACAAACTCATAAAACACCATATCTTCACAATGTCGTCCACATCACGAACAAGTCCGATGAATGAGAAAGACGCTATGTCTATTCGATCCACATCCACCGTTTCCTCCACAACCGCCCTCCTGAAGTCAAAGTTCCACATCAGGAGTTCGAAGAAGCCAAAGCACGTGGAGACGCCGGCCGAGAAGACAGAACGAAAGCTCATTGAAAGTGAAGCGCGATTGGCACATGCCATGATGCGGTGAACTCTCTTTTCTTCGTGATCATGTTTCGTTTGGGTCTTAGGTATGTGAAGTGTGATTGAATGGTCCGTTCAAACGAGGGTTACTAACATTAGATCTCAGGGCGTTTCTTTGCTTTAATGGACCAGTCATGTTTTCCAACTTATCTAGGATGTTTCTGTTACGGCCGCTATATGTGGAGGTGGTGGGATTCTGAAGTGAAGTCACAAATCTTCACTGTTTGCAGAGATCGATCTTTCGACATTGAGGCGGTAAAGTGTCGATATTCGTAGCTGTATACGCACAATATTCTTCCAATATGAATACGTCAACAGCGTACATGTAATCAATCAACTGATTTCTTCAAGATTGCCATCCTTGCCGCCCAGTATTCAGTGCAAACGATGATTTCACCGCCCCCTAAAGCCTTCCCTCTGCCTCCACTTCGCACCCTCAACGCACGTCCGAGCACATCTGGTGATAGTGGGCGTTTGTTTACACACCGCTAGTGACCCAACAACCCTAACACCATACATAACAGCGATGTGAGTGAGGCATAAAATCTTGCACCCCCGCAACCACTCCCGCATTTTCGGATTCTCAACCTACTCCTCCCTTCTTCTAACATAGCAACCACTGCGACCATCACCTCTTCGTCCCACAGTTAAGTACAATCATCTGTATCAATCCAACTCGTTGTCTGTCAAAGGTAAGATGCCCGATAGACAAGACCGCGAATCCTCCATGTTGACAGGTACGAGCGCACTTTTCCTTCACCTTTCCCACCATCCCTTCCCTTCCCTCTCGTCTACTCGATCACTTATAGAATCTATCACTCACACAGGACAGATACGACCGCCGAGGAGAGTCGTCGCCGTCTCGTACTCAAGCTACCTCTTTCGTCGACCAGGGAGAATCACCACGAGCGTGCTCCTGAACCATCCCCTCTCTTCGAACCTGCGAGAACACCATATGACAGATCTCGTTACAGTCCTTTTCGCCCGGAACAGCGCTACAGCGACGACCCAAGGGACGCTGCCGTATTCACCTACGGCACCAACGACGCCGAATCCTCCAACGAATACTCGTCCTCCAACTCAGACGACTTCAACGCCCACGACCTCACCATCTCCCCCTCCCACACTCTCCCCGACATGACCACCACCACCACCTACTACACCACCCCCAACACCCCACCCACGTCCCTCATCGAGCCCGTCCTCGCGCACGCCCGCGCCCTCAAAGCACACCTATCCACCAACACCCCCCTGCAACACCTCTCCGCACACCCCTCCCCGCCGTCCTCCCGCCGCAAAGTCGAAGACGACCCGGAAAACATCATCATAAAGGACCTGCGGCAGAACCATCACATGTCGTGGGGCGGCATCGCGAACTACCTCAACGCGCGGCGGCTGGAGCGCGGCGAGCCGCAGAGCATGACGCAGCCGGCCGTGTACTCGCGGTTCGTGCGGAACGCGCCGAAGATTGCGATGGCGGGTGGGGAGGGGGGGTTTGATGTCAAGGATTACATGCACTTGAGGCATGCGAGTGAGTATCCTGTGCGTGCTGGCGGCGGGCGGAAGAGGAAGAGGAAGGCTGGGGAGGGGGAGGAGGGGGATGGTGGGGAGGATGGGGATGTGGATGGAGAGGGGGGTGAGAAGTGGCAGGGGCATGGGTTCAGGGCGGTGCGTGTCATGAGCAAGCTTGATGCTGATAGTAGGGAGTTGGAGACGGCGGTCGGGACGGGGCATCTTGTGGATGCGGTTGCGGTTGTGCAGAGGGGGTTCTGGGGGTATGTCGCGGATGAGTTGGAGAGGTCGACGGGGAAGTTTTACGATCCTAAGGCTATTGAGTCGAGGTGGAAGGAGATCTGAGATGTTCGGGTAAGTTGAATTGACGTCTCAGTGTTGGTGGTGATGATCATCATCGTGATGAGGACAATTGCTAATGAGACGAACAATAGGCTTGAGCATCCACTATCACGGGAGTCAATAACCCGTCCTACCCATCTTAACCATACGCGGAAGAATAGTTCTACTATTCGATTCGACCTCTAGGTGATAGTGGTGGTGATGACCTCCACCACTTGTCCTCCCTATTCATATCCTCCAAACCCACCATGCTTTGTACAACTACATCATCAGGATAAACGCATCCTGGACAAACCACCGACATCTCACCCTTCCAACATTTCATTCCACAACCCATTCAGACACGCCAGACACTTTCCCCTTCACCATCACCATTCTCCTCACGATGAACTTCATCTCTCGACCACGGAATCAGCAAACAGTCCCCCACCCATTATCGAACCCACAGATCAAGCATCTTCCCCCTCCCCTTTTTGCATCCTCCTCTATTCGATTCGAGTCAAAATTCTCAATTGACCTCGGGGAGATGGCCAGTCATGGGCGTTTTCAAAGCGACAGATCCAGGCAGGCGACAGTAGTATAATTCTATCAACTTCATCAATTAAACCATTTTCTACATATTTTCTACTTGGGGACTTGAATGGTTGAATCAGTGCATTGACATAAAAGTGAAACTTGAAAATGAAAATGAAAATGAAGGGGAGATGGTGGGATAATTGATACTTGGACGATGTGGTTTGATGATTTGTATTTTGTATTTTGGGTTTTGTTTTGATAGGCGATAGTATCAGCTTTCAAAAAGCGTCAACGTCACACCAACCCCTTCACCTCTCCCCTCCCCAAAACTAACAAAATCCCAACAAGCCATTGTGTAGAGGATAATAACAATGTTCGAAAAGTTAAGTTACGTATGTGTGTAATACCATCCGCATGACACACTTTCCCAACATCACAACAACACAATCAATTTAAATAGTACTTATTCGAATTGTCTCAAATGGTAGATCAGATCAGATCAGCTAAGCTACAACATAAAAACAGAATTCCCTATATGCAAATGCAGTTTGAAAAGCCGAAGGAAAAAGAAGAAGAAAAAAGGTGTGCGGGTGGTCTTCCCAAGCACGCACGCATGTTCACTCGCGCACATGCACGCACACAGACAGGCTAGATGGATGGTTGGATGGATGGACGGATGGGTGGATGGTAGGTAGGTATGAAACAAAGCTTTTCTATTTCGCGGACCAACAACCATTCTTGTTGAAAAAAAGAAGAAGGGAGAAGAAGAGAAGCCACACCTTCTACCCTCAGACCACAGCATGGGGAAGTAGAAAAAGACATTTAGCGCTCCATAGACGGGAAAGAGAAGAGAAATCTACTTGTTACTCCGGCTCGCGCGACGCGGAATCATAGGACTATTACTAAAGCTCCCCCTCGGACTCCTCGCGACCGGCGTCATGAGGCTCACCTTATCGATCCCGAGTTTCGACTCGAAGATCTTCATGACGAGCGCTTGCACCGCGCGCTGGACGTCCGCCGCCATTTCTGTGCCGAGCAGCCCGACGACGAGCGGCGCGAAGACGTCGATGTGTTTTTCAAACTCGCCGTCCGGGAAGTTGATGTAGCCTTCGAGGACGGTGACGACGACGGGCCGCCAGGTCACGATGTTGCGCTGCTGGGTCTCCTCGTCGAGCTCGATGTACGACGCGATGATGTCTTCGCAGAGGGGGATGAGGGCGGCTTCGGTCTCGTCGCGCGACGCGGCGCGGTCGTTGGATTTGTCGTGGTACATGCGGAAGAGGATGCTGATGTAGACGGAGGCGGAGCCGGATTCTTGCTTGAGGAGGTTGGGCGGCTGCTTCATGAAGCCTTCTCTGAAGAGGCGGGTGCGGAGGTCGCGGTCGGCGTTGAAGCGTTTGGCGAAATGGTAGGACTTCTTGAGGACGGCCATTAGTCGCAGAAGCTCGCCGGATGGGATCTTTTCGTAGACGGCGTCGTTCGTGAAGAGCTCTTGCACGGTTTCGATCATGAGTAGTTGCAGAACACACTTCGTGATGATCTGGTTGAAGAAACGACGGCGGGCTGCGGTGACGACAACAGGAGGCTGCTGGAGGTCCTGGCTCTCAGGTCGATAATCTTCTAGATCCTGTGTTTGCCGCTTAGGCAGGGGAGACGGCATTCGTTGTTCTATTGTTGCAGTACTTGATGCCTCCGAAGTGACCACAGATGGCCGTCGATCAGTCAGGCCGTTGATGCCAAGTGCATTGTCTGGGCTCGGTTCCTCTGCGGGTGTCTGGAGCTGCAACTCAGCAGGAGACGGCGATTCCGCAGATGGAGTTCTGCCGCCAGGAGTGTCGCGAGCGCTGCCATTTGTAGGCGTGTATGATGAACCACTAGTGGCAGCCGAAAACAAAGCTGTGGCCTCCGTTCGCTGGAAGAGCTCTACAAAGGCTTTCACGATCTGGCTCCAGTGTCGTGGTTCGAACTTTTGAACGTTTTGCAGGATCAGCTGTTGCAGGCAGTTACTTCCGATGCGGGCCAATGTGTCATTCTCCTGACAGATGCAAAGAGCAAGGAGATCGAGGAAGCGATCCAACATGTATTCTAATGACTCAAAGAAATGAGTGAAGAGCTTGATCATGTTCCGCAAAGCCTGGATCATAGTTGTTGAAAGCCAGACAGATAGCTCTTCATGGTTGAGCACCTTCGACATTTCCGACTTGGACTTCAATACCATGAAGATTGGGTATAACAGCTGACGCCATAGGATATCCCAGAACTCCTGAGGGAAGTTGCGGCCATATGCTATGAGGGTCTCAAAGAGATATGTAAGAGCTCGTGATCGCACTTCCAAATCCTCGCCGGTCATGAGGACATCGTGGAATGCGAAAAGAACTGGGAACCAGAACTGTTCCTCTTGTGTTTGTCGGCTCGGCTGCTTCGGTATAGCGGAACGACTTTCGGTGTCCTTGACGAATCCAGCACCGACAGATAACGGGCACTCGGGAGTTCGCAGCATCTTCGGCACGGACGACTTCAATAGCTCGATGGCCTGGAGTGACTTCTTCTGGAACTTGAAGTTCTTCGAGAATTCTGTCAAACAGACGATCAGGTCGGCAAAGGCTCCTTGTGAGATGACGATGCCGAATCGGGAGTTGTATACTTGGGATACGTTCTCAAACGCGAGATTGACAATGCCCTCTACTCATAATTAGTATATTCCCCCAAAACGTCTAATCGCGTCGTTCACTTACCATAAGGCTCCTTGGCTGCGACAGTGAAGACGCCAAACATTGTCTTCCAGCCTGACCGAATGTTCTCTCCACGTGCCTGGATCATCTGAATCAAACAACGCAATACCATATCCTTGACCGGCACCACGCTCGCATTGCTAATGATATGCTCAAATGGCTTAAGGAAGTCTTTCTGGAACTTGAAACCCGGCAACTCTTCGATTTCCATGAACTTCATCGAAAGTTGTCGCAGTGAATTTAGGGCGAAGAAGACGACGTTAGTGTTGGTGTGGCAGCCGACTTCGTTGAAGTGTGCACCAAGAACCTGCCAAATATTCGTCCACTCAAAACGCACACGGTTCATGTTGTAGCCGCTAATCTCTACCAGTTTCTGTAGACTGTAGGTACGAGGCGATTCGCTCTGTCCTGATGATTGAATCTCTTGCCAACTGACCTGTGTGAGGGCTTTAACGAAATCGACGATAGCCTCGCCGGAAAGGTTTGCAGTGTTGGTGAATATTCGGTCCACGCCTCTTATCATGTCTGTTGATCGACTCTCTTCAGCAACATCAGCCTGGTAATTCGCACCCATATTGGATGTTTGGCGTCGACGATTGGCTGGGACGTTTAATGACTTTCGAGGAGCTGCTCCTGGTTGAATCTGGGCCTTCAACACATCTGGTACAGCACGTTCATCAACTCCAGTGGAGATGAGCTGGAAGCGATCGAGCTGTGACACACATGTGAGAATGTCACGCCACGATTCGCGGAGTAGATTGCCTTCGGTGTATGCGACTTCGATGAGGACTTTGAGGGCCTCTACGTTCTTTGCCTTCATCTCGCTGATGTTGTAAAGGTTGGTGAAACGGGAGAGGAATGAAACAAAGGCTTGGCGTGGGCTTTCGAGATCGAACAGGCAGGCGACGCGAATGGCGAGTTTGATACCCTCTATGCATAATTTCACGATCTCGATGTTGTGATCTTGAGCTTGGCCGGAGAGCGCGGTAAGGAATGGCATCCAAGTGACCTCGAACATCGGGCCCACGTGCTTGAAGGATGAAGCGGGGATGAACTTGGATACAGGCATCTTCGTTGCCGTTCGCCGTTGAGCACGCAGCAGTTGCTTGTACAATTGCTCCGTCTTGTTTGCCATCTCTTCAGATGCTTGGACGTATGCTTCCCTTTGCAGATCTCGACCACCACCGATCAAGGCTTGGCCAATGTTGGCGGCAAGACCTGCGGCTGGCTGAGGAATTTGTCCGAGATTGGCAGCAGCTTCTTGTTCGGTGTTCAGAACGATCTCGTTGTTCGCAATCTCGTCGTAGATGCCGCGGAGATACTCCTCTGGAAGATCGGCATTATCGTTGATTCCACGGTTGTTCTTAATGAAATCTTCAGGAGTCATTCGAGGTCCCTTCATCTTCTTGCTGTGCTGATCTACGTTCAACATGATGACTGAATAGGATAGGACGTATGCGGTGTCGGCGTTTGCAAAAGCGTTCGGGTTACCGGTGATGTAGCGTTCAGCGAATTTCAACATGAACCGATCAATCTTCTGGGCTTCACCAGGAAGGCGGAACGATTGGAGGAAACGTCGCAGGGCGTCTACGAAGCGAGTCTTGGTGAAGTCCATCAGATCAACAAAGCTGTGCATGATTGCGATGTTCTCAGGGTTACCCTCTCCCAGGAACTCTCCTAGTTCCTTTTTGCTGATGCTATCATTGTCCAAGAAGAAGCGAGCGATATCCTGAGGTGAGTCGGAGGCGATGAAACCTTCCTGGATCAAAACTTTCAATCCACGTTTCGGCTTGAAATTGAATTGGCGTACGGCACTTGTGAGAGCAGTTTTCCTTTGTTTCGCTTTTTCGAGCGAACTGAAGTCGTCCTCTGCAAGCGGGGTAGCAGTGCCAGAGTCACCCCCGATGTTTGGTGATTCCGTGGCAAATCGCGTGTCCATCGATGACCGCAAGTCGTCCACGGAGTTTCTGGAATCTGGTTTGGGTTGACTGCTCTCAGCAATGGATTGCTCCGACCAGTTCACGAGCGACCGCAAGATTTGCACCAAAGCCTCGAGTGACTCTTGCTTCATCGCGTAGTCTTGTGGATACGCCTGCTCAGCCTCGTGGGTCGCGTTCATTGAAGCAGTTGACAGGGATGGTGGGAGGATTCCGCGAGTTTGCCAGTCGGGCTGGTGGGATTGCTTTGCACGATGTTCCTGATAGGCCTGCTGTTGCACAGGCGTCACGGCGACAGGCACGCTAGAAATCTTCGATAGCTGCTCAACGATGCGTTGATACATGTTGTCCAGTGCCGTTCGGTCGCAATCATAATTCAGGTAAACCTCAACGAGCGCTCGTGGATCGGTGGCTAATCTCTCAAAGATCTGCAAAATGTACTGCTTCTGGAAGACGGGGGCACTCCGCTTGTCCAAAATAGCAAGGTAGATCTCCTTCAAAAAGACCTCAATCTCCTTCTTGAGCATTACGCGCAAGTATTTGAGCATATGCCAGAAGATTTCGCAGCTGACCTCGAATACTTTGCTCACAGAGCTTGCGCCGTTTCTGCTGAGACTCAAGCAAAGGTACTGTTTGATCGCTTGCACGAAAGTGGTAGGCTCATCGGCACTGCTCCCCCTAATGGTAGCAAATGGAGACACGAACACTGCGATGTTGTTATGCAAGATGGTCTGGATGATGTGCAGCGACAGAAGCTTGGACCTCATTCCATGCGATCTCACGTCCAGGGCATGATCTACCGATAGAGATTTTGTACTTAATCTGCACATGGCCCTAAACACTAGGTAGGCATCCTTGACGAAAATCTCATCCTCTTCCTCTTCGTCGGACTCGATATGAGGGGTTGGCGAGGGTTCCTGGCCAGACACCTGTCTGGAACCTGCCTTCGCTGATATCCGTGTGACCAAAGTCGGGGCGTTGTCGTGAATACGGTCGTCGTTGAAGCTCATGTTATTCTCGAAACTCTGCAACGTGATCTTTGGGCCGGTATGTTTGTCGACGGGCTTGTCGATAGGTTCTCCGGTTTCTGGGTCGTAACGATCGCCTTCCTCCCCTTCGCCATTGAGTTCTGAGCCTTCTATATCTTGCGCACCTCCGTCAAACTCTTCCTGGATATGCTCTTCCGACTCAGTCCTCTCGTTCAAGGAGACACGTGAGAGATTGACTCTTGCCTCCTTGGCCGCAAGCCTTGTCTTCACTCGCTCGAAAACGGTTCCGACCATTTGTGTCAATGCGCCTTGTGCTACTTGTTGGTTGGCGCTCGATTTTGAAAGCAAAAAAATGTTGTACGTCAATCGCACTGCCTTCAAGAGACCTGCGCCATGCACCACGATCTTGTCGTTCAGGATGGCAGCCAGGAGTGATTTGACGATTTGCAATTGCACATCTGGCGGAGTCGCCTCGCCCTGGAAACAATCGCATATTGTGTCTATGGCTCGCTCGATCAGGGGCGGGACTTCGCTGTTGTCGCCTAGTGGCTCGGACGGGACGGAAAAGTACGAATAGCTGATCAATTTTCCTATGCAGTCCAATGCGGTTATGGACACGGCGACGGTGCTGGCTTCGGAGGCGAGCTGTAGGGGCTCAAATAGAATCTCGGGGTTGATGCGAGAAGGATCGCCCTCCTTCTTAATGGCGGCCAGCGCATTGGCTGTGGCATCACCAAGCTTCTTATTTTTCCTTGCATCTTTTGAGGCGGCGATCGTTTCGAGGGCGGTGACGACGAATACTAGGGAGCTTCGTGTTGAAGGTCTCGTGGCGGTGGTAGCAAAGGTTGCTGCCGTCGCTGCGGTGGACTGAGAGTCTGTCCTGGGACGATTTCGCTCGAAGAATTCGGCGGTTCGCGGAGTGTCATCTGCAGCGCCATTAGGTAGATTTATTGTCGGAGTCGACACTGTAGGCGTAGGCAGATCGGATTGGTCTGGAATCTCCTGCTGGGGTTGTGGTTGTGCTGGGGAAGCTGCCTGTTCTCCGGCATGCTCGGAGGTCGTGGAATCGGACGCGCTGTCCTCATTGACTCCCTTGACCTCCTGCTCCTCCTCATCGTCACTGGTTGAAGCCTGATTTATTTGTTCAGCCTGTGTGTGATTCTCCTGTTCCTCCTTTGGAAGCTTCTCTTCTACGGCGGGCGGGGCCTCGGTGTCGGCCATGATGACGGGGGTGGGTTGGTATGGGGGCAGCTTCGGCGGCGGGCACTGGTGAGATGCTCCTGGATGGTCGAGGTATTATAATCTAGCGGGGTGAACTCGCAGCGACCATGACGGAAGCGTGCGTGTTGAGATTGTGATGGGTTGGTGGGACTGCTTCAAAGTTGCAGGCAATAATGGATTTATGTTTGGTAGTGGAGGAGTATGGGAGAACGAATGGGTGGATGGGGAGAAAAGAAAAGTAAGAAGACCACTTTGTTATTATGTGGCTCGTGGTACTCGTAGGAGTAAGGTACCTAAGGTAGACGTAGAGGTAGTAGTAGTACCAGCAGCAGCAACAGCAGCATTGGTTGTGGTTACGAGTATCTAGTTGAACTAATAGCGGAAGCGGGTAGTATCGTCTATAGGGACTAGAAATAAATGACAAAGTGTCTTCCTTCGAAAAGCCTCAGCCTCGTCCTCTTCCGTCCTCCCCTTACTTGTCCGTCCCGTACCAAGTAACTCTGCGGTGCTTGCGCGTATGTCACTAGGTACCTAGTTTGAAAGGTGACGAATCCCTGCGCATGAACCAGTTATCCACCGTCGCCGCCGACCACCGAACAGACAATGCAATTAGTTAATTACCAGTAAAAAGGTGCAGGATACAGATCAGTAACTCCTTGTACCTGTATTTGTACCTGTACCTTGAAGCGACATGGCACCAACCGCGGAACGCCCAACCCAATAGATCGAAGCGAATTCGGAACGGATCAGATAAGTCTCTGTTGGAATTCTGTTATCAAGAAAGGGACAACCCGCGTATGAAAAATGCCATTGAATCCATTACAACTACAAGTGCTTGAGATGGACGGAGATATAGGCTATGGAGTGAATATGTAGTTGTACTTGATTTGATCATCTCACAGTACGGAATTGAAGAAGTGTGGCTTGATGACCCCCGAACCCTACTCCACCACTCTCTGCTTCCCTTCTTACTTACATGCGCACTTATTATTACAGTAAGCTCGGAAGCGACCCAATTAGTTGAATATTTTCCATGATGACTTTTATTACTCGAGCGAGCTCCGATAGGGATAGAGAGAATATACGGCGTATCTTAGTTAGTTTGTTCGACTTTGTTGGTGTATGCTGTCCTGCCAAGCAAATCTCATCCCGATTCCTAGCGGCCCTCCGAACACCCAGCTCGACACTTTTCTGTTGAGCGACATCTTCCATCCTCACAACTCTCCATCGTCAACTTCAACCACCACTCACCCTCCTCCTCCGAGCTTGCGCGAGCTGCATCTCCCCCATCTCTCCGCTCGCCGTCCTCAGTACTCTCTTCTGCCTCGTCTCCCCGCCGCTTGCGCTGGGTCGAATTTTCAGTACACTCCTTCGGCATCCCGACATAATGCCTGCTACAACATCACTCCTGGCCCGGGCCGGAGGTCAATTGAGCTTGAGGGGCTCAATTGCTCTGCGTGGAAGCAACGCTGCCTACAGGTCCTCAGATTTCGCCGTGTAAGTCCCCTCCTCCGCGATCGCCTCGCCTCCAACCCGCACGCAGAGAACTTTTGCTGACAAGGAGCTCCAGTCGACGCGCACCGGCACTATCCGCCCTCGCAAGATACTATGCCTCAAAATGTATGCCAGCGAAACCCCGAACCGCACCGGAAAGGTGCCCTCATCCATTGGCGTGCTAATCGATCATGTACAGCTTTCCCCTCCCACACCGTCGTCAGCATGCCCGCCCTATCGCCCACCATGACCTCCGGAAACATTGGAACATGGCAGAAGAAGGTCGGCGACTCGATAGCTCCCGGCGACGTGCTCGTCGAGATCGAGACCGACAAGGCACAGATGGACTTTGAGTTCCAGGAGGAGGGTACGATCGCCAAGATCTTGAAGAGCTCTGGCGAGAAGGACGTCCCTGTCGGAAGCGTAAGTCTGGAAGACTGTTGTTTGGCCAGCAAATTTGCATATCCCATCAAATTGGAGATGCCGGCCGCGCATGAACAGAAATAAGAGAGCAGATATCGCTAACAATGTTCACAGCCCATCGCTGTTCTCGTCGAGGAGGGCGAGGACGTCTCTGCCTTTGAGTCTTTCACCGTCGAGGACGCTGGTGGTGATAAGTCTGCCGCCCCGGCGCCCAAGGAGGGTGAAGCCTCTGAGGCCAGCGAGGCCCCGAAGTCTGCTCCCCCGGCCAAGGAGGAGGCACCATCTGCCATCGAGTCCGATTCGACTGGCGCCAGGTTGGAGCTCTCTCTCGACCGCCAGACCGCTTCCCCCGCCGTGAAGAGGCTCGCTCTCGAGAAGGGCGTTGCTCTCTCCGCCATCAAGGGCTCCGGCCCCGGTGGAAAGATCACCAAGGAGGACGTCGAGAAGGCCCAATCGTCCGGTGCAGCTCCCGCCGGCGCCGCTGCTGGCGCCCCTACCTACGAGGACACGGAGGCCACCAGCATGCGCAAGGTCATCGCCAAGCGCCTCACCGAGAGCATGCAGCAGAACCCCCACTACTTCGTCGCGTCCAACATCTCCGTGTCCAAGCTCCTCAAGCTCCGCGAGGCGCTCAACGCGTCCTCCAAGGGCGAGTACAAGCTCTCGGTCAACGACTTCCTCGTCAAGGCTCTCGCCGTTGCCGCCCGCAAGGTCCCCGCCGCCAACTCATCATGGCGTGAGGAGAACGGCAAGGTCATCATCCGCCAGCACAACGTCGTCGACGTGTCCGTGGCCGTCGCCACTCCCGTCGGCCTCATGACCCCTATCGTCAAGAACGTCAACGGCCTCGGCCTCTCCAGCATCTCGTCGACGATCAAGGATCTCGGCAAGCGCGCGCGGGACGGCAAGCTCAAGCCCGAGGAGTACCAGGGCGGAACCATCACCATCTCCAACATGGGCATGAACGCCGCCGTCGAGCGCTTCACCGCCGTCATCAACCCTCCCCAGGCCGTCATCGTCGCCATCGGCACCACCCAGAAGGTCGCCGTGCCCGGCGAGCTCACCGAGGACGGCACCCCAAGCATCGAGTGGGACGACCAGATCGTCATCACCGGCTCCTTCGACCACAAGGTCGTGGACGGAGCCGTCGGCGGCGAGTTCATGAAGGAGCTCAAGAAGGTCATCGAGAACCCATTGGAGTTCCTCCTATAGAAGAAGAAGATGAACGTCTTTCTTATTTTTCAAACCTTGTCTCATCATATCCCCACCCTAACTAAATCTTTTCCCCCCAAAACTCTTCTCTCTCTCTCCTCCCGAAATCTTCTCCAACCCCTACCCGAATTGGGCTAGCTATGTATTAGGATGTGATATCGACGTGTAATTGTCTCTGGCTATGCTGTCTCCCCACCGCGTGTGTCTTGTTCTTGTCTCTGCGTGTTACTCATCTAGACAAACCCCATATCCTCTCTAAATCCCTTAACCTCGAAGCAAGAAAAAGGACGACGACCTCCCAATCGTCTTGGACCTAGCTTCTCCTTCTCTCTTTCTCTTCACGGGGGAACATTGGACGCCAGGAGGGGAGCGGAGGGGCATAGACGAAGGACGGGAAGAGGGAAGGAAGGAAAGGGGGGGAAATCTTCTGTACAATGAAATGCTATTCTTCCTTTTTTCCAACTACCTACGACATCTACTCTGATATCTACCGCACCACAACCCCCTTAATCCGCCCCCTTCAAACACAACCTCCCATCCTGCCTCCTAACCCCCAACCCCCCGTCCTCCCCCTCCTCATCCTCACCCCTAACCTCCCACCCCTCACTCCCCACCCCCCTAACCGTCCAGAACACCCCCCTAGGATCCCACCTCCTCTTCACCCCCCTCAACCTCTCATACCTCTCCTCGCCCCCATAAAACGCCCCCACGGGGTCCGGCTCCCCCGTGATGTCCCCCTCATTCATATAACTCCCCGACCCCGGCGTGATATCCCGCCACGTCTGCAGGTACCGCTGCAGCCGCTCGTGGCGTTGCGTGCGCGCGTCCCAGGTCCCGACAGGGGACGTGCCGTCCCACCATTCGTCGGGGCGGTAGGCCTGCGCGTGCATGATGGTGGTGCGGAAGGCGGGGTGGACTGCGTTGGAGGGGTGCCCGGCCGCGGCGAGCGTGGGCGAGTAGTGCATGCCGTGGAATTCGTAGGCGCCGCCTGAGGTTTCGACGAGGTGGCGGATGGAGTTCGACATGGCGGTGAGGGGGGCGCCCGGGGCGTGGTTGGAGAGTTGGAAGAGGCGGGAGGCGATGAGGGTGTTTGTTGTTGTGTCGGATGGGGTGCGGGGGGTTAGGGAGGGGGGTGAGAAGGGGGGGGGAGAGGGGGAGAGGGTGGAGCGGATGGTGAGGTTGGATGGGAGGGGGACGGGGATTCCGAGGGCGCGGAGCTCGAGGAGGAGAGGGCGGATGAAGGTGCGGTATTGCGGGGCGGTGCGGTTGTTCAGCGAGATCGAGGTTTGGAATGTGTAGCCGCTGGTGCCGTTGCCGGAGGGTGTGTGGCGGATGAAGTTGTAGCTTTTGGGTGGTTAGTGGTGATGTTCGAGGGAGGAATAGGGGGAAGGGGATGAGCATCGTGAGTATCGTGGTGGACTTACCCTAAGCCTCCCTCCGAGCAGATGGCGGGTCCGTATGCCCAGTTCGCCTGTACGCCTCGCCAGAAGGTTTCGACGTCCACCCCGGGGGTGTTCCCTGAGGCGACGGTGGAGAACTGTATGCTTCCAGATGCCCGTGGTAGGTTGGGGAAGGCTTGGACGACGACGGATGTGATGATGCCGTAAGTACCTGTGAACAATGTGAGCCTGCTTCATAGTGACAAAGATATCAAAAACGAAAAGACATACCAGCACCCCCTCCTCTGAACGCCCAAAACAAGTCTTCGTTCTCATCTGCGCTCGCAGTGACCAGCCTCCCATCCGCAGTCACTGCCTGAAGGCTCAACACACGGTCAGCGGCCATCCCGTAGAAACTCGTGTACCCGCTGTGACCACCGCTCTGCAGGAAGCCTCCAGCGATGCCGACAGTGGGCCCTCCGGCGACGATGAAGGTCATGTTGTGTCTGGCCATTTCGACCTGAGCATCTTGAGCCTGGTAACCGCCAGCATAGGATACAGCTCGGCCGGTGTAGTTGCTGGCGGTGTAAGTTGGATGATAGGCGAAGTCTTTGAGATTGTGGACCCAGATGCTGAGGGAGTGGCCGCCGATGGATCGGCCGCTGAAGTCATGGCCGGAATTTCTGATGTTGTCAGTTCAATGCTTGGGGGTTGAGGTGAGGATGCAACTTTTGCAGATAGGACTGGTACAGACGACAAAACTTACTTGATGACAAGTCGAATATTTCGGTTGCGTGCAAAGTTGACTCCAGCTTGGATGTGCCGAACCGTCGTTGCGTTGACCACGTACACCGGCCAACCTCCCTGCGTACATGTAGAGTTAGGGTTTGAAGTAGGTACGCAGGAATGACCCGAAGGCCACTGAGACATGATCGAGATGGGGTCATTTGCACTGTGGGTTGCAATATCAGCGTCACTTCCTTCGCAAACACTTGCAATTGCAATAGGGTCTAACATACTGTAAGGCAGCACTCGTCCAGGTTCTCTGCAGAGTTGAACATTTTCTGGCGTCGTAGTCAGGTCCAGCGTAGCAGACGCTGGCTAGAGGTTTGGGTTTTAGCAAAGCTCCTCCTAAGGTGTCATTGAGTCTCGCCCATTCGGCTTCAGTGGGCCACTCATCATCACCAGGGATATATTTGCATCCCTCAATGGCAGCTTCGCTGTTGTTGCCGCCGAATTGGACATCACTATTGCTAGATATATCTGCATCGGTGAGTTGGACTTCTTCAAACGGGAAATTGACGGCCAGAATGCTGGGCAGACTAGACAAAAGAAGTACACGAAGCAACATGATGGACGGAAATGTCACCATCAACGGCGAGAGAGCAAAAGAACACGGGCACGGCGATTCGGACAGAAGGGACATCCATCATGGTGTTTATAACTAGCAGTGAAGGACGAGAAAGCCGAATGGGATGAGTCCATTTGAGAAACCGTAGTTGTAATGCCGTCCTCGTGTGATTCCCGCATTTCGGACAGTCAATCTAAACTCTGCATTGGACACGCGAATTAGCAGACCCTTGCCGGTAAGCCTGCTAAATACCCCTGCAGCCTGACAACCCAGAACGCACATTGGGGTCAAGAATACGGTATCTAAACTAAGAAATGATCAAGGTCGATGGTGCAGGTGGGGTAGGATCATCGCATTCTACCGCGGGAAACCATGCTAAGCGCGTACATGTAGTTGCATGCCAATGCTACAGGAGACGCAGATATCTTCTACTCATGCGTTCCGCTTTCTTTGAGGAAGGTGCTGGTAGCTTCCTCATGTCCGCGGATATATCGGTGCATATTCGCTCCGAACGATAGTTCGAGGGACGCGTTTGGTGGTAATATGATTAGAGTGTCAGATTGATATCTCTATAATGTAGGCTGCCAGCACGCTCCGAAAGCATTGCAGCAGGGTCCAGATATGCTGGCGACTCGAAGCCTTAGCGCAGCGCTCCTTGTGTGGGGCTATATCGCTGTCAGCATTGGATTACCTATTTTGCTGTCGAGCAGACATTCCCACAGGTGTTGCTGAAGCCTTGCATTCTACATTGTGACAGGGTCGCAGAAGTGACTGGCTGTTCCGCTATGGCAATCCGTAGGCAGTCTCCCATTTCAAGCCAGCAACTTATGATTGAGGTACACATCTAGCATGAATCTGCAATACGGTGAAATAAGTCATCTCGTGACAAGCCCACCAAGGATTCACCAACTCGGCTCGTACAGAGCCTACTAAGATGGAGAGAAGAGGTACGGATCATGTAATCTGCATATTCAAGTCTTGATCTTCTTTCCCGCGATTCCCATTCTCTTTGCCTCGGGACTTTGATCGCTTGGCGTTCGCGTTCTTTGTTGCCGTCGTGCTGACTGAGCGTTTTCTCGTTCCTGATGGGTTTGCGCCGCTGTGTGTGGAAGATGGCGTTGATGATTCTCGCTCAAGCGCAGCAGCCTCGTGAAGAAACTTCCCAGTGCCTGTGGCCTCTTTCACGAGCGCGTTGTAGAATTCCTGGACAGCAAGCTGGCCCGCACTGACTTCTGGGACATCACTGTCTGTGATGGAGATATCTGACAGCAGGTCCGGAGCATTCAGTTTTACTCTATCAGTAGAGAGAGTAAAGGCACCACAGCTCAGTTTTGCTATCTGCACCTTCGGGTGGGCAAGGTCAAGAGCTAAATGTTTCTTCAGGTACTGTCGAAGAGCCCCTGTGAAAGGAGCATCCTGAGTGCCTCGTTCAGACCTGCCACGGGTGATGAACCCTGGAACGTCGGCGCCGGTGATGGTCACATCGATATGCTTCAGGAGGGTCGTGGCTTGAGGAAAGGTAAGACCCAGCTGGAGCTGGCGCACAACATCTTGTATGGATTGGGCAGACTGGGATGAGGTCCAATGGCGGAAATATGACTCGAGAGTGGAGGTGAGGAAGGCTGGGGCAAGGCGTAGCGGAGATACATTGGCATCGAACGTTGTTCTTAGGTAATTGAGCACGACTTGGCGGAGCGGTGCAGGCATCTTCAGCATCAGTAACGGCAGAGAGGTGAATCCCTCGGGTGACGTGGTAGATGTTGGGTCTCTCAGAAGCAGGGCATTGTATGATTGTGTTTCGTACTCGAGCGTCACTTGGATCCCGCGCACATTATCTGGAGAGAGTCGCGAGGACAGTTGTGAGCTTTCTGGGTCTTCATGTAGTTGGTGGTAGCGATCTATCCAGGCATCTTCATCGCCGATCAGGTCCCAGGTACAGTCCTCGAGAGGACCAAGGTTAGGCAATGCGCCTTGTGTCCCCGCGAAGTCCACCTCGACGCCACGAACATTGTCGCCCTTGAGTTGGTCTTTCAAGTGACGGGCATGGGATCGAAGTGATTTCTCGTTGAGTAGAGGCGATGCGCCGTGGTATAGCGGGGAGAGACGATAGAGGTGGTATGTTCGGTTGTAGAGTGGATATGGCGGAATCTCGGCCATGATTACGTAGTAGGGGGCTTGGCGGGATGCCAAAGGCCACGATGAAGGATTAGATAGGGTAGATACAGGTAAGGTAGTTACTATGGGTATCTACTGTTGTTCCTTAAGGAGAAGAAGAGGAGTGAGGCGTGACGATAGTATTGAACATGACGTAAGGCGGGGCGAGGTAACGATGGTGAACGCAGTGTATAGCAATGGTGATGGTGATAGTAATTAAAGTACGGAGTAGTAGGTGATTGCAGCTTATTGACTGGTGGATATGATATGATGCGACGGTGGTGATGGATGGGTGGATGGTGACGGTTAGTAGTCGTAGTTATTGTTTGTTGTCATGCGTTGTTGTGTTGTGTTCTGTTGGTACTCGTCTCGTATCATATTATTTGTTATTGATTGACTGGGGGAAGTCGGCAAGTCGGCGATTTGTTTTTACGTTACCGGTTCCACTGGCGCACTAGCAAAAGTCTGCCCCTCCTTCCTCTAGCACATGTAGTAGATAGGTAGATAGTACTTCGTTGACAGTAGAGAGTGTGTCTTCACAGTACGGAGTACATACACGAATAACGCACACAACAGAGAATCGACGACACAATCGACGACACAGGGTATACATAAGAGAAATTTGATAATAATTATAACCTGTTTGCTTGTTGTTGCCCAGTCCTAGATTTCTTAGTAGCCCAACTAGGTAGTCCTGGCCAACCAACCAGTTAGTTGCAAGGTACATGGTAGGTACCTACGGGTAGCCAACCAACCAACCACCAACCACAGACTTTTGTATGGAATTCAACCGAACTCTCCAGAAGGCTCTTTTTTTACGTACTTGGCCCCCGCCGATACATCACCGTCCTTCCCCATCACACCTTGTCCACAAATTTCTTTATACCGTTTATAACTAACCCATCCTCTCGACACTCTCCGCCCTCTCTCCCCTTCTACAATAATTTATACCCCTCGCATTCCGCGATCTATAACCCCGCCCGCCCTTTCTCTATAAGAGGCTATTTCCTTTTTTTTCTTACCCCGCCAAAAGAAACTGATAACGCACAATCATGTCTGTCGTGGGTGTTGATTTGGGTTCGCTGAACACCGTCATTGCGGTCGCGCGCAACCGTGGTGTCGACGTGGTGCGTATTTCCCCTACTCATATCCTGACTCTCTTGTCTCTATATGTTTATCGCAAATAAGATGACCGACTGACACCTTCTCCCAGATCACAAACGAAGTCTCCAACCGTGCCACTCCGTAAGCCTTTTCCCCCCGCCACCAACAATGAAAACTCTAGTCTAACAAATATATACAAACAGTTCCCTAGTTGGCTTTGGCCCCAAGAGCAGATACCTCGGAGAGACCGCAAAGAACCAGGAGGTCTCTAACCTCAAGAACACCGTCGCCAACTTCACGCGCTTGGCCGGCCGCTCCCTGAACGACCCCGATATCGAGGACGAGAGGAATTTCGTCTCTGCTCCCCTCGTCGACGTTGACGGCCAGGTCGGTGCTGAGGTCACATACTTGGGCAAGAAGGAGCGCTTCACTGCCACTCAGATCCAGGCCGCCTTCCTCACAAAGGTCAAGCAGACCGCATCTGCTGAGCTCAAACTCCCCGTCTCCGACGTCGTTCTCAGTGTCCCCGTCTGGTTCACCGATGCCCAGCGCAGAGCCGTCCTCGACGCTTCCGAGATTGCTGGCCTCAAGGCTCTGCGTCTAATCAATGATACCACCGCCGTCGCATTGGGCTATGGCATCACCAAGACTGACCTTCCCGGCCCAGAGGAGAAGCCCCGAAGGGTCGCCTTCATCGACATCGGCCACAGCACCTACACCGCCTCCATCGTCGAGTTCAAGAAAGGTGAATTGACCGTCAAGGCCACCGCCTGGGATCGCCAGTTTGGTGGACGTTACTTCGACAAGGCCATGGTCGACCACTTCGCTGTCGAGTTCAAGGAGAAGTTCAAGATCGACATCAACGAGAACCCCAAGGCCCGTTTCCGTGTCCAGGCTGGTGTTGAGAAGCTGAAGAAGATTCTCTCCGCCAACTCGGTCGCCCCTCTTAACATCGAGTCCGTCATGAACGACGTCGATGTCCGCAGTATGTTGAAGCGTGAGGAATTGGAGGAGCTCGTCAGGCCTCTCCTCGACCGTGCCACCAAGCCCATCGAGCAGGCTCTCGCCGAGGCCAAGCTCAAGCCCGAGGACATTGACCACGTCGAGTTGGTCGGTGGCTGCACCCGTGTCCCTGCCTTGAAGCAGGCCATCGGTGATTTCTTCGGAAAGCAGCTCTCCTTCACTCTCAACCAGGACGAGGCCGTCGCTCGTGGCTGCGCTTTCAGCTGCGCCATCCTCTCCCCGGTCTTCCGCGTCCGTGACTTCTCCGTCCACGACATGGTGAGCTACCCCATCGAGTTCACCTGGGAGAAGTCCGACGACATCCCAGACGAGGACACCAGCCTCACCGTCTTCAACAAGGGCAACGTCTTGCCCTCCACCAAGATCCTCACCTTCTACAGGAAACACGCCTTCGACCTCGAGGCCAAGTACGCCAAGCCAGAGCTCCTTCCCGGAAAGACAAATCCCTTCATTGGGAGGTTCTCCGTCAAGGGTGTCCAGGCTGATCCCAAGGGTGACTTCATGATCTGCAAATTGAAGGCCCGTCTTAACATCCACGGTATCCTCAACGTCGAGTCCGGTTACTACGTCGAGGAGGTCGAGGTCGAGGAGCCTATCCCCGAACCCCCCAAGGAGGAGGGCAAAGAGGACGTACGTATTCCCACTTCTCCCATTTTTTCGAGTTCCGGCAAACGCATCGACGAGCACGACCCCTCACCGATCGCGAAAAGGGCTCGCAGCGACCCTTCTTTTGCTGTAATTGATTCTGCGTATGACTCTATTCAAAAGCTGACATCTGACACACAGGACATGGATGTCGACAAGAAGGACGAGAAGCCAAAGATGCGCAAGGTCAAGAAGCAGCAGCGCAAGGGTGACCTGCCCATCTCTGCCGGCACCGCTGCTTTGGATGAGGCCACCAAGACCATCTCCGCCGAGCGCGAGAACCAGATGATCATGGAGGACAAGCTCGTCGCCGATACCGAGAACCAGAAGAACGAGCTCGAGGCTTTCATCTACGAGCTCAAGGATAAGATCACCAGCACCTACTCTGAATTCGCCAGCGACGACGAGAAGTCAAGACTATCCACTAAGCTTGACACAATCGAGGTAAGCCATGTTTCCCTACATCAGCAATAAAATCTTGAATGCTAACCTTCTCTAGGACTGGCTCTACGAAGACGGTGATGATGCCTCCAAGAACCAGTACGTCAGCAAGATGGAGGAGATCCGATCGATCGCCGGCCCCATCATCCAACGCTATAACGACAAGATCGAGGAGCAGAGACAATCCGTTCTTAAGAAGCAGCAGGAGGCCGCCGCCGCCAAGCAGGCCGATATCGAGCGCAAGAAGCGCGAGGAGGAGGCCAAGAGGCAGGCCGAGAACCCTGAGCCCAAGGACACCGAGATGTCTGACGCCGACGCTGTCAAGCCCGACAGCATCGAGGAGCCCTCCTCTTAAATTTCGTTTCGAGGTCTCCCAATAGAAAAGAAATCGATATAGCACAGTGGTAACTTTTTGTTAGAACGGGAATCAGGCGTTGTGTAGCACCAAAAAAGCATTGGGAAGCGATGATAGGCATCCAGGTATAATGCCATTGATGAGGAGGAGGAGGAATCAAGCAAATCAAAGCAAGGCTTGGGGTTGTACGCAGAATCTACATTACCCTCATGGGCCTTTTGCTTGCTTAGCATGAACGCATGCATGCATGAGAAGAATGTTTCTTTTCGATTCGGTCGATGATTTGCAATGTTTAATGCTTCTTATGAATAGACCATTCAGTGAATAGACACGATAACATATGAAACAATTGATGCTGTTAAATTTATCTCTTTGGATAATGACATAGATGCTGTGACAATGCTTACTTGATGTCTGCTATCGACTGTCTCCAATTATGATTTAATTTCTCTCCAGTTGGTGCTTCTAATGTGTGCCTCCTACATTGGACAAACGCCGTCCCGCTTGACATTTCTACCTCTTCCTATATTTATCACCAGAGTTAACATTAAAAACATAAATTAGCTTTCCCTCCTCGGGGTTTGATGTTCAACATTTAGAATTGCTCCTGTCAAGATCGTTCATGTAGAGCATGTATCAATGTTCACATGGCAGTAAATGGGTGCACTAAACCACGTGCACGTTGTATTCAGACACAGTCTTACGATGTTATCACACGTATAGCATTCTCTCATTGCGATCAAATTTCCCATACACTGTATTCGTGTGGCAGCCTTCGAACGGCTGGTGGCTCTTTCCCTTATTACGGCTATTTGTGGCGACTCGCAATCAATCTACGTCAAATTAAGCTCAATTCGATGAAGGCCCCACGACCCAACTACATCCTTGCCATTGCTCGGATCCCCGAACCATCTCCTCCACCACAGATCTCATAGACTTTTCCATGCGGAGAAGCGAGTACGCTCGAGATTGCCTTCCGCCTACGCGGGCCCCTCGGCTTCTCGTACAATCAAAAAGCGTCTTCGGCATATTGGATGCGGATTTGGTATGTTCCACCAACGAGCGGGCCCATGGCTGAGATCGAGTCTCTGTGATTGGGGCTTCGCAACCGTGGGATGTGGTGTCGAGGTGTTCGGCACCGGAAGTTTGGGAGGGGGGATATAGTGGTTCGTTCCGTGTCGTGTTACTTTTTCGTGTGTTATTTTGCAATTGACCATGGGCATAGGCGAATCAGATCGAAATGATATATCCGCATTTCTTCCATTTCGACTATTTATCTCCACATCATGTCGTCTATAAAACCCGAGGAATGTACTCTTCGTGCGTCTTGTTGCTCTCCATCTCAGGATCACTCGAGACTCATCAGTCATGATGGAGTTTCTTCTCCGTCTCATATGCCTCTTCTCGTTCGCCCTCAGGACTCTAGCCATATGGCAAACCCCCAATCTCGCCTTCTCAGAAACCCCAGGAGGACTGAAACTCGGCGGCACAGGGTCCGGACCGACTATCGTCATCGACTCCAAAGACTGGCCCGGTGTCACGCGCGCAGGTAACGACCTCGCCAACGACTTTGGCCTCGTCACAGGCACAAAAGGCAAACTCGCAACTAGCACCTCCGGCCTCACCAACACGCCCGTCATCATCGCCGGCACGATCGGCAAATCCCCCCTCATCGACAACCTCATCAGCACCGGCAAACTCGACGTCTCCGCCGTAAAAGGCAAATGGGAATCCTTCACCACGCAGGTCGTCCCCAACCCAACCGACGGCGTCGCCAGCGCCCTCATCCTCGCCGGCAGCGACAAACGCGGCACCATCTTCGCCCTCTACGACATCTCAGAACAAATCGGCGTCTCCCCCTGGTACTGGTGGGCGGACGTACCCCCCAAACGCAAAACCGCCATCTATGCCCTCCCCATCACCAAAACCCAAGGCCCGCCCTCCATAAAATACCGCGGCATCTTCCTCAACGACGAGCAACCCGCCCTCACCAATTGGGTGCGCTCCGCCGCCGGCTTCGGGTCCTACAATGCCGCCTTCCACGCCAAAGTCTTCGAACTCCTCCTCCGCCTCCGCGCAAACTACTTCTGGCCGACGATGTGGGCGAGCAAGTTCTACGTCGACGACGCAAAGAACGGGCCGCTGGCGGATGAGATGGGCATCGTGATGGGGACGTCGCACACGGAGCCGCTGGCGAGGGCGGATAAAGAGAAAGTCAAGCCGTGGGACTGGAAGGCGAATCAGGCGGGGCTGAAGAAGTATATGCAGGATGGGGCGACGCGGGCGAAGAATTGGGAGACGGTGTGGACGATGGGGATGAGGGGGGATGGGGATACCGCGAGCCCGACGCTCGATGCGAAGCAGTTGGTCGATGTTATTGCGTTTCAGCAGGGGGCGCTGAAGAGTGCGCTTGGTGTGCAGGATTTAAGGGGCGTGCCGCAGATGTGGTGTGTTTACAAGGTAACAAAGCAATTTTCTCAATCTCATCCGACCAGTCGACCAATTTATAGGCCTACTTATCGCCTTGGGGGATCAAGTTCTAACAGTGTTCACAGGAGGTCGGCGGCTACTACCAAGCCGGCATGAAAGTCCCCGAGGACGTCACGATCCTCTGGAGCGATGACAACAGCGGAAACATCCAACGCCTGCCCATCAGCAGCGAGATGAGTCGCTCTGGGAACTTCGGCGTCTACTACCACTTCGACTACGTCGGCGACCCGAGGAACTACAAGTGGATCAATTCGATCCAGCTCTCGAAGACGTGGGAGCAGATGCATCTCGCGCACCAGAAGAACGCTACGCAGATTTGGATCGTGAATGTTGGGGATTTGAAGCCTTTGGTGAGTATCACATCGATATTCGAGGACGGCTGAGGTTTGTAAAGACTGATGAAGTATGTACTAGGAACTGCCGATATCTCATTTCCTCGACATGGCATACGACATGTCCAAGTTCACCTCCTCAGCCAGCACCGATCCCTGGCTCGAAGCATGGGCGACACGCGAATTCGGCGCCGCCGTATCGAAAGGCACCGCCGAAGCAATGGCTACCTACGGCAAACTCATCATCCGGCGGAAGTACGAGCTGCTGAATCTCAACTTCCCGTACAGCACTGTCAACTACGACGAAGCGGAGACCGTGCTGGGCGAGTGGCAAGCGCTGGAGGTGAAGGCGCAGAAATTGTACGATGGACTTGATGCGGAGACGCAGATTGCGTTCTTTGAGATGGTTTTGCATCCCATTATGGCTGGTCGTGTGGTCGTGCAGGTGTATATCAATGCGGCAAGGAACAAGGCGTATGCTGCGCAGAAGAGGATGAGCACGAATATTCTGGCGGACGATGTGAAGAAGACGTACGCGCAGGATGCGGTGATCCAGAAGAGATATCATAGTCTGGTCAACGGGAAATGGAACCATATGATGGATCAGATCCACTTTGGCTACAACAATTGGTCAGTGACGATGTTGATGCTATAATCGTACGGCATGCTAATCATACATATACACACAGGCAAGACCCAGCGTCCAACTCCATGCCTTCAGTGCAGACGATCGGAACAACCGCCCCATCCACAGGCATAATGGGCGTCTCCGTCCAAAACAGCGCAGCCTCAACACCAGGAGATGCCGCTCCAACCCTCCCATCCATCGACCCCTACACCCCCGAGAACCGCACAATCGACATCTACGCCAAAGGCTCCGGAACCGTCGACTTCACCATCACCGCCAGCGTCCCATACATCAAAGTAACCCCATCATCCGGCACACTCACCTACCCATCCGGCGTCTCCGACATCCGCGCCATCATCACCGTCGACTGGACCCTCGCCCCAAAAGACACCACCACAAAAGCCGACATCACCATCAAACCCAGCAAAGGCACCTCCGCGACCCTCACCCTCCCGATCACCAACTTCGCCGTGCCCCCTTCCTTCACAGGGTACGTCGAATCCAACGGCGCCGTCGCCATCGAAATGCACCGCTACACCTCCCTCAATCCTTCCTCCGGCACCTCACTGTCCATAATCCCAAACTACGGCCGCACCGCCTCCGGCCTAACACTCAACCCGCTCCCCTCGTCCCCCCTGACCCCCTCCACCGCCCCCCGCGCAATCTACACATTCTACGCCCTCACCACCGCCGCCGCAGCGAAGGTCTCAGTGTACCTTCCCCCCTCCTTCAACGTCGACCCTTCTTCCCCGCTCAAATACGCCATCGCGATCGACGACGGCACCCCCATCACCGTCACCCCCGTGCCGTCTTCTACGCTGGGAAGTATGCCGGGCGGGTGGAGCGAGAGCGTCATCAACGGCGCGAGGATCGTGAGTTCGAATGTGGGACGCGTGGAGAAGGGGGAGCATAGATTGAGTGTTTGGCTGCTTGAGGGGGGGACGACGGTTCAGCGGTTGGTGGTGGATTTGGGGGGTGTTAAGGGGAGTTATCTTGGGCCGGGGGAGAGTGGGTGGGTTGGGAGGGGGAGGTGATGGGTTTATAGCTGACAATGTTACAAGTATCTAAACTTGAAAGTTTAGTTTTTGAATGGAAATAGGATGGGTATAGGGTGTATGTGTGTATGTATGTAGCTGTCTGAAATATAAACGACAGAATGAAGAAGAAAAGGTAGCGAATCTATCAGCCTAAGCATGTCAAAGAACGACAGCATTGAGAGAACCTCACAACGCTCCCTCAACGTCTCCGAAAACAAAAAACAGATATAAGTCTAATCCATCTTCGCCGCAACAACCGGCACCGCCTCCCCACTCCTCACACTCCCATCCCCCCCACCAGCCAACCTCCCACTCCCCGTGATGCCTCCATACCCCTCAAGCACCGGCACATCCCCCCAGCAATCACTAAAATACTTCTCATCCAGCCCCCTCACCTCCTCCTCCTCGCTCGCCCTCAAATGCAGCCCGGGGATCTTATCAATAATGAACAGCAGAATGATGCTGATGACGAAAGACCAGGCCGCGCAGGTCGTCGCGGCGGCTAATTGGTACCCCATCTGCTTCCAGTTGTGGTCCCACCATCCGCCGGCGTAGGCGTTGTTGACGCCGTCGAGGGCCGGGATGGACGACGTCGCGAAGAAGCCGGTTAGGATGTCGCCGACGAAGCCGCCGACGCCGTGGATCGCGAAGATGTCGAGCCCCTCGTCGATGGTCAGGATGTGCTTGTAGCGCACGGTGAAGAAGGATGTTATGCTTGTCAGTGCTGTTGGAGAACGTACGTTAGTTGTGGATTCCTATGTGGAGGATGGCGGTAGGGGAGGGGGATGGGATGGGATACGTACCACCGATGAGCGCAGCCACGTAAACCGGCACGAAGCCCGCCGCGGGGGTGATCCCAACCAGCCCGGCAATGATGCCGGAGCAGAATCCAACGATGCTGAACTTGCGGCTGAAGGCGTACTCGACGAGCACCCAGGCGATGCCGCCGCCACACGCCGCGAGGTTCGTGTTCACGACGACGTAGATGCTGCGGAGGGACAGGTTGGCCGTGCTGGCGCCGTTGAAGGAAAACCAGCCCAGCCAGATCAGGATCGTGCCCAGGCCGACGAGGAACGGGTTGTGAGGCTTGAAGTGCGGGATCCGCGGGTGGTGGGATTCGTTGTGCGGGTCTTTGCGCCGGCCGAGCATGAGCGACCAGGCGAGGGCGGAGAAGCCGGAGGCGATGTGTACGGGGCCTGTTGGTGGTTAGATTTAGGGGAGAGGAATGGATGGAAAGGGGAACGTACCTGAGCCGGCGAAGTCGTAGACGCCGAGCTTGTAGAGCCAGCCGTTGGGGTTCCACTCGAAGTACGCGAGGACATAGTAGACGAAGCTGTTGAGACACGTGATGTTAGTATGAAACATAGACACTACTTCGACGAGAAGGGAAGAAGCCATTCAGGATCGGATCAGGGGCATAGCAGAGCAATGCACTCACGTCGTCCAGCACAAGAGGAAAATCATGCTAGGAAGCAGCCTCCCTCTCTCCAACATAGCACCAGCCAAGATCATAGCCGTAGCCGTCACGAACGTGAATCCGAAGCAGGCGTAGAGGATATCAGGGATATCGGGGTTCGCGAGACTTGGGTAGGCCAGCACGTTGTGGAGTCCGGCGAGCGAGAGGTCGCCAATGAATGGGCCGGTCGTGTGGGATTGGTAGAGTGAGTATCTTTTTGCAATTGTCAGCGGGAGGTTTGCATTGAGTGGATGGAATGGATGTGTACCCGTAGACCCAGAATTGGATGCCGCAGGCGCAGGCGCAGAAGAGCGATTGGAAGATCATAGTGAGTGCAGCTTTGCGCCTATGCATTCCAGCGTAGAGGAAGCCGATGGCCTGGTGGATGTTAGAACCATGATATGTAATATCCTATGATAGGACGAGTGGCAGAATGGTAGTTGATTGGGGTTGTACAATCCCATAGCTAGGCCATTATGATGATGATAGAACATACCGGAGTAATTTGCCTACATTCAGTCAGTATGCAATATTCAATTAACTATGTCAATGGTAATGTATTACATACCAGCAAAGACTCGCACAGATGAGGATCCAGCACAAATCTCCCTTGTCATAGGGCGCATTGAGATCCTGGGTGAAGACATCTCCACCCGTAGGCTGCTGGTCGTACTCCGGCCATGCGGTGATGGGAGTTGGGGCAGCGGGAGCCTCCATAGTTTACAATGGGGAACCGTTACACGAACGAACAATCGCACGAAGTAAGGCAAGAAAGGTACAAGGAAAACTTATGGGGCTCAAGACACATGGCAATGTTGTCTGTTTATAACTGGAACTACTTGACCGTTCTTATCGAGGGACATTGTTGCACCAGTCTCACAATCTCACTACTTAGTCGTAGGTACATGGCTGCGGTGATGGCCCTGATGGGTAATCCCCCCTGTCTAGTCAAAGTCGTGGACTGTCAAGGTTGAGGTTGCTGTGCCTCTTCGACTGGATATAATTCACCTTTTAGGGATAGTGCAGGTGGAGGACAAGAGCTGTTATCTATCAGCCAGTGCTTCATAGGTGTTATCATACGGCATAGACCCCCTCATATCCCTAATGTCCACGGATTCCGGGGGTGGAAGGGGGGAAGGGGAAGTGCAAGGATGGCTATGGAGTCCAAGTGTGATTGATAGCGGAGCGGGAAAGCCAAGATTGGTGGTTAATCGCCAAGAAAGAGATAAGGATTTGGCCGTATCCACCAACCAACCTACCTTTTGCGGGGGTGGGGGTTCCCTATCATCACCAACACGAACATGAATGTGAATATGAACATAACATGAACTCGATGACGATGGTGGTGAACAAGTTGGGCCATCAACCAACTTATAACATATCGACCTGTACTTATGTCTTCGACTTTCCGCCGTCAGGTAGGTATTCGTCAATTCGATATTAACTCTTCGATAGCACCTCCTCCTGTGTCGAGTTTATCAACGCCATCCGCGACAGGGTTACGAATCATTGGTCCAGATAGCAATCAGTCCAGAATGATCTCCCCTTCTAGGCCAATCCCATCCAGCAATTAGTGAAAGTCTGACCAAGGACACACATGGCTCGCTCCCGCCATCTGACATCCCCTTTTCCTATTGGCAGGCGCTTGTTTATACTGCTCCCGTCCCTATCTGCTGCCATTGACTTTCATTAGCATATACTCTCTTCCAATCCCAAGACTAAGAATTCGTCATCCTGTAACCAGATCCCAGCATCTTCGCATACCCGTCGATAGGGTCTCCTCGTCCATTGCCTCGGTAGCGACCCATTTGGCACGCTTCGGGGTGCCCTTCTCGCTATCGGCCAGGCTCTCGGAAACGGCTATGCGGATCTGAAAGTGCTGTACATGCATCGTCAACTTCAGGTGACTAAAGACATGAACAATCGAACCGATTTCGCCGACGTGCTGGATACTGTCTGCGTGTTCATCGAGATTGCCAACCTCGAGCGTCGAGACATAGTCAACAGCCGACGCCTTTCTACCAGATGTTGTGTTATCAGATGTCGATAGGGTTCGTTGCGGAAACTGCCACAACGAAGCAAGTAGCCCTGAAACACCTGTCAGTCTAACCAAGCACATGTTACTTGTGCAAGTACTAGACGATGCCGCCAGATCGAATGCAAATGCTCTGACTAGCCACCGAATGGGAATATCTATCCCAAGACCTTGTAGATTACGGGAGTAGACGAGGCGCCGCTAATCAATAACTTACCAGTTGCTGGCCTCTGCTCTATCAGCCACTGGCTGCCGCCACCTGATAAACGCGCTTCGACCAAACAGACGACGCATTCCTCTTCAGCCACCTTCTTCTTGACGACCTTCTTCGGAAACAGCGAGCAGTAAGCTATCGTCGACTTCAATGGTGCGCTGGAATCTGCGTCTTTGCGTTTGTGGGTGCCGTTCACCGGAGCCGCCTCGGGGATATCTCTCTTATCTACGATCTCGCTCTCTGCCTTGGTACGAGGCGTTCGCAGGTTGAAGTAGTGAGAGATGGTATTGACAGGCTTCGTTTCTGTTTTCCGCTTCTTGGATGGTTTCGGTGCATCTTGATCGTCTACGTCGTCTTCTGGCGAGACAGACTGGAGATCCTCGGTGTCGAGCGGCTCGCAGTATGAACATGCGTCTTCGATATCCGGCACCACCACGCTCTCCTTCTTCACCTTCTTGCCAGCTAACAACTCTCCCTCCGCATACACTCGACATGTACTTCGAATAGGACACTCTCCACACTTCGGCCTGGGCGTACAGACCGTCGACCCCAGCTCCATCAACGCCTGATTCCACAAACCCGGCGTCTCGCTCCTCCCCTTCTCCGGAAACCCAGCAACGTGCTTCACCAACCCATCCGCAACCTCCCAGATCAACTCCACCGCCCTCCTATCCTTCCCATCAACATACAACCCCAACTGCCTACTCAACACCCTCACTACGTTCCCATCAACCACCGGCTCCGCCTCCCCAAACGCAATACTCGAAATCGCACCCGCAGTGTACCTCCCAATCCCCTTCACCCCCATCAACCCCTCCACCCCCCTCGGAATCGGACACTCCTCCATTCCCTCCCCCTTCCCCCGTTCAAACTCCTCCACCACCTCCTTCGCACCCAACCTCAACCTCGTCGCCCGCGAATAATACCCCAACCCCTTCCACGCCGCCAGCACCTCCGCCTCATCCGCGCCCGCGAGGTCCCACACAGTCGGCCACTTCGCGACCCACGCGTTGAAATACGGTATCACGGTCGCGACGCGCGTCTGCTGCAGCATGATCTCCGACACCCAGACCTCGTACGCGCGCTTGCTGAGCGCTTCGCCCGAGAAGTCAGGCGCGGACGGGTCGAGCCAGGGTTTCCGCCACGGCATGGAGCGCGAGGTGGAGATGGAGGTGAACCATGAGAGCAGGGCTGTGCTGGCGGTGGGGGAGGAGAGGAGGAGGGGGTGGTGGTAGGAGAGGTTGTGAGAGCGCAGGGGAGGGAGGGACGATGGTTGGGGTGGGTTTGGGGGGTGGGTGAGGAGGAGGTTGTTGGTTTTGATGCCGGGTTTGGGCTTCATGTCATTGACATTGTCGTCGATGGTGCTGTCCGTAGTGTTCTTCTTCGTCTTGATGTCCCTCGTGCTGGTCGCGGGCCGCTTTCTACGCGTCGACATTACGCGTTTTCTTTTTCTTTCCTCCTCTTCTCTTTCTTCTTCTTCTATGGGCAAAAAAGTGGTGGGTTGATGGATTATATTCGAGCGGATGCGGATTGGATGGTGAGTACGTTTGTTGTTTATCGATTGGAAATAATTATCGTGGAATTGTTATCGATAACAAGCTCAGGGGTCGAACCGTCCCGAGGGCGAGACGACGTGTTGGGCGGGTGATGATGTCACCCGGACCGGGTCTATGGCTGTCTGGAGTATGGGGTAGCGTTTGTATGTTTTTTTTTATAAGCACTTCTCTCTAACATCTAATAGCGATGGCGGAAGATACGAAAAGTACTACATAGACAGACTTGGAGATCTGCGAGTTACGAATGGAGAGCGTTGCGGGTTGTTTTGCTTAGATATTACTAGTGTTATATTTGTATCTAGGATACATGTGTACCGAGCAGTTTGATACTCTGGTTTAATAGATGATGATTAAAAAATTAGAATAATTGAAGAACCTGCCTTTCTGCCGTTCTACTTGCTTGGTATTTTGCGTTGTATGCAGGGCTATGTTGCACTGAACGGACTTAACAGTCCTCCTCAGACATTCAATCCTATCATCACCATTACCATTACCGCACCGAATACCATACTCAGATGCAAAGTCAAGCAATTCATCACAAGAAACAAAAATCAATCATAAAGGGTGAATTTAATACGTCAAAAGGCAAGTAAAATTAGGCCGTGAAGAGCAACTATCAAAGTTTGAGATTTTTGCCTTTCGCTCACTAAACAATGAAGCAGGCATATATGATGAGAGCCTTTGCTGTCCTACTCTCGTAACCATGGAACGCGAGTAAAAGAGTACACAATGACTTGGTAATAGACAGACAGATTTCCGTGCTAGAGAATATGCTTCTGGATTGATATATTCGGCTTCCCATGTATCTGGGTGGGTATAAAATAAAGGGTACGTATGGCGTGTTGTCCCCGTTGTTTGTCATATAATTATACGATCGTCTTATCGATATTTAGCGGCGCCAGTTTGGTTTGTGGCGTACATGAGGATGAACTGGAAGTTGAAAGTAAAAAGAAAAGAGGTATCTGAGAAGGGAGATAGGCCATTGAACCGGAAAGGAAACATGCAACAGCAAGCAAGGTATCGTGCGAGTGAAGAAGAAAAGTTCAAAGAGCAAGAATAGAAACATGGGGAATGGGAATAACGACAAGTTTGAAGAAAAAGGACATGACGACATGATATCCCGAGCTTTTCCAGCCGAGTTTGTGTGATTTCCTAGGTTTTCCGTTCCGAGCCGTTGAAACGCCAAATATTCAGGATCGTTGAGTTATGATTTTGATGGTAGAGACAAATGAAAATGATGTGTTAGATGAGGCGCCGGTTACACAGCAACAGCCTTTGGTGGACCGACAGGCGGTGGTGGTGGTAACGGCATGTTTGGCGGAGGCGCAGGCGGAGGGAATGCCATGGCGGGCATCGAACGGCGAGGCACTACGCCGCGCTGAGACGCTGTATCGACATTCTGCAGTCCAAGCGCCGGGTTCGATGGGCTGGCACGAAGTCCTGGTGCCACCGAGGCACGTTTGCCTGGGACAAAAGAGGGGGTGCTGGATATGGCGCGTACGGGAGCGCCTACCGGCCGTGATGAGGAAAGGAAAGGCGCAGGGTTCGAGCGAATCTGAACGCTCGCAGGGCGACGTAGCGGCTGTGACGAAGGTGCTGCTGTCCTTTGCTCATTGATTGGGGAAGATGATAAAGGTGCTCTGTTGACACCTGAAGGAGCAAAGCTATGCATCGCGGATGGAGGTTTGACTGGGTTGGTCGCAGATCTGTTGACTACCACGCCCAAAGGGATCGGAGCGGGTGATAGTGATGAATAACGTCGGGGAACAACGACAGCCCCGTCATGATTCTGGGTTCGCACAGGTAGAGGCCGCAAGAAAGGCTTTTGGCCCTGTGACATCCGTTTGCCTGAAGACGGAAGGTCACCCAAAGTCGATTGTCGTCGGCCTGGTGGTGGGGCAGGGTCTCGTGGGGGTGGTGATATTGAAGTCTGCCTGGCAGCGGGTGCACTTGAACTTCTAACACTGGATCTCACTGCACCCTGGCCACTGAGGCGTACAAAGTTCGCGGCACTTGTGGGCACGACATGCGACTGTTCATCGGTCGCAGTCACCTTGGGTGCGTGGGCGTTGAAAGTGGACACAGGAGTGTGTGTTGATACAGGGATAGATGCGTTCGAAGACGGGTGCCCCGAATAATCTAAGGTTGGTGATGTAGGACCGTATATGGAATGACGTTGTGGAGTGACGGAATGCATTCCGGCGGATAGAGAGCTGTCTTCATTGGTTACTGGGAGAGGTTGCATGGATCTCCGGCGAGTTGCAGTGGCGCCGCTGGGTATCATGTGAAACGATCTGAGCGACGTGAGCGGCGTTTCAGAAGGGGAAATGCCTTCCTTAGGTGACTGCGGGGCCGGCGAAGAATTGCGAGACGTGTTCCTTGTCCCAGCAACAGAGATTGAGGTGCCCGTGGTAGCGGAAACATAGGAAAGTCGTGACCGCTCCCGCAATTGATCGAGCTGCAGTTGATCATGCGATATGACTGTCGTGGCGATTGATGATGCCTCAACCGACCTTCGCTTGATACTGTGTCCGGAAGAGTGGATGCTAGTGGTGTCTGCAATGCTGATTGTCTTCTCGCTCCTGTTCCCTTCCCAATCAGAGGCGACGATTCTTGGTGAATCTGAGTGTAGCGACTGGAAGGGCGAGTCAATGGCCTTGGACATGCGATTTGGATTGCGATGGGTGAGGTAGCGTTGTCCAGGTGTGCTGACTGACTCAGAATGTTCCTCCGGAGATTCCTCAATCGACGATGATTCTCTAATGGTTTCCTCTTTGACCTTCGCCCCGCCGAGGGTATCAATCTGCTTGCGCACAGTTGTCATCCATGAGTCCATCTCTTCGGCGCTGTCCAGTACCAATAGAAAACTTGTTGCTTCCCTCCTGACGCTAGAGGATTGTAAACGTAGACGGGATAGTAGGTTGTGCTTGGGCCCAATTGCCACTGTTCCATCCTCCGAGGCACTTTGTGAGATTTGTAGAACCCAATGCTTTCCGGGGATAAGATCGCATGCGAAAGCTGCCGACTCCTTGCCGAGCTTCAAAACCTTCTCTGGAAGTCGGTCGAGCGGGCCATCTCCGGCATACTGTAAAATGTGGGAGTCATCGTCCAGGACATAAACTTTGTCGGTAAGTTGAGGCGTGTGGGGATGCAGGATTGAATTAGATATAAGTCGTCGATGGTTCTTTTCCAACTTTTTTGCTTCCGTGCTACCTTCTAATGTTGCGGATAGATCACGCTGACTCTCGTTCCGTTCTCGCGCCAATTCGTATTGCCTCCTTTGACTTTGAGTCCTGAGCAGAATATCAGGAGAAAAGACACAGGCTTGAACGGTGGCGTGTTTGATTGACCGAGGATAGGCCTGAAACAGAGGCGGTGGCTCCCAGGAGCCACTGTCTCTGTTACTCGTGGCCGTAGAAGGACGGAACGATGTCGGCCGTAACATTCCACTTGATCGCGCTCGGTGTACTTGCTGGGCTGAAGGAGTAGGGTTAAGTCGCAAAGAAGATTTCGGTGGGGAAGGGGGAGGTTTCGGAGGTTCCTGTGGCTGCATCGGTACTGCTAGACCAACTTCTATATGGCCTCTGGCCTTCTCTACTTTTGGTCGACTGAACAGATTGAACAGTGACATTTTGGAAGATGATTTTTCAAGCTTTGGCGCTGGTGTAGGTGCAAGGGAAGGCTGGGGTTGCACCGGCTGTGGAGTTTGACTGAGTAGATTCATACTGGACCTGTTGCGCCGCCAGCGCGACGTCCCTAAGGAAGACATGGCGTTAATGGCCGGGTGAATTTGCTTTCGAGGTGGTCAGATACATGTACAAGTTGTCGAAAGGGAAGCGTCCTCGGTGCAAGATATCTGGTGTCGAGAACGAAACGGAGGCCGGTGGATAATAGCTCGAACTATGGTTTTTCTGGGGTCGCCGATCCTGGGTAACACGAATTCGCCTTTACGGTGATAATTTGGGTCTGTTAAGCAACTGTTTTGCAGGGAACCAGGAATCGATAATAGGTTGGTGAAGGCCAGGACGCAGAAGTAGCAATGAAATGATTGTTGGGAGTGGTCTGTGTCTTGTGTTGCGAAGTGCACGCAGGTCGGATTGTAGCCCCGTATCCGTGTAAATGAGTGCAAACCTCCGCAGTAGAATTTGCAGAGATCAATGGTAAAACGAGTGTAGTTGTAATGTAAAACGAGTGAACAGAGATACGTGTCTCTAGAGGGTTGGGAGTGCAGATATGCGGGTGTGTGTGAGAGAAGAGGGGAGGAGAGGGGAGACGAAGAGAGTGACTGAAACGTCTAAAGAAACGTCGACTGAAGGAGTGGTGGGTGACGCGGGTTGCCGTTGACTCGTCGCGGGCGCGAAGTTGCAGCGAAAAAGGCTGGAATTGACTGGAATTGCAGTCAAAGTGCAACAGAGTGTTAAGGTATCCGTAGGGGACCGTAGCCAAACCCACAGGGAAGGGCTCCCACGCTTCCGCGTTGTGTGATTTGGGAGCATGCCAGGGGCCACCCAACGGCCCCTTTTCAGCGGCCAAGCAGGCTAAAGGACCCCCGGGCGGCGGTCCCCTTGTCACACTATTCTACTTCGATTTCGCTTCCAATTCGCCGATGGGGCGGGGATGCTTAGTACTACAGCCCGTTCATCAGACTATCGCTCGTTCGCGGTTTGGGCCTTGTTTGACCATGGCGAAGTGTCAACATTTTCGAGCACTTCCTCAGGTTGCCCAAGAGATGCTTTCCATTTAATACAATCGTCGCAGCCGCCGTTTGTCTCGAGTTCTGTATATCATTCTTTCGCCAAAGTTACTTCACAGAGAACGATGCCCCTATAACGACGGTGGATATGAGTCGCGATCATACACAGGCGGCAGGCCGGCGCTGCTCCTGATGATGCCCCTTACTCTCGTTTCGTCATCGTAAACCAACAACAAGACGGTCGTATCCAAGTTTCACAAGCAGAAGCCCCAATCGCCAGTCTGAAATATGTTGATCAGAAGTCGTCATTATTTCAAAGTTTGTGGTCAGAGTTTGCACTCAATACTGTTGGTCAAAGGTACTGTGTAGTACAGACCGACTATTATTAGCTTGCCACTACTCATTAGCTATGAGGTCTCGAACAGCCAATGCAAGGTAAACCATTGTTGTCTGAGAACTGCTCCGGGAGCCCGAGAAAAGAAATGTTTCTCTGCCTCGGATTGAATCAAAGCCGTAGAAGGCGAAAAAGTCCGCATGAACAGTGAGAGAGTCAGTAGGGTGATCATGACCAGCAAAAGCAACATACCTAAGATGTGTCAGATTGAGCTTTTGGCGGAGTGTATTGTGTCAAAGTATCCGAGTCGTTCGACGCATTCAGACCAACACCATGTTCTATCTGATCAAGTTCATTCTCATTGTGGGTGTACCAAGGCTCGATGAGGGTTAGAATTATGTTAGTTCAATATCTGGATTCTAGACAACGCAGACCTCTCTGCTCGAATGATCAGCGATAATGTGTGTGCATGGTTGGACTAAGATTGCGAGGGTGCGGAACTGCAAGCCGCACCTCAATCGGATCTCTCTGCGACAACGCGCCACACCTTCAATCTCTCATGGGAGACATGCGAGATTGGCGTTTTTCTGTGCCCAAGCGTGAGTCCAAGCACATTTTCAAGGCCAGGATCTTGGTCAAAATCAATAGGCATGCTCTGCACTTCCGCACAGGTTGGTCGAATGCCCCCATTGCCCCGTACATGGACCCGGCGGGCGGAGAGTGCAACAATTAATTGCTGTGTGAACTCGCAGGGCAAGGTGCAGCTCGCACAGACGGTAACCAGCAATACGGCAACTGTTGATGGCTCTTTTAGGTCACACTGGCAACTACCGGCAGCCAATGTGTCGTAGTTCGGCGAAGAGAGGACAAAGGCAGCACGCGCAAATCCACGAACTTCACACGCTTGCGTCGCGTGTCGCATGTATAATTTCACAAAGATGTTGGTAAACAAAGGTGCGGCGCAACGGAATGGGGTTCTCAGGCACTGAAAATGCTTTTGAGGCTGTTAGTGCCAATAGTGGCAATATGCAATAGCTTCACATAGTGTCCATAGTGTCCGCCGCAATGCTCCCGCATTATTGTTTTTTCCGTCGTGTTGGGCAGTAGTCGTGAGGAGCTGCGAGCTGAGTGTCGATCGTGGTTTGTATGAGGTGTGGTGGATTTACGCTGTAGGGCTATCTAGGAACGAGGTCGGCAGGTAGGTCTAGGTAGGGAGTCTGGGATAGGCTTCGTGGGATTCTGTTCCTGCAGCTGGTGGATCCCGAATTGCCGAGCTGCTTTGTCTCTCTCAACGGCTGGAAGTGCGAGGCGAGGCAAGCGAACGGCAGACGGGAGAGACGGGAGAGAGACGTAGCCTGGAGGCAGAACATTTGGAGGCGAGGGACGAAGACATCCAAGGCGATCGATTGCAGTCCAGCCCCGCGCTATACCCGTTACGGAACCTCCATCAGGGCTTGCAGGTCATTGGCCAACTTCTCACCCCACCTCCATACGACTCAACATACCACTTTCATCATCTACATACACTCTACACTACTACACTTCTACACTACAGCTTAATCGTTCAGTCATTCACGCTCCATCATACCTCACGAGGACGGTCAGCATTCCTATGCCCCTCTAACATTTGCGTCATACCTCCGCCTCCAATTCCTAATCCCATACCTTAAGAGGCTGGCCCCCCTCGGTGTCCTAGGATCATGGCCCCAGATCTCAATTCTCTACCTGCTTCCCCATCTCCCTCCGCTTCCCCACTCCATTCACGCATGGCTTCAAACAATCCTACTGATCCTGGCCGCACGGCTTCGCCTCCCGCCTCCCATACTCCCCCACACTCTCTAGCTGCGGCCGCCACAATGAACGCAGGCATCCAGCAAGAGGAACACAGGCGACCATCCACAGGCGGCATGCGCAGAGACGTCGAACGAGCTCGACGACGTAGCAGCATCCGTATGAACCTCAACTTGAACGATCCAACCGTCCCAGCCCCAGGTGAGCTCCAGATTAGTCCCTCAGGTCGATCTCGAGGACCGTGGCCACAGAGCCCTCATCATGAGCGAACCCCCAGTCTGGGAGATCTACACCAAGAGCTCGAGTATGAGCAAGAGGGTCAAGTGGTATGTAAAACACCAGTCTACCATCAAATTCCTTGATCGCCTATAGCATGTTCAGTTCTCGTTAAAGTATAGTTGCTAACCATCCTAATAGAATCGTCTTCTCAACATGATCCGCCAACAACAAGCCCAGATCACCACACTACAAGCAAACCAAGCACCTACCTCGAACTCGGCAGTTGATGACAGCACTCCTACCTCTGAGCGTTCAATGTCGCTGTCAGCACATCCCCCACACATCTCACAAGTCCCAGCTCCAGGCAACATCGCACAACCAAGGTCACGCTCACCTTATGCTATCAGCCGGCAATCCTCCCTAGCGTCGAGAAATAGCAGCCATCATGGTTCACCCGCATTACGACCAATTTCTGGCGGTCCACACGAAAGCAGCGACTGGCTTCCAGGCGCAGCGACGAGTGCTTCGCGGGACGAGAGTGCATTCTACCAGGCAGAGACACAGATGTTGACACGGGAGAACCAAATGTTGAAACTGAGAATACGCGAATTGGGTACGTCATCACTTCCTGCCAATTAATGCACCACATACTAACAATCCTCCAGAACGCCAGTTGACAGAACGCGATCCCAATAATTCTCTCACACATTCACCAGCCGTCGCCTCAGGCCTACATTCCCCACCTCTGAGCGGCGCATCAGCACCACCGTCAAACGTCGAAGCCAGTGGTGATGCTCAGCCATCGACAACGGAAACCGCTCAAACACCCACCGCCACGACTTAAACCTGCCACTTTTCTCCCTCTAGTAGACCTGGTTTCCAAGACAACCCTCTTATAGCATCTTACTACGGCGTTCATTCGTTCTCTCTGTTTGGTATATGTAGGCAGGCAGGCAGGAGGCAGGCAGGCATACAGAGCACCCATCGAACCCTCCACCCCTCCACCAATCTACGGCTCCTTCCTGTCTCCTCCGTGCTCTGTCGGCCGCTGTATTGGATGCTTCTTTTTCTTTTTTTCGTAGACAGACACAATGGACGTATGATGATACTGATGACTGACTGACTGACTCACGATCCGAGTGTAACGATGTTTCTTTTCAACAATGGGCGGCGGGGCATGTACATGGCGTTCTTCTTTCTCTTCTTTTCTCTTCCCTTCCCTTCTTCTTTCGTTCAAAGTCCATAGTGTGTGAGCCAGCCAGCCAGCAAGCATGCAAATTACGATTCTTGTACATACATACGTATCATACCATACAAAAAATGGATCAATCCCCTCGTATACCCTCTTTCCTCTATTGATAAGTCAATACATGGGACTTTCGAAGACGAAATCGCGAAAACGTCCAAGTTAATTGCACAACAGCCAATTTTTGTTTTCTTGGGGGGACTATCCGATTTGACGACTCAAACTGATTTGATTTGACTTGATATACACACACACCTACGCTCCCCTTTACCTCCCTTCCCATTTCTAAATGCCCCTTTCCCGTTTTTCCAGCTACGGTTCCAAGACTCATAGGAAAATGCTTCACGGCATTGCACAACAACACATCCAACATCGCCCCTCGCCCCAGACACCCAATGATCGAAGTAATTGATTGAACTCATCGAACTGAATGAATTGATTGAATTGATGGATTGATATAATAACGCCCCCTTGCCCTGCCCTGCCCTACCCTATCGACCCATTTTTCGAGCAGCTTTCGAGAGAAAAAAATGTGGCGAAGAAAAGGGGGGGGATGTAGCAATGTAGCAATGCCCAGCACACACGCACAAGACGCAAGACGCAAAACACAGTGGAAGAAGAATTGACAAGAAAGGGCGGGAATGTATGGTAAGAGAGGAGGATGTATGGATGGATATTGAATGTGTGTGATGCTAAGAAAAAAGGGGAGGGGGGTTATCACTCCTCGTCGTCTTCTTCCACGGTCGCGTGTCTCGGTCGTTGGGATACGGAGCTTGGGTCTGCGGCCTGCGAGCCTGTGGGTTGGGGTGCTGCGTCTACGGGCGCGGCTGCTGGTTGCGCGGGTGTGGGCTCTGGGGATGCGGCGGCGGCCTTTTTGGAGGCTTTGGCGGGGCGGCCGTTGGCGGCGACGTCGGCTTTTGCGGCGGCGCGGGCGGCTTTGCGTTCTTTCTTTGCGCGCTTTGCGTTCTTGATGTCTTCGGGGGTCTGGGAGGGGTAGTTGTTAGTTGTGGTTTGTAGGGTTGGGGAATGGAGAGTGGGGTCGTACCTCTTGCCATGCCCAGAGGGGCTTGAAGGAATCGAAGAACCCGACGTCCTCGAATAGGTTGGGGTATAGCCATAGACCTGGTGGAGCGGCGAACATGGTAATGATGAAGAGAATCAACCGGAAGATGGCCATGGCGAAGAACAATCCTATGAGACCTAGCATGCCCATACTAAGGTACCATACACCCTGCCTCATGAACAGCGGCCAAAGAGGGAACAGGACGACCGCGAGGATGAGGAGGAGCGCACCGCCGGCGTACAGCTTCTGCTTCCATTGTGCACCCTCGAACAGCCAGACGTAGTAGTGGTCGTCGCCGGCTTCCTGGTGCTGCTCGATACGGACGGTCCATAGGCCCTTTACACGCTTCTTCGCGGCATGGTTGTGGCCTTCGTGGCCTTGCGACTCGTCCACCTTGTTGACGCGGAGAGCGAGAAGGGAGAGCGGGAGGAGCTTGAACGTATTCTCGGCGGTCACGCGGTCATTGACTTCGGGCAGGAGAGGGTTCTTTGAGCGGGCTTTGGCGTATGCGGGGGATTGTAGGGCACGGAGGGCTCGTTTGACTACAGTAGGGATTAGCTAGGTTGGCAATTGTCTGTTGGCATTCGTATGCCGCACCTCTGAACATATCCTTTCGCTTCTCATCTAGAATGACGGTTCGCAATTTCAAATCCTGGGACTTGAGGAAATTCGCAACTGCGATTGCTTCTGGCTTCGGGGGGCCTGGCTGGATTGGTTGGGCTTGACCCTGCTGTGCTTGTTGTTGCTGCTGGATTTGTGCTTGTCGCTGAGCTTCCATCTGTGCTTGGTGCTGCTGCATTGCTTGTGCCTTGAGGCGCTCGATGTACTGGGGAATGGTTAGACCGGCCTTCTCTGCTTCGCTGGCGATTTGTCGTTGCATCATGGCGATTTGTTCGGGGCTAGGTTGCTGTCCTTGAGGACCTTGGAAATTGATTCCAGCCATTTCGTCTTCTACGGAGGATTGTTGCTGTTGCGGGGGTTGGCCCTGGACTGGTGGTGCGCCCTGTGGTGCGCTCTGTGGTTGTTCTGCACTCATTGCTAATGAGGGCTGTGACGGAATGAATAGATTATGGTAGGCGCAATCGCGGGAGCGAGTCTTCACTCAGGAGGGTTTTTTTCAAGAATGAAAGGGCCACTGAAAGTTGGCGTAATTGATTGCTCAGAATGGTTGTGAAAACCTTAAATTGTCAGATGAGAGAATCATATATAAAGCAAGTTACAATAACTCGACCACCGTGAAGCCACATCTACACAAACCGACCATTGTCCGGGCCCACGATAATCCATTTCCGAATAGCACTAGTCCGATCACGTGGGTCTTGGCAAAGCTACGAACATCAAAATCTCTTCTCGCATCACGAATTGTTTCTTCCTATCCACAACTTTGCTTTTCAATTTCGAATTGCAGTTTCCCACTTTCGACCCAGCATGGCCTGACGGAGCGATTTGCTCATTGTTCCATTGCTCTTCTAGATGAGGCATCTAGACAAAAGTCGTCAGGCCATTGCTGACGTGAACAGCGCCCTCTTTGTTCAGCGCTTCCGCTTGTCTCTTGTTCGACGGTCATAGGCATAGGCCTGCCATGGAAAAAAGGTCCCTGTCTCGCAAGATTGTGCCGCGAGGTGGCGGAACCGCTCTGGCAACAGCCTACCTGCCCGTCCGCAGCGGCAAGGCGCTTGGAGTGACCTCAGTACCTCGTCCACGCGGCGTAGTGAACTCCTGAACTAATGCTGTGCTACTCACGGTCAGCCCCGTCGACTGTCGTTGACCGGTGTGTGTGTAGGTAGGTGCGCGCAATTGTTTCTCGATTTGCTATCCAAGATCTACGAAAGGTACGTTCCGGCTTCCCGGACTCGTCCCGGCTCTTGGGAGGAGCAAGATGCGATTGCCACATCCGCACTTTCGTTTGTGTAGACACAAGTTGCACGCGTAGGACTTCTTGTGATTCCGATCTGCTTGCGGCATGCCGACAATAAGGGCATTCGTCGCTGGCAGTGACGATAACCCCAATTCACTTTACCGACACTCTGGCGCTGACTTACTCTCCGTGGTCATCGCCTATTTTGGTGTAAAGGAGAACAATGACCTTTTACTCACCGCGACGCCGTGTTCTTTCCGAAGAGCCATGGTTCCGTGGTCCATCAACTTTAGGTCTACATAGTTTTATAAGTAATTCTACCCTGTATACAGAGTACTCCGTATCTTTTATCATAATATGTCAGTTCCAATAACACTTGACCGTTATATCCCAAGCCAAACCCGTGATGTCAAATATATCCCATAACTGGCAAAGCGATAGTGACATATCAATGCACACCACACCTGGGACGACAAGGGGGATACGTTTCATATGCGCCGTGGCGGCCTATTTCAGCACATCTTACATTCCCTAGCGGCGGCTCGAATGATGCTCACTTACTACCCAATTACATGCGACGGTAGCCGTAGTCCGTACCGTACACACTACCACAGTTTACGAGCCAGATGATATGTCTGTATCGTATCATACACAGTACACACACACCGGTCACGGTCTGTAATTGTATATTGCAACTGCATGAACATAGCGATATCGATTCGATTCGATTCGCCTGCCGTGTACGGTATTCGCGCTTGTCTCACGCCCCCCTTCCCCCCCGAATCCCCAACCCCGACCATGACTGTCTGTCTGTCTGTCAGGACGGCGGTAAGCAGGGCAGCGTATTCGAAGGCAGCGCAGCATCCTTGCGATCCTGCATCATTCATGTCCAAAGAATACAGTAACAACGTCGTCGGGAGACGGCAAGCACCGCACCGCTTGGGGAAAGATACGGCGTAGACATAATCTAGCCTAAACGACGGAATGGAGATTGGGAAATCGTCGTGCGTTCAAGGATCGACCTGCCTGTCAGACAGAGAGATGCTAAACTCGGTGCTTTTGGGAGCCCCATTGAATCTCACGGGTTCCCACTTTAAAGAGACAGGACGGTGGAGTGGAGTGGAGTGGAGTGGCTGGGTAGTTACTCCGTGGTGGTGAATGCTGGTAGATTGGAATGGGATGGATCGGTATTGTACTGTGTATGGACGGAGTATGGTAGGTATGTATTACAGTGTCTACTGGGTTCACTGGGGCGCCACATGAGGGCGGACATGCATACATACCAGGGCAAGGGCCCAAGGAGATGTATTGAGGTGTACAAGGACGGGGAGCGACAGAAAACGGGGCATCACCTACGCACGCCAACGTGATGGTACGTATGTATGCAGCTACCCTATGCAGTCTACGCAGTCGAAAGAAAATAAAATAAAAGAAAGAATCAATAATTGAGGAAGAAAGAAAAGGGCCGGGCTACGATTTATTGAGTAAGAATAGCGGGAATTAGTGGCGGGCTGGCTGATGCGAGCGAGTGAAGCTACCGGCGTTGAATCCATGAGATCCTGGAAGGAAGGGAAGGACACCGACGTCGATACCCTACCCACACCACACACCCATAACTTGAGTCTTGCAGGTTTACGACCAACAAACCCCCGGTAGTGATTAACTAACAGCAGGAATCTCGTTGGTAGAGTCTGGGGGCTCTACTCTGTGAGAGTGCGGTGTATGGTAGGTTACGTAGCGATTGCAGTAGCTACCAGTAAAGAAGGCATAGCGAATCGCAGGCAGAAAGCCTGGCCTCTACCAAGTGACCAGGTAATAGAAAGAAAACATGGAACACTTATGGGCTGGCACGACTGGCTGCATGGTTCGATGCAAGCTTTTTTCCCACGAGCGCCCGCTATCTGCGCGCCGTCCAGTCAGTTGGAAGGTTTGGACGGGTCGTCTTATTTCTTTAATGTTAATTATGTATGGGACTGATGGGTGTGGGTGGGCGTAGTGGGTGTGGATCGGTATGTATGGGAAGTGCGGCTTGCAGGCTTGCAAGGAGGGAGGGGGGGCTTGCGGCTTAGGGCTTGGGGCTTGGGGCGCGCGTGTGTGTGGGTGTGTGTGAGGTGGATGATGGCGTGTGTTATGTCCCTTATGCAAGACAGACAGGGTGGTGATGATGGTACGGAGTACTCCGTGCTGGGTAGGATGAAGATGAGTGGTGGTGAGTGGTGGTGGTGGTGATGATGGTGACGATGATGATGATGTGGGAATCGTTATGGTGGTGGTGGACCTGGTGGTGGAGGTGGTGGAAAGGGCGCACGATGGCGGTGGAGGGGGGAAAAAGCAACATGGCGATCTTTATTGTTGTACTGGTAATTATGGGTAGCACAAAGTTGACAACCCCAACCAACAACGAGCACAAATGGTGCGGAACAAATCACCCTTCTGCATATCCATCTTATTGATAATTACCCCGTAGGGCCTGTACAGCACAACGACGCTCACATTGGGTAGGTATACCTAGTTACTCCCAACCTGGGCATCTGCTTAGTGCTGTACTCCGTAGTGTAAACCGTAGACGACGGCACCTATGTAGGCAAATGCAGAGATGGAACGGTCGGTTGGATATGGACATCATCTTAGCTGTAGCCTGTAGATAGTCAAGACTCAATACATGGTCAACTTGCAAGGAGTATCAAATCAACTAGTAGACGTTCATTAGGGCGTCTTCCCCACGCGGAAACGAACGAACGAACGCTTGCAACTGCTTTAGCGCTGGGATGAGAGAGACGAAGAGGATCAGCCACATTAAACCATCGCACTATTAGTCTCACTTCCTGCTTCTGCTTCTTCTTCTTCTTCTTCTTCACCACTAATACCTTCTACTCTACTCTACTCTACTCTACTCCGTACATACACTCTGCTCTCTGCAGGCTGTTCCTCTTCCTCCTCTTCCTCCCTCAAATCCTCGTCATCGCCTATGTACATGCATGCCTACCTCCTCACCTACGTACCTAATTACATCCCGATACACCCGCCTAGAGAAACCTTCCTTACCTAACCCCAACCTACCCTTACCAATACCTATCCACCGCTATTAACCTGGTTACCTCGTACATCTCTCTTCGATCTCACCGTCTTCTGCTTCTCCACCGTCCCTGGTTTGCCCACTACCCACCTACGACAAACCGCATACCTATAACCTCACTACGGCTGCTGGCTCGCGACACCCGTCGGCTGTCACCCGAACCATACCACACTCCCGCTGTAGGGCCCTCCTCTGGCACGGCTGGATCGACTGGGGATCTATCGCCCTGCTTCCTTCGCCAAACTCCCTGCGACCCTGACGACTGCGCCTCTTCTACCGCTCACTCCCCCCCTCCCTTCTTTCGCTCACGCCGCTACATCCGTCGTCCTTCTCCAGCAAACGGAAACAATATCAAAGAAAGGTAGAAAGCTGTGCTATCTCCTGCTAGAAACCTCCCAGAAGTGAGTGTGCTTCCGACATTCCGAACTCGCCGGTTTCTGCCCGCTTCAACTGCGAACAACTACACCGATTCGTCTTCCTTGCATCCACGAGCCTTTCTCCCTCACCCAGACGTCCTCCTCGACCTCCGCCCGTCATAAAGTACCGTGTCTCTGAGCGCTGACGCTTACAATCTCGAACAGCCGTCGCACCGGACTCCATCGATCCTTATCCAACGAACGGTCTATTTCCCGCCATTCTTACCCTCAATTTCCGTCGCCAATAACCCTAACATTACGTTTGGGATCTCCAACTTACAACCTTCCCCCGGAGTCTTCAGCTGGCGACAACCCAGCGCGAAGACATCCGGTACACCAGCGCCTATATCACAACCCGAGAGACATGTCATGTGAAAGAGGTGGACGAGGACTTCGCAAAGGCCGGTCTAGGTGGACGAGTCCTGGGTTTGGAGTATTGTGCTGCTAATCCGGCAGCATCGCTCCTACCTTGTTTACTTCACGCACGACTTAGGCAGCTTCGCTTCTGTCGCCGGGTGTAGTAGACCCTCCACCGCCACCAACTCACTCCTTAGATTCCCATATTCTGTTCACTGTACCACGGTCGATATATACCATATCCCATACATTTTATAGTAGAACCCTCCCCCACGGCTCCATCCACAATGACGATGGTCCGGCAATACCCCCCGCAACCGCAGCCCTTACTCTCCCCATATAACAACCCCCCTCCCTCACCGAACGGTACGCTCCTTCGAAATGCATCCGGTTTCGACCAAGTCGGCTTGTCCCAACAGCTACGACCGCAGCAATATGCCCATCCACTCTCTCGCCACAACTCTTATCATTCGCAAGGGTCTGCCTCGGATCGAAGTAATGACCGATCCAAACCGCCGGAACACATGCTGCGCCGGAAGACACCTAATGGCATACTATCAGCTGCCTATGACGGGACTTCTGTTGAGCAGACTGATAAGCCGCATGCGACAAAACATATATTGCTTCCCGTAACTGCAGATTCCAACGTGCCGTACAACTTTAAGCCAGAACTTCCTATAAGATCCCCCACGGCAAAGATCAACTTCAATCGAATACACCAGGATCAACCTTCGGAATGGAGCCCCAGCTTATACTTCGAAACAGGATCAGGAAGAGGCCACGAAATGTTCAACAGCGGCCCACATACATTAACACAGATCGATTCTATGCTCAACCAGATACCCCCCTTACAACCTCCGTTGCAATACCCCCTTCACGGCTATCCTTTCGGTGGGGCACCAGGGCCGTTGATACAAGATCCTTTAAACCCGACTGTCTCCAACGATCAAGGCCCATTCGGTCCTTACTGGCATGATGGAACCTTCATTCCTTATCAGCCTGCAGCTTTACGAGATGCTAGATTCTATCCACACCACGGCCATGGCTGGCCCACGCCCCAATGGCCGGCTCATAATGCAGCAGTTCCTCCTATGAATAATTTCCAGCAAAATCAATTCCAATTTAATCAGCCACCCCATTCTTACGGGAACATCCCCAGACCGTTCGATTACTCAATGCCCTATCCCGCCCCTCGCAATCATTCGATCGATTATCACTCTCAACGGAATGCCGTGCCGGTTGCTCAACGTCCTGCTCCAGACTATGGTCTATCGTCGTCTGGTCAAACCACTCCCGTCGCCGATCAAACACCTGCAACCACCCCGTTAGCAGAGTTCGGGCCGCACTCACAGAACGCACAGACAAGGGAAAAGGTGTTTGCATGGGCGCATACGGTCTACATCGATCTTCTGAAGTATCTTCAATCAACTCGAAAATCTAGTTCGAATGCTCGGCATCCTAATGGCCACCAACAGCACGTCCGTCCTCACATATATCCCAGGCCCCCTAGGCAACCCGGCGCAAACTTTAATAACACCACGACCAACGACACCACCCAGAGCTCTACGCAGCTGACGGTAAACAACCAAGCTCCAGCAATAGACACCCAGAGGCCAGTCCAAACGCAGCCACCCTTTAATAGCCGACCCCATTTTGTCCACGGTCGCTCTGCATCTGCTGTATCTCAATGGCCGAATGTACCCCAGCATCCTTATCAAAACAATGGTCAACATGGCATGTACCCGGCTGTTCCTGGAATGGAGCCTATGCGGCCGTTGCGGCGCATGTCTGGGACTACGATTACTGGTGTCCAACAGAGCATGCGCCTTGAAACTCCACCAAGCATGACCGCCGCATCTGCCCTAGACGCCATCAACAAGCACTGCGAGGAGAGCAAATGGCAATGGATTGATGGTATATTATTGGGTGGGTGCCTTGCCTATGCTTTGGGTGATTACCAGAAGGCACAAGAATGGTACAAACACATTCTTAAACTAGACAAAGAGTAAGTTTTAATTTCATACTAAATGCCAACTACGATTAACACTTCTAGCCACGTCGAAGCGACATCGAATCTTGCAGCAACATTACTCGCCCTCCAGCAGAAACATGAGGCCGAGTGCCACTGGAGGAGAGCTGTTAAGCTTCGCCCGAGTTATTTCGAAGCCGTTGAACATCTCATTGGCCTTCTCTGTGGTGACCATCGTGGCCAAGAGGCAGTCCAGATTATTGGAGAGGTGGAGAGATCATTGCGATTTACTAAGAAAAAGGACCTTCTCCGAACCACTGGAACACACAGCGAGCGCTCCGATTCCTCGGTCAGCGAGTCTACGAGCATTTCAGAGGTTTCGGATAAACCGGTCTTCGAATACGATGCAGACAATGACTCCAACGACAGGGATCTTGATGAACTCCCTGGCTCTGACCAACCAGGTTTTGGCTCTAGCGGCTTTGCCATCCCCGGATCCGAGAATGGCCGCATGCTCGCCTTAATCCACGCAAAGGGCAATATGCTTTATGCTCTTGGTGATAATGCTGGCGCTGCCAGAGCATTTGAGAATGCTGTTTTAATTGGTGCTGGTCTTCAAGTCCAAGGAATCAGTGGCTTGATCAAGCACATCCTTTCTGTCGTTGGTTACGATGCATCGGAACGTTCGCCTGGCGGTCGCCAAATTCCTCCCTCGACCGATCCCATTCTTCTTCATCCTGACCCGGCGTTGAAGACTGCACAGCTATGCTTCCCTCCTCATGGCGACCTCCCCGGCCTCAAATATGTCTCAAGCGAAGGTATGGCCCGGAAGGCTGCCATATCAACCACAAGTAACTCGTTACTTTCCCTCGCGAAGATTTTCCAAGATGGCATGGCAACCAACTCGCCCAAGGCTTCCGCCTACCAAACAACGTATGGAGTTCGGGAAATTCTTGCCTTGTACTATCTGTCTCTTTCGCTCCAGCCTAGTCCATCCACAGCGAACAACGTCGGTATCCTTTTGGCGAGTGTTCAGCAGGCCGCCCCTTCGAAACATATTCCAGTATCCGCTCCCATGATGAAGCCGCAAATCCCAGGACTTGTCCCCGGTAGCGGTATCGCACTGGCACTAGCATACTACAACTACGGACTGCTACTTGACTCGCGCCATGCGCACTTGTACACCAACCTTGGAAGTCTGCTCAAGGACATAGGCCAGCTTGATGTTGCCATCCAAATGTACGAGCAAGCCGTACAATGCGACGGAAACTTTGATATCGCTCTTGCCAATCTCGCAAACGCCGTGAAGGACAAGGGCCGGATTAGTGACGCAATTTTGTACTACAAACGAGCTGTGAAGGCAAGCCCCGAGTTCGCCGAGGCGGTTTGTGGTCTTGCGAATGCTTTGAACTCCGTCTGTGGCTGGACTGGTCGAGGTGGGATTGCGGCAGAGGGTGGTTCTCGCGATCGCTGGCACGTCAATGAACAGGGCATGCTCTTGGATGCTACATTGCGGGGTGCTTCAAGTTCTGGCTGGATTAAGCGTGTGGTCGATCTCGTGGAAAAACAGCTCGCAGATGGAGAGGATTGGGGCCGAGGGATGATGGATGAAAGGTTCATGAAGGACATGCTTCGCCCTCTCGCGTTGGGCGAAAGTGATGCCAGCAGCATCAAGGAAAAGCAGCAAAGCATGGTCAAAACTCTCCTTGGATGGCGAGGCCAGAAGTGGGAAGGAGCTCGCATTGTTCGTTTGGTTGAGCGAGCCATCAAGCGTTTGACCTGGCAATGGTATCAAGACCGCTACAAGAAGGGCGATGGTCGCGGCCGGCAGCTCGTTCTGGCGAACTATCGAAGGCCTCAGTTGCCTTCTTCCTTGACAGTTCCTGCGGCCCCTACTGTTCTACCCTTCCACACATTCACTTGTCCTATGTCCGCCAAACAGATTCGCCTCATTTCGCAACGAAATGGTCTCCGTATTTCCTCCTCGACATTGAAGGCCCCTTGGTTGCCAGCTACTGTTTTCGAACCTCCGCCTCCACCGGCCCCGTATCTTCGGGTTGGATATGTGTCTTCCGACTTCAACAATCATCCGCTCGCCCACCTTATGCAGTCAGTTTTCGGTCTTCACGACCCGCAACGAGTCAAAGCCATATGTTACGCCACCACGGCAAGCGACGGGTCTATCCACAGACAGCAGATTGAGAAGGAAGCTCCGGTGTTCTACGATGCCAGTAGCTGGCCAGCAGAGCGACTTGTGAACCAAATCATTCGCGATCGCATCCATATTCTCATCAATCTCAATGGCTATACTAGGGGTGCCAGAAATGAGGTCTTTGCAGCACGTCCCGCACCTATTCAGATGTCCTTTATGGGCTTTGCGGGCACGCTCGGTGCTGATTGGTGTGACTATCTGCTTGCAGATGAGACTGCGGTTCCGACTGATACTCTGCGACCCTGGCGCCGCAACATTGACATGGAAGATCAGCTCGTCGACGAAAACAGCGGAGGCTCCGATGAGAACTGGATATATGGCGAAAACATCATTTACTGCCGCGATACCTTCTTCTGCTGCGATCACAGACAAAGCGCCCCAGATGCCACAGGACGTCAGCTCACCTGGGAGGAAGAACAACAAAGAAGGTGGGCAATGCGAAAGGAATTGTTCCCCAACCTCCCTGACGATGCCATCATCCTCGGAAATTTCAATCAGCTCTATAAGGTAAGGAAAATGAAATTATGCCAACTTGCAGTCCTAACATAATCCAGATTGAGCCCACGACTTTCCGCACCTGGCTGCGTATCCTGCAAAGACTACCAAAAGCTATCCTCTGGCTTCTGCGTTTCCCAGATCTTGGTGAGACGAATCTCAAACAAACCGCACTCATGTGGGCTGGCCCTGAAGTCGCCTCCCGTATCATGTTTACCGACGTTGCGCAAAAACATCAACATATTGCACGTGCTCGAGTCTGCGATCTTTTCCTGGACACTCCTGAGTGCAATGCCCACACCACAGCTGCAGATGTTCTTTGGTCGGGCACCCCGCTGCTTACTCTTCCCCGCTACAAGTACAAGATGTGTTCAAGGATGGCTGCATCTATCCTGAAGGGCGCTTTACCTAGTAATGAAGAGGGCAAGAAGGCTTCATTAGATCTTGTTGCTACCGGCGAAGAAGATTACGAAGAAAAGGCAGTCCGCCTAGTCAATGATTGCGTCTACCGCGGCTATAGAGTCACCGGCCGCTTGGGCCAACTCAGAAAGCTTCTATACGAAGCTCGATGGACCAGTGCTCTCTTTGACACCAAAAGATGGGTCCGTGACCTTGAAGAAGCATACGGAATCGCATGGAAGAAGTGGGAAGGTGGCACTGGCGGAGACATCTGGCTGCAGCCACAGAGGGGGTGGTGAGAGGTACGAAGGTGTCGTTAGTCGCAAGGCTGTATACATATCATCTTTCCATTCTCTTCGGCATCCAGGACACTTTCCCAGTGTCCGACTTCTTGCATTCGGATAACGTTGAAGTGGTAAACGCGGAGGATAATTGAGTTTATTGCGATTTTTGCGCGGCGTGCATTTTTCCCCGAACATGTTAGCTTTCCCCCCAAAGTTCTCATGCTCGCTATACCCCAAGGAAAGCTTTTTTGTTTCATTCTTGTTTTTTCATCATGTCATTCAAAGGAGTTTCTCGTGAAATGGGGGGAGGAGCCGACATTGGATATTCGGGCATCCGCTCTGGCATTTCTCTTTTTTTTTTTAAACTATTATTATCCCAATCCCCAACACCTCTAATGGGGCCATTGTACATGTCGGGCATTTCTTGTGGAGTTTTCAACACGCCAATCGTGTGTCTCGGGATGACACTGGCAAGAACCAAAGGTTTCTTCTCTCTGGGACTGAATCAATGAAGCATTTTTTCGCGCAAAGGCGCGATTAACCTCCCTGATACTTCACCATTGCTAAAATTATATTGAAGGTGCTACGTGAAATTGAGTGAAATATGATGACTGACATTCGAATATGAAGCATACTAGACTTTAAAAGGAAATTTGTCTTTGATGTTGGAACGGTGAAGTCATGAAATGAAGTTGTGGTGAGTGAAAGGAACCCGTTTGTTCATCTGCATCACCGCGTGTGAATGAACGGTTGGGATGGCACGCTTAGTCATCCGTCCACTCTTGCCCTGTGGAACCGATTTCACCCAATGCTCCGTCCCGCAGAAGCTCTCTCGCCGTGAATAATTATTTGCCCACCAGTTGAGCAACACCACCAACAATCAAAAAGACCGGAGCTTCCAAGGCCGTCTGCAAACACTTTACCTCCCAACATCAATGCAAACAGACTCAGCGCCCGACATACCCAATTTCCATGTGCGCAATCCCTAAACGAACACACGCCGCCACTATCGTCCGCCCCTCCACCTGCGCAGGTTGGCCTTCCTTACTACCACGATGGAGAGGCAGCGGAAGCGTACGTACGACCCAGACATGTAATTAATTGCCTTTATTGACATATACCAGGAGAGCTCCGCGAGCTGAATACCAGGGCCTGGGCCGGAGATCAAGGTAAATGACCCACCCGCTGCACCCATACCCCACATTGTCCCTACTCTACGTAACCATATACTAAACCGTCCGTCTTCTCTCCCTCCAAAAGATGTCTTCCCCGTCCAAGGATCCCTCGATTCGTCCATGAAGAAGAACACCGCGTTCATCAAGCGCCTCCGGACCGCCATCACCGCGTCCTCGCAGTCGCAGTTCGTGCAGGAGATCCGCACCCTCTCGCTCCACAAGTACCTCTCCGAGATCATCTCCGCCTGCTACGAGGGGCTCTGCAAGCTCAAGTCGCCCGGCGAGATCGCCGCGGGCGTCGAGGTCGTCAGCGCGCTGCACCAGCGGTTCGGGCCCGAGGAGTTCACGGGGTACATTGCGTGGTACATTGGGCGCGGGCTGAGCACGCCGGATCGCTCGCAGTTGAAGACGCTGACGCAGGAGGTGCGGGAGCGGGAGGAGAAGGAACGGTTGGCGAGGCAGAGGGTGCTGCTGAGGGTTATGACGGAGTTGTGGCTTGTGTCGGTGCTGAGGACGCTGGACGACGTCGCGAGGCCTGAGGAGGCGGGCAAGGGCAAGGAGAATGTGAAGTTGGTGGAGAGCTCCTCTGGGAAGGCGAAGCCGGCTGCTGCTGCGAGTGGGCGCACGGATAATGGCGATGCGGAGCCGTTTCCGCTCGAGGTCTTGAAGGATATGCTGGGTCATGATCGTGAGCATGCGAATTTGCCGCTGGTTGTTATCTTCGTGAAGGCGTTTGCCTGGGATATACTCGGCGCGAGGACTTCGTCGGCGGAGGGCCGCAAGACGGTGAATGAAGATGGGAGCACGACTGCGGAGAAGAACGATGAGACTTCTGCGAACGAGGAGGATGAAGCTGCCACGCTCGATCCGCCGATCATTTCTCCGGAGCTACAGCAGCGGTTCAGGAATATTCTGACTAGATACTTTGAAGACGTGAAAGCACACTTGGTGCGCGACCAGAAGCATCTGACGAACCAGGGCCGAAAGAATGCGGAGGCTTACGTCAAATCTGGGGAGGTGTTCGAGGACCGCCAGGCCAACTACGAGAAGCAGATCAAGGCCCAGGACAAACTTTCCGCGAACGCCCAGGTTTTGGCCGATGCTTTGGGTGCGGAAATGCCGGATCTCAAAGAGAAGGATAGCTCAGCTTCGGCCGGTGATGGTTCCATTGGACTTATCAAGGCTGGCGATTATCTGCGGGGACAGGGTGATGGACCCGGTATCTGGGAAGACGAGGAGGAGCGTAGATTCTACGAGAACTTGATTGATCTGAAAGACCGAGTGCCTGGAATCTTGCTAGAGGAGCCCAAGAAGAAGAAACCGGATACCGACGAACAGGTCGGCAAGAAACAAGAGCCCATGGAAGGAAAAGAAAAAGTCGATGTTGCCGCTGAAGCCAAAGCTGTTGAGGCTGAGGAACAATCTACGGCCATCGCAAACAAGTCCGTCGGTGCCCAGGTCGACGCAATACTTGCAAGACTCCCCGAATTGAATTCGAAGGATACAGTCGATCAGGCCGCGATGGATTTCTGCTTCTTAAACTCCAAGGCTTCTCGTAATCGACTCATCAAGGCTGTTCAGGAGATTCCAAAAGGACGTTCGGACCTACTGCCCCTCTACTCTAGGCTCATCGCAACACTTAGCAAGTATATGCCAGATGTCGCCCAGGGTCTTGTCTCTTACCTCGACGAGGAGTTCCGCAGCCTTCAGCGTCGCAAATCGAAAGATTTCCTAGGACAGGTTCGGACTCAGAATGTTCGTTATCTTGCGGAACTGACCAAGTTCGGGGTCGTCCCTGAGCATGTCATTTTCCATTGCTTGAAGGTCAGCCTGGACGATTTCTCTCGGATGAATATTGAGATCATTTGCAACTTGTTGGAGAACTGTGGTCGCTACTTGCTTCGCAATCCGGAGACATCCCCTCGTATGATCTCGTTCCTCGAGACTCTCCAAAGGAAGAAGACCGCTCAAGTTCTAGGCCAGCAGGAACGAATGCTGATTGAGAACGCGATGTACTACGTAAACCCACCCGAGCGTGCAGCCATCGAGCAGAAGGAGAGGACTCCGGTTGAGCTTTTCATGCGCAAGCTCATGTACTCAGACCTGACGCGACGCACCCTCGACAAGACCGTCAAACAAATTCGCAAGATGCACTGGGAGGAGGCAGAGATCTTCAATCTCCTGCACAAGATCTTTTCCAAGCCGGGCAAGATTAAGTACAGCAACATTCATCACCTCGCGGTTATCCTCGGGAGCATTGACAAGTATCATCGGGACTTCACCGTGTCGGTGATTGATGACGTCCTTGAGTCGATTACTTTCGGTCTGGAGCTGAATGATTTCAAGTTCAATCAGCGCCGCATTGCAGAGGTCAAGTATCTTGGCGAGCTGTACATCTACCGAATGGTCGACTCTCCCTTGATCTTTGACACGCTCTACAAGTTGCTCAACTACGGCTACCAAGGCGGCTATGCTCGTCTCGACATATTGAATCCTCTCGATCTTCCAGATGACTACTTCCGCATCCGCCTAGTCTGCAATCTCTTGGAGACGTGTGGCATGTACTACGACAAGGGCGCCGCAAAGAAGAAGCTCGATTTCTTCTTGACCTACTTCCAGTACTACATTTGCACAAAGGAGGCACTTCCAATGGACGTGGAGTTCATCATTCAAGACGCATTTGCATTGACCCGGCCCCAATGGAAGCTCATCACGAACCTAGAGGAAGCATCACACATCTTCGCCGAGGCGGTCAAACAGAACTATCAGCCTTCGGCCGCAGACCGTCCAGTCGAGCAGGATGACGATGATGTTTCTGCGTCTGATGATGACGTCGACGGTCCAGACGACGATGATGTGGCAGCTGATGAGGATGAGGATAAGTCTTCTGCTGAAGAAGACGAGGTATGTTTTCTGCTCCAGTATATGACAATATATCTGACACGTAATAGAACTCCGGAGACGACGAACCGGTCCAGCGAGTTTCCGACGATGAAGAAGAACAAATCATCGTCACTCGTCAAGAAGACGAGCGCGACCCCGAAGCCGACGCAGAGTTCGATCGCGAGCTCGCCAAGCTCATGTCGGAGAGCGTGGAGTCGCGCAAGTTCGAACGCAAGCCCGTGTTCGACGTGCCGCTTCCCATGCGTCGCGCGCCTCGCGAGGCCGCCGTGAACGCCGAGGACAGCGGCAGCGAAGCGCCTCCCCCTCCCCCACCCGCTCCCACCAACACGATGAAATTCTCGCTCCTCAGCAAGCGCGGCAACAAGACGCAGACGCGCTCCATCGACCTGCCATCCGACTCCACCTTCGCCGTCGCCATGCGCAGCAAGCAGCAAGCCGAGAAGGAAGAGCAACAACGCATCAAGAACCTCGTCCTCAACTACGATCTTCGCGATGACAACGACGCAGATGGTGAATCACCTTTTCTTTACACCCTCCAACCCAACTACAACAAAGTTCAACCCCGTACTAAATCATCTCAAGGTCTGGAGAAGACGCACAACGTCTACGCGCAACCCCGCGTCGACAAGGCGGGGAATAATCGCACGAACCAGCGCGCGAGGAAGTTGCAGCTCAGCGATGTCAATTGGTATGATAACGTTCCTGTCAAGTCTCGTTCTTAGTTTTTTGAACTGTCGAGGTCTCTCTCTCTCTCTCTCTCTCTCTCTCTCTGAGGAAGGCAATCA